GCCTTAAAGCCCGTCTTTCCGCAGTTCACCAGCCCTCCCAGGCCCGACAGGTTGAAGGAGAGTCCGAATTGCCGGTCGATCAGGCTCACCACCGGGCGGCACACCTCGTCTCGACATGTGTTCACCAGAGCGATGCTATTGGTCCTGGGAGAGGGGGAGAGGTGAGAGTGGGGAAGAGGCGGGAGTGGGAAAGAGGTGGGAGTGGGACGAGGAGGAAGAAGGGGAGGACGAGGAGAGGCGAGTTTAAGACTCATGGCATGCCTCGTCTTGACATGTGCTCACCAGAGCAATGCTGTTGGTCCTGAGAGTGGGGGAGGGGGGAACGGGAGGAAGAGGGGAGGCGAGAGGGAGAGAACGGGAGTGTGAGGAAGGAGGAAGAGGAGTATGCCTTTTGAGCGGAAAGGAGGGGGAGCACAGTTCTGCGTCGACTCAAAATTCACCTCAATCGGCACAATTTTTGAGGCGCCTCATAAAGGAATATGCCTTTTGAAAGGAGTGGAGCATAGTTCTGCACCGACTCAAAAGTCACCTTGGGCGGCACACCTCATCACAACATGCGCTCACCAGAGAGATGCTGTTGGTCCTGAGAGGAGGGGGGGTGAGAGTGAGAGGATGGAGAGAAAGGGAGGACGGCAGGGAAGAAGAGAGATGCTGTTGGTTCTGAGAAGAGGGGGGTTGAGCGTGAGAGGACGGCAGGGAAGGAGAGAGAGGGAGGAAGTCGGAATGAGAAGTTCTCGGACTATCTCAAAGCACCCTTCGGCCATAAGGCAGCAGTCATGGGAGGCGGAGGCGGCGGAGGAGGCGGCAGCGGAGGAGGAGGGGGAGGGGAAGATACAGGAAAAGAGAAGGAGATGGGGGGAGCAGAGGAAAAGGTGAGAGGGGAAAAAGAAGAGGCGTGTGGGGGTGAGAAAAAGAGGAGGGAAACGAGGAAGAGATGAGGATGGAAAAGGACTAAGTTGGTGAGACAGTCGGAGATACTTGTCCTCTATCCCACCAACCTCGTCATTTTTCATCCCCATCTCTTTCTCGTTTCCCACATCTTTTTCACCCCCACGCGCCTCTTTCTTTTCCCTTTTCACCTCTTCTTCAACTCATCCCATCTCTTTCTCCACCTCTCCCTCCTCTCCCCCCATCTCTTTCTCTTTTTTACGTATCTTCCCCTCCACTTGCAGTCTCTTCAGCAAACCTCTTTACTCTTCTACCTTCCATTCTCCGCAGCTGCAGCTCGCTGCGCTTCCTTTTGACGAGAGGAAGAGGTGAGAGCAGGGAAAAGGTGCGGGAGGGGAAGAGGTGAGGGAGGGGAAGAGGTGAGGGAGGAGAAGAGATGGAAGAGGGAAAAAGGTGGAAGATGGGGAGGACGAGGAGAGGCGTGTTTACGACTCAAGGCACACCTTCTAGCGGCGTGCGTTCACCAAAGCAAAGCTATTGGTCCTGGATGGTGGAGAGAGAAGCACGACAGAGGCAGGAGAGAAAAAAGGGGAACTGAAAAAATAATTTCTGTTTTATTTCAGCACCTCTCACCTCTTGAAGCCCAGATTTCTCAGCACGGCGATGCAACTCTTGAAGCTAACTTTGCTCAGCGCCTCACCTCTTGAAGCCCAGCTTGCTCAGCTCAGTTGCCACCGCCCTCAGTCGATCGATCGGGCACTCGCCAAATCTTTCAGTCTTGCACAGTGTTGTACTGTAGAATGGTAACCATACTCTACAATGTTCCGCCACCTCAAGGATCGGTTTAGAGACGCGATCGATCCCCTACTTGCAACACGTCCTGAGCCCTATGGGATTCAAACAACAGCAACAATGAAAAGAACAAGCACAAAACCAATATCCTGAGTTGCTTACACTGGTGGCGTGCGGAACGATTCCGGTGGGAGGGTCTTGAGGATCCATGGGCCCATGGGGGTATGGGTGGGTTAGTGGATGTGTGTGTGGGGACGATGGCGGGGGAAGGGGGTGGTGGGGGGGATGGCGCGCGTGTTGCTTACACTGGTAGCGCGCGGCACGATTCCGCTGGGAGGGTCCAGCGGAACCATGACTGGGCGGATTGTCGACGGTGATAAGGCGTTCCGCAGCGCGAGATAAGCGGCGGAGCCCAGAGCGCCCGCCACGAGCGACGACGTCGCGATGCTGCTGCTGCTGCTGTTCGCGAGCGTATTCGCAGGAGTTATCAGCGACGGTGGAACCGGGGATTGCGAAACGCTGGCGATGTGATGCACCTCCGGCGAAAATCTGTGCGACGAAGGAGGGGAGGTGCTTGTTTCGCGAGAAGCTCCAGAGGCGTCGGCGGCGACGTGTGCGACGGTGGTGATGCCGCGCGTGCGATGTGCGACGGTGGTAGTGTCGCGGAAGCGATGTGCGATTTCGCAGGCGATAACACGGCCACTTGGGACTGCAAACATCACGCATGGGTGGGGAACGAAAAAGGAACTTCGCGATTGTTGTAACAGGCGACATTCTTCGAGCCTTGACATCCGATGTGGACGTGGAAATGCGTCGGCAATCTCAATGCGGACTCTGCTTCCTTCGCTGTTTTGAAGTGCCTCGAAACAAGAACCTCTCTATTGCTAAAAACAGCTCTGTAAGCAGGCTATCAAATAGGAATAATAATCCAAACTTGTGGATGTGATTCAGGAAAATCGAGTGAAGCATGACTCATCGCAGGGATTTTTTTAGAATTCTCAGAAAATCCCTGCAACTTGTGGATGTGATTCAGCAAAATCGAGTGAAGCATGACTCATCGACAGACCGTCAACAGCGAGTATGCTAGTACCAGTCCACGCAAATTCAAGGCTGGCACCATACTAACGCTGGCGATATGTTCTAAGGCGACTCAGATTCACACTATTTCCATAGCTACTTCGCAAATTGCTAATACCTGTCCACGCAGGCACCATAGTAACGCCGGCGATACCAGAGCGGAAGGCGAGGAGGGGGTGCGAGGCAGCGAGGCAGGACGACGCGAGAAGCGCGGTCGCCCGCAGATACGCACCGGACGGACGAATACACGTATTCACGACTCTCGAATACACGAATACACGAATCTACAGTGTCTTACGGAACAACGGAATACCACGGAAAAAATACTTTACGGTATCTCACGGAAGTACGGGATACCGGAGTGCGGAACTTCGGTGCTTGATGAAAACACGGTGCACTAAAAGAAGTGCCAGGTCCGAGGCTTACTCGACGAGTGAGCTATGGACGAGAAACGCCGATTGCATCCGTCACTCGTCGGAGAAAGAGGGAGCAGACACTAGTATACAAGAAGGCTAAAGAGGCTCACTGGAAAACATAATCTTTGCCGTGACGGGCAGAAGTAACTCGCAGGCTGAAGCGCTGCGCAGAAATGGTGGTGGAGGGGAGAAATCGAGGCAGCGAGAGGAGGTCAGGAATGCGTGATTGTGAAGTGGTCGTGAACGAAGCAATAAAATCCAGGACAGATTAATTTGTGTGTTTCTTCTGGAAGGTAGTGTTCTGTTCTTAGAAAGAAACTACTTTCTTGTATATCGACGGCTATAATGAGTTCGTGCGAAGCGCCTCCTCCGACCAGCTGGGAGCTGGGTCACGCGGCACGTACCTGCTGTCATTGCTGACACGCAAATCAGCAGGTACCACGTGGCGAAAAAAGCCAGGGGGATGAACGCTGACTGGAATCTTGATGGGAAGAGATCGCCGGCCGACTACGATGGTGGCCTCAATGACAAGGCAGCCACGTCAAACAGCTCCTTGCTGAAGTCAAGTCAGTGTTCCCTCTACAAGCTTTTTCTCTACGAATCGGTTTTACTACAACGAGGCTCTAGTGAATGTGAACTTTTCCAATTCTATCCACACAGAGAATCTAGTGCACAGAAAGTGAAGTATCATGTAGACGACATTAGTCCACTGTACGAGTAATTCTATAAGGAGTACCTGACAGCTCCCCCTGCGTTCCCCTCTGCCCTTCTCGCCTTCAAAGACACGACTCACGCAATTCCATACGCGTCTCTCGTGCAGCTCGGCATCTTCAAGGAACATCCAGCCAACCTTGAAAATCCGCCATCTTGCAGACAAATTCGTCCTTTTCCCGCCAACCTATCCTTCCATCGAGATACGAGCACTTTGGTTCCCGCATCCTTGTTCTTTGCAGCATCAGTGAATGCAAGTCACTACATTTCCTCCTCTGTAGACAACCACTACATTTCCATCGAGATACGACTCAAAAGCCACCTCGCGAGCTCCACCTGGTGGCGTGAGCATTGCCTTGCATCATGGAGTTCACGGTTCGATTCAGGGTGCCAGCTACGCTGCTAAAAATCACGAACGGTAACAATGGCGACGCCATTTCGTTGACCAGCGGCAGCACTTCTAGCAGCATTACGACCACCAGCAACAATAGTACCAACAGTAGCAGCAGCAGTCCTGATTCTGTCAACGAGCAAATAACGGCTACGATCACCCAGCCAGCAGCGTCGTCCCACGTGGATTATTTCATATCCATTGATCCGCAAGAGCCGCTCCAATCTGCGTTCAACAAGCTTTTCCAGTCCCACCTCCCGCACTGCTGCCTGTTGAGTCAGCAGACGCGTCAGCAGCAGGATGGCGTGGATACGGCCAGCGACGAAAAGGGTCAGACGGACGAACAGAAGCAGGCTGTTCGGTTCATGGCTGTCGGGCAAGTGGTGTACCTATCGCCTGAAGCATCACCGGAAAAGGTCAAGCTTAAAGCGGGTAGCGTGGTCAAAGTGCTTCCGGTAAGATCGAGGGAGGCGGGGGGGAAGGGAAAACCAGATTCGGGAGTTACCGCCACGGGTAGCAGCAGCAGCAGTGTTGTTGCGAATCACACACCCGCCTCTGCGCCTGCTTCTGCGCCTGGCTCTGCGCCTGTCTCGGCGCACCCGGCCCCTGCGACTGGCGGCAACAGCAAACCCGTCACCAACACCGGCAGGCGCAGCAGCAGCAGCCGTCGCATCCGACCCAGTATCACGAGCCCGCTAGACTACGAACCAATCTCCCGCCCGCACATGGTGCACCACGTGGATGTCAACCTCCCCTGGAACCACTCCCTCTGCGCCTGCTGCCTCTCGCGCATCCTCCACCCCGCCACCCCCACCACCTACCAAATCGCCACCCCCAACGCCCTCCGCCTGCACCTGCAGCAGCCCGTGCATGAGAGCATCAAGCCGTGCCCAGCCAGCCACAACCGGCCGTCCCAGGCTATCCTTGCATATTCCGCCACAGTTAGGGTGCAGGGTGTCTGGGGTACTATGGGCCCGGGTGTGGGGCGTGGGGGGAGCGGGCGCACTGCGCTTGCCGCTGCGGCTGCTCGTAGGGGTGGGGTTGGCGGTGGTGGGGGTCTTTCTAGGGTTGGCATTTCTGCAGGCTCTCCTGCGGAACAGTTCAAGTGGAAGGCGGATATTGCGCCCATGCCTGCGGCCGAGGGGATGTTCCTCGAGTGGATGGCAGAGCCACGTGTCGGGCTGCTGTTGGACCTGGATGTGGTCAGGTGCCAGCTGGCAGATATGATGAAGATTCACGATCTGGTAGCAGCAAGTGGTGGCGTTACAGCCGCTGGTGCTACAACCGCTGCTGCTACAGCTGCTCGAGCGACCACCTCTCGTGCTTCCAGCGCCGTTGTCGCTACAGCCAGTGGTGCTACAGCCGGTGGTGGTGCTCCCAAGCACTTCTGGTGGTGCTGCTGGCAGTGCAGTGCGTGTTGGACCGCCTACCGCCGCTGCCTCTCTGTTGTCGTCTTCCTCGTGCTTGTAGCGAGGCTTCCCCGTATAGTCACAATCTGGCGCCTGCACATGAAATCCTGCTACGTTGCCTTCCCCGCCCTGGCGAATCAGCTGAACGCGGGGAGGCAGATCGGGGGGGTGGGGGGCAGGCAGGCGGAGCGGCAGGCGAGTAGGCAGGCGGGGAAGGGGGGAGGGAGGCAGGCGGGTGGGGAAGCAGAGGAGGATTGCTTTGGATCGATCCTGGTGCAGGTGCTTGGGGTGAAAGGGAAGAAGGAGCTGGAATCGGGGTTTGCTGCTCATGTGCTGCCTCTCTTCCCGGGGGAAGACAGGCGCACGGGGGTATGAGAGCGGGGATGGGGAGAGGAGGGGGGGTAGGAGGAGGGATTGGCTGGGTGGAAGGGGGAGAGGAGTGGAGGGAGGGGTTGAGAGGGATGGAGTGGGATGTGTATGTGGAGCGTGTGGGGGAGATTATCTCCCAGGGGGGCCTGGAGGCTGAACAGTACAGGTGCAGCTGCAGGCAGTGCGGAGGAGACAACGAGGGTGTACGGGGGAGTGGGGATGGAAGCAGCAGGCATAAACACAGTGGCACTGCTGCTGTGCTGGTGGTGCTGGTAGTGGTGGTGGTGCCGCCAGTGGCATGGTGATAACTGGCGTTGACCCGACTGACTTTGCTCTCCGGGCTGCATTGACACTCTGTGTGCCGCTCGCTGCCGTCTACGGCATGCAAGCGTTTACCGGGGCGTGCAGTAACAGGTACAAGGAGCGCGTGGAGGGCGCTGCTGTGGAGGCAGCCAGGCAGCGGCTGGCAGAGAGGCTGGCAGAGAGGGCGGAGAGGCTGGCAGAGAGGGCTGAGGAGTCTGGACAGGGGAGTGTGGTGGAAGGGGGAGTAGCAGTGAACACTGAGAAGAAAGTGGAGGATCAAGCGTAAGAGAGGCCAGCGGCAGCAGGAGAAGGAGGAGCAGCCGTACCAGCAGCAGCAGTTTCTGCCCCTTCTCCCCGTCCTGCTTCACCTGCTGCACCTGCTCCTCCTGCTCCTCCTGCTCCTCCTGCTCCTCCTGCTCCTCCTGCTCCTCCTGCTGCTGCTGCCACCAGTGCAGCAAGCAGTGCTGCCCGTCTCGTGCCAGTCATCAGTGACCCAGCAGTGGCACTTTTCACGTACCGTGCCGCCTGCCTCCTTCAATGGGTGCGAGTGCACGGCCCCAGGCTCAACCCCCCCAGCTACTGCACCCGCACCAACCCTGAAGCACCAGTCCTGGCGCTCCCGCACCCGGTGCACGACCTCCCGAGCCTGCTGGTCAGGTTCGGCGCCATCCCAAAACCTGCGGGCACGGCAGGTTCGGAAGGTTCTGCGGTGCAGGAGTTTGGTGTGGGAGGAGGGGTTCCGGGGTGGGAGGAGTTTCCAGTGGGGGACAGAGAGGCCCTGAAGGCACATAGCAGTGGCAGTGCCCTGGGAGGGAGGGAACGAGTAGAAGGCATAGGAGGGGTGGAAGAGGTAACTGCAGGGCTTGCGACTGGGGAGTTTTTGGGGCTGAATACCTTTCAAACAGGCAGCTTCCGGGACTCTGTGTTTGACCGAGATGAGATGCTGAAAGAATTCAACGTGGGGGCTGCCAAGAGTCTGCAGGAGAGGGGGATTGCCACGAGCCCAGTAGAGGACATGCAAGAGTATCGAGCTGCCAGGGCTCTGAGTGACAGCAGCATGGTCACTCCCGCATTCCCGACCCTCGCGGACCGCGTCGAGGAGTTTCTGCGAAGGTTCTCGCCGAAACGGCAGGCGAAGGAGGGGCGAGGCGGGCCGCTGGCACGAGCGATCACCGACTGGGTGCTGCGACTCCACCTGACAGCTGCAGCTGCAGAGACAACAAACAGCAGCAGCAGCAGTAGCAGCAGCAGCAGCAGGGGGGCAGAAGGAGAGAGGAGGGACATGAGCTTTGCGGCGCTGGCCCTGGGGGCGTATTCCCCGGCCAAGTTAAAGCCCATGCTGAGATCCGCTCAGGAGGTGGACGCGTTTCTGGAGTTCATGGCGGCCATGACCACCCTCACGCCCGCCTGCACCGGCTGCAGCTTGTGCCTCAACGTGTTCAACCGGGCAGTTACTCCCGCGGCCGTTGTTGCCTCGTTTGCTTTCCGCCCCTCCTCGGTGCTCCTCCGCTGCATCCTCTCGCTGTATCCCCAGCGCTTCACTCCGGTGAGAGTTCTTCTAGACAAATAGAGACCGCGTTCAAACCCGAAACCCCAAACTACTCAGTTGGGAGATTTTAGAGGTTGTTTAAAAGCCGTTATGTTAGATTAAATGACCCTCTGTTGGTGCTCCTCCGCTGCATCCTCTCGCTTTATCCCCTGCGCTTCACTCAGGTGAGAATTCTCCTGGACATATAGACACGCCGCTTAAACCCTAAACTCCTCAGGTGGGTGTTTTAAGAGGCAATGGATAGGCCATTACGTTAGATTATATGCCCCCTCATTGGTGCTCCTCGGATGCATCCTCTTGCTCCACCGCCCACTCTCACCTCAGATGAGAGTCCTCCCTATAAAAGTGATTTTTTGAGACGTCTAAAAAAAACCTCCCTATGGGTGCCTGCTAGTCGAAATGGGTGGTTTTCACGGCGATGAATTCGTCACCACGTTAGATAGAATGCCCCTCGCTGGTGCTTCTTCTGCGCTGCATCCTGTCACTCTACCTCCCGTTTTCCCCTCAGGTTAGAGTTCGCCTAGACCCTTCGATGTTTTGAAAGCAACTTAAAACCCATCCCGTTTGATAGAATGCGCTTGGTTGGTGCTCCTTCGCTGCATCTTCTCACTCTACCGCCCATGTTCCCATCAGGTGAGGGGGGAACATGGGTTTCTCTAAACAGACAGAGATGCCTTCAAGTCCCTGTACTTAATATCACAACAAGTCATTGCTGAACGGGAGGTAGAGTGAGAGACTTTCGATTCCCTTCTTTCTCTCTCCCTCTACCACCCACACCCCTCTCAGATGAAAGAGCTCCTCGACACGCTCGGAATCTATTGGTCATCTACTTGCAATGCCCCTCTGCCCTTCTCCTCTGTCTTTTTTCTGCCCTCTATGCCCGCACCCCCTTAAGATGAAGGAGCTTCTAGAAACACGCTCGGAATTCCCCCCCTGCCAGACCTGGTCCCGGCTCGGCTCGTGGCTCCTCTTCTTGAAGGCGTGGTGGAGCACAAGCGCCTGCACTTCCTCTACACCGCGACATGTGCTGCTGTCTCTTGAAATCAGCTTGAACAATATAATGCCCCCCCGTCCGTCTCCTCTACCCTGTTCTCTTCTCCCCTATCTCCCTCTACCACCCACACCCCATTCAGATGAAAGAGCTCCTAGACACGCTCGGGATCCCCCCCCTGCCAGACCTGGTCCCGAACCGGCTCGTGGCTCCTCTTCTCGAAGGCGTGTTGGAGCACAAGCGCTTGCACTTCCTCTACACCGCAGCCATCCTGCTGTCTCGGGAAGGCGTCGTACAGGACATCATGGAGTTACACAGAGCAGATGGGGTGGTGAGGAGTGAAGAGGAGTTCAGAGAGGTGGAGTGGAACGGATGGGAGCGGGGGGAGGAGTGGCTGATGTGGGAGGAGGTAGATAGCTGGAGAAATGCGGTGCTTAGAGCATGGCCTGTTACTGAGATGTATGAGGCGCCGCATAGCTGGGCAGCGACTGGGGTGGAAGAGAGGGTGAGGGAGTGTTGTGCGGGGATGAGGTTGAGGGAGAGGGAGTATGAGGAGATTTGTAGGGGGAAGGAATGGGATTTGGTGGATAGGATGGTTGCTGCTGCTGCTGCTGGTGCCGCTGCTGCTGCTGCTGCTGCTGCTTCGGAGGCTGAGAGTGAGGTGGGAGGCGGGTTGAAAATCGCGCCTGCATGCCTGGTGCCGTGGGTGGGGGGAGTGAACCCGTTTGCATGCCTACGGGAGATGCTGCTGGGGGAGACGTGCTACTGGGAGTTATCAGATGGGCGGAGGGTTGGGGTGACACCTGGGGCAGGTGCAGGAGCAGGAGAAGCAGGAGGAGCTGTGGCAGCAGGAGGGGTGCGTTGCTGTGCCTTCCCCGAGTGTGGCCGGGCGGAGGGGCCGGGGAGGCCGCCATTGAAGGCTTGCTCGCGGTGCGGCCAGGCAGCCTACTGCGACAGGGACTGCCAGACGGCCCACTGGAAGGTGCACAAGCTGAAGTGCCAGCCTAAGAAATAGCAGAGGAGAAGAGGACGAGGAAGGGTTGGGGATAAGTGTGGCAAGTCGAAGTTGTGAGGGGTCAGGCTGCTTACTGCTACAGGGACTGCCAAAGGGCCTATGGATAAGGAAGGGGGAGGGGGGAGGGGAAAGGAAGGAGATTTGAGAAAAGGGACAGGGGAAGGGGAAGGATAAAGAAAGAAAATGGAGGACACTTGTTTGGCACATCAGAATGAGGGTGCTGCTTTATGTTCAGCGGTACAATCAGGATGGCTTTTTCTAGAAAAAGTGCTGCAAATGTCACTAGTGCCTGCTCTAAACGTTTTACTCTAAATGTAACCAGAGAGCGTTGTATACGCATTACTACAGGGTTAGCCGAGGGCGTTGTCTTGAAAATAATTTGTGACGAGTTTATCCATTCCTGCATTTATATCTGCCTCTATTAATGGATCTGAATGCAAATACTGTGTAGATCATGCCATGGCATTCCTTTGGTTTAGAGAAATTGTGTTGTGCCTAATATCATGAAGCCTGGTGCGACTGTAGAGTGTTTGTTTCCGTGTTTCCTCCTTCCCGATCCGTTTCCCCTCCACGAATCGCGATGATATCGAGGCCCTTCCCTAATCCATGGGAAATCCGAGAAATAAACCCAACTTAGGCGGGACCAACTATGCGACTGAGGTCAGTACAATATGTTTCAAGTATCGCTGAAATTCGACCAGGGTTTCATGCTACATCCGACGATCGTACCAGCAAGATCCAATGTGTACATGAAACGTTGCAACTGCTACCGCTACTCGGACTTGCTCGGCTATTCCAATCCGCCATTGTAGAGTGCTCGATAGAAAGGGCAGTTGGTCATGGGTAATTTCCACGAAGTTCATTTGTCGCCTCGAAGGCGTCGCAAGGCGTCGTGGTTGTCGCTGCTGCACAGGCGACGTCGCACGATCCTGATCGTTATCGTGTCGCTGTTTGCCGTCCATGGACTCTACCTCTTCACGCAGTTCAAGCTCCACGTCAGTCTACTCCACCTCTGAATGTCTTGCTGCTCTTCCAAAATATATATTTTCATCATTTGACGCAAAACACATTGGTTTGTCGTCCATGGACTCTACCTCTTCACGCAGTTCAAGCTGCATGTCAGTCCACCCTACCTATGAATCTCTTGCTGCTCTTTCGAACACTCTCTTGTCATTATGTAAAATCCGCATGAAATGCTTTGAGTTTGCGCGAAACACATTGATTTGTCGTACATTTAAACTCTACAGCATCACTCGAATTCGAGCTGCGTGCCTGTCCATCATACCTACGAATCTCATGCTCTTCTTGCGAAGGTGTTAGCTTGTCACTGTCGAGAAATTTAAGGAGTGTCACATTCGATTGGCGCTTTCAGAGGGCCTTCGATGCGATTTTCATGTTCGTCTTGCGCGTATAACAGCAAGACGTGGATTGGAATTCAATGTGTATGCACCAGCGACCTGCATTCATTCTGTTGTTTACCTCCCGCGTTGCTTGTATGACAGGAAGGCGTGGAGTGCTCCTTCCCCACCCCCTCCATTCTCCCCTTTCACGCCTCCGAGCCATCACCGTTCTCAAAGGAGACCAATGATAAGGTGAGAGATGCAGACAAGTGCGGTGGCCCACCCTCAAAGAAAGAAAACTACACGTGCCCACCCTCACGTTGAGAAGGCTACAGAAGCTGGGCACATGCATAGAGTCTCCTCATTCATCCTTCAGAATTCATCAATGCCAAGCAATCTTTACACCCAAACTCTCCTGACATTGTTCCTTCGGTCCTCCACCACTCTGTTGTTTGCTAAAAGCGTAGTTTGCCAAAATAGTTCTTTCCACCCGCTCCACCATTTCTCATTCTTGCATGGTTCTTTCGATCCCCTCTCCTCTTCTGAGGCGCCTCAGAGGTCAGAGGCTCTTTCCATCCCTCAACCACTCTAACCAGCTCCAAGGATCGCCCCACAGCTGTCTTTAACCACTCTACTTCACTTCTGCTGATTTTTTAGGCGCCTCAAAAATCGTCTCAGTTCACGCGGTTTTTTAGGCGCCTAAAAAATGAGGATCGCCCCACAGCCGTCTTTAACCACTCTACTTCACTTCTGCTGTTTCAGGAACCCTCCCCCGCCGTCCGTTTTGAACGCATCCACACCACTTCCACCACCTATCACCACCTATTACTACCTTCTCCCCGCCCAATTGTCCTAGCATGAGCTGCCTGTGTCGTACAGCCTTAAATCTCCCACAAGACACCAGTTGAATCAATCTCACCAAGCATGACCTCTGATCCTTCTGGGCCCATAGTTTTTCTTTCGTACTCATCGCCCTGCGTTTGTTCCGCCCCAACGCTTTTCCTCCCCTCCTCCTTCCCGAATCCCTCTCCCCTCCTCTTTCCCCCCTTCTCGCCCTGTGCTCTCGCGTCCCCCCGCCTGTCCAGTTCCTAGAGTGGGCAGCATTTTACGTATTGTACCTCTCCCCCAAAGCACGAATCAAACTCACACCAGACAACCCCCCTCCGTCCTCCCTTCTGCCCTCCTCCCCCATACCACCACCCAGTTCCTAGCATGGGCAGCATCCCACGGGTTGTACCTCTCCCCTAAGACACGAATCAAGCTCACACCAGACGTCCCACCAGAGCCTCTCGAATCCGCTACAGACAGCCCCGCTACAAAGACAAAAACCACTAGCGGCAGCAGCAGCAGCGGCGGTGGTGCCGGTGGTGGTGGCAAGGGTGGTAGCAAGAAGGGGGAGAAGGGGGGCAAAGGGGGGAAAGGGGAGAGTGGAGGGAGTGGGATGGTGCGTTTGGTGCGAGGGCTGGTGGCAGAGGCGGATATGGAGTCGGGAGACACGCTGTGCAAGATACCGGTGAGTGCTACGACGCAGGTTATCAGGGGTACGATAGGCAGTTTTTATGGGCAAACAGAAGAGGTGGCTGATCCGAGGGCTGGTGGCAGAGGCGGATATGGAGGCGGGAGACACGCTGTGCTAGATACCGGTGAGAGTTAACACGATTGTGACAGTGGGCATTTAGGGTTGGGAGTGAGGGTTACTATTATGAGCGGTGAGTGCAAGCAAGATACCGGTGGGTACTATCATGAGCGTTATGAGTGTTTGTGAAAGAGAAGTTTTGAGGCGCCTCAGAAACAGATACCAGTGACTGTTATCATGAGCGGTATGAGTGTTTGTGATAGTCGATTGTTATCGAGAATAGTAGCTTGTTGCAAATGAAACAGAGTGGGTGGGAGGGATAGTGTGCCTGTTGCCTGTGGTGTGTATTGTTGTACGTTTGGTGGTGTGAGTGAGGGCTGTGGCTGGGTACAAGATACAAGTGAGTATTATTTTCTAGTCGATTTTTGAGTCGACTCAAAGGCGTGTGGTGTGAGGGCTGTGGCTCGGTACGAGATACTGGCGGGTATTATGGGTGCAATGCCGTGCATGGTACCAGCGATTGTTACGAGTGCGATGCTGGGAAAAGTACTTATGAATGACTGGCAGAGTCTACAAGTGTTGCTCTTGCTGTAATTTCATGCGTTTCCACTGTGCATGCAACTCACATCTCCCCTCCAGATGTCTCTAGCCCTTTGGTTCAACACCTACCAGAAGCTAGGTGCAGATGGAACACTGATATTTGATGCGCCCCATAATGCCATTGTGTCTTCAACACCCAACCAACTTTCCTGCAGATGTCTCTAGCCCCCTGGTTCAACACCAGCCAGGACGGAGGTTCGTAAGGCGAATATTTGAGCGCCCAAGCAATCCCGCACGTTTCTATCCACCCCTGCTCCCATCCCCATGTACCTGTACCCTGCAGATGTCTCTAGCCCTCTGGTTCAACACCAGCCAGGACGGGGATGCGGAGGGAACACGAGGAGGAGTGGCAGTAGTGGGTGGGGCGGGCGGGGCGAAGGGAGGCGGGAGCATGAGGGAGAGGATGAGGGAGATGCGGCAGCGGGTGCTACAGGGGAGGGCGGCTGCTAAGGCCAGCATTGGCGGCGGTGGGAGGAAGCAGCTCGGGTGGGACCTGGTGGCTCTGCGGATTCTTGAAGAGAAGTGAGTGCTTGCGTGATGGGTGATGGGGGTGGGAAGGGGGGCGGGAAGGGGCTATGGAAGGGGGCTATGGAAGGGGGCTATGGAAGGGGAGGGGGCTATGGAAGGGGCGAATGTAGGCGGGGCATGAGGGAGAAGCAGCTGGGGTGAGACCTGGTCGCTCTGAGGATTCTTGACGAGAAGTGAGTGCTTGCGTGGAGGGTTATGGGGGTGAATGGGGGGGAAAGGGGGCCTGGGAACGGGGGAAAAGGAGGAGGGGAAGGGGCGAAGGGAGGTGGGGCATGAGGAAGAAGCGGCTTGGGTGGGACCTGGTTGCTCTGAGGATTCTTGAAGAGAAGTGAGTGCTTTCCTCTTGGGGTGATGGCGGTGGGAGGGGGGGAGGGGGGGCGGGGAGACGGCTAGGGAATGGGGAAAGAGGGGAGGGGAAGGCGCCCTACATCCGCTCCTTGTGTCCACACATCTCTGTCATCTCCCCACCTCCCCACCTCCCTTTCTTGTAACCTTCTCCCACCCCCATATCTCACTTGTACCAACCAAACCCTCGTCTTGTGTGTACCACCCCGCAGAGCAAAGGGAGATGCCCCCTCCTCAGCGCTCTACGGGGTGTTTTTGAGAATTCTCAAAAACACCCTGCAATATCTCACTTGTACCAACCAAACCCTCGTCTTGTGTGTACCACCCCGCAGAGCAAAGGGAGATGCCCCCTCCTCAGCGCTCTACATCCGCTCCCTGCCTCCAAACATCTCTCTGTTGTCCCCCCACCTCTCTCTCTTGCAACCTGCTCCCCCACGCATCTCCCCTGTACCAACTCTGCAGAGCAAAGGGAGATGCCCCCTCCTCAGCGCTCTACATCCACTCCCTGCCTCCAAACATCTCTCTGTTGTCCCCCCACCTCTCTCTCTTGCAACCTGCTCCCCCACGCATCTCCCCTGTACCAACTCTGCAGAGCAAAGGGTGATGCCTCCCCCTGGGCGCCCTACATCCGCTCCCTGCCTCCCTCTGTTCCTCTGCCCATCTTCCTCCCTCCTGAGGTGAGTACACTGACCCCCTTACAAAGGTTAAACCCCTGGCCTACTCCTGGCCACCCCATTGGTCACTCCCAGTCAGTTCATTTTTTCATCAGTTATGACCTGCTTTGTTACTACCCAAGAAAGCACCACCCAACGTTCAACGTTCACCTGGATTGCTAGAAGTTGGGACAGCCCAACAAGCCCTGTTCTGTTTCAAGTTTTCACTGTTCTGCTGTGCCGTGTTCTGGTGCTATGTCACATGATGGTGGGAGGAAGAGGGAGAGGTGCAGTGGGCATTGCCAATGGAGCGATGAACGAGGAGATTAACCATGGTCACCTCGACCTCACTTGCGCCGTGCTTCTTCCCCCCCGCTCATACGCTCTGTTCCTCTGCCGTGGTATGTTTTCATCTGATGGTGGCAGGAGGAGGGCGAGGTGCAGTGGGCATCGACCATGGAGCAGGTGAAGAGGATGAACGAGGAGATCAGAGAGACATTCCATCACAAGCACCAAGCCTCCTCCCAACCACCTCCTCCCAACCGCTGTTGCTCCTTCTCCCCCTGCTGCTGTGATGTGCCTGTCTTGCTCTGTCATGCTGTGTCATCAGGAGGAGGGAGAGGTGCAGTGGGCATCGACCATGGAGCAGGTGAAGCGGATGAGCGAGGAGATCAGAGAGACATTCCATCACACGCACCAAGCCTCCTCCCAACCACCTCCTCCCAACCGCTGTTGCTCCTTCTCCCCCTGCTGCTGTGATGTGCCTGTCTTGCTCTGTCATGCTGTGTCATCAGGAGGAGGGAGAGGTGCAGTGGGCATCGACCATGGAGCAGGTGAAGAGGATGAACGAGGAGATCAGAGAGACATACCACAAGCACCATGATTCCACGCATCCCACCCTTTCCTTTGATGAGTACAGTGAGTGGCATTCCATTAAATTTATGAATCAGGTGCTTGTCAGGTGTTTATCAGCTGTAGCCATTTGCAAGCTGGTTAGCAGGAAAAACAAATCACGACAACTTCTGAGACGTCTCAAAAGTGTGAGCTGGTTATCAGGAAAGAAAATCACGGCATTGCAAGCTGGTTAGCAGGAAAAACGAATCACAGCATTGCGAGCAATGTATCCAGCGTTTCGTGTTGGTCATCATGACACAACACCAACCTCCTCAAGTGGGCTCTCCCTCCCTCCCTCCTTGAGTGGGCCCTCTCCAGGATGACATCCAAGCCGCCACCACTTGGTCAAGCATTTTCTCAATGCTTAATCGAGCATTTTCTTAACACGCTTCCCCTCACTCCTTTTTCCTTTTTCCACCCTCCTTACTCTATCCTCCATCCTTACCTGCCTCCCTCCCTTCCTCCCATTTCCCTTGCTCCCAGAGTGGGCGGTTTCAATGGTTCACAGCCGGGCTTTCACTCTGCCAGTCAGGCCGGGCGGCAAGTTTGAGCAGTTTGTGATGATGCCGTTCATGGATGCCATCAACCATCATTACAACAACCACGTGAGTCAGCATCGCACCCATGTGAGTCAGCACTACACCCATTTGAGTCAGCAAGGCAACCTGTGAGTCAGCGGAGCAAACCTGTGAGTCAGCACAAGACTACACCTTCCTGATCTTGCCCTGTATGTATGCCCCACCACAGTGTGTGATGGTTCATGCTGACTCACAATTCCAATCCCCCAACATTGTTGACGAGGTGACTTTTGAGTCGACTCAAAGTCACCCCATCTTGCCCTGTATGTATGCCCCACCACTGTGTGATGGTTGATACTGACTCACAATGCCAATCCCCCAACACACCAACCATCCCATCACCTTCCATCCTTCCCGTGTTCACTCCCTCACAGATGGACTGGATGGCAAAGCCTGTCTCATCTGAGGGGGTGTTGGAGATCCGGCTAAAGCGGGCTGCCAAGAAGGGAGAGCAGCTCTTCACATCCTTTGGGCCCCGCAGCAACGAGAACCTCTTTCTCTACTATGGTGAGTGGGTGGGCCTGGTGGCTTGCAACTGAGCCTCCATGTTGTTGGTTTTTCACCTGATGGAGTTTTGGGGATAGGGCCGCCAAGAAGGGAGAGCAGCTCTTCACATCCTTTGGGCCCCGCAGCAACGAGAACCTCTTTCTCTACTATGGTGAGTGGGTGGGTCTGGTGGCTTGAGCCCCCAGGTGGTTGGTTTATTCACCTGATGGAGTTTTGAAGATAGGCTCGCCAAGAAGGGAGACCAGCTCTTCACCTCCTTCGGCCCTCGCAGCAACGAGAACCTCTTTCTCTACTATGGTGAGTGAACGTTGTTAGTTGCTCAGGTATTAACCTCTGGGACGCCTCAATACCTTTGGCCGTGTGGTAGTGAGGCTTAATTGCTTGCAATTCAGACTCCGTTAAATTGAGTGAGCTTACGGCTTGCATCTGAGGCCCCGTCAGACCTTTGCTAATCTCTCTTTACCTCCCAGGCCTCCCTTGGCCTGCCTTGAATTTTCTTGACTTGCCTTGACCTCTGTTGACTTCCATTGATCCCCATTGACCCCCGTTGACCCCCGTTGACCACCATTGTCCTTCACTGATCTTTGTTAAGCCCTTTAACCTTGCCTCGTCCGAGCAGGCTTTATTCTGACCTCCCGCCCCCTTCCCCCCACCACGCACAAACAGGAGTCATTCTGGACGGCAATCCCTTTGACAGCCTCGCTCTCTTCCCTTCCTTTGAGGACTCGGTGCGCTGGCTGCTCGATCGCGTCTACACAGACTGCCGCTCCGGCTCCCATTCACTTGCGCTGACCCCCTGTTGACTTGCGTTGACCCTCCATTGACCCCCCTTTGATCCCCCATTGACCCCTGTTGATCCTCCAGGCTTCATTTTTACCACCCCCCTTCCCCCCACCACGCACAAGCAGGTTTCATTCTGGACGGCAATCCCTTTGACAGCCTCGCTCTCTTCCCCTCCTTTGAGGATTCAGTGCGCTGGCTGCTCGACCGCGTCTACACAGACTGCCGCTCCGACTCCCTCCAGCGCCACATGACCGTCGCAGCCATCGCCGGCGCCTCCTCCTCCGCCGCCTCTTCCGCCGTCGCCTCTGCCGCTGTCTCTTCCTGCTCGCGAATCTCTTTCACTCAGGCGTGGAAGCAGGCCCGCGCGGCCCTTGATCGGCCCTCGTCTCATGATGCCTCCCGGGGGTTTGAGCGAGACAGGAACCTCTGGTGGGATTTAATGAACAGCTGGGCTTCGTTTGGGTATGAGATTCTGCCGTACCGGGCAGGACCGGATGTTCGTCCGGCGGGGAGGATCGACCCGAGCCTGCTCGCCGCGCTTGCTGCGGCGGCTCGGTTTGCAGCTTCGGCGCCGAACCGGACTCTGCCTGCTGGTGCGTTTCCGAGGTGCCCGCCTGGTTGGCGGAAAGATGGGAAGAGTGGGGGCGGTTGGGGGAGGGTGGGTGGTGCGGGGGAGGGGAAAGGAGGTTTGTCTTGGCCTAGATGTTGCCGAACCAAGGCATGGAGGATAGCGTGCCGGAGTGATGGGGTTGGGGGGAACGTAGGGTCAACCGAGTCAACAGGGTCAACAGGGAATGAGGTGGATGATGAATTGGGGGATGATGGGGAGGTGCAGACAGGAGGGGTCTCAGGCATATCTACAGGTTCAACGGACGGTGAGGATGCAGCGAAAGCAGCATTAAGAGCAGCTAAGGCAGCAGAGGACGAAGCTGCAGTGGCTGCAGCGGAGTATGTGAAGCTGCTTATAGTGAGGCGGTGCCGCGAGCTGATGATCGGCATGGCCACGCCCGCACACTATGATTGGTGGCTGCTGCAGGATGTGGATCGCGTGGGAGGGAAGCTTCTGGGAAGCGATGGAGGGGTGGATGGGACAGGAGCGAAAAGAATCGGTAGCAGCGGTACGGGAAGCAGCGGCAGCAGCAGCAGTGCTGCAGGCGGTGGCGGTGGTCGCAGTGGTAGTGCTGCCAGTGGTGCTGATGGTGGGAGCAGCAGTAGCGGTGGGGGAGACGGTGGTGGGAGTGGAGGAGAGTTGGAGAGGGAGGGTGAGATGCAGTGCAAGTTCAGGGGGCAGGTGTTGTCGCCGCAACGGTTGCTTGCTGTCAAGTATCGGCTCAGTAGAAAGGAGATGCTCCTGGCTGTTATACGAAGGCTGGAAGCTGGATTGTAGAGTGTACTTGAGTAATTTGTTTACCTGACTCGCAATGAGCTCACTGTCAACAACCTTGTAGGGGGTACGCTGACTTCAGCAAGGAGCTGCTGACGTGGATTAGTGGAGAGTTGTCTGTGCGTACCCTTTATTACTTATACTGTAACACTCTTTTGATTACAAGCTGTCATACATCTAAGTCTTATCCAGAAAACAGTGGTCATATCTACAGTGTATGTGTCTCATTCCAACTTGTGTTTCTAGTCAATCACCCGTGGGGAGTGGGGCAATCCATTCTCGAAAGCCCGTCATATCCACAACTGTTGCAATATGGAACCCGTGAATCTTCATTCTTGGATGCATACATGTCGTCTCTCCCCCTTGAAGTTGCTGCTGTTCGGGTTGTCAAAGCAACGTGCCGCTTTATGCCCTCTCTTCCCACAATAAAAGCAGAGTCCATGCCGTATACCCCTTGCTGCTGATGCACTCTCCATCTCGGACTTGCCATTATTTCTACGCCTGGCAGCTTCTTCCCTTCTTTTGCTGTCAGCTTTCATGGTTTCTAAATCCCGCAATTTCCCAATCAAATCTGTCAAACTTGTCGGCCGGGTGCAAGTAAGGACGATACGTTCAATCTCCCACTCCTTCGACAATCCAGAGACGATGCAGTATATCACATCCTTTTCAGTTTCTGCTGCTCCCATAGCCTTTAATTCGCGGTAGTAGAGCATAGCCCTATGTACGTAGTCCATGATGCTCTCATAAGGCTCCATGCTCAGAAATAACAACTTCCTTCTCAATAACAGCTTACTCTGCTGGAACAGCATCCCCCCCTTCATACTATCTGCTTCCATCTACGCAAACCTCAAAAGGTTGTTCCCGTATGTGGCGCCTGCTGGCCGGGACTTTCAGTTAACTACGAGCTTGAGCGATGATTTGGATGAGTGGAAAATAAAAGCCCTGGAGATTGTAATCCACGGGAGGTGGTTCAAGTGGCTCCAGTGCGTGCTGAAATTCGGAATGCTCAAGTGCCTCGAGTAACGTGCGCCTCACGCAGACACAACCACCATGAAATGCGTTGCTGGATGGGGATTTCCAGAACCAGTTCTGTTCAAGCTTGAACCGTAGAACCTCATAACAATCAGCGGGGCCACACGCTAGCGAAGAAATTACGACATTCGGCGCAGCGTGTAACCTGTACAAATTCCTAGTCACGAAGCAAGCGAAAGGAACCAGAACTCACACCCCACCGACTCAAGATACTCATGCCCGACCGACCGGAACCGGACTCAAGATACGACACTGAAGTCCGCCAGTCACCGACTTGGTCCACCGAAGTCCGTCAATATTCGTCACTCACATTCTACTCTGGTGCACAACCTCATACACAATTGCACGTTTTGACCATCACATTTCTGCACTTTTTTTTTGTCTGGATAGAATCGAAACTATCACATTTGTTGGGCTGCAAAACGCCCTTAGGATCTTTGCAGGGCTGAACTCTGGGTAGGACTTGTTGTAATAGCGGAAGCGTTTTTAATGAAGAGTTATGAACCACCTTGCGCTGGTATGTGAGGGCAAAGTAAATTGATTAAAGCAAAGAGATACAAGATTATATAAGAGTACAAGGAATACGAAGAGATACGGTTCCAACTGTTTTACTGTTGCTGTTGCGGTTCGATACAGTGACGACTCGGGCAACTGCTCTGTAACGAGTCAGTTGTGTGTCCTTGCTGTCGCGCTGTATTTGTCAGGTCAAAGGTCGCTGACCTTTGACTTTCGCGTAACCTCCAGCAACTGCTCAACCTCCGAGGGTTGACTCGCCAGTGCTTCGATATGCTTCGTTTCGCTTCTGACTTGGTGTTTCGACACGACAGAGGCGCTTAGAGTTAATTGTTTCCAACACTCCCCTTCGCTTCTGGAGTGTCGCTGCTGGTGACGTGGCTCTGTCCAGTCAGCAGCATGCAATACTCGAACTTCTGCTTTCCGAGCTTCTTGGTCAGGTAGTCAGCTGCCATCTCGGATGTGGGGCAATATGACAGCTCGAGTCTCCCCTTCTCGATCTCGTCCTTCACGAAGAAATATCGCAGGGCGATGTGTTTCGTCCTGTTCGCGAAGCCGTTCTTGTTGGCTATGCGAATGGCCGACTGGTTGTCGCAGAACAGGGTGAAGTTCGGTAACTGGGCTAGCTTGGCTTCCTCCAGGAGTTCGCGAAGGTACAGTCCTTCCTTGGTGGCTGAGCAGAGTGCGATATATTCTGCTTCGGCTGAAGAGAGGGCGATTAACTCCTGCTTGCTCGACTGCCACGAGATGGGTCCGATAGGTTCGAGTCAGTAGATATAGCCGGTGCGTGAGCGCCTGTTGTCAGAGTCGCCAGCGTGATCGGCGTCGACGTAGCCGATTAATTTAGGTGTCGACGTTCCGTTCTTGTGATAAGTCAGGCCGATCGTCGGAGTGCTAACGAGGTAGTGAAGAGTGCGGTCGAGTTCCGCCATGTGTTCTGCTTCAGGCCTTTTGAGGTAGGTGGCAAGTTGGCTCGCAGAATACGATAGATCCGGACGGCAAGTGACGGCTGCGAAGAGAAGGCAGCCTAGCTTTCTTTGGTAGTCGCGTATGCCGGCGGGTCTTAGCGGAGTGGATCCTTCCTTGTTGTTTCCTGCCGCGTAGCGATATGGCGTGGATGGTGGTCGGTGTGAGTGCGAAGCGTTTAGCGATGGTGTCGGCGTATTTCGCGGCGCTGAGGTAGATTGCGTCTTCTTCTTCCTGAATGTTGAGGCCGAGGTATTGCGTGACGGTCGATGATACTGTGAGAGTGAGATCCTGCTGCAGCTCCCCTTCGAACCAGGTGGTGACGTTGTCAGTTGAGCCGATGTAGAGCAGGTCGTCCACGTAGACAATGAGCAGAATGTAGTCGTCGCCCTTCGTGAGCCGGTACATGCCTTGGTCGTGTGGTAGTTGACTGAATCCGATGCGAATGAGTCTGGCGTGCAGGTACTGCTGCCACAGCCTCGGTGCCTGTTTGATGCCATACAAGGACTTTACCAGCTGACAGATTTGGTTGGGCTCTCCGTTGAAGCCGTGTGGAAGTTCGACGAAGATTTCGGCGTCAACAGGTGCGTAGAGGAATGCATTCGCGACATCGATTTGCCGCAGCTTCTTCTTCTTCTTCATGGCGGCGATCGCGAGAAGGATTCGAAGTGAGGTGTGTCGGCTGACCGGGGCGAATGTCTCGGTGAAGTCGCGTCCGTGTTCCTGGTCGAAGCCGCGTACAACCCAGCGTGCTTTGAATTTGTCGATGGTGCCGTCTGCTTTTGTTTTCACACGGAATACCCACTTTCCTGTGAGTATAGTCTTGTTTCGTGCCACACTGATGGGAACGACTTTCCAGTTGTTGCGCTCCTCTAGTGCCTTCAATTCCCTGTCCATGGCTTCGCGCCATTTTTCCCTGTGCTCCCCCCCCAGAGCCTGCTGAACCGTCGCAGGCTCCTTAGGAATCGCAGTGACGTGGACCGCGGTGACTAGGCCAAGTATCTGGAGGCCACTCTGTGTGTAGCGTGGGAGTGTGGTATCCGCGGGATAAGCTGCTTCGTCACCTGCTTCTGGGTCAGGTATGAAGTTGGGCCCTATGCGTTCTGCTTCGTTGGTGTTGACCTCTGCAGGTGTAACGTAACCGTTGTCGGCGAAGTGGTAAAATACTTCGGCGTTGACGCTTCGCGAGGGTTTTCGTCATCCATTGGGACATCGACGGAGCAGTACGGGAGAGGTCCGGCTTCCTCCGAGGCTGCGTCCACGTTCTGCTCGTCCCAGTCAGCTTCGTCCGCTGCGGAAGCGAAGGCTCGGTCTCCACGAAGTCCACTGGTGAGGTCGCGTTGTTCTTCCACGTTGGCTAGGTAGGAGTCGAGAGTGAGTCGTTCGTAGAAAATCACATCACGTGCTGCCACTGTTTCCTTGGTATGGACGTCAAAAATCTTCCATGCGTTGTAATTCTTTTCGATGCCCAGGTGTAGTCCCCACTGTGCGCGTAGGGAGAATCGGCCGGCTCGTGCAGATGGGGGTCGGTACTGTACCATGCAGCCGAAGACTCGTAACATTTTTGGGCTGCCCAATTTTCCTGTCCACAGCAGATGCGGTGATGCGTTGTTCGGGAGCGATGATGACGAGAGCAAGTTGTGCAGCATGACGGCGTGGTCCATTGCTTCGGGCCACTGGTGGTTGGGTAGCCGCATGCCACGTAGCAGTTTGCGCATGGTGTTCTGAAGGGTCCTGTTCATTCTTTCTACTACACCCTGCTGTTGATGGGCGTAAGGAAGGGAGATGAGCCTCTTGATTCCCTTCTCTGCCAGGTAGTCCTTGAAGCGTTGTGAGGTATATTCTCCGCCTCCATCTGACTGAAAACTCTTTAGCTATACTCCGGACTCTCGTTCTGCTGCTGGAAGCCAGGCGACGAAGGCTTCGAAAGCCATGTCGCGACTCGGAAGGTTCAGGTGCCAAACGTATCGGGTGGCAGCGTCGATGAAGGTGATGGTGTAGTTGTAAGCTCCTTGTCCTGGTACGCGGTTGTACAGGATGTCGCTGTACACCTTTTCAAGTGGTGCGTATGCTGGTGCACTCGGGTTGTGGTGAGGGACAAACGGATGATGCGGTAAGTCGGCTTCAGGACATGTGAAGCACGTTCCGCGGAATCGTTGGAGTTCTCTCCCGTCATGTAGTAGGAGCGAATCTTTGTCCAGCACTCCTGCTCTTATCGTGTTGTTTAACGTTGTGTTGCTTGGGTGTCCCATCCGTGCATGCCATATTTCTTCGCTGGCGCGGTGTCCGGGTGAGCGTCGGTACATGTCGGAGTTGGAGTAGAAGCTGGCGGTGAAGTTGGCGCTTCGATGAACTTCTCGTGGTGCCGGGTTTAGCTGCTGCGCGGGTGTCGGTGGTGTGTCATCGACGAAGATCGGTGCCGTTGAAGGACCAGCGATTGGTGTTGATGTTGCCACTGCTGTTACCGTTGTCTCTGCTGCTGTTGTTGTTGTCTCTGCTGCTGCCGATGTTGTCTCTGCTGCTGCCGATGTTGTCTCTGCTGCTGCCGATGTTGTTTCTGCTGCTGCCGATGTTGTCTCTGCTGCTGCCGAATGTTGAATTGTCGCTAACGCTCTTGTTCTTTCTTCTTCAGGGATGGTTTCTGAGTACCAGAAGCCTCCAGGACTGAAGTCTGGGTCAAGATCCGGTGGATGTGTCCAAGAGGTGAAGTTCACGATGGCGTCGCTGTCAGCGGTGCCAAGGTCCGGGACGAAGTCGAGAACGAAGACGTTGTTTTTCAGCACTGCCTTCCCGATATAGAGACCTCCCCTGCCGTTATACAGTTTGAACTCCTGTGTAGTGCTGTCTGCTTCGAGATGGATACCCTTCGCCATCAGCTGACTGACGCTCAGTAAGTTGTAGCCGAGTCCCTCCGCAATTAAAACTTTTGACATTTGTAGAATGACGTTTGTCTCTCGCGACTGAAGTTGTACAATTCCTTGTCGTCGTGTGCGCAGGTTCTGATTGTTGGCGACGGTGATGACGACTTCGCGTTGAAGTTGGTGCTCGCGTTGAACGAAACGTCCCGAAGAGCACATGTGTTGCCCGCAGCAACTATCCAGGAACCAAGTATCTTTTCCGGACGGCTCACTTTGGGCGATAGCTGCGTACGTCGGATTCGGTTGAAGTGACTCGCGGCGAGGTGTAGTGTTGTCGAGTTGCTCTTCCGGTGAGTAGTGTGGCGGTGACTCGGTGATACAGGAGTCGCTCAGTCTTGCCATACAACTGACGATGTTTCTTGCTCCTTGTGCAGATTGTCCCGTTGATGTCGTTTGAACTTGAGCGGTGGGGTTCGCTTGTGTTGAAGCGACTTGGCTGCTTGAAGGTCGAAGCTGTCGCTGTGGCGGTGTTGACTGTTGTCGATTCGGGCAGTGTGTGCGCGGGTGTCCTGACGTCTTGCAGAGATGGCAGAACGGAGGTACGGGCCTTGGTTGTTGTCGGCTGTTGCTGTTGTTGTAGCGTCGCTGAGTGTGAAACGCGAATTCGGGTACTGATGTTTTCTTCTTGTGCCGTTCCTCTTGCAGGTCCATGTCTTGCTGCTCGGCGTGAATTTCGGCGCAGAGTGCTGCTTCGGAGATCTTCCCGTGAGCTCGGAGAATAGCTCGAGTGGAGCGCCAATGAGGACCAAGTCCAGTGATGACGACTGTGACGAAGGCTTCTTCAGATATCGATCCACCGCATCGAAGGAGTTTGTCGCGTAGTTCGCGGCAGCGGCTGATATACGCCATTCCTTTTTCGCCTGGTTTCATCTCGACTGTTGTCAGTTGCGCCATCAACCGACTCTGATTTACGCTGTCTGTTGCTTGATACAGGCTCTTCAAGTGGCTGTATGCGAGTTCGGCGGAGTTGCCATATCCCCGGTAAGACCGTATATTCTGCTGCTGATTTGGAGTGATGTTCCTCAGTAGAATCGTGTACGCCATCATTGACTGATATGTGTACTGCTGTTTGTCATACGGTGTGCCGTGTGTTGGGTATGGCAGGGATCCGTCGAAGAAGCCAAGAATCTGCGTGCCTTCCATCATCAATTCGAACTCGAATGACCTGGTGAAGAAGTCCTTTCCGTCGAAGGGCCTTGACGTCTGCAGTTTTAAGACGTGCGCGAACTGCGACTGAACTTGAAGTGCGTCCAGTGTCTTCTCTTGTCCAGGTGCAGGCTGCGGTTGTGGCATAAAGCTGACGGAGCCGCGCTGGGGCTCGTACGGAGCAAAGGTAGGTTGCTGCTGTTGATTTCCACGTGCGTAGGATGAACCATCAAGGCTCATTGGAGTCACGTTGTTGTTGTTGTTGCTGTTGTTTGACTGCGCAGGTGCCGACTGTTGGTGTTGCTCGTCGAAGGACATGAAGGAGAAAAATTTCTCCATCATGTTCTGATCGAAGCTTGCAGGTTGATTCGCGGGAGTCTCGGCAGAAGTTGCTCTTGGTCTTGTTGCCGTACCCTCCTCTGTCTGTAGGCCAGAGGCAGGAGGTGGAGTAGGAGTAGTACCCGGGGAGCCGTTAGAGGAGCTCCTTTCCTTTTGTGTTGCGATGCCTTCTGACGTTGTAGATAGCTTGATAGTAGTTGAGTTCCCCCTGTTAGCTCTGATACCATGTTGGGCTGAAAAACGCCCTTAGGATCTTTGCAGGGCTGAACTCTAGGTAGGACTTGTTGTAATAGCGGAAGCGTTTTTAGTGAAGAGTTATGAACCACCTTGCGCTGGTATGTGAGGGCAAAGTAAATTGATTAAAACAAAAAGATACAAGATTATATAAGAGTACAAGGAATACGAAGAGATACGGTTCCAACTGTTTTACTGTTGCTGTTGCGGTTCGATACAGTGACGACTCGGGCAACTGCTCTGTAACGAGTCAGTTGTGTGTCCTTGCTGTCGCGCTGTATTTGTAAGGTCAAAGGTCGCTGACCTTTGACTTTCGCATAACCTCCAGCAACTGCTCAACCTCCGAGGGTTGACTCGCCAGTGCTTCGATATGCTTCGTTTCGCTTCTGACTTGGTGTTTCGACACGACAGAGAGGCGCTTAGAGTTAATTGTTTCCAACAACATTCACTACTGCTTGTCCCGTTTTAGCTCTTTTGATTACGGCATTTGAATCGCAAGGTTAACAAAGTTCTGTTACAAGCCGAAATGTGGCAACAAGCAGTCCCTGTTGCAAAGTCAACCTCTCCTACAACCCCCTCTCTCCCCCCCTTCTCCCTCCCCCCAAGTGGGCCTTCTGGCAGTCCCTGTCGCAGTAGGCAGCCAGGCAGACCTGACCGCTTGCAGTTCTGAATAGCCACACTTATTCCCAACCCTCCCCCTCCCCCTTCCCCTCTGCTATCACTTGGGCTGGCACTGCAGCTTGTGCACCTTCCAGTGGGCTCTCTGGCAGTCCCTGTCACAGTAGGCAGCCTGGTTGCACCGGGAACACGCCTTCAATGGCGGCCTCCCGGGCCTCTCCGCCCTGCCACACCCCGGGAAGGCACAGCAACGCACCCCCCCTGCTCCTCCTGCTCCTCCTGCGGGTGCTCTTGTGTCTGACGCAGCAGGGGCAGCAGCAGAAGAGCCTGCCCCAGGTGTCATCCCGACCCGCCGCCCGTCTGAGAGCTCCCAGTAGCACGTCTCCCCCAGCAGCATCTCCCGCAGGCAGGCGAACGGGTTCACTCCCCCCACCCACGGCACCAGGTACGCGGGAGCGATTTTCAACCCGCCTCCCACCTCACTCTCACCCCCAGCAGCAGCAGTAGCAGCAGTACCAGCTGTGCCAGCAGCAGCAGCAGCAGCACCAGCGCTACCAGCAGCAGCAGCAGCAACCATTCTATCCACCAAAGTCCGCTCCTTCCCCCGACTAATCTCCTCACACTCCCTGTCCCTCCGCCTCATCCCCGCACAGCACTCCTTCGCCCTCTCCTCCTCCCCAGTTGCCGCCCAGCTGTGCGGCGCCTCATACAGCATCTCAGTAACAGGCCACGATCTAAACACCGCGTTTCGCCAGCCGTCCACCTCCTCCCACACCAGCCACTCCTCCTTCCCATCCAACCAGTTCCACTCCACCTGTCTCAACTCCTCTTCACTCCTCGCCACCCCGTCTCCCGTCATCTGCTCCATGATATCTTTCACGGCACCTTCTCGAGACAGCAGGATGGCTGCGGTGTAGAGGAAGTGCAGGCGCTTGTGCTCCACCACGCCTTCGAGAAGAGGAGCCACGAGGCGGTTCGGGATCAGGTCTGGCAGCGGGGGGATCCCGAGCGTGTCTAGCAGCTCTTTCATCTGAGAGGGGTGTGTGAGGTATATGGCGAGAGAGAAGTGAGAAGTACAGAGGAGGGGAATTATACTTACGAGATGACTTGTCGCGATAACACGCACAGGGCCTAGAAGGCATCTCCTCTATCTGTCTGGGAAAGGACTGTCGCCTAAGGGGACATGGGCGGTAGAGTAAGAGTAGAGGATGCAGCGAGGGAGCACCAACAAGAGCATTCTATTCCAAGCTGCTGTGAATACATCGAAGGGTCTAGGAGGACTGTCACCTGAAGGGGGCGCAGGGGGTAGAGTGAAACAACATGAAAAATGTTATTATATATATATATATATTTTTTAATTCTCGAGAATACCCTGAATTTTCAACAATACCCTGCATTGACACGATGCAGAGCAGAAGCACTGATGAAGAGCGTGGGCGCGAGAGGATGCAATCGGAGCACCGAGAGAAGTTCGTTTAATCAGACGATTTATCAGGTGTAATCAATTCACGGAGTTTTAGGATCTAAGCGGCGTCTCTAATTGCCTAGGGAAACTCTCACCGGGGTGAAGCGCTGGGGATAAAGCGAGAGGATGCAGCGCAGAAGCACCAAGGAGGGGCGGAAGGCGAACGAGGCAACAAGGGCCGCAGGGGTGACGGCCCGATTGAACACGTTGAGGCAGAGCTGGCAGGCGTTACAGGCGGGCGTGAGGGTGGTCATGGCTGCCATGAACTCCAGAAACGCGTCCACCTCCTTAGGGGATCTCAGCATGGGCTTTAACTTGCCCGGGGAATATGCCCCCAGGGCCAGCGCCGCCCAGCTCATATCTCTTCTCTCCCCGCTAGTGCTCCTGCTGCTGCTGCTGCTGCTGCTGCTGCTGCTAGTGCCGCTGCCGCTGCTGCTGCTGCTGGTGTTAGTTGTCTCTGCTGCCACCAGGTTGAGTCGGAGCACCCAGTCGGTGATCGCTCGTGCCAGCGGCCCGCCGCGCCCCTCCTTCGCCTGCCGCTTCGGCGAGAACCTTCTCAGAAACTCCTCAACCCGGTCCGGGACGGACGCAAACGCGGGACTTCCTGTGCTGCTCGCACTCAGAGCCTTGGCTAATCGATACTCCTGAAGGCCCTCTGTTGGGCCTGTGACTATCCCACTCTCCTGCTGCCCTTTTGCTGCACCCACGTTGTACTCTAGGAGCATCTCCTCTCGGTCAAACACAGCATCACGAAAGCTGCCCGTTTGGAAGGTGTTTAAACCCAAGAACTCCCCCCCCTCTTCACCTGCCCCCTGTCCCCCTGACCCCTCTCCCCCTGCCCCTTCCAAGCCTCCACACGCACTTTCATGCGCCTTCAGCGCCTCTCTATTCCCCACTGGAAACTCCTCCCACCCCGAAACACAACCAGTGGCTGAGCCTTCCGCACCCACAGGCTTGGGAATAGCGCCGAACCTGACCAGCAGGCTCGGGAGGTCGTGCACTGGGTGTGGGAGCGCAAGGGGTGGGGCTTCCGGGTTGGTGCGGGTGCAGTAGCTGGGGGGGTTGAGCCTGGGGCCGTGCACTCGCACCCATTGGAGGAGGCAGGCAGCTCGGTACGTGAAGAGTGCCACTGCAGGGTCACAGACGACTGGCACGAGGTGGGAATTAGCAGCAGCGCTAGCAGCAGTCGTGCTGGCGCTAACAGTAGTGCTAGCAGCTCCTGCTGCTGCTCCTCCCGCCCCTGTGCTTTCGCCTTCCTCTCTGTTTCTCTCTGCGCCTCCCTCCTGTTCTCCGTCTCCCTCTGCCAGCTTCTGCCCTGCTGCCGCCTCTCCCTCTCCTGCCCCCTCTCCCTCTCCTGCCCCCTCTGCGAGCCTCTCTGCCAGCCGCTGCCTGGCTGCCTCAACAGCAGCGTCCTCCACACGCTCCTTGTACCTGTTACTGCATGCCCCAGTAAGCGCCTGAACGCCGGTGGCAGCAAGCGGCACACAGAGAATGAATGCAGCGCGGAGAGCAAAGTCAGTTGGGTCAACGCCAGTTATGACCATGCCACTGGCGGCACCACCACCACCATTGGTACCAGCAGCAGTGCCACTGCTTTCATGTTTGCTGCTCCCATCCCCACTCCCCCATGCATCCTCGTTTTCTCCGCACTGCCTGCAGCTGCAGCGGTACTTCTCAGCCTCCAGCCCTCCATGGGAGAGAATCTCCCCCATCCGCTCCACATACTCATCCCACTCCACCCCTCTCAACCCCTCCCTCCACTCCTCTCCCCCTTCCCCCAAACCAATCTCTCCTCCGACTCCCCATCGCCCTCCTCCCACTCCCCCTCCTACTCTCCCCGCCCCCCCTCTCATCCCCCCATGCGCCCTTCTCCCCCCCGGGAGCAGCGGCAGCACATGAGCAGCAAACCCGGATTCCAGTTCCTTCTTCCCTTTCACCCCAAGCACCTGCACCAGAATCGATCCAAAGCAATCCTCCTCCGCTTCCCCACCCCCCTGCCTCCCTCCCCCCTTCCCCGCCTGCCTACTCGCCTGCCGTTCCGCCTGCCTACCCCCCAACCCACCGATCTGCCTCCGCGCGTTCAGCTGATTTGCTATGGCAGGGAAGGCGACGTAGCAGGACCTCATGTGCAGGCGCCAGAGTGTGACTATACGGGGGAGCCTCGCTACAAGCACGAGAAACACGACCACGGAGAGGCAGCGGCGGTAGGCGGTCCAACACGCGCTGCACTGCCAGCAGCACCACCAGAAGTGCTTCGGAGCACCACTACCTGCTGTAGCACCACCGGCTGTAGCGACAGCGCTGCTGGAAGCACGAGAGGTGGTCGCACGAGCGGCTGTAGCAGCAGCGGTTGTAGCACCACCACTTGCTGCTACCAGATCGTCAATCTTCATCATATCTGCCAGCTGGCATCTGACCACATCCAGATCCAACAGCAGGCCGACACGTGGCTCTGCCATCCACTCGAGGAACATCCCCTCGGCGGCAGGCATGGGCGCGAAATCCGCCTTCCACTTGAACTGCGCGGCAGGCGGGCCTGAGGAAATGTCTACCCTCCCCCCACCAGCACGCGCAACAGCGGCGGCAAGCGCAGCGCGCCTGCTCCCCCCACGCCCCACACCCGGCCCAGTCGTAAGCCAAAGACTCTGCACTCTGACAGTAGCGGAATACGCGAGGATAGCCTGGGACGGCCTGTTGTTGCTGGCTGGGCACTGCTTGATGCTCTCATCCACCGGCTGCTGCAGGTGCAGGCGGAGGGCGTTTGGGGTTGAGGTTTGGTAGGTGGTGGGGGTGGCGGGGTGGAGGATGCGCGAGAGGCAGCAGGCGCAGAGGGAGTGGTTCCAGGGGAGGTTGATATCCACGTGGTGCACCATGTGCGGGCGGGAGATCGGTTCGTAGTCTAGCGGGCTCGTGATGCTCGGCCGGATGCGACGGCTGCTGCTGACGCGCCTGCTGGTATTGGTGACGGTGTTGCTGTTGCCACCATTCGTAGACGCGGCGATAGGCGCAGAGGCATGCGCGGAGGCGGGAGCAGAAGCAGGCGCAGCGACAGGCGAAGCGACAGACGCAGGGAGAGGGGAGGGCGTAGTAGTAGCGACAGGCGTAGCAGCAGGAGGCGGTGCAGATTCCGGGTTAACCGGAGCACACACAGTAGCCGTGGCTGGTGTGTGATTCGCAGCACCGCTGTTGCTGCTGCTGCTCCCAGCAGTACCTGCCGAGTTTGCTTTTTCCTTCTTCCCCGCATCCCTCGATTTTAGCGGAAGCACTTTGACCACTGCACCCGCTTTAAGCTTGGCCTTTTCCGCTGATGCTTCAGGCGATAGGTACACCACTTGACCGACAGCCATAAACCGAACAGCCTGCTTCGCTTCTTCTGTCGGATCCTTTTGGTCGGCCTTATCCACGTCATCCTGCGGCTGACGTGTCTGCTGACTCGGCAGGCAGCAGTGCGGCAGGTGGGATTGGAACAGCCTGTTGAACGCCGATTGGAGTGGCTCCTGCGGATCAACGGACACGGGATAATCCACGTGGGAAGACGCTACTGGCTGCGTATTGGTACTACCGCTACTGTTGCTTGTGGTGGTAATGCTGCTGGTATTGGTGCCGCTGGGCAACGAAGTGGCGTCGCCATTGCTACAAGTGTTTCTAAGCAAAGTGGCCGGCACCCTAAATCGAATCGTGAACTCCATGATACAAGGCAATGCTCAAGCACCGGGCAGAGCTAGTGTAGGTAGCAAGAGTCATCCGATTCGCTCTCCTCGTTTCTGTTTTTCAACTAGACTTCACAACTCTAAATCGAATCGTGAACTCCATGATACAAGGCAATGCTCAAGCCACCAAGAAACCGGGTAGCAAGAAACCAAGCCACTCTTTTCCGTTTCCATCAGCAGTTTAGGTAGGAATTTCGTATCGCACTCAGGACATTCATCAATTCGGAGCGAGCGGGAGATGTGGAAAGATACGAATGCTACTGCTACCAAGTAGAATTAGCGAGACTCAGAAGCGATGCTCGTCCTATCAGTCGTTGTGTTGATGATCAAGTGAAAGGCGAACCCACTGCGCAATGCGAAAAACTCAGTTCGTTGTTGCCAACGGAAGAAAATGTAGCGACTCACTGATGCTGTAAACCAAGGCAAAGAATCGGGATTCAGGAACCGAACCGATGAGAGGGGAATGGAGATCTCGTTGGAGAGAGAGGTTTGGCGGGAAAAGGACGAATTCGTGTCTTGAAGGTTCAAAATTCTCAAGGTTGGGATGGGATGGTGTTGTAGACCCCTTGGAGTTGCCGAGCTGTGTCAGTGAGAATTGCGTGAGAGAGTGTACAGCAGGATGACAGCAATATCAAGGGTGTACATTGTCCAACAAAGCGGGAAGGGAGGGGAGAGTCTGTTTGTACATTCCATTCTCATCCAGTGGGAACATTGTTTTCAGACAAGGATGTTTCATTTCTACTTTGTGCTTCTTAGTCTATCAAGTGCCTTGGCTTTTGAAGTCGTATCAAAATGCTATTCATAACAAGGGCAACCCGTTTCTGAATGCCCATCATATCCGCAATTGCTGCAATGTGGAAATATCTACTAAGCTTCATTCTTGAATTCATGTCGTCTTCTCCCCTTGAAGTTGCTGCTATTCAGGTTCACAAAGCAATGAGCCTCTTCATACCCTTTCTTCCCATGTCGTTTCTCCCTTGCTGCTGATGCACTCAAAATCGATGGCTTGTCATTATGCGAACGCCTAGCAGCTTCTTCCCTGGTTTTGCTGTACGCTTCCATGGTTTCTAAATCTTGAAACTTCACTATCAGCTCGCCCAAACTCGTTGGTGGGTTGCGAGTAAGGACAATCCTCACAGTCTCCCACTCCTTCCTTCCCCCTCCCCTCCTGACCTGTCCTCTGGCAGCATAGAGCACCATCCACATTTCTGATTCGCCTTTTGAGTCGACTCAAAAGTCACCTCGTTACCATGGCACACGATACTCCCACTCCTTCCTCCCCCCTCCCCTCATGACATGTCCTCTGGCTGCCTGGAGCACCATCCACATTTCTGATTCGCCACACGTGTGTTCAACCCATCTCCTTTCCCACCCTACCCCTTGGGTTGGCACTGCAGCTTATGCACCTTCCAGTGGGCCTTCTGGCAGGTCGCACTGCAAGCATGCCTGCAACAGTTGAGAATGCTTTCCCAGCATTCTGGCCGCCTGGCTATCACTTCGGCTGGCACTGCAACAGTTGAGAATGCTTTCCCAGCATTCTGGCCGCCTGGCTATCACTTCGGCTGGCACTGCAACAGTTGAGAATGCTTTCCCAGCATTCTGGCCGCCTGGCTATCACTTCGGCTGGCACTGCAACAGTTGAGAATGCTTTCCCAGCATTCTGGCCGCCTGGCTATCACTTCGGCTGGCACTGCAACTTGTGCACCTTCCAGTGGGCCTTTTGGCAGTCCCTGCCACAGTAGGCAGCCTGGCCGCACCGCGAGCAAGCCTTTAATGGCGGCCTCCCCGGCCCCTCCGCCCTGCCACACCCTGGGAAGGCACAGCAACGCACCCCCCCTGCTGTTGCTGCTGCTGTTCCTCGCCCTGCTGCTGCTGCTGCTCTTGTGCTTGATGCAGTAGCAGGGGCAGCAGCAGCACCAGATGACCCCGCCCCAGGTGTTACCCCTACCCCAACCCGCTGCCCGTTCGAGAGCTCCCAGTAGCACGTCTCCCCCAGCAGCATCTCCCGCAGGCATGCAAACGGGTTCACTCCCCCCACCCACGGCACCAGGTATGCAGGCGCGATTTTCAGCCCATCTACCATCTCACTCTCACCCCCAGCAGCTGTGGAACCAGCAGCAGCAGCAGCAGCAGCAGCAGCAGCAAGCATCCTATCCACCAAAACCTTCTCCTTCCACCTACTGATCTTCTCACACTCCCGCTCCTTCCGCTTCATCTCCACACACCAGTCCCTCACCCTCTCCTCCTCCCCAGTCCACGCCCAGCTAAGCGCCGCCTCACGCGAAAGCTCAAAGACAGGCCACGATCGGAACAGTGCATTGCGCCAGGTGTCCACCTCCTCCCGAATCAGCCACTCCTCCTTCCCCTCCCACCCGCTCCCCTCCAACTCTCTCAGCTCCTCTTCCGTCCTCAGAAGCATGGCTGCTGTGTAGAGGAAGTGCAGGCGCTTGTGCTCCACCACGCCTTCGAGAAGAGGAGCCACGAGCCGGTCCGGCAGCAGGTCCGGCAAGGGGGGGATCCCGAGCGTGTCCAGGAGCTCCCTCCTCTGAGGGGGGTGTGGGCATAGGGAGCGAGTGAGGTAGAGCAAGAGGGTGCAGTGTAGAAGCACCAAAGGAGGGACATTTAACATAGCTTTCATGGCTTATTCATCATACTACAAAACACCCAGATGGCGTACCAGCCATGGTCTAGGGGAACTCTCACCTGAAGGATGTGCGCGCAATAGAGAGCGAGAGGATGCAGGGGAGAAGAACCAACGAGGGACATTTGATCTAACTTGATGGCTCATCTATCGAACTACGAAACACCAGGATAGCGTACCAGCCATATCTCTATCTGTATAGGGGCACTCTCACCTGAGGGGAGAGCTGGCTATGCTGATGTTACTTTTGAAGATTCTCAACAGGAACTCTCACCTGAGGGGAGTGCTGGCAGTAGAGTGAGAGGAAGCAGCGCAGGAGCACCGAGGAGGGACATTCTATCTAGCTTGATGGCTTATCCATTATATTACAAAACACCCAGGTGGTGTACCACCAGCCATCGCACTCTCTAACTGTCCGGGAGAAAAGTCAGCTCGTTACAATGGCTCCAACCGGGCTCCATTACACCCAGGTGGTGTACCACCAGCCATCGCCCTCTCTAACTGTCCGGGAGAGCTCTCACCTGAGAGGAGTGCTGGCAGTAGACCGAGAGGAAGCAGCGCAGGAGCACCGAGGAGGGGCGGAAGGCGAAGGAGGCAACAATGGCGGCGGGGGTGATGGACCGATTGAACACGTTGAGACACTCCATGCAGTGGTTGCAGGCGGGCGTGAGGGTGGTCATCGCCGCCATGAACTCCAGAAACGCATCCACCTCCCGGGCGGATCTCAGCATGGGCTTTAACTTGGCCGGGGAGTACACCCCCAGGGCCAGCGCCGCCCAGCTCATATCCCTTTCCTCTCCCTTTGCCCCCCTGCTAGTGCTGCTGCTGCTGCTGCCACCGCTGCTGCTAGTCTCTGCCCCCACCAGGTTCAGTCGCAGCACCCAGTCGGTGATCGCTCGGGCCAGCGGCCCCCCACGCCTCTCCTTCGCCTGCCGCTTCGGCGAGAACCTTCTCAGAAACTCCTCGACGCGGTCCGCGAGGTTCGGAAATGCGGGAGTGTGCGTGCTGCTGTCACTCAGCGCCTTGGCAGCCCGATACTCCTGCACGCCCTCTGCTGCGCCTGTGGTGGCTGCGCTTCTGACTGCCCCATGCTCCTGCAGACCCTGTGCAGCCCCCACATTGAATTCCTTCAGCATCTCCTCCCGGTCAAACACATCATCCCGGAAACTGCCTGTCTGGAAGGTATTTACCCCCAAAAACTCCCCATTCACAGGCCCTGGAGTTCCATTTTCTACCCCTCCTACCCCTTCCGTGCCTCCCAGGGCAGGGCCACTGCCATGCGCCTTCAGGGCGTCTCTGTCGCCCACTGGAAACTCCTCCCACTCCCCAACTCCTCCTCCACAACCCTCCGAGCCCGCCGCGCTCACAGGCTTGGGGATGGCGCCAAACCTGACCAGCAGGCTTGGGAGATCGTGCGCCGGGTGCGGGAGCGCCAGGGCTGGGGCTTCCGGGTTGGTTCGGGTGCAATAGCTGGGGGGATTGAGCCTGGGGCCTTGAACGCGCATCCATTGAAGGATACATGCGGCTCGGTACGTGAACAGTGCTACTGCTGGGTCACTTATGACTGGCACGAGGCGGGCAACACTGCTTGCTGCATTGGTGGCAGCAGCAGCAGGAGGGCGAGAAGGTGGAGCAGGAGGAGCAGGACAAGGAGAAGGGGATGAAGCTGCTGCGGCTACTGCTGCTCCAGCTGCTACTGCTGCTACTGGCTTCTCTGATTGCTGATCATCCACTTTATTCTCAGTGTTGAGTGCTTCTCCCCCCTCCACCACACTCCCCTTTCCAGAATCCTCTGCCCTCTCCGCCCTCTCTGCTTTTTCTGCCAGCCGCTGCCTGGCTGCCTCAACAGCAGCGTCCTCCACGCGATCTTTGTACCTGTTACTGCACGCCCCGGTAAACGCCATAACGCCGTAGATGGCAAAGCGTGGAGCACAGAGAGTGAACGCAGCCCGGAGAGCCAAGTCAGTCGGGTCAACGCCAGTTATGACCATGCCACTCGCAGTACCACCACCATTACCAGCAGCACCATCCCCACTCCCCCCTGCGCCCTCGTTGTCTCCTCCACACTGCCTGCAGCTGCAGCTGTACTGTTCAGCCTCCAGCCGTCCATGGGAGATAATCTCCCCCATCCGCTCCACATACTCATCCCACTCCACCCCTCTCAACCCCTCCCTCCACTCCTCTCCTTTCACCAAACCAGTCCCTCCTCCTCTTCCTCCTCCCCCTCCACTCCCCGCCCCCCCTCTCATACCCCCATGCGCCTGTCTTCCCCCCGGCAGCAGAGGCAGCACATGAGCAGCAAACCCGGATTCCAGTTCCTTCTTCCCTTTCACCCCAAGCACCTGCACCAGAATCGATCCAAAGCAATCCTCCTCCGCACCCCCTCCCCCCTGCTTCCCTCCCCCTTTCCCCGTCTGCCTACTCGCCTGCCTCTCCGCCTGCCTGCCGCCCACCCCCTCAATCTGCCTCCCCACGTTCAGCAGATTCGCCAGGGCGGGGAAGGCATTGTAGCAGGACCTCATGTGCAGGCGCCAGAGTGTGACTGCACGGGGAAGCCTCGCTATAAGCACGAGGAATACGACCATGGCCAGGCAGCGGCGGTAGGCGGTCCAACACGCACTGCACTGCCAGCAGCACCACCAGAAGAAGGGCTTTGCCGCACCACCACCACCACCGGCTGTAGCACCACCACCACCACCGGCTGTAGCACCAGTGGCTGTGGAAGCACGAGAGGTGGTCGCTCGAGCAGCTGTAGCAGCAGCGGTTGTAGCACCACCACTTGCATCAGCCAGATCGCGAATCCTCATCACGTCTGCTTGTGCCAGCTGGCATCTGACCACATCCAGGTCCCACAGCAGGCCGACACGTGGCTCTGCCATCCACTCGAGAAGCATCCCCTCGGCTGCAGGCATGGGCGCGAAATCCGCCTTCCACTTGAACTGCACGGCAGGAGGCCCTGAGGGAACGTCAAACCTGGATAGGCCTCCACCACCGCCGCCACCACCCCCACGAGCAGCGGCAGAGGCAATCGCAGTGCGGCTGCTTCCCCCACGCCCCACTCCCGGACCAGTCATACTCCAGGCGCTCGGCACTCTAACCGTGGCGGAATACGCTAGGATAGCCTGGGACGGCCGGTTGTGGCTGGCTGGGCAGGGGTTGATTTTCTCACTCACAGGCTGCTGCAGGTGAAGCCGGAGGGCGTTGAGGGTGGAGGTCTGGTAGGTGGTGGGGGTGGCGGGGTGGAGGATGCGCGAGAGGCAGCAGGCGCAGAGGGAGTGGTTCCAGGGGAGGTTGACATCCACGTGGTGCACCATGTGCGGGCGGGGGATTTGTTCGTAGTCTAGCGGGCTGTTGATGCTCGGTCGGATGCGACGGCTGCTGTTGCTGCTGACGTGCCTGCTGGTGTCGGTGAGGGTGTTGCTGTGGCCGCCAGTCACAGGGGCGTGCTGCGCGGAGAGAGGCGCCGAGGCAGGCGGAGAGGAATGCAAGGGGGCGGGAACAGAAGCAGGCGCAGAGGCAGGCCCAGAGGTTGGCGCTGAGGCGGGAGCAGAAGCAACACCACTGCTGCTGCTGCTACCCCCTGCAACTGCAGAGACTGGTTTTTCCTTCTCCGCCTGCCTGGATTTTACCGGGAGAACTTTGACCACTGCACCCGCTTTAAGCTTGGCCTTTTCCGCTGATGCTTCAGGCGATAGGTACACCACTTGCCCGACAGCCATGAACCGAACAGCCTGCTTCTCTTCTTCCGTCGGGTTTCTTTGGTCGGCCTTGTCCACGTCATCCTGCTGCTGACGTGTCTGCTGACTTGGCAAGCAGCAGTGCGGCAGGTGGGACTGGAACAGCCTGTTGAACGCCGATTGGAGCGGCTCCTGCGGATCAAGGCCTATGGAATAATCCACGTGGGACGCCGCTGCTGGCTGCGTAATCGTAGCCGTTATTTGCTCGTTGACAGAATCAGGACTGCTGCTGCTACCAGTGGTACTGCCGTTGTTATTGTTGCTGGTGGTAATGCTGCTGTTACTGGTGCCGCTGGTCAGTGAAGTGGCGTCGCGATTGCTTCCTTTGATTTTCAACAAAGTAGCCGGCACCCTGAATTGAATCGTGAACTCCATGATGCAAGGCAATGCTCACGCACCAGGCAGAGCTAGCGCAGGTAGCAAGACACCACCGATTCGCGCTTCTCCGTTCACGATTTTCTAGTGGACTTAACAACTCCTAATCTAATCGTGAACACGGCATTGCTCATACCACCGGGACGAGCTAGCGCGGGTAACAAGACAACACGTAGCGTTTTACCTTTTACATCAGCGTTTTGCACTCGGACATACATCAATCTGTAGGAAATGTGGAAAGATCCGGTGTTGTTGTCGAAAAGTAAGGAGCGAATGTTTATTCTACCAAGTTTATCAGAAGCTATGGTCAGAAGCGAGACTCAGAAGAGATTTCCTTCCTTCCTATCAGTCGTGTTGTTCAACGCGACATTGAATGTCACAATCTGGACAAGCGTCACGGCGGGCCCACAGCGCAACACGGAAAACGCACTTTGTTGCTGTCTAACGAGGAAATGTAGCGACTTGCGACTGTAAACCGAGGTAAAGAATCAGGATTCAGGAAATGTATTGCTCAAATTCCTCTGGGAGGAAATGTGGTGTGAAATGACGACACCCAATCACAAACTGCTGTCGCATCGAGGTTCTGAATCTGGGCCCAGTTCGGCAGCCAGGGGGCAGCAATTTTGTAGGAAGGTTATGGGAAGGTGAGGCTCGCGTCAAACCAGGGTCAACGAATTTTGACCCTGGGTTGACTGCTCCGCGGAAAACCTGCGCCATGGGGGAGCTGGTGCAGATTGGGGGGGGGGGAATGGGAAAAGGCGCCGCAGGAGAGTGGCAAATTTGGCCTCAAATGTGCTTGCCCCAGGGCACTGTAGCGGGAACAGAAAGGTTCGCCAGAAAAAAACAAAAGATTTGCGCCCCATGCTGTTGGGGAAATCCAACTTTCAAAAAAACGATCATTGTGTTTTTTAATGTAGTAATCCTTTCCTTTGTAGGGTCCAATGTTGGCCCGTGAACAGTGAATCCAGGTGGAATCAAAAAGTTGATTCTTCTGTTTTCAAAGCATCACTTTCTTCTTCCGTCTCACTAGGGCGGAACCTTTCCGCCAAAGGGGGGAGAATAAGGACAGAAGACGGCGCGGAAGCAATGTTTGGAGGTGTTCGCGTCGCTGTTGCTAAACACCTGCGTTTCGATTTCCAGAAAGGTTACCCTACAGCCCGTACAAATTTGCCCTCGATAATGCGATTAGAAGCTTCGAAGAAGACGGAAACATTTTTCTTCCGCCCTTCTTCCGTGGCTGCCGAACTGGGCCCTGATGAGAGCAGAACGAAGATTTCGCTGTAAGGAGAGTTTAGCGAGAAAAGCACGGATTCTTGTTTGACGGATTGCAGTTCTCTTGTGAATGGGAGGGCCCTAGGAACTGCCGAGGCGTGTGAGAGGAAGTGCTGGACTGGGCACAGCAACCAAGGGAATCGAATGGGAGAGGGGAAAGGGCGGGTCTGTGTACCCTTTATTATTGTACAACACTCCACTTTGCTGTCGGATATTCAAATTTCTTATTTGTGCATTTAGCATATCAAAATGCTATCGGCCTCTGAAGCTGCTGCCTCTCCATTACCACAACATGAAAACCTAGAAGCTTCTTTCTTGACCAACCGACACCTAGTTTGACCAGTTGCATGCAAAGCAAGCCTTTAGCTAGCTCGGGTATGACCTATTAGACCTTGTTGAGATTTGAATCCGTGCCTGTCTTTTTCCCCTTGAAGTTGCTGCTGTTTGGGTTGTCAAAGCAGTGAGCCGCTTTGTGCCCTTTCTTCCCACAATAAAAGCAGAGTCCACATCTTTTCCCCTTTGCTGCTGCTGCGCTATCCATCTCGGGCTTACTATCCGTACGCCTGGCCTCTTCTTCCCTGCTTTTTCTGTAGGCTTTCATAGCTTCGAAATCCCGCAACCTCATGATCAAATCGGTCAAACTTGTTGGCGGGTTGCAAGTAAGGACAATACTCGCAGTCTCCCACTCCTTCGGCAATCCACCAATGATGCAGCATATCATATCTTCCTCAGTTTCTGCTCCTCCCAAAGCCTCTAACTCACTGTTGTAGAGCATCGCCCTATGTATGTAGTCCATTACGCTCTCATGAGGCTCCATGCTCAGAAACGAAAGCTTCTTTCTCAATGACAGCCTCCTCCACAGGAACCGCATCCCATCCTTAGAGCTGACTGCTTCCATCTAGGCTCCCATAAAACACTTGCTCCGTGTGTAGCGTCTGGTGGCTGGAAGAGCAACTGAAAGAAAAACTGTGCATCAGAAAGAAGTGGCTGAATTTGAAGTGAAATCTGGAAATATGGATTCGGAATACCAAAGGCAGGCTTACCCAGCATGTGTCACACGTTTCGTCTCGGGGCGCAGACGCAAACACTGATTGCGTTTTGAATGAACCGAAAAGAACTTCCAGGCATTGTGGTGGTCTAAACCCGCACGAACCCAGGAAGTTTTCGCAAGTCTGAGGCTGACGACAAGTACCACGAAGTTACAAATTGTGTAACCCTCTCAAAATTCAAAAATTTCTGCGTCCTGCGCAATTGACCTTTTCTCAACGAGATTGACGAATGTAACCCTGATAAAGTCCCAGCTTTTTATTCAGAGGTGGGATACGAGTTCGTGACGACACCTTATCCAACTTCTAGGCTCGGCAGCACCGAATCCGGTCCGAGCCTGTCATATCTTGATCAATCCGAGTCATCCAAACATTTCCCGCGCTACCAGTTACAACCGAATTCTCGGCCACCGTCAAACTGATTCAATCGCTCCAGCCATTGCGTAGCTAGCGGTTGGTCTAGCGCTTCGTAGTTACCCGACTCCTAGCCTTGCGGCTCCACCGCTGGTTTGAAGTTCCGTACCGTTGCGTTTAAGGCGTTTTCTGGGGCACCGAACCGCTTGAAATTCGAATCCAGGACCGTGTGTGCCGCGACGCGGCAATGCGTTGGGTGTACACTTTCGAGGCGCTAACGCACATCAAGATTCTTCGTCTCTATGTGTTCCCGCGCGAATCGCACGATCACAACGATGGGCCGGCGACGAAAGATGCGGCGGAGTGGCAGAAATTGGTTTCTTCTGGCGTGACGGCACGGCTGGCTCTGGAAAGCCCTGTAGGATGCGAAGACCGCGTTGACTTTGAAAATTGCGTTGACTCCGAAAACGGTTTAGATTCGCGTCACTCTGGCTCGGAACGTTACTATGGCGCCCGGGTCGTCATGTTTTTAGGAACCCCTACTTCTGACTCACCTGACGAACAGGCTCGGCATGCCGAACCGGCTGCGCTCGGCCAGCAGGTTCGGCAGAATAATTGGGCGGGTTTCGCTTCGGTAGAAGACCCCCAGAGGGTCGGAACGCCGCTTCTATCGATCGCCATTCCCTTTGCTCTGCCTGTCAATCCCTCCGGAGATAACAAGAATGTCGAAACCACCACATTTGGTGACGCTAACAGAAACGAGCGGGCGAAGAGATTCGTTACCGTGCCTGTGAGCGTGCGAGCAGGGCACCTCGAGGTTACCGTTCCGCTTGAGCAGCTGCTCGGATCGGACCTCGATAAATTCTGGCGGACGGTGGGGGAGTCCGCGGGAGGCGCGGGGAACGGGGCTGCGCGCAACGGTGGAGGGCGGTTGGGGGAGAGCCGGAAGGAGGCGACCGACTTCAGGGCTGGTCACGTGCGTGAGTAGCACTTAGTACTTTTCACCTCATCTTCTTTGTGTTTCCCCGCTCCGTATTGCCTCGTAAAACCCTCCCTCCCTCAACCCCCAAAACCCTAAAACCTTCACCCGTCTATCCAACGTGGGAGAGATTTTTCTTCCAGCCTTCCAGCCCATCTGCCTCGCTGCCACGAGCCACCTGCTGCACGCATGCATCCCATTCGATTCAACTCCTTTCCACTATCATAAATTTCGTTCCCCTGTTCGCCCTCAGCGAGGCTCCTCGCGTGCCTGTCAGCCATGGCACCGGTTCATCTGCACTCATCTCCCTTCAGTGCGCATCTCCTCTCCTGCCTCTCTCCCATGGCACCGGTGCAGCTGCACAGCACCTTCTCACGTCCCCCGCCCTTCACCTTCTCAAATGCTCCCTTCTTTTTGCTCTCTTTACAGCCTCTCTCCTCGCCTGCCTGTCTGCCATGGCACCAGTCCATTTGTACTGCCGTCGCTGTCGCCACCGGCTGACCGGCTATCCACTCAGGTGAGCAATTCACTTGGGCGATTTGCTACAGCCCGTCGTCTTCCCAGCTCCCGTCTTCCCAACTCCCGCCTTCCCAACTCCCGCCTTCCCAACTCCCGCCTTCCCAACTCCCGCCTTCCCAACTCCCGTCTTCCCAGCTCCCGTCTTCCCAACTCCCGCCTTCCCAACTCCCGCCTTCCCAACTCCCGCCTTCCCAACTCCCGCCTGCGTTCAGCTTATTCCACCCCATGCGTTCACCCGACGTCTATGTTACGGTAGAGCAGTGATAATACAGTGCAAAGCGCTGACTTTTGAGGCGCCTCAAAAGGATATGTAGTGCAAAGTGCTGCTTCTTCTCTCTTGATTTCCCCTTTACTCTGGCTCATCCGCTTCCCGCCTCCCCCCTGCATCCAGCTCGTTTCACCCATGCTTTCACCCGACACCGACGAGATGACTTTTGAGTCGACTCAAAAGTCACCTCGTTACAATGTCACACGACACATTTTGAGTCGACTCAAAAGTCCCCCCTGCATCCAGCTCGTTCCACCCATGCTTTCACCCGACACCGACGAGATGCCAGCAGCGCAGCGCAGTTGTTCTGTTCTGTGGGGCAGAGTGCTTCTTAATTATTCTCTCGTGTAATCTTCTTTTTTTTAGACGCCTCAAAATCCGAGGCGCCTAAAAAAAATGTGGTTCTGTGGGGCAGGCAGAGTGCTTCTTATTCTCTCGCGTAATATTCCCTTGTTCATCATCCCCTCTTCCCTAAGCCCTCTTTCACTCCGCCCCAACCAACAGCAAACTCGCCCCCATGCCATCACCAGATGTTGACGAGATGGCAGAGCAGTGGTTCTGTTCTGCGGGGCAGAGTGCTGCGCTGATGCTGCAACCCGCCACCTCAGCCTTTTGTTTCCCCGTTTTGCCTGCCTCCCTTCCACTCCATTCAGCACATTCGCCTCCATGCCATCGCCCGATGTTGACGAGATGGCAGAGCAGCAGTGGTTCTGCGGGGCAGAGGGCGGCTGCTTCTCTCATCATTTCCCCTTCACTCTGCTTCGTCCCCTTCCTTCTCCCCACTCCATTCAGCTCATTCCACCCCATGCCGTCACCGGATGTGGACGAGATGGCAGAGCAGTGGTTCTGCGGGGCAGAGTGCTGCGCTGATGCTGCAGCCCACGCACAGCAGGTCGCCACCTCCCTCCACCTCCGCTGCTCCCTCTCCCCCTCCTCCTGCCTCCTCTCCCACACCTCCCTCGCCCTTCTCTCCTCCCGCCCCAAGTCAACCAAGTCAACGGAAAAATCACCTCTTGATCCGAGTCAGATTCTGGTCAGCAAACTCACAGTTGACAAAAACGGCGCACAGCGCTCGTTACAAGGAGAGTCACTGTTCAGTGACGAAGCAGGTCACCAAATTCAACAAAGTCAACGGAGTCAACTGGGTCAACCGAGTCAACTGGGTCAACCGAGTCAACTGGGTCAAGCGAGTCAAGTGGGTCAAGCGAGTCAAGTGGGTCAAACGAGTCAACTGGGTCAAGCGAGTGAAGTCGATGTGACCAGCACTGCTGCCCTCGCCTCCCACATGCAAAGACTCTCTATCGACAAAACATATCCGTGCTTGCTACAAGCAGACCAGCCATGCAGTGATGAAGCAGGTCAATTGAGTCAACCGAGTCAAGGGGAAAGCATGACAGGGAGGCAGCAGGCAGAGGAGCATGAGGCAGAGGGTTATGAGACAGAGGGTTATGAGACAGAGGGCCACGCAGTAGAGGGTTATGAGACAGAAAGGCAACTGCTGGTGCCTAATCTGGTGCCGGAGGGAGGTCCTTGGGAGGAGGAGGTGTGCGGGGGATGTGGCACGGTGGTTGGGGCGAAAGGTGGAGGCAGAGACAGAGGCAGTAATACTGAAGCAGTGGAGACCTGGACAAACGGGGAGGAGGGTGGACGTGCAGGGGTGGAGGGAGGAGGTGAGAGAGGATGGGAGGGAGGAGAGGAAAGGGGAGTGCTGGGACCAGGAGGGAGTGGGGGAGTAAGGCCAGGACTGGCGGGACAAGGAGGAGTCAAGGCGAGGAGGATCGATTGTGTGGAGCACCTGTTCTTGCACAGGGTAGAGGCAAGGCCCCTCCGTGTGATGGATGGAGGCGCAAGGCCCCTCACTGTATGCTCCGTGGATGCAGGGCCATTGGAAGAAGAGCGTACAGTATCGTCATCAGCTGATGCCATGTTGAGGTCATCAGCTGCCGCAGCAGCCGCCGCAGCAGCCGGTGCAGCAGCTTCAGCAGCAGACGGTCTCGCTGGGATGGGGGGTTTGCAGGAGGAGAACGCATTTGAGGCACCTCAAAGCCCACCGGCCCAAGGCGCAGGTGTCAATTTAAGATGGTAACAAAGCAATGTCCATTCCCTCCTTGTTGTCAGTTGAATGTGTGTTTTGAGTCGACTCAAAACACGCAGGTGTCAATTTAGGATGGTAACAAAGCAATGTCCATTCCCTTGTAATGTCCCTTGTTGTTGTCAGTTGAATGGACGGCTCTTGTCTTATTATTTGCCTTTTGCAATTGCCTCTGCCCCATCTGCTCCCACCACCCCCTCCTGCTGCTTGTTGTGCTCTCACCCTTTTCTTGCTCCTCCTTGTCGATTGTTGAGGCGCCTCAGAAAGAAGTTGTTGCGAATCTGTTCTTGCAACCCTGTTCCCTTTTGTCCCCATTTCCTTACACCTCGCAAGCCATCCCCTTCCCTCTCTGCCTGCTTCTCCTCGCTCCTCTCCTCCCATCTCGCCACCCCTCCTCCCCAAACCACATTGGTTCTGACTTTCTCCCACTCCTCTTTCATTTTTCCCAACGACCCTTCTTACCCCCTCCTCTTCCCTTATCAGGCCCTCCCCTTCTCTCTCCACCTGCTTCTCCTCGCTCCTCTCCGCCCATCTCGCCACCCCCTCCGCCCCAAACCGCCTGGTCCTCCGCTCGGTCTGCTCCCACAAACCCGTTCTGCTGCTCGTGCTGCTCAGTGCTCACACAGCCGTGGGGTGGGGAGTGTGTGGGGACGCTGGGAAGGGTGGGCACGAGGGAGAAGGGAAGGAAGAGGAATGGAAAAAGGAGGACGCTGAGGAGGAGGAAAGGAAGGAGGAGAAAGGGAAGGAGGGTGGGTTGCGGCGAGTGGTGAAGCTCATGTGCAAGGCTGTTGACTCAGACAGCGGTGCCACACGGTGAGTTGCATTGCGTTCACCACACTGCTTGACTTATCGGGTTAATTAGAAATCGAATGGGCGTCAGCGGTGGTTCGAGGCGAGTGGTGAAGCTTATGTGCAAGTCTATTGACTCAGACAGCGATGCCACGCGGTGAGTAAGATGCCACGCGGTGAGTAAGATGCCACGCGGTGAGTAAGATGCCACGCGGTGAGTAAGATGCGCAGTGGAAGGAATGGTGGCACGTGTGTGTTGAGAATGTGTATGTGATGCTTGTTGATGCTACTTATGAGAATTCTCATAGGTAACATCCACGTGTATGTGATGCTTGTCAGTCAATGCATGTCACAGTATTGGAGCTTCAGAGCTGTTTGCAAGAGATCTCTCAGTAGCCTTCCCCCTCCTCTCCTCTTCTGCTGTGTTCGAGCAGTGAAGCCGACGAGTGGGGCGCCAGGGGCCATGCAGAGGACGTGTATGTGATGCCTGTCACTGCTTTGGAGCTTCAGGGCTGTCTGAATGAGAATTCTTTGTCGCTGCCGCCCACATGCCGCGAGTTCAATGGATTCACAGTCTCGTTTCTGCAAGTGTAGGCATGCGTGCATGTTTCCAGGTACGGTACTGGATCCCATGACCCATACGGTACTTTTGAGGCGCCTCAAAATTAGTTTCTGCAAGTGTAGGCATGCGTGCATGTTTCCAGGTACGGTACTGGATCCCATGACCCATACGGTACTTTTGAGGCGCCTCAAAATTAGTTTCTGCAAGTGTAGGCATGCGTGCATGTTTCCAGGTACGGTACTGGATCCCATGACCCATACGGTACTTTTGAGGCGCCTCAAAATTAGTTTCTGCAAGTGTAGGCATGCGTGCATGTTTCCAGGTGACTTGTGAGTCGACTCAGAAGCCACATGCCGCGAGTTCAATGGATTCACTGACACAGTCTCGTTTCTGCAAGTTACTACGTGCATGTTTCTACGGTAAGTACGGTACTGTATCCCACGACCCGTAAGTTTGAGGCGCCTCAAAATTAGTTTCTGCACGTATAGGAATGCGCGCGTGCATGTTTCCACGTACTGGATCCCATGACCAGTCATGTCATGATTCATCCAGGCTTTATAAGGTGTGCAGTAAGTGTACAAACAAAGTGTACAACTACGGTATAGCACGATGATTCGAGACAGCAAATGACGTCCTCAATTTTCATTTCGATTTGACATTTAAAAGCAGCTGGGCTGAAGTCGTTTGGGCTGACGTCTTTTACCAGCCCCTGCCAACCAGCTCAACCTGCTGGTAACCTCTGCCAAAATTTCGAGAAACACAATCAGTACTCGGGCAGTTTCCCTGCCCGGAAAATGCCAAACTTGGTGCTGCTGCTGTTTTTGAACGGCACGTTATGCTCTTGCAAAAACTCCCCCCTGCAACCATCCAATACGAGCGCACAAAATCGGTAGGAAAAAAGGGACATTGCGAAAAAGGGAGAGGTCAGTGGGGAAGGTGGGGGGTGGTGGCAGGGGGGGTTGTGGGGACGTGGGTGGGAGGGGAGGTTTGAGGTGTCTGGGGAAATGGAGGAGGGGGTAGAGTTTGGGGGGAAAGGGGGTGATGGATACAACACAACCGGGAGGTGGGCAGGGGGCGAGAGTGGAGAGGATATTGAGGGCCCTAAGAGAATGGGAAAAGGTATTCGGCGATATGGGGAGTACAAAACCTTGGGCGAGGCTTGGTGGAGGGAAGGGGGGGGGGGGGGAGGTTGTGGGGCCAACTTACAGCTCTGCTTTGAGTTGCTCTGGCTGGCTTGTCTCGTTTTGAGACGTCTCAAAACTGGAAGGGGGGGAGGTTGTGGGGCCAACTTACAGCTCTGCTTTGAGTTGCTCTGGCTGGCTCGTCTCGCACTCAATCTCGTACTGTGTGCCAAAGGCAAACTGCATAGCCAGGGCAAGGGGCACAACAAGGGTGAAGTGGAACCCACTCGAAGCTTTTTAGTATAAAGGCGAACACAGGATTCGAGCTGGGTGCCGAACTACAGGTGACAGAAGCGAGCAACACAGCCAGAGCCAGGTCAAGAGGCACAACAAGGGTGAAACCTGAGGGAGAGTTTTTTAGGCGCCCGAATTCTTATGCTGTGTTTTGAAGGCGAACTGCTACTTCAGGCACGTCTTGTTATTTTTTTCTTCTTCACTAAGGCGTTCCCAGAAACGAGCTGCAATAAACGGTCAAGTGCGTGCATGCATTGCACATGCTCACCACACAAGCACACAGCGCAGACGCACAGCACACACAAGCAATCATTCTTCTGCAAAGATGCAGCTATTTGCTTGCCATTTTGGTTGTTTGCTTGTCTGTTTGTTCGCTTGTTTGAATAATATTTTACTTCTCTTTCTTGGGTGCTCTGCACTCCCCACCTAAGTCACATCGAGCTCAATCGTGTTGCCCTGCTGCTGAAACATGCTGCAATTTCAACTGCAACGCATTCCACCCCCCCAGATAAGCACATCACCGCATCCCACCTGAGTCTCATCGAGCTCGCTTGTGTTGCCCCGCCACTCAAACACACTCCTAGTGTTGCGAAACCCCCCTAGGCACACAAATTGCTGTTCTATCCGCACCGCACTCAACCCCTCGATTTCGCACATCACCACATCCCACCTGAGTCTCATCCAGCTCGATCGTGTTGCCTTGCCACTCTACCACATTTCAAACACGCTGCAATTTCAACTGCACCGCATTCCACCCCTCCAGATAAGCACATCACCACGGCCCACCTGAGTCTCATCGAGCTCAATTGTGTTGCCCCGCCAATCAAACACGCTCCTAGTGTTGCGGAACCCCCCCAGACACACAAATTGCTGTTCTATCCGCACCGCACTCAACCCCTCGATTTCGCGCATCACCGCACCCCACCTGAGTCTCATCGAGCTCGATCGTGTTGCCCCGCCAATCAAACACAGTCCTAGTGTTGCGAAACCCCCCCGGACACACAAACTGCCGTTCCATCTGCACCGCACTCAACCCCCCCAATCCGCGCATCACCGCACCCCACCTGAGTCTCATCGAGCTCAATCGTGTTGCCCCGCCAATCAAACACAGTCCTAGTGTTGCGAAACCCCCCCGGACACACAAACTGCCGTTCCATCTGCACCGCACTCAACCCCCCCAATCCGCGCATCACCGCACCCCACCTGAGTCTCATCGAGCTCGATCGTGTTGCCCCGCCACTCAAACACGGTCCTAGTGTTGCGAAACCCCCCCAGACACACAAACTGCGGGCAGGAGAAGCGGGCAGGCTGGGGCAGGGGAAAATGGGGGAAGGAGATTAAGAGGGGGGGGGGGGAGGAAATGAGAGGGAACCACAGACACAGACACAGAGAATGAAACGATAGTCAGGAGAAGCGAAGAGGCATGGATGTGGATTGCAGCAGTGAGGGATCCATGCCTTCGACACATGCACTTTTCAAGGTGACTTCTGAGGCGGTGGCTTCTCACAAGGAACGAGAAGTCATACCAGGGAGGCGAGAAGAGGCGTGGATGCAGATTGCATTGCAGCAGCAAGGGACCCGCCACACATGCGCGGCCAAAAGCAGGTTGATTCGAGAGGAGGGAGGGAGCACTCAAATGCGAACAGTGAGGAGGACGCAGACACGTGGGGCTAGTGAAACTCGCGAGTCGTACCAGAGAGGAGAGAAGAGGCGTGGATGCGGATTGCAGCAACGAGGGGTCCGCCACACATGCGCGGCCGAAGGCAGGTTCGATGTCCTCCTCCTCCTGTGAGTGGGTGCGCAAGAGACAAGAAGAGGGTGGTATAGGAGGTGCCAGAAAGATCGTGCGGATTGCAGCAACGAGGGGTCCGCCACACATGCGCGGCCAAAGGCAGGTTCGATGTCCTCCTCCTCCTGTGAGTGTGTGCGCAGAAAAGCCAAGCAGAGGGGGACAGAGGAAGAGGGGGTATTTTTGAAAGCTCCGAAAACCATTTGTCCAGATACACCGAACCTGCAAATCTGCGCACCGCAGTGGGGCGTCCAATGCCATCCGCCACTACCGTCTTCCCTGTTGCATGGCCGCCACTACCACTGTGCTCTATAATGTCTTGTCCAGAACAATATCTTCGAATTCCACAACAACTACTGCTCTGCACTGATATGTCCAGATACATCGAACCTGCGGTCCTGTGTACCTCAGTGAAGCGCCCAATGCCATTCGCCATTATAGTCTTCCTTGCCTGTTGCATGGCCACCACTAACACTGCTTCGTAATAACATTTCCAGAGACGTTTTCTAAGAACTCTACAACTACTACTGCTCTATGATAGCTTGTCCAGGTACATTGAACCTGTGTACCTCAGTGGAGCGTCCGATGCCATCCGCCATAATGGTCTTCCCTTTTACAGTCACAACGCACTTGCTGTCACTGTTGTAAAAACGAAGCCGCAGCACGATGCGGTTGCGACTCCTGGAAGGGAGGGAGAAAGGGAAAGAGAGGAGAGGAACAAGAGAGGACAGTGAGAAGCGCATGTGCCCTGAGAGGTGCCTCAAAAGTCTTGCTGTCGCTCTTGTGGACGAGAAGTCGCAGCAAGTCGCAGCACGATGCGGTTGCGTTGCGACTCCTGCACTCGGGAGGATAAGGGGGTTGCGGTAAACCAAAGGATAGGGAGGAGAAGGGGAGTGGGGATGCAGAGATAACAAGCTTGTAACGGTGGCGTGTTCGTGACGTGACGTGCTAGTAACGCTGACGTGTTTGCAACGCTGACGTGTCACCACCACCACTCACAGCTCGCCGTTCGCCCCGTCAAAGAACACGTTCTCCTGCTGATGTGTCACGCGGTGATTGGCCGCCAGCAGCTCCGCGACGCGCGCGTGCGCCTCCTTATTCGCTAACCGCAGTTTCACCTCTACTTCCATCGCCACCCCCGCGCCCGCCGCACCCTCCGCGCCCGCCGCCGGTTCCGCCATGGATTCACCTGCCGAAGCCGCGGAGGCGGAGATTGAATGCGCGGGCCGGCGGAGGCTGGGAGTGTGCGGAAGGAGGGCAGAGTGGACTGCGGGGGAAGGCGGAAATCGAGGCGCAGTGGGGCCCGCGGGACCTAGAGAAGCGGGAAGAAGCGCGGAGGCGGAAGCTGGGCGGGGAGGGCGGAAAGGAAAGTGGCGCGGGGAGCGGAATTGGTGGTGGGGAGCGGAAAGGAGAGGGGCGCGGAGAGGCGATGCGATGCCGGCAGCGGAAACGGCGCGCTGCAGCATGGGGCCGGGGGGAAGGCGCCGATGAATGGGGGGAAATAACCTCTGGAGGAGCGCGAAAGTCGACGAGAAGTAGTGTGAGGAGAGAGCTGAAGTGAAATCCACTGGGTGGAATCTAGGAATGGCAGTTGCTATGATATCGGCCTCGTTTGAAAGAGTGTTTGAAATTAGATACACTTTAAAAGATGTTAACTGTGGTAGTAACACGAATGAAACTCAAAACTCCATAGTTGTAGGCCATACTTATTTCCCTATTTTTCAGCAGGTTTGGTTTGGTCCCTAAAATTCCTTCTCCATGTGTATTTTGTTCATCCATTTTTCTTGGAGGATTATCAGACGTAAAAATACCTCCCTGGTAATCGCACCTTCGCTACGCTTACATGCTGACTCTGACACAGCCACTTTGCTTAGTCTACATGTACTTGTATTCCAGCTCTTGTCGGAACTTGGAAGCCATGAACTCAATCTCCCAGTTGCACAGGAGATGCAAATTTAACTCCCTGGTGAAGTGACATGTAGTGACGGTGACATGTAGCAGTGGCTCATATTGCTTAGTCTACATGTATTTGTATTCCAGCTCTTGTCGGAACTTGGACGCCATGAATTCAATCTCCCCGTCGCTGAGATCCACAGGAGCTTCAGCTTCGCCTCCCTGGTGCAGCGACATGTAGCGGCGATGCATGTGCGCAGGAACCATGGACTGTACCCAGCGCTGCTCATAACGAGGATAAAAAAAAGGGGATGTGGCAGGAAGAAGGCTAGCCAGCACAGATGCGCGCGCATGTATGGCGGACTAATAAAAATTTTCCGGTGCTGGTTATGAGGAGAAGTATTCATGGTAAGTAGACATACAGAAAAGGTAGGCGCGTAAGGAATGAATGTTTGTTAGTACATGAACTGTACACTCATAATTATGGGATGAGAATGAAAATGAGAATGGAAATGAGAATTGAGTAAGCGGGAGCGAGGATTGAAGCTGCTTGTAGGGAGTTACCTGGAAGGCGGTGGTGGGGGCATCGTCCATAAGCCACTTCCAGAGGGTGAATGCTTCAAGGAGTGATGCGATGATGAGGAGGAGACCAAAGGGAATGCCGTACAGGAAGGACCACACCTGGTCGATGGGGGATAAAGAGGAAAGTGCCAGGGGGAACAAGGGAAAAAAGGGCAACAAGGGAAAAAAGAGCAACAAGGTGGAAGGGGCATCGTCCATGAGCCACATCCAGAGGGTGCAGTGAAGGCCTCGAGGAGTGATGCGATGATGAGGAGCAGACCAAAGGGAATGCCGTACAGGAAGGACCACACCTGGCAACAGAGGGAATACGGGAGTAGGTAACAGGTTCACAGGATTACATGGAAGGTTACAGGGTTAGAGGGTTACACCGGCAGTACAGGTAACAGGGGAGGGAAGGGGATATGGGGGCAGAGAGTCGTGAAAATGGGGAGGAGACACAAGGGAATGCCTAACAGGATGGACGGCAAATACCATGGAGATGCCATGCCACACATACCAGAGAGATGCCATGCCACACATACCAGAGCAGATCAAAGGCAACGCTGAGTGGAGAGATCATGCCCGAGGGCGAGGGTATTACCATGGAGTGCGGGTGTTGTTTTGAGGCGCCTCAAAACAAGAATCATGCCTGAGGGCGAGGGTATTACCATGGAGTGCGGGTGCAGCAGCGAGATGCCATGCCATGCCACACGTTGATCACTCCCAGCAGCAAATGGCAACAGTTGTACAATCAACTGTACAATCGCCCTTTCTGGACCCAGAATTTTCGTTGGCACACTGCCCTCCCAACCTTGAGTGACGGCATACCATGGAGTGGGGGTGCAGCAGCGAGATGCCATGCCACACGTTGATCAATCCCAGCAGCACCACCAGGCGTCCGTTCCAGTGGTGCAGGAGGTTCCACCAGGGGCGCAGCAGAGCGTCCTTATGGGGAATGACCATGAGAGCAGTCACCTGAACACATGAACACAGGGCATCGTGTGAAGATGAGCATATGAACATGTGTGGACCTATATGGCAGTCCATGGCACCACGCCACGCGCCTGTTCCAGTGGTGCAGCAGGTTCCACCAGGGGCGCAGGAGGGCATCCTTGTGAGGGATCACCATGAGAGCAGTCACCTGAGGCAGGGGTTGCACATAAGACGTGATAGCACACGGGTATAGACTTGTGAGTATACATGGGAGTACAGCACCAGTCGCCCGTTCCAGTGGTGCAGCAGGTTCCACCAGGGGCGCAGCAGCGCGTCCTTATGGGGGATGACCATGAGAGCAGTCACCTGAACACATGGCATGGTGTGCAGATGAGCACATGAGCATGTGTGGACCTATATGGCAGTCAGTGGCACCACACCACGCGCCCGTTCCAGTGGCGCAGGAGGTTCCATCAGGGGCACAGCAGAGCAGAGCGCCCTTGTGGGGATCACCTGAGAGCGAGCAGATTTTTTAGTCGACTCAAAAATCGACTCACTACACGCGGTTCCATCAGGGGCACAGCACAGCAGAGCAGGGCGCCCTTGTGGGGATCACCTGAGAGCGAGCAGATTTTTTAGTCGACTCAAAAATCGACTCACTACACGCGGTTCCATCAGGGGCACAGCACAGCAGAGCAGAGCGCCCTTGTGGGGATCACCTGAGAGCGAGCACCTGCAATATTGAAATCACTTTTGAGAATTCGCAAAAGTGATTTCAATCGAGCGGCCTTGTGGGGATCACCTGAGAGCGAGCACCTGCATACAGGGCAGAATTCGACATAAGAATGGCATCGCACATGTTTGCATGAGCACAAGAGGGCACGAGAACAGCTGATCGCATGTGAACGTGGAAGCACAAGCGGCCGCCTGTCGCCGAGTAACCCTCTCCATCACCAAGGAACCCTCCTCGATGGAGTTTCACAAGGAGACGAACACGGAAGGAACCCATGCTTCAGATTGCTCGGGTTACCCTCCCCCTCGTCAAGAACCGATGCCTCTGATTGCTAGAGGTCAACACGCCCAACTGGAGTGAAACAAGGGTTCTTGAACCGATGCCTCTGATTGCTGGAGTGAAACAAGGGTTCTTGAACCGATGCCTCTGATTGCTGGAGTGAAACAAGGGTTCTTGAACCGATGCCTCTGATTGCTGGAGTGAAACAAGGGTTCTTGAACCGATGCCTCTGATTGCTGGAGTGAAACAAGGGTTCTTGAACCGATGCCTCTGATTGCTGGAGTGAAACAAGCACGGACAGCGTGATGCTGCATCGCCGGTGTGCGCCCGCCCTTGTCACATTACCCTCACAGTACTGTGCTTTTGGTTTCTCGAATCTTAGGTCACGAAACCCACCTGAAACGAAGCGAGCACGAACGTGGTGATGCCTACTGCCGGAGCGCGCCTGAGTCAAACTTCCCTTGATACATACTGCTGCTTTTCATCTTTTCGCGCTAACACACCCACCTGAAACGAAGCGAGTACGAACAGCGTGATGCCATAGCGCCTGTGAGCCCCCGGGTCAAACTCGCCTGCCTCCTCGCCCCCCACGCCCCTCAGGCGCACATGCCCCTCATGCGCATCCCCCCACATGAGCAGCCCGAGAAAGAACCCAAACGCGCCCAGCGCATACCCCCCCGCCTGCACCATCCTATGCAGCTTCACCCACGAGGGCGTTCCAGGCCCGCTGGTTACCACCGCCACGGCGGATGAGGGGAAGGGGAAGGGGAAGGCCGAGGAGGGGGCGGAGGAGGCGGAGGCGGAGGAGGAGGAGGAGGCGGAGGGGTCGAGTTGGGGGAGGTGGCGGGCGAGTAGCATGCCGATGGGGAGGATGAGACCCCAGGCGAGCAGGTTGACCAGGCCGTGTGCTGCTTGCAACCACTGTGGGGGTCCAGCACCTGGAAGGGAGCAAGGGCAGGAAAAGAAAAGGCATCATTGGGGCCGTGACGGAGAGGTGGCGCGCGAGTAGCATGCCGATGGGGAGGAGCAGGGCCCAGGCGAGGAGGTTGACCAGGCCATGTGCTGCTTGCAACAACTGGGGGGGTCCGGCACCTGAGAGGGGGCAAGGGCAGGGCAAGGGGGAGAGAAAGCAGGAGTGAGAAGGCAGGGAAGTGGGTAAGGGGAGGTGGCGGGCGAGTAACATGCTGATGGGGAGGAGGAGACCCCAGGCAACGAGGTTCACCAAGCCGTGTGCTGCTTGCAGCCACTGGGGAGGTCCGGCACCTGAGAGGGTGGGAGCAGAGCAGGGGGGAGAGAATGCGGAAAGGGGGTGAGCAAGGGTTGGGGGATGGGAGACACGATTGGGAGGTGGGAGAGTCAGAGGTAGGGAAGGAGAATAAAAGACAGGATTGGGAGGTGGGAATCAGGTTGAGCGGGCGAGCAGCATGCCGATGGGAAGGAGCAGGCTGCACTGCAGGCGATGAGGTTGACAAGGTAAGTTCGGGAGGTGTTGACGGGACAGTGGGGCTCCAAGCCCCTCCCAATCCCCCAGTGGCGGCATTGCCCCCCTCGGGCCTCGCCCTTGGCCATAATGACATACGGCCCTGGCGTCTGCCCCTCCGGTTGCACCACAGCCAACAGCACCCCCAGTGCTACCACAGCCACCCCCCCCTCCGACCCCTGTGGCAGCATCACCCCCTTCGCCCTTGCCCATGATCAAATCACATACAGCCCTGGCGTCTGCCCCTCCGTCTGGTACCACCACAGCCAACATCACTGGCACCCTGCTGCTGGGGGCTAAATCCCTAAACCATGAGAACCCTAGAACCCTGAGCTCTCTCACCTGCAAGGCGCAGGTAAGTGCGAGCGGTGTTGAAGGGGCTGTGGGGCTCCAAAGCCCCCGTGTCACCGTTGCCCCCCTGCCCCTTGGCCATGATCACATACAGCCCTGGCGTCTGCCCCTTCGGTGCTACCACCATGGTCAACATCACTCGAACTTGCTGGGGGCTAAACCCTCATATCACCTGCCCCTCGCTCACACCCCTGATCCCCATACCCGAACCCCTGACCCTGAGCTCTCACCTGCAAGGCGCAGGTAGGTGCGGGCGGTGTTGAAGGGGCTGTGGGGCTCCAAAGCCCCCGTGTCACCGTTGCCGCCCTGCCCCTTGGCCATGATGACGTACAGCCCTGGCGTCTGCCCCTCCGGTAGCACCACTGCAAACATCACTCGCACCGTGGCTCCTTGAATGTGCACCTGAAAGGGAAGATTGGCACAAATGAAGGACGTTTCTGAGGCGTGTATATGTGCGTATCCAGTTTGATATGCTATACAGCATCACTCGCACCATGGTTCCGTGAATGTGCACCTGAAACGAAAGAGTGACAAGGTGAAGGAGGTTTCTGAAGGAGGTTCCTGAGGCATTGTTTTTTCTTACTTCTTTTTTATATGTTATGCGCCTCAGATGGGAGAAAGCAGGAAAGAAACCATTACGGAGAGAAGTGGCACACAGAAGGGGTAAGCAGTGAGGGGGGGGGGGCTTGCAAGAGGTGTCTGAAACCACCTTGGTTGATGAGCATTGATCGCTTCTTGTGGCGCCTCAAAACAAAGTTTTAACATTGACGTAAATAAAAAGACTCCGATTGTGCCTCTTAGAAACAGTCCCAATCACATCAAAAGCCACGACTTGATGACACGTTATGTTCGCAACTATGACTGACTTTTGCCGACTGGCGGCATAAAACGCGCATGGCAGCTCGTCAGGTAGCAGTACTGTGAGTGACATACGTGGTACGGTGCTCTGACCACCTCCCCTGACATGGTACGGTGCTCTGACCACCTCCCCTGACATGGTACAGTACGGTGCTCTGACCACCTCCCCTGACATGGTACAGTACGGTGCTCTGACCACCTCCCCTGACATGGTACAGTACGGTGCTCTGACCACCTCCCCTGACATGGTACAGTACGGTGCTCTGACCGCCTCCCCTGACTGACTCTACGCCCGCCAGCAGACCTCAACTCAAACCACTCACCCTCCCCTGACTCCAAGGCAGGCACAATAACCCAAACCGCGTGTATGAAGAAGTGTTTTGAGACGTCTCAAAACCCTCCCCTGACTCCAAGGCAGGCATAAGAACCCAAACCGCTAACATTGATGCTGCTTCCGGCAACCATGTTCAGATCCCTTGACGCTGCTCGATCACACTCCCGTTATGATCCCTCAGGTAGTACTGCGAGGGGGAGCACTGTGATACGTAGTACCCCCCCTCGCCTGACCTGTTTACACCACCCCCACCCCATGGTAAGCTACCCTGACCTGTTTGCACCACCCCCACCCCATGGTAAGCCACCCTGACCTGTTTACACCACCCCCACCCCATGGTAAGCCACCCTGACCTGTTTACACCAACCCCCACCCCATGGTAAGCCACACTGACCTGTTTACACCACCCCCACCCCATGGTAAGCCACCCTGACCTGTTTACACCACCCCCACCCCATGGTGAGCCACCCTGACCTGTTTACACCACCCCCACCCCATGGTAAGCCACCCTGACCTGTTTACACCACCCCCACCCCATGGTAAGCCACCCTGACCTGTTTACACCACCCCCACCCCATGGTAAGCCACCCTGACCTGTTTACACCACCCCCACCCCATGGTAAGCCACCCTGACCTCACCTCACATATCAATCCCCCACCCTCAAGCCACTCACCTTGATGCTGTTGGGGATCACTTCCAGCTCACCCGTATCTGGCATGATCAGGCTTGCATTGTGGTCCACCAAGTAGCACTGCGATATGTACTACCCTGAGCGAGTCTTCCGGCTCTAGCCCGCCCGAGTTCAGGACCCTCAGACCCCAAGCCACTCACCTTGATGATGTTCGGAACCAATTCCAGCTCCCCAGAATCCGGCTCGATCAGGCGCGCATTGTAGTCCGCCAGGTAGTACTGCGATACGTTGAACCCTGAGCGAGAGCCCCCCGACTCTGGCCTGCCCGAGTTCAGGGGCCCCAATCCCTAATCCACCCACCCACTCACCTTGATGCTGTTGAGAACCAATTCCAGCTCGCCCGTGTCCGGTTTGATCAAGCTTGCGTTATAATCCGCCAGGTAGCACTGGGAGAAGTAATATTCCGTCTCACTTGCCTTCGCTCACTCTCTACGCCCCCAGCCAGAGGCGAGCTCTCAAGCCACCCACTCACCTTGACGCTGTTGGGAACCAAATCCAAGGTCCCTGTATCCTGTTTGATGAGGCTCGCGTTGTAATCCGCCAGGTAGTACTGCGAGAAGTAATACTCCGTCTCGCTTGCACGGAACGCCACGAGCGCGCTCGCCCCCACCATGCGCACGCCTATGCCCCACCCCACCCACCCGTCCCAGTCCGCCGAAAACGCGCCGTCGAGAATGCGAGTGGGGCGATCATACGTCCACTGGACGGACGGAGAGGGGTATGGGGGGAGGTGAAGGAGAAAAGGGGGAGATCGGCACAATTCTGGAAATTGAATTGTCTGGGAGTATGCCAATGCACCAGTCCGCCATTCCTCCTCATCTGCCGAGAACGCGCCGTCGAGAATGCGCGTGGCGCGGTCGCAGGAAGAGAAAGAAGAAAAGAGAATGGCGGAGACGGCGAGAGTTGGAATTAAAGTGAATCACTGAATACGAATGGCCGGACGGGGAAAATCGGTTATGAGGAGAGGCTAGCCAACCCTGCAACGAGCGCAAAGATCACTCTTATGAAAGTAGCAGCCTTTCTGACGAATAGCGGAAAAGAATTTCACAAAGTTTTGTGCTTGAAAAGGCGAACAGGAACTGATTTATTGAGAATGTGATTACATGGAAGGTGAAGCCGCCGCCCGATTGAAGGTACACGCAGTTTTCAAACTCCCAGTTGGTTCCCACATCCGTCTGAACAGACAGCGAGCAGTTCTTTCGGCTAACGGCCGTTAGATCTGCCGGCCCGCCGATTATTGACTGACGCATGGCGTCGGCCGCCGGCAGAGTTCCGAAATCCGCGGGGAGATCGCCGGCGGCTGGGAGGAAAGGCGCTGCGACGGAGCTGGGAGCGGGAGCGGGAGAGGGCGCGCTGGCAGGAGCGTCTGCTGACGTGGCACTAAGAGACGCATCTAGTTGAGCTTGAGCGTACGCGCTACTGAGAACAATAGCTGCTGCTAAAAGCAGCGGCCATAACGGATTCGATGCTCTCATGATCGCAGCGCGAGAATGTAATTGCCGATGTCAATAAAAGAACGCCGAAGAAAACAGTAAGGAATAAATAAAGTAGCAAGGGTGATACCGCAACTTCTGAATAAGGATGCGAAGAGTTAGCAGTCCAGTTGCCTTCAGCAACAGGCAGCTGCGCGCGACACGCCCCTGAACCTTGGAAACCAGGTAGGTCTAAATCCAGTATTTGGAATGGCAAGTGCCTGACTGAGCTATATGTTGGTTGGGTTGTGTGCTTGAGCTGAACCACTGAACCAGGGAAGGGCTGCCATCCTGGTTTGGCTGGTTGGACTTCGCGACAATCTCGAGGGGTGACATCCAGCGAACAATCTCGAAACGGCTACAATTTCGGGGAGGGCATTTTCGACGGTGTGTTGCGAATGCGAACAAGTTGGTGACGCACCCGAAAAGTTCGCATGTCGTCCACAGCTCCAACCTTCCGTCATCCAGCCAATCAGATGCTGGAAAGGAGAGAATCGGGGCTGTGTTTATCCGCCACCAACCAGATTGTAAAACTGGTTACAAGCGAAAAAAGCTATGTGCGTTTTGTAAATGTTCGTCGCACCCGTGAGCGAGATTCGCGAATACTCATATCCTCTTTGGACCCAATTCCGCAAAGGATCGCACCTCTCGCCATCTTTCGCGGAGTCCCAGGGAATTTCCATCGTCAGTACCATCATGCTCCGCGTTCTCTGCCGCAAATCACGGGCAGCGCTACCACCATGCAGCGATCAGATTTTAACGATCTTGCTGTCGCAGACTCACGCGTGCTCAATCCATTCCATTAGTAACTCTAGTTCCAGCGCGACAGGTGGTTCAGGTGGTAACAGCGAAAGCGACAGTTTGAGAGGCGACGAGCGTGGCAGGGACGGAGTGTCGAACCGCTCATTGCGCGATCCGAATCGAGACAGAAGAACCACAGGCGCAAGAGCAGGCGTTGGGAGCGGAGTCGCGAGCGGGACACGTGGCCCGGGAAATCCAAATGGCGCCACTTCAGGAGAACCGGACCACAGGCGTTGGGGCCCAGGGACAGGAGAACGGGGAAACAGAGGCGGGGGTGCGGGGAGGGAAGAACCAGGGGACAGGGGGAACACTCCGCGGAACGAGCGGGCTGAATCAGCCGGACGGGGAGACCCGTGGAAATGGGGGTGGCAAGATCGCGCCAGGGCGGGAGCAGAGGCGGATCGGGGGAACTTAGGATGGCAAGGCGGGGCGAATGCGGCAGGAGGACGGCGGAACTGGGGGAGGACTGTACCCGCACAGCAGGAACAGGGGAATCCGGCAGGACGGGGGGATTGGAGGAGACGCGTGGAGGAGGGGGAAATCGAGGTGCCGTACTCGACGTTCCCGCCAGGGTCGAATGAGAAGTTTCGCGAGTGCTTCGAGCGGAAGCTGGCATGGGACGTGGAGTACCCGAGCGTCATGCCCGAGGTACGGCAAGCCAGCAACATGCCAAACCTCACGCCGACCTTTTGCCAAGTCCGAGCCTCGTTTATCGGTATGATAAGCTCGAATATGGAGGGTGGAGTATTCAAGCGCCGTGCCTGATGTACGGCAAGCAAGCAACATGCCGAGCCTCGTCCACAGGTTTGGTAAGCTCGAATATGGAGGGTGGAGTATTCAAGCGCCGTGCCTGATGTACGGCAAGCAAGCAACATGCCGAGCCTCTTCCACAGGTTTGGTAAGCTCGGTGTCTGCACTGTACATCATTCTGCTTGCTACTCCTCCCCCACTTCCCCCCTCTTCCCCTCCTCCTCCCCGGCTTTTACCCCCTCCTTCCACCTTTCTTTCCCCCTTGTCTGTCTCACAGCCTCTGCTGGAGCCCCCTCTGTCCAAGTTCAGATTGGAGCCCAGCGGCCATGAGATGCTGCTGACGCTGAGGAGGGAGAGCGAGGAGGACGGAGAGGAGAGGAGAAAATGAGGGCTCGATTCCCCATACACCCCCTTTTGCCACCACCCAAACCCCAGCCCTTGTTGGAGCCTCCTCCCTCCAAGTTTAGATTGGAGCCCAGCGGGCATGAGATGCTGCTGACGCTGAGAAGAGAGAGTGAGGAGGACGGAGAGGACATTCTGCTGACTGCGAGGTTCGTACAGGAGCGGGAGCTGAGAGGGGGTGCAGAGGAGGAGGAGGAAGAGGAAGAGGAGGGGGAAGGGGAGGGGGGAGTGAGGGGGTTGAGTGAGGAGGAGAGGAAGAGGAGGAGGTGGCAGAAGCAGGGGAGGGTGGAGGGCGTTAAGATGGACGATCTGGTGTCGGGGCAGTGGAAGGAGAAGCTTATGGAGGGGATGGATACAGATGAACGGACAGAGATTGAGGTGCGTTCGTGACAACAATCCTCTTCCCTTGTAAATAAAAAAAGGCGGTTTCTGGTTACAGGGAAGGGCAGTGGAAGGAGAAGCTTACGGAGGGGATGGACACGGATGAACGGACCGAGATTGAGGTGCGTCTGTATAGACCCGTTCCTCACCTCTTTTTGAGGCGCCTCAAAAATCGGACCGAGATTGAGGTGCGTCTGTATAGACCCGTCCTCACCTCTTCATCTGCAGGTTCCTATTTTTGAGTCGACTCAAAAATATACTTCAAAATGAGTCGACTCAAAAAGAGATTGAGGTGCGTCTGTATAGACCCGTTCCTCACCTCTTTTTGAGGCGTCCAAAAATCGGACCGAGATTGAGGTGCGTCTGTATAGACCCGTCCTCACCTCTTCATCTGCAGGTTCCTATTTTTGAGTCGACTCAAAAATATACTTCAAAATGAGTCGACTCAAAAAGAGATTGAGGTGCGTCTGTATAGACCCGTTCCTCACCTCTTCATCTGCAGGTTCTCCCTCCACTCACCTCAGCTTTCTGTCTGCTGCTGCCTCGTGTTTCAAAAACTCTGTCTTTCTGGATCATCTTTCCGGTTACACTGTTCTGTGTTTCGCGTTTAACTGATTCTTCTGGTCTGCTTTGGAGGCCTGAATTTCCACAGTGGCAGCTGTGGATTGTATGTTTGTTTTCTTTTGCCTCTCTCGCTTCTGTCTTGTTTTTTTAGAATTCTCAAAAAACAGGTGCAGCTGTGGTTTGTATGTTTTTTTTTTTTCTTTTGTCCCTCCCGCTTCTGCCTTTTCCCCCCAGTACGGGAAATACACAAGCAATGTTTCTTGTCATTTCTGCAACCCCATTGTTTCAGTGGCAAACGAACCAGGGCTTCAACCTGACGCCCATCCACGTGCGAGTGAGCATCTGCAGCCTCAAGGCAATGCGCAGCAGCCGGAATCGAACCCCGACCTCCCCTACGCTTGGCAAATCACGGAAGCCACAGCCTCCCTCCAGACTTTCAAAATCAAGTGAGAAACAGCAGCAATTACCGTGGGAACTGCCTGAAATCCAGGCCTCTACAACAGCAGTAGCTGTAGCAGCTCCAGTATCGCAAGCATCAACAGCAGGTGTAATGCCTGCAGGAGCCGCAGCAGGAACAGGAACAGCAGGAACAGGAGCAGAAGCAGCAGGGGGGGGAGCAGGGGCACATGAGGAAGGGGGGGCGCATGAGGAGAAATGCCCGATGATAACGGTTGACTGCCTGGTGCTGGGGCACTACCATTGGAAGATCCTGCGAGTGGAATCCGCAGATCCCGAGGTTCCCCCTGGGCGCGTACCGGCATATGGGCAACCACACCAGTGAGTTCCCACTCGGCTTGATCGTTTATGTCCTCTTGACCCCCCTCAGTAGTCACTGCCTGGTGCTGGGGCACTATCACTGGAAGATCCTCCGAGTGGAATCAGCAGATCCCAAGGCTCCTCCTGGGCGCATACCGTCCTACGGGCAGCCGCATCAGTGAGTTTTCAACTTCCCGCTTGTCTTGATCGTTGGTGTCCACTTGACCACTGGTGCTGGGGCACTACCACTGGAAGATCCTGCGGGTGGAATCAGCACACCCTAAGGCTCCTCCTGGCCGCATACCGGCATATGGGCAACCACACCAGTGAGTTCCCACTCAGCTTGATCGTTTATGTCTTCTTGACCCCCCTCAGTAGTCACTGCCTGGTGCTGGGGCACTACCACTGGAAGATCCTCCGAGTGGAATCAGCAGATCCCGAGGTTCCCCCTGGGCGCGTACCGGCATATGGGCAACCCCATCAGTGAGTCTCCAACTTCCCACTTGTCTCAATTGCTGGTGTTGTTGACTCGCCTCAGTAGTCACTGCCTGGTGCTGGGGCACTACCACTGGAAGATCCTGCGGGTGGAATCAGCAAGTCCTGAGGCTCCGGCAGGGCGCATACCCTCCTATGGGCAGCCGCATCAATGAGTACTCACAATAACTGGCCCTTCTGTATAGTCAACAGCACACCCGATAACGGTTGACTGCCTGGTGCTGGGGCACTACCACTGGAAGATCCTGCGGGTGGAACCAGCAGATCCCGAGGCTCCTCGTGGGCGCGTAGCGTCCTTCGGGCAGCCGCATCAGTGAGTCTCCCACTTCCCACTTGCCTTGATTGTTGGTGTCATCTTGACTTGCCTCGATAGTCACTGCCTGGTGCTGGGGCACTACCACTGGAAGATCCTGCGGGTGGAATCAGCAAGTCCTGAGGCTCCGGCAGGGCGCATACCCTCCTATGGGCAGCCGCATCAATGAGTACTCACAATAACTGGCCCTTCTGTATAGTCAACAGCACACCCGATAACGGTTGACTGCCTGGTGCTGGGGCACTACCACTGGAAGATCCTGCGGGTGGAACCAGCAGATCCCGAGGCTCCTCGTGGGCGCGTAGCGTCCTTCGGGCAGCCGCATCAGTGAGTCTCCCACTTCCCACTTGCCTTGATTGTTGGTGTCATCTTGACTTGCCTCGATAGTCACTGCCTGGTGCTGGGGCACTACCACTGGAAGATTCTGTGAGTGGAATCAGCACACCCTGAGGCTCCAGCAGGAAGCATAGCATCATGTGGGCAACCTCATGAGTGAGTTGCTGCTGTCTCTATTGTTTTGAGAACTTGCTTATGGACAACCAATGAATGATACACCGTACTTGGTTGCCCCTTCCGCAAGAATTGTCCTTTGGAAGCACAGCACAGCATTCTGGAGTGTGGACTACAGTGCCTACCAGTGGAGCATTCTTACCGGTATGGTGAGGCATCTAAAAAATATCCGTTGCTGTTCAATAGATTGCAAGCACAATTCTAACCTTTTTTAGTCTCCCCTTCTCTCTTCTCCCTCACCTGCGTGCCTGTTTCTCCTGTTTCCCCTCTCCCCTGTGTCATTCCCCAATTTGATAAGTCTATTGAGCCCAGAGCTGCAACAAGAATGGGAGACGTCTTTTTTTCGCCGGGGATTTACAGGACCGCTTGCGAGCTATATCAGAATATATCTGGAATGCAAGGAGCACCATGAAAATGTAAGATGGTTTGATAGGATGTACAACTGGTTTTCTAACTACCGTAATCTGGTGTAGCGTATGGTTTGTACTGCCTATAATATGCAATAAACTTGATACCGTATTTTTTGCTGCTTCGTTTGCACGGCACATTGGGCGTTTCTCTTCATGATCACTCTGATTGCATTACGTGTCAATGGCTCAAAGCGAAGCAGAAATCACTGTATGTTAGCGCACATCGCAGAAACGCCGCCACCATTGGCAGTGTGGCGGAAAATGCGCCTCACAGTTTCGTGTGGCCTTGCTCAAGATCTCTCAAAACTTCGAAGGCTCTTCACTTCACAGCTCCAGCGAAGAGATTCCATTTTTCAGATGGCAACGAGTAGTGCGATGAGCTGCAATTTTCCACCGTTATCATGTGTTTCCATGGCTGTTGCTATTAGGGCCCCCTCGTTTTCACGTGCTATCGCTGGTTTGCCGCTCCCCGTCGCTAGCTCTCTGCGTGTTTCCAGCCGCGTGTTCGCCATGGCTGCCGGCAGCACCACCAAGATCTATGGTCGGAAGCACTTGCCCTCCACAGATACAGTCCTAACAACGTTAATTGAGAAGAATGTTACGGTACGAGAACAAGTCGATAATTATTCATATTGCAACGCTGTTGAAATTCCGCTTCTATTTGTCCTTGGATTATTGATAACAAAGGGCGATTGTGACTACCGCAGGATTTTGAATTCGTGAGTGTGAAGGTGTTCTGGGGCAAGCACAAGTCGGCCGAGTTCAAGAAGAAGCAGGTTATCATGTCAACGTGGCACACGTAGCACAATGATGGTTACAATAAATTGACGCACGAACCCTTTGACTGAACTTTCCGCATCCCACTCGCAGCCATTTGGCCTCACTCCCGTGTTTGAGGACGACGAAGTTAAGCTCTTCGGTAAGTTGAGTAGTAAAGCAGATCATTCCCGTGTTTCAAACTTCTTCATCGAGATTGTTTTATGCAGCCTGCATGCTAAAGACGATTTCGTATGCCTGCGTTTCTTTGCCACAGAGTCCCGGGCTATTGCACGATATATTGCAGAAAAATACGCCGAGCAAGGCACAAACCTGCTTGGTTCCACCCGCAAGGCACGTCCATATCGCCAGTCCTTTTTTTTTTTTTTTTTTTTTTTTTACTCACACAACGCTACCTTATCCTATGGTGCCCTCTACTGACGGACACGCTTGTACATGTTTGTAACCCCTACTGTCGTTTCCGTCAACTTGCATGCACATACCAGGAGCGTGCCATGGTGAACATGTCGCTGGAAGTTGAGTCTCATAACTACAACCCCGCCATATATGGGTTCGTAACTGAGGAACTTTTGAAGCCGCGTTGGTGGGGACAGACCACAGACGAGGCCAAGGCAGCAGAACACAAGGCGAAGGTCAGTTTATCTCCATTGCATAATTGTCAACATGAACCTGCGCTTCCCTGTTTTTAAGTATCTGCATAGGGATGTTCATACCTGAGTCGACGCAAAAACACGACTCATTATGAACCCGCGGTTCCCTGCTGTCTAATATCCACATACTGCATGTTATGTATGAACCCCTTTAGTTTCACAGCTCTCTCAGGTCCTGGATGTTTATGAAGCACACCTGGCTTCGAATGACTAACTGGCTGGTTCCTTCTTCTCCCTGGCGGATCTGGTGCACCTGCCTTGCACTGACCGGCTTCGGGCGCTGGGTGCTTCTGATCTCATTACATCACGGCCGAATGTGAACAAATGGTGGGAGAGAATCTCGTCTCGTCCAGCGTGGAAGGAAGTTACGGTATTTAGTGATCAACATTGACGTATGGTACATGTGTCCCACAAATAGCAATTCTCGAAGCTGCAATCAGTGTAGCAGAAGCTGGGGTGTGTAGAGTGCCTGGGTGAGTTGGGGCAAAGGGAGAATTCATGAAGAGTGAACAAGCAGGCTCTGTAGGAGTGAATGGTTCGGGGTTGAGAAGGCGTGAACAAGGCGAGAGAAAGGAGTGGAAGAGGCCTGCTATGCATGCAAGAGGCAGTGGATAGGATCAAAGTGTCTCTTGGAAGCTGATGAGTCAGCAGGAAGATGCCAGTGCCACGCGGAGATCAACGGTGCAAGGCGAACCCAAGTTGAATCACGAGGGAACTGGGAGACGTCACTATACTGTACAGGGTGGGCTGTGTGTGTGGATGTCCTGGTCATGGTTTGCATGTCGGATGTCGGCGTGTGCTTGACGTGTGCAGGTGCAGGATCAAGAATAACACCACGCACAAGACCCCAAGGGCCCAGCTAGCATCAGATCTGTACATAGAGTAGCTAGGCCTGTAGGAGTCTCAGCTTGTTTGTTTCCTTTTTTACTTGGGATTGTTCTAGCTATGTTTCTAGCAGGACTACGCCGGAAAGGAGAAGCCAGTCGGTCAAGAGGAATAGAGCCCTTGGAGCCAGAAGCTGGGAGGCAGCAAGGTGAGGGCAAGCTGGGAGAAGGGGCGGAAGTATAACATGAGAAGTAGAGGCAAGGGCCAGACAAGGAAGGAGTATTTGGGGAAGTCAAGAAGAGGCATCCAGAGGAAGTGTACTGTAGATAAGAGTTCCTCCCGACACATGGTTGGTAATTCCTCCTCCAGCGCAGGGGAGGCACGAACTGTTCCTTCAGGAATTTGTTTTTCCGGCAGCACATTGGCTTGTTCCGTTCCACAGCCCTGAATGTGTTACAGGCTCCTGAGTCGAATAACAACATGAATCTTAACAAGGGTGTACTGTCCTTTCCAGAAAATCGACCTGGCTACAATCGCGGACATCGCAAGAGCGAAGATTGCGCCTCACAGTTCCGCACTTCATAGAGAAGCTGCCTGCCCGATGCGCACGCGCGGAAACATGAGACGACGCTCCCTGCGCACCCCACTCCTGACGCTTGCGCGTTGCTCCAAGGAATGCAGCGCGCGAAGACATAAACCTGACGGTAGAATCGACATTAAAATCGCTGGTTATTATATTTTTTTCCTGCGCGGGACGTTTGCTCGCCACCGCAAGCCGGAGACTATCCTTCGCGTGACGGCGGAAGCCGCCTCCTTCGCTTCCGCGCGCGCGCGCGATGCCCGCATCCGGCGCGGATCTTTTCCGCCTCCGGCCCCTCTCCCCATGGTCGGCGGGTGGTCAGGACATTTCGACACGTGGCGTGCGGCCATTCGCGGTTTCCTACCTCCCCGCATTCAACGCTAACGCTCCACTCACCCTCATAGCCCGGACCGCGTGTCGAGCGCGGCAGCCCTGCCGAAATTCACGGAACTCCGCGCGGCTTCTATTCATCGCCTCCGCGGATCGCGCGCGCTCGAACGAGGGGGCGCAGAGAGGGGAGGACTGGGGGAGGGGGAGCGGAAGGTGGGTTGACGGAAGATGGGGAAGCGGGAGGTGGGATGAGGGGGGCGACTGGAGGCGGAACCGGTCTTCCCCTCGCTCGGCTGGCGGGGCGCGGAGAGGGGACGACTGGGGGAAGGGGACGGCGGCGGAGGGGCGGAACTGGGCGGGGAGGCGGTGGGGGGGCGCGGAAGATTGGGGAAGCGGAAGGGTGGGGGGTGGAGGGGGAAGGAGCGAGGGCGGGAGAAACGGCAGGGCGGAATGGGAGAGGGGGGGCCCTTGGCGGGCCAACTGGGCGGGGCATTCAGAAGGCAGCAGAAACGAGGGCGGCAGAAGTGAGGGCGGCAGGGAGGAGGGCAGTAGGAACTGGGGCGGAAGGGACGAGGGCAGTGGTGGAAATGCGGGTGGGGGGGTTGCGGGTGGGAGGGACCACTATGTGACCTTGGGAGTGTCGCGGCGCGCCAGCAAGCAGGAGATTAAGACGGCCTTCAGACGGCTGGCTCGTAAGGTAGTGTGCCTTTCTTGTAGCGGGTCATGCACTTGTGGGGACAGCTGGACCTTATAAAGAGTACAGAGTACGTGCGTCCTTGTAGTGGTGGGATGATGACGATGATGCTCTTATTGGGTGAGCTGGACGGGTATGGTGGTGCAGAGAGTACGGTTGCTGTTGTTGTGGCAGGGCAGTGTCCCTCTGATTTGATTTGATTTGGTTGTTGTGGTGGTCCCTCAAATGCGTGGTCCCTCAAATGTGCCCGGCAATCCCGATGTGCCCGCAAACACATCGGAGTAGCACAGCGCTTGCTGGTTAACTTACACCTTCCCTTACGCGGTTCCTACCTCCCTTTTCCGTGCTTTCTGCCCACCCACCCACCCGGTATCACCCCCACTGCTCTCGTCACCATCAGTCCACCCACGCGTTGCAACTCCATGCGTATTCTCGTTGCATCCTTGTGCATCCCGTGCAGTCTATCCTCTCTCTCCCCCTCTCCCTCCTTCCCGCCTCCCCCACCCAGTGTCATCCCGTCGTGTCCCGCCACCACCAGTCCAACCAGGCGCCTCAAAACTAGACACCTGCACTATGTGATTTCCCCCCTCTCTCCCTCCTTCCCTCCACCCCCCCAGTGCCACCACGATGTGTATCGCCACCACCAGTCTACCCCAGTACCCAGGCGTTCCAACTTCTTTCCTACTTGCCACCTGTGCACTATGTGATTTCCCCCAGTGCAATATGTGCTTTCTCCCACCTCTCTCCCTCCTTCCCTCCGTCCCACGCAGTGTCACCCCGATGTGTCACGCCACCACCAGTCCACCCAGGCGTTTCGAGCCATTCTGGCTGCCTATGAGGTGATAAGAGGTTGTGAGAGGTGATGAGAGATTGTGGGGTGATGTGTTGTTTATTTTGAGGGTGTTTCCTCCCCGCATTACCTTACCCATTGCCCATCACCTCACCCATTGCCCATCACCTCACCCATTGCCCATCACCTCATTGCACATTACCTCATTGCCCATTACCTCATTGCCCATTCGTACCTTCTCACCATGCAGGTGTTATCAGACGAGCAGCAGCGCCAGCGGTTCGACTTCACCCTGCCACCAGCAGCAGCAGCAGCAGTAGCTGGTGCAACTACTGACACTAGGCCTTTCTGGAACCAACACAGACGTCCCTCCGCCGGTGCTGCAACATCGGCAGCAGCAGCACCTTCTTACTCCTCTGCCACACCCCCAGATGGTCCAGGTGACTGGTGGGTCCCCCCCTCCACGTCCTACCGGCCTCGCAACATGCACTCATCAGCAGCAGCATCAGCATCAAGATCAGAGCCATCAGGTGACGCAGCAGCAGGATCAGGGACAGGGACAGGGGCAGCAGGAGCAGGAACAGGGACAGGGGCAGCAGGAGCAGCGGCAGAGGATTCCTCCCAGGATTCAGCGGCCTTTTTCCGCTGGCCGCTGAACTACTCTCAGATGCGGTCGCGGGGAAGACGGTCGCGAAGAGCAGCAGCTCACAGCCAAGAGCAACCCTACTCGTATGCCTGGTCTGAGAGTGCAAACAGCGCCACATACGGCTCACATGCCACTCACCAGGAGGCACAACAACAACGAGAGCAGCAGCAACAGCAGCAGCAGCAGCAGCCAGAACAGGGAGAGGCAGACAGCTGGGAGCAATGGGAAGCGCAGAGATCATCCAGACACAGCCACAGTAATAGCTTTAGCTCCGGGTATAGTAACAGATATAGCAACAGGTATAGCCACAGGCGTTCATATTGGCAAGAGCGAAACAGCAAGCAAGGCAGCAGGGGCAGCAGCCGCACACGTCCACGTCACCAGGAGGAGGACCGTGTGGAAGAATGGGATCGCGCCAGCTGGCAGCAGCAGGATGAAGAGCGAGCGCAAGAAAGCAGGCGTGCCGCTTTGGAACCCTTCACCCTCCCGCTCTCCTTCTCACAGGTCTTCTTCGGCCAATGGGTGGACGACACCTGGCGCTTCGCTCTCTTCCGCTTCCGCTCGCTCTTCCCCGGAGGTTTCCGGTCCCTCTCCTCCATCCTCTCACTGCTTCTCGTTCTCTTCCTCCTCGTCTCCTGTGCCTCAGCAATCGGTACTGAGCGGTTGCTAGGGGTGCTGACCTTTGCCCTCATGTGGGGGAACCAACGGGGGTATCAGATTGCAGGGCTTGTTGCATGGTTCTTGGGGGGAGTGAGGGGGCTCGTGCTAGTTGTGGGGTTGAGTGCGGTTCAGTGGGTCGCGGGGCCCATGTTTTGCCATAGGACGGCGGCGTTGGTGGCGGTGGTGGTGTGGCTGGGAGGGCAGGTGGCAGCACAGCTCTCGATTTCTCCACTGGTGTCGGCCCTCCTCGCGTCCAGACTGACCCCTCTTTGGGACCAAAGCTGATGATATGAGATGGTGCTTCTGTAACAAGTGTTGGGTGATTTTGTAGGCGCCTCTGAGATCGTCTCAGGTGGCGGCACGGCTCTCAATTCACCACCAGTGTTGGCTCTGCTGGCGTCTAGGTTGACATTGCTGCGGGATGAATGAAAGTTGATGATGCTTCTGCAACAAATACTGTGTAAATATAATGTGTAATCACTTTCATGTGCAGCATGTGCACCTGGGCTACGTATGGGGAATTTTTGTTAGGAATTCATCGGCTCTGATTGTTCATTTGTCGCCATTCACGCCCTGTGTGCCAGTGCTCTCATTGTATGTGCAGTGCAATCTGGAGAGCTTTGGAAGCAGAATGAGACTGAATGCACGTCACATAAACATGAGCACATGTGCAATGCAATCCCTGGCATGTGCTGTCCAGTGGGCCAGTGTTTACCCCTTGGGATATGGTATTTGTTTGTATACAGCCGGTGTTGTGTACACACTGTGTAACATGACCATTCTTGGGTTGATGAAGCCCGACAGTGTCTATACAATGAAGTGATGTTTTTTCAAAGATTCATCGTTTCACCGTTGGAAGTGAATGATACCTGTAATATAAGTATTTTCTTTTGCGTACGCGTGTTGGGTGTATCCTTGCTGCGGGCCATTTGTTCTGGTAGTTCCCAGACTCTTCCCTTGCGCTCCCCACGGTTGATGCCGAGTGCCGCTTGTGAAGGGTGTGGTGCGGACTGCGCGATTCCCCTCCCAACCAGCCCGACATTTCCCCCTTCTCCCCCAACCCACCACACGCGCTCCGCACATCGGGCTTTGCTCTTCCCTCTGGGGCCATGGACCTAGGGATGTACGAATCATGTGCGACCGACAAATGGTAACTCGGACTAAATTCGTCGCGGGGAAAGAGAACTCGAGGTACGAAACACCAGCGAGCCACTGATGATGAAGTGGAACCTTGGTTCTTGCTTGACCTGCTCTTCACTCCCAAGAACATTGCCACGCCGTTCTCCACCACTCCCATCCCATCCTTATCGCCATTGACCTGGTCAGGCGTAGGTAGACACTTGACACAGCATTCAGGGGAGATCAAGAAGCTGCTCACTGAACTTCTGTGTTCCTGACACGTGATTCTGTTCCGACAGGAAACCAGGCGGATAAGGCAGGAATCCAGTTTGGTGGTTTGCATTCTGTTCTGGGAACCCGTTGAACGTTCGCCGCTGAAGGCCGTCACTTCCATTCGTTTGCTATTCATCGGGCGATTGAGCAACGATTGCACGGCCGGTTCAGCTGATTGTTCGTTTCACTAGTTTAGTAATTGCACAACCGTTCGTCACCGATGCTTCGTCGCAATCCCACACGAATCGAGTTGAAACCGGAGGATCGCGAAGAGTATTTTGAAGCCAGGCGACTCGCAGCCGCCGCCGCAGCCGCTGCCGCTGCAGCTAGTGCTCCCGGAACCAGCGGTGTGGGAGGAGGTGCACCTTCGGCGAACCTTCTTGCAGCAGCGCGGTTGGAGTCTGCGTTTCAGGGGAATCGAGCCTCTGGCGCTAGGACGGGCCTCCAGAACTAGAGTTTTTTTGTTCCAATCGGGCTTTCAAGATCTCGGGAATTCTGCTGCTGTTAGCGATCTAGGGATTGATTCTCACCCTTCAGGCGATTGCGAATTCCGGAGACCTCCTTGCTAGCTGATTCGCGATTCCTTTAGGTCGTCCGAAGTCCAAGAGTTGATTTAGGTCATTTCAATTTCGCTTCTGTAGCCCCTCCTGCCGTGCTAGGCTAACCTCAGGCGTCCAGCTTTCCCCTTTCGTTAGACTTGTGTGTTTCTTGGCGTGTTTGCTACCGGCCTGCACCCATGTTCCCGTGCTCGAGTGCGCGCGTCGCCCCTACTCCGTCCTTCCTCTCGGGCGTCACTCCGCTGCCGCGAAGGTTACAGCAACCTGCGACCTCGCCGGTTCAGGTAAATGTTCCTTGCCTTAGCTACCACTCTGCACCCATGTTCCCGTGCTCGAGTGCGCGCGTCGGCCCTACTCCGTCCTTCCTCTCGGGCTTCATTCCATTGCCGCGAAGGTTACATACAGCGACCTGCTACCTCGCCGGTTCAGGTAATCTTATAGAGGTGTTCCGTGCTTTAGGTCTGCACCCATGTTTCCGTGCTTGAGCGCGCCCGCCTCCTCCACTCTGTCTGTCCTACCTCTCGGACTCCACACCCTGTTGACGAAGGCTACAGCGACCTGCTATTTTACCATTTCAGGCAATTTCAGAGCCTCTTTTGCTATAGGTATGCACCCGTGCTCCCTTATCACGTCTTTCAACCTTTTCCCCTCTCAACTGTTTCCACTATTTCTTTCCCCCTCTTATTTTCAGGGGGGGAGTGGGCTGCTGCAGGTGGTGGCGAGGAGGGAAACGAGGGAGAGGAGGGAGGGAAGGCACAAGGGTCCCACCTGTTTGATGTGGAGCGGTGTTGGGGTGAGTATTGGGACGAAGGGCGGAAGCGGGGTAAGGGATTGTAGCCTGCTGCGGATAAGCCGCACAGTCTTCCCAGTGTGCCGCCTGCCGCCCCTGCGCTCTGCTCTCTGTGCCGCTCTCTCGCCCACCTCTCTCACGCCCCTCTCCCCCACCCACCTCCCACTCCCCCTCTCAGACCACCAGGTGCCATGTAAGCCGCACAGTCTTCCCAGTGCGCCGCCTGCTGCCCCTCCGCTCTGCTCCGGGCGACAGCGCAGGCATCACAGCAAGGGAGGACGCTCCCCTAATTTTCAACGAGGTGGAATACTCCCCGGACGGACTCGCTGTGGTCAAGGCCGACCCGCTGCTGGCGTCCCACGAGCCCCACCTGCGCTACCGCTATGCCCAGTTCCTCAAGCTCAAGAGGGCGCTGGAGCAGCACGAAGGAGGGTTGGAGCAGTTCTCCCGAGGTGAGCCATTTGTGGAAGGGTGGGCCAAGTAAGAGTTATCATCCAGTTCGGACCACCATCCCCTCCCTGCCTCCCCACCTACCCCCCACCTGCTGGCGTCTCACGAGCCCCACCTGCGCTACTGCTACGCCCAGCTCCTCAAGCTCAAGAGGGCGCTGGAGCAGCACGTAAGGGGGGCTGGAGCATTTTTCTCTCTGTTTATTCATTGTTGACGTCTTGCTTTCCCTCTGCTTGTTGTTTGCATGTGGCTGTGCGTGGCTGGCAGGGTATGAGACGATGGGCTTCACGCGGGAGAAGGACGCCATAGTCTACCGCGAGTGGGCCCCTGCTGCCACGTGAGTTGCAAAGGGTGATGTGGGCTTTAAGGCCCTGCTGTCACGTGAGTTGCAAGGGGTGAGCTGGGCTTTAAGGCCCTGCTGTCACGTGAGCTGGGCTTTATGGCCCCCTGCTGTCACGTGAGTTGCAAGGGGTGAGCTGGGCTTTAAGGCCCTGCTGTCACGTGAGTTGCAAGGGGTGAGCTGGGCTTTAAGGCCCTGCTGCCACGTGAGTTGCAAGGGGTGAGCTGAGCTTTAAGGCTCTGCCGCCACCGCGTGAGGTCTCTTCTTAAAAGTCCATACTGCCACATGAGTCATACACCAAGCAAAGACGTAATCCTCCAGGTATGTATGAGAACATTGTGTAAGAGCAACTTGTGCCTTCTCTGTATGCATGAAAGCAATGCATGTTTCCCATATATGCATGAGAGCAACACATGCCTCCCATGTATGCATGAGAGCAACCTGTTATCTTCTCATGCCACAGCCAGTGATGGATGGGGACTATGTGTGCTTATGCGACCGACTTCACCCATGCGCACTTATGTCCTCGCTGTACTAGGTGAAGTCGTTCGTGTAAGTGCATACTCTTCCCATGATTGCCTGTGGCATGGGAGGAGGCATGTTTTTCTAATGCAGACGTGGAAGGCACGCGTTGCTCTCATGCATACTTGGAAACCACCTTATCCACTCTTCCGCCCCCCTCCTCCTCCTCCTACCCCCCTTTTTTACGTTCACAGTGTCGCCCAGCTTCGGTGTGTGGTCCGCGCGCTAGACAGACACACCCCAACCTAATCTCCTCTTTCCCCTTGCCCCCCTTCCCGTACCCACTCCCCTTCCCTCTTCCATCTCCCTTTATGTGGTCCGTGCAGCAACCATACAGACACACCAAATGTAATATGCTCTTTCCCTTCTCCTTCCCTCTTCCCCTCCCCCAAACCCTCCCCCCTTCTTCTTGTTACACTCACAGAGCCGCCCAGCTAGTGGGTGACTTCAACGGGTGGAACGGCGAGTCGTGCTGGATGGAGCGCAACCATTTTGGCGTGTGGTCCGTGCGGCTACCAGACAGAGACGGCCGCCCGGCGATCGCGCATGGATCGCGGGTGAAGATTCGGCTGCAGAAGGGGGACGGCGGGTGGGTGGAGCGAATCCCGGCTTGGATCAAATGGGCCACGGCTGAACCGGGGAAGATGGGCGCGTGCTACGATGGCATCTACTGGGACCCTCCGGCCAATGAGAAGTGAGTTGGCTTGTGTGAATCATGTGCGTCAGAAGATTGAATGAAGATTCGGCTGCAGAAGGGGGACGGAGGGTGGGTGGAGCGCATCCCAGCGTGGATTAGATGGGCTAACGAGAGGTGAGTGAGCTTGTGTGGTTAGGGAACGGTGGTACGTTGTGTCCAGTGGCGGATCCCTAGAGAATGACTGCCCTATGAATCTAGAAAGATCCCCTCTGTCTTCTCCTCCCTGAACCCCACCCCCTCCGCATTCCTTCCCCTGCAGGTACCAGTTCAAGTGCCCGCACCCTCCCAAGCGCGACACCCCACGAATTTATGAAGTCCACGTGGGGATGAGCTCAGAGGAGCCTCGTGTGGCCTCCTACCTCTCTATACGCCGCCCCTTCTCCCCTTGCCTCCCTCACCCCTGCAGGTACCAGTTCAAGTGCCCGCGGCCCCCTAAACCTGCTGCCCCACGAATTTATGAAGTCCACGTGGGGATGAGCTCAGAGGAGCCTCGTGTGGCCTCCTACCTCTCTATACGCCGCCCCTTCTCCCCTTGCCTCCCTCACCCCTGCAGGTACCAGTTCAAGTGCCCGCGGCCCCCTAAACCTGCTGCCCCACGAATTTATGAAGTCCACGTGGGGATGAGCTCAGAGGAGCCCCGAGTGGCCTCCTACGTGCATTTCGCCAACTCGGTGCTCCCACGCATAAAGGCCGCCGGCTACAACACCATCCAGCTCATGGCCGTAGAAGAGCACTCCCGGCTGTAGCAGAGCACTCCCGGCTGTAGCAGAACACTCTCTCCCACCATGCAGCAGTGCCTTCTCTCCCACCATGCAGCAGTGCCTCACTCTTTTCTCACCCCCCTTCCCCATCCCTGCAGGTACCAGTTCAAGTGCCCTCGTCCCCCTAAACCCGATGCCCCTCGCATCTACGAGGCCCACGTGGGGATGAGCTCGGAGGAGCCCCGAGTGGCGTCCTACGTGGAATTCGCCAACTCGGTGCTCCCACGCATCAAGGCCGCCGGCTACAACACCATCCAGCTCATGGCCGTCGCCGAGCACTCCTACTACGCCTCTTTCGGTTACCACGTTACCAACTTCTTCGCCGTCAGCTCCCGATCCGGCACCCCGGAAGATCTCAAGTACCTGGTGGACACGGCGCATTCGCTCGGGATTCGCGTGTTCATGGATTTGATTCACTCGCATGCGAGTAATAATGCGTCTGACGGGCTCAACGGGTTTGATTTCGGGCAGTCGGCAGCCGATTCGTATTTCCACACGGGGGAGCGGGGGTATCACAGGCTGTGGGACAGCCGGTGCTTTAATTACTCGAACTGGGAGGTGTTGCGGTTCCTGCTCTCTAACCTCCGGTACTGGCTCGAAGAGTTTCAGTTTGATGGGTTTCGCTTCGACGGTGTGACTTCTATGCTGTATCACCACCGGGGGATCGGAATGTCGTTTTCCGGTGATTACCATGAGTATTTCTCCACGTCGACGGATGTAGACGCGGTGGTTTATTTGATGCTTGCAAATGATTTGATTCACGGGGTGCGGCCGGATGCGACGACGATCGCGGAGGATGTTTCGGGCATGCCGACGCTGGGCCTGCCGGTGCCGATCGGAGGGGTGGGGTTTGATTATAGGCTTGCCATGGCGATTCCGGACCGTTGGATCGAGTATTTGAAGGATCGGAGAGACGAGGAGTGGAGCATGCGGGAGATTGTGCACACACTGACGAACCGGAGATACACGGAGAAATGTGTTGCATACGCTGAGAGCCACGACCAGGTGAGGTCACAATGAAAGGTTCAAGGCATGACCTGGTCTGGTGAGCACACTTGAACTGTGCACACGCTGACGAACCGGAGATACACAGAGAAGTGTGTTGCGTAAGCTGAGAGTCATAACCAGGTGAGATACATAAGAATAAGGTGAAAGGTATGAGGTATGACCAGGTGAGAACGCCTGGATTGTGCACACGCTGACGAACCGGAGATACACGAAGAAGTGTGTTGCATACGCTGAGAGTCACGATCAGGTGAGCGAGCGCACACTCTCTTATAAAGGTCCAGATGAGCGCACTTCAATTAAGGTCAAGTGATCTCTTCGAGCAAGGTGAAAGGCATGAGCAGGTGAGGCAAACGGCAGGACCAGGTGGGTGAGTGAGAATTCTGTTTTGCAGTCACCACCGAGATGTGAAGTGCATCCCATGTGTTGAGTCCCATGAACACGTGCTTTGAGCAACGTCCTTGCTGTCACATGTGTCCTCACCACCTGCACAGGGAACAGAGCTCAAGAAACCCACTCCTTGCTGTTCTCACCCTCACCCCTTGAGCTCTGTGCCCTGTGCCCTCCCCCTTCCAATCCGCTCTCCTACTCCTCCCCCACCAGTCCATGGTGGGAGACAAGTCATTCGCCTTCCTCCTCATGGACTCAGACATGTACTTCCACATGTCCGTGCTCGAGAAGTCAACCCCTGTTCTCGTTACCCCCACTCCCTTGTGCCTTGCGCCCTGTGCCCCCTGCCCGCCCTCTCCCTCCCAGTCCATGGTGGGAGACAACTCCTTCGCCTTCCTGCTCATGGACTCGGACATGTATTTCCACATGTCCGTGCTTGAGAAGCCAGTTCGTGCTATCATGTCAACCTTACCCTTTTGTGCGCTGTGTCGTCCCCATCACCCCCCCTTCTTATCTTCACCAGTCCATGGTAGGAGACAAGTCGTTCGCCTTCCTGCTCATGGACTCAGACATGTACTTCCACATGTCCGTGCTCGAGAAGCCAACACCTGCTGTCTTTACCCTCACTCCCTTGTGCCGTGCTCCCTGTGCCCCCCCTACCCCGCCCTCTCCCCACCAGTCTATGGTGGGAGACAAGTCGTTCGCCTTCCTGCTCATGGACTCACACTTGTACTTCCACATGTCCGTGCTCGAGAAGCCAACCCCTGCCGTCCTGATCCTCACACCTTGAGACCTGTGCCCTGTGCCCTGTGCCCTGTGCCCTGTGCCCTGTGCCCTGTGCTCTGTCCTTCCACCCTTTCAAACCCCCTCTCCTCCCCCGTCCCCCCAGTCCATGGTGGGAGACAAGTCGTTCGCCTTCCTGCTAATGGATTCAGACATGTATTTCCACATGTCCGTGCTTGAGAAGGCCACTCCTGCTGTCGAGAGGGGTGTTGCTTTGCACAAGGTGAGCTGCTGTGGGAAGTGGGTGTATACACGCATGTGTGCGTGCATGCATGTGCGTGTGTAGTTTGGGATGGAGGGCATGTGTGCATGCATGTGTGGGTGTGTGTGCTGTGCGCATTAATGGGGAGTGAGGGATGTAGGGCATGTGTGCATCTCACGTGTCTGTGCTTTAGAAATCAGCTCCTGCTGAGTCAAGCCGCGCTGCCTTGCCCAAGACAGTTTTTTTTTTTTTTTTTTTTTTTTTTTTTTTCAGATGCCATTCACTGCCTCACTTCTCATTGCTGTACCTTTGTCGGTTGACTCAGACGGCTTACACACCTTTCCATACCTCTCCTCTCATCTCCTCCCGTCCCATCTCTCCCCTCCTCTTGCCTGGTCCAGATGATCCATTTCATCACCATGGCGCTGGGAGGCGATGGCTACCTCAACTTCATGGGCAATGAGGTAAAGGATGTGATGTGAGTGTATGGATGTGAGTATGGATGTGAGTGTATGGATGTGAGTATGGATGTGAGTGTATGGATGTGAGTATGGATGTGAGTGTGTGGATGTGAGTGTATGGATGTGAGTGTGTGGATGTGAGTGTATGGATGTGAGTGTGTGGATGTGAGTGTATGGATGTGAGTGTATGGATGTGAGTGTGTGGATGTGAGTGTACGGATGTGAGTGTATGGATGTGAGTGTATGTACGCATGTGGCAATAGTTCAATTGACATCTTTCTATGTGAATTTCAAGACAGAATTGGACGAAAAGATTTCACAATTTTCTCCTAGAAACATGTCTTAATAAACTATGTTTTTTTTTTACTTATTTCTGCCTGTATCCCTCATTCCTCCTCCTTTCCCTATCCTCATCCTTCGTTGCCCATCAGTTCGGGCATCCGGAGTGGCTGGACTTCCCTCGCGAGGGCAACAACTGGAGCTACGACCGCTGCCGGCGGATGTGGCACCTCCGAGACGACAAGCTGCTGCGCTACCAGGTGGGTGCAATGCGGTGCCAGGTGAGATATGAGTGGTGCGGTGTATGTAGAGTGTGGTGTGGCACACTAGTTAGTAGTTGCTATCAGGCACAGGTGGTAGGAGGTTAGGATTCTCACCGGTGCAGGAGGATGTGGCACCTCAGTCAGAGACGACAAGCTGCTGCGGTACCAGGTGAGAGCACTGCGGTACCTGGTGAGAGCACTGCGGTACCAGGTAAGAGCACTGCGGTACCAGGTAAGAGCATTGCGGTACCAGGTGGGAGCAATGCAGCACCCCACCTGCCCACCCTCCCTGCCCTTCCTCCCTTCAACCAGTATCGTCACCCATGACCTTCCTCCCTTCTCTTTCCCCCCTTCCCCATCCCCACCCATCTTTTGTTACCCCCTCTCCAACTCTCGTGCAGCACATGAATCGGTTTGACCAGGCAATGAACGCGCTGGATGAGAAGTATCATTTCCTCCCCATCCCCCCGCCCCACCCCCTCCCCGTTCCGTCTCCCCCCCCCCCCCCCCCCCCCCCCACTCCCTGCAGCACATGAATCGGTTTGACCAGCAATGAACGCGCTGGATGAGAAGTATTGCTTCTTCCCCATTCCCGCACGCACACTCCCTTCCTGTCCCCGCTCCCTCCCCCCTCTCCCAACTCTCGTGCAGCACATGAATCGGTTTGACCAGCCAATGAACGCGCTGGATGAGAAGTATCACTTCCTAGCTGCCGACCATCAGATGGTATCATCACCCACGCCCTCCCTCGCCTTCCCCCTCCCCCCACACTCCCTCCCCCCCCGCTCCCTATCTGTGCAGCACATGAATCGGTTCGACCAGGCAATGAATGCTCTGGATGAGAAGTACCGCTTCCTTGCCGCGGACCATCAACTACTATTGTCAGCCATGCCCTTCCTCTCTTCTCCCCCGCCCCCAACCCCCACCATCCCCCTCCTCTTCCCTCCTCCCCCTCCTCCCCACTCCCCACTTCCCCTCCCCCCCCGCTCCCTATCTGTGCAGCACATGAATCGGTTCGACCAGGCAATGAATGCTCTGGATGAGAAGTACCGCTTCCTTGCCGCGGACCATCAACTAGTATTGTCAGCCATGCCCTTCCTCTCTTCTCCCCCGCCCCCAACCCCCACCATCCCCCTCCTCTTCCCTCCTCCCCACTCCCCACTTCCCCGCCCCCCCCCCTCTTTCTTGCAGCACATGAATCGGTTCGACCGGGCAATGAATGCGCTGGATGAGAAGTATCACTTCCTTGCCGCGGACCATCAGATTGTGTCCAGTGCAGATGAGAAGGACCGGGTGAGTGAGTGAGTTAGTGAGTGTGAGTGGGAGTGGGAGTGGGAGTGGGAGTGGGAGTGGGAGTGGGAGTGGGAGTGGGAGTGGGAGTGGGAGTGGGAGTGGGAGTGGGAGTGGGAGTATGGGAGTAAAGGTTCCAATAAAACATCCTAAATGCTTTGTAACACGTTTCGTAACCCTTTCCCATAACCCCTTACAAGTCAAAAAATTGTCCCAAAAGTTAAGCTCTTTCACACCTTGTGTGTTGCTCCATCCATCCGGTTCAGGTGATTGTGTTTGAGCGGGGAGATCTCCTGTTCGTCTTCAACTTCCATCCCACTAAAACCTATGAGGGGTACGTCTTCTGGTGCTCATGCACCCTCCCTTTCCTCCTTCATCTCTTCCCCCTTCCTTGCTCTCCTCGTCATCAACTTTTATCCCATCAACGCCTAAAGGGGTACGACTTCTGGTGCTGTTTCATGCTTCGTTCCACCATGACTTATCAGAAGTACTTTTGTTGCTGCTTTTGCGTCCTCCTCACTCTCTTCTTCCCCTTTTTTGGTTGATTTTCTACGACTTCCGTTCCGTCCCACTGATACCTACGAGGGGTACACCTCTAGCTGCTAGTGCGCTCTCCTCACGCCCCCCTCCCTACCCGTTTCCCATTCTTTGTCGTCAACCCTCACGTTCCATCCCACCAACACTTAAGAGGGGTGCGTCTCTCGCTCCTCATGCATCCCCTCCCCTCCCCTGTGATTTCCCCTTTCTCCCCTGCCCGCACAGCTACAAGGTGGGGTGCAAGGAGCCTGGCAAGTGGCGAGTGGTGCTGGACAGCGATGCCATTGAATTCGGGGGCCAGGGGCGGGTGAGTGCGAGTTTATGAGCAGAGGAGAGGCAGGGGAGTGGCCTTGATAGTAATTCTATTGAATTCGGGGGCCAGGGGCGGGTGAGTTAGTGTTTCTGGGCAGAGGACACAGTCTGGGGAGTGAGTATGAGGCAGAGGAGGGAGTTTGAAAGCAAGAGAGAGTCACAAGGTGGGATGCAAGGAGCCAGGCAAGTGGCGAGTGGTGCTCGACAGTAACGCTATCAAATTCGGGGGCCAGTGACGGGTGAGTGAAATTCCAAAGGCAGAGGTGTCATGTCAGTTTGGAGACAGAGAGGAGTCATCTGGGAGTTTCTTGGCAAGTTCTGGACTGCAATTTGAAAGTTGTGAGTAGGCCAGTTGTTGGGAAGGGATATGGGATATGGGAACTCTCAAGAAGGGGGAACGGGGAAGGGGGGAAGAAGGGGAGCAGAGAGGACGAGTGAGGAAGGATGAGGGATTGGATGGTGCAGTTGTGGATGGTGCCTGTGCGATGGATGGTGATGCAGAGAGTGTGGATAGGGAGGCGGGAAAGGCAGGCGCAGGGAGGTGAGTAGCGAGAAGTCAACGAGAGGGAGGTACGCTGCACTGTTTGTACAAGCTCTCAGCAGATATCCAACTCTTGCTCCCTCACTCGTGCCATCTCAGCTTCTACTACTTTTCTCTTGCTTTCCGGCTTTCACACCTGTCCTGTGTGTTGCTCTTTGTTCTTTTTTTCTTTCCCTGCCCTGCCCGAGTGCAGGTAGGCCATGACGTGGACCACTTCACATCGCCCGAAGGCATTCCAGGCCGCCCGGAAACAAACTTCAACAACCGCTGCTGCTCCCTCCTTGTTCTCTCTCCGCCTAGAACCTGCCAGGTAAGCTACTGTATGTACTCGTGCAAGCTATTTCTTCCAGCAGCATTGCACCCTGAAATGTTGAGGTTCTGGCTTTAATGTGTGCTCAAACTTTTTGCCCTGTCTTGCCATGGCAGGTGTATGCACGGGTAAAGGAGGATGAACCCCCTTCCACTAAGCCTCCAGCAAAGAGCGCTTTCAAGTTCATTGTGCCTCCCAGTCCGCTTCAGCTGAAGTGAATTAGTCGGTGCTTGTAGGCTGGTGTGTAAAGAGATTCTTCACCACGCGTTGGTTATTGGTGCCAAACTACCAGAGTTGCTACTGATATAAAATTTCTTTAACCTTGATCACTATTTTCTCATACAGTACCTGAAGTTGATTTTAGCGGTAATATGAATTTCGTCTTTGAGACCTGGTGGTACCATTGTAACTCTGCCATAACTTTGTGACCGTCGCAGCGGCTGCGAAGTCGTAACGTGGCTGCGCGAGCTGCCTGGTTTCGTAGTTTCGAAGTTGAATCTGGAAATGGAAACAGATGTTCCCAAGGTCACCGATGTTGTCAGAAAGTTGATTGACCCTTGCAGCTCAAGTGTCAATATATTCATTGACGCTCTAAACCCGAGCCAACCACTGCATTGTGTAACCTAACCGTTTTGCAGCGTAACACATCTACTTGAAGAACACCAAAGATCACTCATTTCACAACTTCTGAAACTGTATATGGCTAGTCTGCCTGGTTGGCACTGAGGCTCGAGAACGAGATGTCAGAAGTCGACGCGCCGCGACGTGTAAAGTAATCGGTTAACTTCTAGTGACTCTCGAAAGCTCTTAGGTATAGCGTAAACGGCGTTGCCGTTTCTCGCCAAGCAAAATGGCTTCCGCATCGGCCTCCTCGTCGTCTTCCGCCTCATCAACCATTTCCTCTTCCGGGGGGACTTCCGCTTCCGCCTCCTCATCCCTCGCAGCGGGGCTTGCGCGCAAGTTGCGGAAGGTCCTCGACACGCGCACGGACTCCCCCGAGCTGCTGGCAGCGCTCGGCGCGCTTTCGGGCTTCTACCGCGAAAACTCGCTGGCCAATCGGCGCGCTTTGAAGTCCACGATTGAGCGTAGAGGATTGGCTATTAACGAGGAATTTCTTCAGGCGTCGGAAGCTGCTCAGGAGGTACCAGATGGTCTTTACGATGCGGCTTGAAAGGCCTGGAATCTGCTGTTCATGGCAACGAGCTGTCATTTCGATAATAGAGAATCATGAGTCAATAGCGAGTCGACATGACGGTACCGATTCATGGGGATACTAGAAGTTTCTGAAACGTGCACCAAGACGCATCTGATTTCGTATCTCAAATTCTATCCGCATCTCCCTCCGCATTCGCGTCTGCATCTGCAATTCTGCCTGATCCCCTCATTCCCTCTCCTCTCCCCATTCTTCCCGCCTCCCTTCTCCCCTCTTCCCCCACCTCCCCTTGTTCCCTCCCCCTCTCATGCAGGCGCTAGATGTGGTAGAAGCGGAGGTGCGGGGCCTTGCAGAGTGCTGCGACAGGTGAGGGCGTGGGGGAAGAGGCAAGTATACACCGATGCAGCTTGTGTCATGTGTCACGCACGGTAAGTATCACGTGTCACGCCTTGTTTTCACCTGGTAGTACTGGTCTCACCAGGTGCGGACGTTGCACCTGGTAGGTATCAAGACTTGGTTGGTTTGCCACTCCGTGTTTCTCCCGCCTCTGCTAGGTTTTGTGTTCAGTCACATTTGACTGACAGTGTCAGGGTTTCTGTCTAGACACACTTTGACAGAAACTGATAACGTGACTGACAGAGACTATTAACGTGACTGAGACTGCTAGCGTGACTGAGACTGCTAGCGTGACTGAGACTGCTAGCGTGACTGAGACTGCTAGCGTGACTGATACTGCTAGCGTGACTGGGACTGCTTGCGTGACTGAGACTGCTTGCGTGACTGAGACTGCTTGCGTGACTGAGACTGCTAACATGACTGAGACAGCTGACCTGACAGGTGAAGCTAATGCTGCCCCTACATCTTTTGCCGACAGGTGATATAGAGAGTGCTGCTAGTTTGACAGAGACTGCTAGCCTGACAGGCTGTTAACCTGACTTAAGTTTCTCTTTCGTTTTCCCCTTCCACTGATCGACGCCTGACTGACCACCTGTGCGTCAACAACAGGCGCGATGGTGCTGGTCACAGAGGGGCTCAAGCTGCCCTGCTCTCCATCTGCTCCTCCCCGCTACTATCTGCTCCCCCTTCTTCCCCTTCCACCCAGAATCGGTGCAGCACTGACCACATGCGCGTCAACAACAGGCGACATGGTGCTGGCAACAGAGAGGCTCAAGCTGCCCTGCTTTCCATCAGCTCCCTCCGGCTACTCTCTTCTCCCCCCTCCTCAGAATCGGCGCGGCACTGACCACATGTGCGTCAACAACGGGAGACATGGTGCTGGCAACAGAGAGGCTCAAGCTGCCATACCATATCCTTTGTCGCTCTCCTTTTTTCCCTCTTCTTTTTTCTCTCTCCTCGTATTCAGAATCGGTGCCGCTCTGACCACGTGTGCGTCAACAACGGGAGACATGGTGCTGGCAACAGAGCGGCTCAAGCTGCAGCTGTTTACCATCAGCTCCCTCCTGCTTCTCTGTGGTCTCCCCTCTCCTCCTCAGAATCGGCGCAGCACTGACCACATGCGCGTCAACAACGGGAGACATGGTGCTGGCAACAGAGCGGCTCAAGCTGGAGCTGGTTACCACAGTGCGGCGCCAGCAGCTCGTTGCAGCCTTTCTCAGAAGCTACCAGCTCTCGCCACAGGAGGTGAGAGTTGTGTCTGCCACCTGAGCTGGTTACTTCTTGAGCTAGTTACTTCCTGAGCTGGTTACTACCTGAGCTGGTTACCACTTCTTTTCAGGTTTTTTTTCTAGATTTTTTTAGAACGACCTGCAACAATGTCTGCCACAAGAGGTGGTTACTATCTGAGCGGGTGGTAACCATCGTTCGTTTCCAGCAGCTGGTCCCTCGTCTCACCCAAACTCCAAATGTTCTCACATTTCTGCTTCCTGCTTCCTTCTCTTTCGCTCCCACCCGTGCCCCTCACCACCTCAGGTGCAAGCACTGCGGGAGGACGAGATCAGCGAGAAATTCTTCGAGGCGCTGAACCGAGTGCACGAGATTCATGCCAACTGCAAGCTGCTGCTGCGCACCCACCACCAGGTAACCCGGTTTTTGAGAATTCTCAAAAAACTTAACTGTAGTCTGAGGCTCTTAGCTTCCGATCTGTAGTCTGAGGCTCTTAGCTGAACTGAAGCATGTGATGTGGATCAAGCACAGCACCAGAAAACGAGTTGATGCTGCAGCACACAGACCGTCGGATGAGTGAGAAGCTCTTTGAGGCGCTGAACCGAGTGCATGAGATGAGATGAGATGAGATCCACGCCAACTGCAAGCTGCTGCTGCGCACTCAGCACCAGGTAACTGCCAATTGGGTGACCCTGCTGCTGTGCACGCACCACCAGTGAACCCTGCTGCTGTGCACGCACCACCAGTGAACCCTGCTGCTGTGCACGCACCACCAGTGAACCCTGCTGCTGTGCACGCACCACCAGTGAACCCTGCTGCTGTGCACGCACCACCAGTGAACCCTGCTGCTGTGCACGCACCACCAGTGAACCCTGCTGCTGTGCACGCACCACCAGTGAACCCTGCTGCTGTGCACGCACCACCAGTGAACCCTGCTGCTGTGCACGCACCACCAGTGAACCCTGCTGCTGTGCACGCACCACCAGTGAACCCTGCTGCTGTGCACGCACCACCAGTGAACCCTGCTGCTGTGCACGCACCACCAGTGAACCCTGCTGCTGTGCACGCACCACCAGTGAACCCTGCTGCTGTGCACGCACCACCAGTGAACCCTGCTGCTGTGCACGCACCACCAGTGAACCCTGCTGCTGTGCACGCACCACCAGTGAACCCTGCTGCTGTGCACGCACCACCAGTGAACCCTGCTGCTGTGCACGCACCACCAGTGAACCCTGCTCCTGTGCACGCACCACCAGTGAACCCTGCTGCTGTGCACGCACCACCAGTGAACCCTGCTGCTATGAGCTGTGCATGTGTTCACAACCCGTTTCTTAGCCTTGGAATCCCCTATCCATGAAAATATCCCCCTTTCTTTGTGCTATTCTCCTCCCCTTCCAACCCCTCTCTCTTTCTTAAAGGTTCTCGAAAGTCGCTCAAAGGGGCTGCAGAGACCTTTTTTTTCACATCCCCCCTGCTCCTGCTTCCCTCAGAGGGCGGGGCTTGAGCTGATGGACGGACCTGATGGCCGTATAGCAGGAGGGGAACTTTCGAGTCGACTCAGAACTCACCTCGCATATCCCCTTTTTCCTCCCTCCTCTCTCTTCCCCCCCCTTTTTCCCCAACTCTCTTCCCCCCCTTCCCCTTCCACTACCCCCCTCAGAGGGCGGGGCTGGAGTTGATGGATCTGATGGCAGTGTACCAGGAGGGGGCGTATGAGAGGTTAATGCTGTCATTTCCCCTTCTCCCCGCGTTCCCCCTCCCCTTCCCCACTGCCTTTCCCTCCTTCCGTCGCCTCCTCCCCCCAGAGGGCGGGACTGGAGCTCATGGATCTGATGGCCGTGTACCAGGAGGGGGCGTATGAGCGACTATGCAGGTGAGGGTGGACCCGGGGAAGGCTGAACGTGAGGAGGATTGGATCCGGGGAGGAATGAGGAGCACTAAGAGTGCAAGCTGATGGATCTGATGGTACCAGGAGGGGGCGTATGAGTGACTGTGCAGGTGAGGCTGAGGTGGGGAAGGCTAGACCGAGAGCAAGAGAGCATGGGTTTGTGGATCTGACAGGGGCATTCGAGATACAGGCGGGTGGGTGCAGGCAGCATGTCGCAGCTCAGGTGACCGCGGCAGCAACGGGGACACGCGTGGAGTTTCGTCTCTGTTGACATGCACTGCACTCGCCTCTGGCCCTCTGGTGCTTCCAACACCTCTCTCCCCCGATTCTTCATTCCTTTTTTCCTCCCTCACCCCTCCTCTCCCCCCCACCCCTCCCCAGGTGGGTGCAGGCGGAGTGTCGCAGCCTGGGGGACAGCGATGGGGACACACCTGAAGTGGGCCCACTGCTGCGCACTGCAGCACATTGCCTTAAAGACCGCCCCGTGCTCTTCCGCTACTGCACAGAGGAGGTAAGGTGATTGGTGCAATGAGGAGGTGAGGTGCTGTGGCGAGTTTAGAACCGAATCCAGCACATAGCAATGCATTGCCTCAAGGACCGCCCCGTGCTCTTCCGCTACTGCACCGAGGAGGTGAGGTGGTGGACCGAAAAGGGTTTAGTCCGGCAGCGTGTGATGTCCAAAAGGTGATCTGATAGTCCGCTCTTGCGCACGACAGCACATTGCCTCAAGGACTGCCCCGTGCTCTTTCGCTACTGCACCGAGGAGGTGAGGTGATTGGCGCACTGAGGAGATGAGCTGGTGGGCCGAATCCCCTGTGCTGCACACAGCGGCGCTGCACTAGGGAGTAGTTGCAGCAAGGACATGACGTGCTGCACACAGCGGCGCTGCACTAGGGAGTAGTTGCAGCAAGGACATGACGTGCTGCACACAGCGGCGCTGCACTAGGGAGTAGTTGCAGCAAGGACATGACGTGCTGCCCTACTTCAGCCATAGAAGCTTGTTTAGGCTGCAGCTCGCCTAAACAAGCTCGCCTAAACAAGCTCGCCTAAACAAGCTCGCCTAAACAAGCTCGCCTAAACAAGCTCGCCTAAACAAGCTCGCCTAAACAAGCTCGCCTAAACAAGCTCGCCTAAACAAGCTTGCCTAAACAAGCTCGCCTAAACAAGCTCGCCTAAACAAGCTCGCCTAAACAAGCTTCTATGGCTGAGGGAGTAGTTGCAGCAAGGACATGACGTGCTGCCCTACTTCTCGCTTCCTGTCATATTGAGACTGTATAGTCCACACAGTGCTGCCTTCATGCACACCTGTGCTGCCCTGCTACTCACTTCCTGTGACTAGCTGGTTCACCACGCCACTCTGGTTGAAATAAAAGCCTTCATACACACACTCTCAAACGCTCTTAGAACTTGCACTGTGAGTACTTCGCAAAGCGCACGTTTCAAAAAGCGTTTGAATGAAGACTTTTATTTCAACTGGAGTGGCGTGAGGACTGTCACATTGAGTATTGCTGCCCTCTTTGTATTTTTTACTCAGTAGTCACATTGCATATTGGTGCTCTCGTTCCATCCATCCCATCCCCACTTCAACCTTCTCTACCCCACTTCAAAATGCACTCTTCATCGCTGCTCTCATCCCCCTTCCCTTCTTTACCCCCCATGATGGCACGGACGCCACCTCCCCCTCTGTTCCCCTCTTTTCCAGGTGGCCAACACGCGCCACAACGCACTCTTCCACCGCTTCATTGCTGCTCTCACGCGTGGCAGGCCGGGCGGCATGCCTCGTCCCATTGAGGTGCATGCGCACGACCCGCTGCGATACGTCGGCGACATGCTGGCATGGCTGCACCAGGTGAGAGAGGCGTGCTGACGTGGCAGGCTGGGCGGCATGCCTCGTCCCATCGAGGTGCTTGCGCATGATCGGCTGCGATACGTTGGCGGCATGCTGGCGTGGCTGCACTAGGTGAGAGAGTCGGACATGCTGGCGTGGCTGCACTAGGTGAGAGAGTCGGACATGCTGGCGTGGCTGCAATAGTTGAGCCAGATTTGCTTAAGTGGCGGCACCAGGTAAGTGAGGCATTTTGACGTGACTGCACCAGGTGAGGCATGCTGACGTGGCTCCCTCCCTCCCCTCCTTTCTCCCCTGCAATTCCCCTCTCCCAGGCACTAGCCTCAGAGAAAGAGTTGGCTGCAGCTTTATTCGCCAACACAGATAAACCCTCATCCACGTCAGCAGAATCAGGAGAAGGGGGAGCAAGGGCAGGGGGGGTGGATGCTGACGTGGCAGCGGTGCTGGACCGCGTATTTGAGGGCGTGTGCCGGCCATTCAAAGTGCGTGTGGAGCAGGTGCTGACGGGGCAGCCGGGGCTCGTGCTGTGCTACAAGCTCTCCAGCCTCCTCTCCTTCTACTGTCACACTGTGAGTGCTACAGTGTTGCAGCCTGCTATCCAGTGTGCCAAAGTGCGCCTCAAAAGGCAGCTTGGCAGTCAGTGTGCCAGAGTGCGTGAGGAGCAGGTGCTCACGAAGCACCCGGGCCTGGTGAGTGGCTCCAGCCTGCTCTCCAGCCTGCTCTCCTTCTACCGCCACACCGTGAGTTGATCTCCTGTTATTGTCACACGATGGATTTCTCTCCTATTATTGCCACACAGTGATTTTCTCACTTTTTGAAGCGCCCTCTCACGCCCCCAATCCCCGTTCCTGCACCCTGCAGATAGTATTGACCCCTCTCCCTCCTCCCTCCTCATCCTCTCCTCAGGTAGCAGAGTTGCTGGGCGAGAAAGCAGCCCTATGTGTGGTTCTAAGGGACCTCAGTGAAGCAGCAGGGAGGGCGTTTCTCGACGCAGTCAAGCTCAGGGGCGATCGAGTGCTGCGCTTCCCCCCGGCAGTGCCCTCCGACCTCTCCCCCCCGCCTCTCGTGGGGGAAGGAGTGGCGGTGGTGTTGGAGCTACTGCAGGCGCATGCCAGCATGATGGTGCCTGCTGGTGCAGGCAAGCCGGATTTTCTACCCGTTGCTGCTGCTCTGCTAGACCCCCTTGTGGAGGTGAGTTCCTGCCTGTCTCTCCTGTTCCGTTCCCATCACTTCCCCTCCCCTCTTCCGCCTCTCGTGGGGGAAGGAGTGGCGGTGGTGTTGGAGCTACTGCAGGCGCATACAAGCATGATGGTGCCGGCTGGGGCTGCCAAACCGGATTTTTTACCCGTCACTGCTGCGTTCCCAGACCCACTCGTGAAGGTGAGTTCCTTCCATTTTCTCTCTCCGTCTGCACTTGCACACAGGCTCTAACAGCAAAGGCCCTGACTTCTCTCTCCGCCGGCTCCTCCTCCCTTTTCCACTACGCTTCGTATTTGCTCCCACCACCCCTCCCCCTCTCCCCCCTCCCTCTCCTGCTCCCCCCACCTTCAGGTGCACACACGGGCAGCACAGGCCCGCACACCCAAAGCCGTCACTGCTCTCACCTCTGGCTCCTTCCTCCTCTCTCCCTCGCCGCGCGTCTGCCTCTGCGTCCGTGTCCGCTGCAGCAGGAGGGGAGAGTGGGCCACTGGGGAGAAGGGCATCTATGCCTCTAAGAAACTGGGGGAAATTTGCCCCCTCATATGTGCTGCACTCCTCCTCTCTTCCTTTTTCCCCCCCTCCCCCTCCCTTATTTGTAGGTGTGCACGCGCGCAGCACAGGCGCTGACAGCAAAGGCCGTGACTGCTCTCTCCTCGGGCTCCTCCTCTCTCCCTCGCCGCGCCTCTGCTTCTGCATCCATGTCCGCAGCAGCAGGAGGGGACAGCGGGCCATTGGGGAGAAGGGGGTCTGTGCCTGTGGGCAGGAGATCTACTGAAGGGCAGGACGATGGGACGGACAACACGGTGAGTGTTTGTGACTCTGCTTCTGCATCCATGTCCACAGCAGCAGGAGGGGACAGTGGCCCGCTGGGGAGAAGGGGGTCTGTGCCTGTGGGCAGGAGATCTACTGAAGGGCAGGACGTTGGGGCTGAGAACACGGTGAGTGTTTGTGAGCTGGTGAGAGTTTTGAGATGACTCTAATGTGGTATTGGTAGCAGCAGGTGGGGAGAGTGGGCCGCTGGGGAATAAGGGGGTCGCTGCCGCTGGGCAGATGGGCCACTGAAGGAAAGAACAAGGGGGCTGAGAGAATGGTGAGTGTTTCTATGTCAACCGAGAGGGTTGAGAATCGTGTTCCTGCAGCAGGGAGGGAGATCGGCCCACTGGGAAGAAGAGGGTCGTTGCCGCTAGGCAGGCAGGCTACAGATGGGGAGATCGAGGGGGCTGAGAGCACGGAGTGCTCGTCTCAGAGCACATCACAGCCATGGTGCCCCTCGAGGTGGCGGCTATCCTCCACCACTGCATGCTCTCCCCCATCCTCCTTACCTCCTCACCTGTACCCCCCCACCACCACTCCCCCACCCCCCACCTACATCAGGTGGTGGCAGTGGCGAGGCACATCTTCCTCGCCAACTGTCTGGCAGCCCTGCAAGACAGCGCTTCTCTCCTCTCCTCCCCCTCCTCTCACTCTCCTCTTCTTAACGCCTCTTCCTCCCTCTCCCCCCACCTTTTCCCTCATCAGGCGGTGGCAGTGGCACGCCACATCTTCCTCGCCAACTGCCCGGCAGCCCTGCATGCGCCCCTCGCCCCCTGCCAGTGCTGTGAACACCATACGTGCCAGGACCTTATCCCCTTTAACCACCTGTACCTCCCCAACCCCTTCCCCCCATCAGGCGGTGAGTGTCGCGAGGCACATCTTCCTCGCCAACTGCCTGGCAGCTCTGCACGCGCCCCTCGCGCCCTTCCCAGTGCTGACACCATACTCCCAGGGGCTGGCAGGCGCGCTCTCAGAGCACGTCACAGCCATGGTGCAGCTCGAGGTGGCGGCCATTCTCGACCACTGCATGCTCTCTCCCATCCTCCGCCTCATCGCTCAAATCAACCAGGCCTCTCAGCAACAGCAACAACAGCAGCAGCAGCAAGAAGGGGCAGAGGTATCAGCAGCAGGAGCGGCAACCCCCCCGTCGCAGCAGTACCCTCCCTTGGCCCAGTTCCCAGAGGCGTCTCCCTCTGCTGTGGCGGAGTCACTGCAGCGGCTCTTTGCCCTGCTGGCAGGGGCGGAGGGGCGTCTGCCTGAGTTTGAGGCGCTGGGCGTGGCGAAGCTGAGGGCGCAGGCTGCAGGGCTGGTGGCGGGGGCGCTGGCAGATGCGTATGCAGCGGTGTATGACGCGGTGTGTGATGGAAGAAACCAGTACCCGGATGCTGGGGGGCTGTTGCGGCACACACCCGAGCACATGCGCACGATTCTGGGAATTTGAGGCCTGTTTGGTAGGCGTTGATCAGGGGTTGTTTGGCTGGGGGTTCTGGAACTGATTGGGACTGCCTGGGTTTGAGGCGCTGGGGGTGGGAGGGGAAGCTGAGGGCGCAGGCGGCTGGGCTGGTGGCGGGGGCGCTGGCTGATGCGTATGCAGCGGTGTATGACGCAGTGTGTGATGCGCAGAACCAGTATCCTGATGCTGGGGGGTTGTTACGGCACAGACCTGAGCACATGCGCACGATTCTGGGCATTTGATGTGTGGCTGGCGACGTTTTTTTGGTGTTTGGATGAAAGTGTCTGACTGCCCATGTGAGTGTGGACAGGACTGCCTGACTTTGGGGCACCGCAGTGCAGCCAGATGGGTGAACGTGTGCAGTGCAGGCGGCTGGGCTGGTGGCGGGGGCGCTGGCAGATGCGTATGCAGCGGTGTATGAGTCGGTATGTGATGCGCAGAACCAGTACCCCAATGCGCGGAACTGGCACACACCTGAGCTTATGCACACGATTCTGGGCATTTGAAACATTGATAGGGGATGTGTTTCGGTGCAGGTGGTTTTGAGTCGGACTGTTTGGATGTATGGTGCTGGGTGGGGCGAAGCTGAGAGCGCAGGCTGCTGGGCTGGTGGTGGGGGCGCTGGCAGATGCGTATGTGGCGGTGTATGAGGCGGTGTGGGATGAGCACATGCAAAGTAAATTGGGGATAAGAGTTCGTTTGTAGCTCGTTCATCAGAGTCTGGCCAGAGTTTGTTTGGATTATGCTTGATCAAAGCTGGTTCATGCATAAGAGGCAATTGTGATTTTTTTGCATGGAACTTGCCATATTCACGGTAATTTACCGAATGTGGTCAGAATGCGTGCATGGAGTATATATGAAACAACCTGTCATGATGATGATACGGTAATAGCCTTCATAGAGTGCTGTCAGAGTTCGTCATTTTCAAGGACAGATGACTCAGTAGCGAGGATAGGTTCTGGACAATCCCCCATGAGTCCTGGTAGGTAGTGTGGTGGTGAATTGTTGCGTGGATGCCGTGTGCGACTGTGCGAAGCTGAAAGCCCAGGTGGTGGCGGCGAATTCCTGCGAATTTCAGTCAACGAAGTCGCAAGCCAAGCACAGACATCTGCACCGAGTTCCAGCAGCTCCTTCCCGTCCCATCGGTTGCCGCAAACATCTTCGCTTGCTTCGCCTCGCTAGTTTCTCGTCAATCTGGGTTTCTGGCAGCTTTCTCACCAACCAGAATGCGCATTCAACGTCGCCCGTGTCGCGTGAAGTTCTAGGGTTTCGGGGTGTGCGAAATTCTCTCCTTTCCCCCTGTCCTGACTTTCCTGGCTAGAATTCCCTAGAACCTACCATTTTGCTGAACGGGGCAAAAAGCCATGAAGGAAAGATGCGACTCACCAGAATCACACGATTATTGTTAGCTAAGTGCGGTCAGATTCGTTGCGTCGTGATGTAACACGGTGGATCTCTACAACCGCTTTCCACCGTGGGGAATCGTCCTGAGCCACGAAAAATGAACTGTACACTCCAGACTCCTCTGAAATAGCAACCATGGGGGATTGCTTCACTGGTTGTCAAGCCGCTGATGATACAGTCCACACGTGTACACGCAAGCAAGTCACACTCTTTTCCAGACATCACGCCCTCTCTTGTCCCTGCGTTTCTTGGACTGCTGGCAATAATGGTGACGTGACGTGTCCGCTTAGCTTGGTCTTGCACGCTTTCCATCGACCATCCATTCCAGCTGAGAAAGTAGTACCGTCACTTTTGGAACCGCGAAAGTCGCCTTGATGTTCTCCCGTGCGTTTAGACGAGTCATTCTCGACAAACCTAAGCTTCGATGGATAAGAGGCTGCCTTTCACTCAATCAACAGCATTCGAGTCCGAATTTGAAGTAATTGATACGTAGTCAGTCCAAAGAACTTTCCCTTAGATAACCTAGTGAATAGTTACCAGCTCAACACAGCTTCGTCGCCCTCCTTTCGCAATCGTTTCGCTGAAAACATCTTCTATTCTGTAGTATATTCCTTGAAGGCTTGACTGATCCGTAAGGAGTACTACAATAGTGAGACATCTCCTATTCTTCAGTTCCCGAATCGAAGAAAATGAGGCGAATGTCGGTTTTTGGAGTAGTTGCTGGGCTGCTGCTTGTGACTGTGGCCTTCGAATCGGCTTTGACGTTGGTATCTGGAGCGAGTTCCAAGCTACATCCATCGCAAGGTAGTGCAGCTTGTTCCTTAGGTGTATGAATTAGTCCGTGGAGCAGATTCCGTGCTACGGAAAGTACCTTACTATTCCTGGATATCTCAATCTTGTCCTTAGAGCAGATTTTATATAACACTGATTGTCAGGTAGTGTAGCGGTTTGTTCCTGGGATATCTGAACTGTAGCATGCGAAAAAAATGAAACTACTCATCAATCGCAGTGCTAGCTGTTCTGGCCGAGGCCATGGGGTGTCACTCTCATCATAATCGCACACCTTACATTCACTCAACATCTGATACCCTTCTCCCGCATCAGTCCCAGTGCTAGCTGTACTGGGCGAGGTCGTGGGTTCGCGCTTTCATCATAATCACGCACGCAGTCACACTCGTTGAAGCCACATTCACTCTACATCTCAAACCCTTCTCCCTCATCAGTCCCAGTGCTAGCTGTACTGGCCAAGGCTATGGGGTCGCACATTACACGCACTCAGTCACACTCTTCGTTCAATCCCCACTCACTTGACATCTCATACCCGCCCCCTGATCAGTCCGAGTGCTGTACTGTCCACAGCTATGGGGTCGCACAATACACGCACTCAGTCACACTCGTTCAATCCGCACTCACTTGACATCTCATACCCCACCCTCTGATCAGTCCGAGTGCTGTACTGGGCGAGGCTATGGGGTCGCACATTACACGCACTCAGTCACACTCGTTCAATCCGCACACATCTCATACCCCACCCTCTGATCAGTCCGAGTGTTGTACTGGGCGAGGCCGTTCGCACGGTCGTCATAATCACACACGCATTTACACTGGTTAAAGCCAATTTCACTCCACATTTCACACCCTTCTCCCTCATCAGTCCCAGTGCTAGCCGCACTGGGCAAGGCGTGGGGTCGCACATTCGCCAACTGCTCTCAAGCCACCGGATTGACGTGTAATGGCAAGGGCATGGTTATTGAGATGTGAGTGTTCAGAACCCGATTCTTGGCTAAACTACCAGTCGTTATCGGCTCGTCGTCTACCCAGTGGTTATTTTCCTCCCAGTCATATAGATTCTTCTGACTGCCATGGCCGTCGAGGAATGGCAGAGCATGGCACAGCATGCCACGGCATGACCGTTCTTCTAGCCTGTGTCCGAGCTGGGAAGCAAGCAGCAAGAAGCGTGTTTCATCAAGGCTTCGTCCCAGCAGCGCTCACTAAGTTGTCTCCTCATGTTGCTCACATTCGCACATGCCCGCACATGCCCGCACATGCCCGCACATGCCTGCACACGCAGGTTACAGAGCAACAGTCTTGATTTTTGTCGCCCTTGTCTCCTGTGCCCACACACGCACGCACATGCATGCACAAGAGCAGGTCGCTCAACAACACTCAACTCACAGGATCCATTCCGTCGGTGATCGGCAAACTATCTCTCCTTGCTCACGTGTAAGACACCCTCCTGGCTCACCTGTCCCCCTTAGCTCACCTGTAATGCACCATCCTCAGGCCTCCTGCCCATCCGCAACACCAGCCTAGTGTGCTCACACCGTACTGAACCGTCTCTTCTTCTCTTGGTTAAAGCAAACTCTATTCTCAAAGTGCAACACCCTCATCCCCATTCTCCTGTCCCCACGCCTCCCCTCTCCCTTCCCCCCCCCCCCTAGTTCCCAATCCCCCTCCTCCCCTCTCCCCCTTTTCCCCTCTCTCTCCCCTCTCTCTCCTCCCCTCTCCACCTCCTCCCTTAACCCCATTCTCCCCTCTCCATCGTCCGCTTCCTCGTCCTTCATAACGCCACACTCCATCCATTCCCTCAACCTTGTCCCCTAGGCAAGCCCTCCTCCCTCCCTCATAGTTTTTGTACCAGCCCATTCCCTCCATTCCCAGCACAATCGCTCGTCTATCGTGCATTCTCTCCCCATCGCCCCGCTCCCTCTGCCAATCCAAACCCGCCGCGACCGTTCCCATTGTCCCCTGCCCCGTCCTTCCCGTCTCCCCCTTTCCCACCCTCTTCCTTTCTCCAGCAACCTAGGCGCCAATCAGCTAACGGGGGTCATTCCAGAGTCTATCGGGAATCTCACCAACCTCTCCTACCTGTCAGTGCTGCTGCTGTCTCCTCTCTCTCATCCACAGTGTAAATTCAACTTCTCTCTCCTGTTTTCCCTGCTGCTCCTCGCCCTTTCCCTGGTTCTCCCCCATGTCGTCTTCTCTGTCCATTTGCCTATCTCGTCCCCTTCTCTCCACCCCTCCCTTCCTCCTCCTCTTTACCCGCCTCTTCCGCCATCATTTCCCCCCTTCTCTCTTCTCCCTCTTTTCTGCACCTCCTCTCCTCTCCTCCCTCTTGATCATGAGTCCCTTGCTACTTGCTTGTTTCCGCATTTTAATAGATCCTCTTCCGCCTTCTCTTCCCCATTTTCTCCCCCTTCTCTTTCAGAGGTCTCTACAACAATCAGCTAACCGGCCCTGTTCCGCAGTCGATTGCAGCGCTCGCCAAGCTGCAAACCTTGTACGCACAGCGCCCATCCTTCCACTGCTCTCTCTAATGAATCCGTTATTCTGAGAATTCCCAAAAGCGATTCAATCTGGCACTTATTTGCAGTCCCTTGCATATCTTGTAAGCACATAAGCACAGCAGCCATCCATCCAGTGGCTTCGAGAACCCACTTTGGCCCTTCATTATATTATAAATCCCCTCTTCGTAACCCTCCGCCTTGCTTGATTTTTGAGGCGCCTCAAGTTTAAATCTAACTTCTCGGGTTATATAGACTCCCTCTTTTTCTTGACCCTATCTCTGCTCTCCCCCCTGCCACAGAACACTATCTGACAACCGACTCAACGGCAACCTTCCTAATGCTCTTGGCAACCTCACGGCACTTCTCAGGCTGTGTGTCCCCATCCCTCTATCCCATCCCTTCTCTTCCATCCCTTCTCCTCCCATCCCTTCTCTCCCTTCCCTTCTCTCTCCCATCCCTTCTCTCCCGTCCGTTCTCTCTCCCGTTTTTGCTATTCCATCATTTATCAACGATCCCTGCTCTCCCATCCTTTCTCTCACATTGCTGCTCTCCGTTCGCTGCTCTACCATCCCTTCTCGCCAATCCCTTCCCTCCAATTCCCCCTCTCCCAGCCCTTTTCTCCCATCTCTTCTCTCGCAAAACAGATCGATCCTACTACACGATGAAAACTGCCAAACAGAAAGGATGAGAGATGGAAGGTGTAACCATCCACCCGCCAGCCTAGGCCCGATGGGCGCCGTTCTACCTCCTCTGATACTCTGCCATCCTACCTCTTCTTTCCTTTCAACGCCCATTTCTCCACCTCCTCACCTTCTCTGCCTCTCTACCCTCTCTTCCTCCTCCCTTCCCACTATCAGCAATTTGGACAACAACTTGTTGTCGGGCTCCCTCCCGTCAACACTCTCTGCCCTCTCCTCCGCCACTTACCTGTACCCCCTCCTTTCACCCCTTTCCATATTCGCATTCCTTCTTTGGTGTCTATGCCTCCTCCCATCCCTGTTTTCTGTATACTAGGTGTGAACGTCTCATACTATATAAGCTACCTATACTATACCCGTTTGGATGCCTAATCTCCCACACTTCTCCTGCTCCTACATGATCACCACTCTTCACCACTCTTCAACCCTTTTCTGTCCATTCGCGTGCACCCCTACACCTTACCTAGTAACTTCATTGATGGTCAATTCAATTCAGTACATTCCTCTCTTTTTCTCGAATAACCATGGTATGACAGCAGCAGCTCTGTATCAGATCCCACTCCGTGCATTGCATCTACCAATCCATCTTCTCAACTCAACCCAATCACACTCTACTGCATGCGCTTGGCACAGGCACCACCAACTCCCACCGTCATTCACTCCCCTCCACCGCTCTGCACTCCTCTCCACCTCTTTTTCTCCCCTTTTTCAGGAGCATTTCTGATAATCTCCTCAACGGCACTCTCCCTGATGGCATTGGCGCCCTCTCTGCGCTCCAAAGCCTGTATTGCTTCTCAACCCATCTCATTATAGTCCACCATCCGTTGAGACGACTTTTGAGTCGACTCAAATGTCACCTCGTTTCCGCCCTCATGCATGCTGTGTTGCACATATATATACGTAGTCCCTTTTCCCTTCTGAGTCGACTCAAAAGTCACCTCGTTACCATGGCACACGACACACTTCTCAAACCTTCTCATTATAGTCCACCATCCGTTCGTTGCAGCAGGGTGTTTTTGAGAATTCTCAAAAAACTCTCTGCGCTCCAAAGCCTGTATTGCTTCTCAAACCTTATCATTATAGTCCCCCATCCGTGCATTGCATTCATTCATCCCCTGTCTACCTGCAGCCACTTGCTCCATGCTCTCCCTCTCAATCCCTCTCCCTCTCCATTCTAACTCCTTCCCAGCGGTCTGCCACCAGCACTCTCTCTTATATCCCTTCGAAGCATCTCGAAACTTCTCCCACTTGCTCCATGCTCTCCCTCTCATTCCCTCTCGATCCCCTCTCCCGCTCCTTTCCAGCGGTTTGGCCAACAACTCTCTCTCTGGGCCGCTTCCCATATCCATAGGCAACCTCACCAGCCTAGTCACCCTGTGAGTCACACGGAGAGCTGTTCCGTGAGTGAGGTGAGGTGTGTTTTGAGTCAGCTCAAAACAAGCGCACACGCTCCGGCCAACAAAAACTCTCTCTGGGTCGCTTCCTATGTCTCTCGGCAACCTTACCAACCTTGTCACACTGAGAGTCACACTGAGAGTCACACTGAGAGTTTCACTGAGAGTCATACCAAGTTTGAGTCATTCGCGGGTCATTCATGGGTCATTCGCAAGTCATTCGCGGGTCATTCATGGGTCATTCGCAAGTCATTCGCGGGTCATTCATGGGTCATTCGTGGGTCATTCGTGGGTCAATCCGGGGTCATTCACGGGTCATTTGTGGGTCATTCGCGGTCATTCACACAAGTCCTTTGTGACTTTTCTGCCTCCATAACCCATCCAATCTCGCAGACTTAGTCTCACTGTTAGTCATGTGTGCGCATTTTGATCATGTTTCAAACAGCGTCTGATTACCACGTGTCTAGACAACAGCCTCTCTGGCTGGACAAGTGCTCGTGCCTACGACGTAGCTGGATTGGACTCTCACAACTCTTGAAGTAACCTCACCCTTGTCCGCTTGACTCTCCTCCCACCCACCTCAGGGGTCTGACCAACAACAGCCTGTCTGGTCGACTTCCCTCCTCAATCTCGTCCCTTGGGAAGCTCGAGAAGCTGTGAGTGGCATGGCTTGCATTGTGCACCTCATGCCTCCCCATGCCTCCCCATGCCTCCCCATGCCTCCCCATGCACCCTCCGCATGCCGCCATGCACCCTCCACGTCGCTCCTGCAACCATCCTCACCCTTCCGCACCCGTCTTCCTTTCCTGTTTCTCCCTTTTCGCAGCAACCTGGGCTTTAATATCTTCACGGGCGCACTACCCAACAGCATCAGGCGGATGACTGCCCTAACAAGAATGTGAGTCCTCACAAAAAAAAACTCCCTGTTCAGCCCCAGTGCTTTCTGCAGGAAACGTCAGGATATGTTTACAGTGGAAAAAGGCCCTTCTTTCAGCCCCTTTCGCCCTGTAAAGATGGTTCTTGAGTTGAGCGTGTGGTGGCTTTATTCCGAAAGCCACCACATCACTGCTGCCTAGTGTTTTGGGGATGCACCGATGGGGGGTGATGAGGGAAGATGAGAGGTTATGAGGGGTGATGTTTTTTTTCCTTTCGTCCCCTTCCCTGTTCGGCATTCACAGCACGTTGCATGCACAGGCCCTCCCAGCCACGTGTGATGAGGCAATTTCTTAGGCACTTCAAAGCTTGTAACCAGAACAACACATTGCATGCCTGCTTGCCAGGGTGCTTCCACGTGCGGCAGCCCATCCACCTCTTGTCGTGCAATGCAACAACACACTTGCGCTGTTGAGCTGAGTCGACTCACACCTCTTTTTGCCTCTCTGCTCCCCCTTTTCTCCCCCCCTTTTCGCCCTGCAGTCGCCTGCATAACACGTCCCTCTCTGGGCCTCTCCCACCGCGCATAGGGGAGCTCAGGAGACTCAAACAAGTGTGAGTGAGGGTGTGGGTGAGAGGGTGTGGGTGCGGTTGCGAGTGAGGGGGTGTGTGAGTGAGAACAACAGTCGCCAGCACAACACATCCCTCTCTGTGCCCCTCCCACCACGCATAGGGGAGCTCAGGAGACTCAAACAAGTGTGAGTGAGTGAGTGAGGTGTGAGTGAGGGTGTGAGTGAGGGTGTGAGTGAGGTTGTAAATGAGTTTGTGAGTGAGGGTGTGAGTGAGGTGTGTGTGTGTGAGAGGGAGAGAGGATGGGTCTAGAGGTCCAGGATGGTGGGCATGGGTCGCAGGATTGGAATGGCACTGCAGCAAGCCGAGAGAGAGTGTGCCCTTAAGATTACTCGGCCTATTTCTCCCCTCCGCTGCCTTCCTGCAGGGATCTGAGCAACACTGGAATCAGCGGGGCTCTTCCTGAATCCATGGGCCACCTGGACAAGCTCACAGAGCTGTGAGTGCCACGTGTCACTTTCTCTCGGATGCCTCGTGTCATTTCTCACAACGTGCCACGTGTCACTTCCTCGCACATTTCATACCATATCTCGCTCCTGCAAACCATACCATACCATCCCGTACCGTACCGTATCCATTCGATATGCGTTTCTTAAACACCCTGCTGGCACGGCCCTGCATGTTCAGGTTCGTAAGCCCTTTTCTCTCTCGTCTCACAGAACTTCCTTTTCCTTGTGCCATCATGTGACTCAACCTGGTAGCAATGTGAACTTTGGATCCATTCAAAAGGCACCTCGGGTAATAAGATTGTTTTCTGAGACGTCTCAAAAGAAACCTTGTTACCTTGTAAGGATACGAATCCTGGATGCACATGCACTCAAAAGGCACCTTTTGGTCCCACAGATCTTCCTTCTGTGATGTGATTGTGACACTACCCTGTAACGAGGCGACTTAATACTCATTGGTCTCTTGGTGGGTAGAATTATCACAAGTGAGTGTATGCAAGAGGCACCTCCCCGTCTGGTAGATCTGCCTCATCTATTCTTCCTTGTTCTTCCTCCTTCTCTCTCTCCGCCTCCTTCCCACCAGCTACATGCACGGGTGTCAGCTCAACGGATCGTTGCCCGTGCTACTAGGCAACCTCACAGCTCTGCAAACACTGTGAGCATTCTTGAGGGGGGACTGTCAATAGAAGACAGGTGGACAACACGAGCACGGGACAACACGAGCACGGGACAACACGAGCACCCTTGTGTGTTCTAGGACCACACGTGCACGGATGCCAGCTCAACGGATCGTTGCCCGTGCTACTAGGCAACCTCACAGCTCTGCAAACACTGTAAGCACTCTTGGGGGTGTAGGGTAGGGAGAGGAAAGGGGGGAGAGAGGGGAGTGGAGGGGATGGAAGGGGGGAAGAGTGAGGGAGAGGGCGAGAGTCAGGCCCCTGCCCAGCCCATGCCTGCATCATGAGAACTTTTCATGATGCAGGCAGCGTACTCAACGACATGCTCCCTAGAGTTTTCACATTTGCAACACCTCCCGCCTCTTCCTTCTCACATGCAAAGGCACATGCTAAGTGTCATGCACTCCCAACCCGCATTGCCCCCTTTCCCCACTCCTTCCCCACTCATTCCCCCCACCAGCGATCTAGGGAGCAATCATTTCTCAGGGGAAATTCCCCTGTTTCTTAGCAGCCTCACACGCGTGGAGTCACTGTAAGCCATGGGGCAGGGGAGGAGGAGGGGGAAGAAGGATGAGGGGAAGGGGAAGAGTGTCGGGCAGGGGGATAATTCCAAACTGCCTGGAATCATATGTTTTTCATCTGTGGGGAACATTGTTTCGAGCCAGACGGTTTTTACGAGCATGCTTAGGCATGTATGTATGGGCCTCGAGGGAGAGGTAGGGCAGCAAAGGAAGGTTCTAAGGGGGTGCACGAGAGGCAGAGATTTTAGGAGTGGGAAGGGGAGGTTCGAGGGGAAACACATGAATGCATGAAGGCACAGGCACAGCCACAGCAGGCAGCCACATTCACAAGCACACACAAGGACAAGGACAACCATAACCATACTATATTCTCCAAATACCATACTGCTCCCATACCATACCATCCTGACCAGGCCGTACCACCACCATCCCACCTCATCCCTACCATCCACAACCCATACACACACTGTTCGCTTCGATCTCCTCAGGGACCTCTCCGCCAATCAGCTCACAGGATTGATCCCGGACACCGTCAGCACCATGCAACGACTGCAACAGCTGTGAGTGGCATGCGTTCTGTGACATCAGCACATTGCCATGACGTCACCACTCTCTGAAACCACAGTGATTTCCCGCCATCAGCTCTTGAAACGTCATAAGGGTGACACATGGATAAGGGTTTTGAGGTTTCAAAACTCACTTCTCCATGTGTCACCCTTATCCCCTCTCTGAAACAACTTTGATCTTTCCTTGTAACAGCATTTGAGGTGCCTCTAAACTCACTTCTGAATTTGTTCATGCCACATCCCCTCTCTGAAACCACAGTGATCTCGCCTCCAACAGCCTCTCAGGCTCTGTCCCGTCCACCACCGCCCTGCTCACCAACCTCACCTCTCTGTCAGTTTCTCCTCCTTGCCTGCCATGCAATTGCAATTTGAATTCCTTTCTGCTACCTGTTTTGAGTCAACTTAGTTGTTGCCGTACCCACCAACCTCACCTCTCTGTCAGTTCCGCCTCCTCCTCCCATTCCATACACTTTCACGTCTGTCCTGCCTTGCTCCCCGTTTGGTAACCACTCGCCCCCTCCCACCAGTCTCTTTTGCCAGCACTGCCCTGTCTTCCGCCCTCCTTTTGCTTCTGCCGGGGCACTGGCCTGTTTGCGCAACAACCTAAGCGCCCTTTTAAACCACTACTCTCCCACATTTCCCTTCCCTCCTCCTGTTGCTTCTGCTGTGGTAGTGACGTGGGCCACAACAACCTATGCACCCTTGTAAAGCTTTACTCTTTCTGTGCCCCGTCCACCCTCCCTTCTGCTTCTGCTCCTGCAGTGATCTGTCACACAACAATCTCTCAGGGGCAATACCAGCTTCCCTCACCACCCTCACCGGTCTGCAAGCCCTCCCACTCTCTCTCTCCCCCCTCCTTTTGCTTCTGCTCCTGCAGAAACTTGTCACACAACAACCTCTCAGGGACGATACCAGCTTCCTTCTCCACCCTCACGGGTCTGCAGGCGCTGTGAGTTGCCATCTGAAACGGCTACAATCTACGTTGTCTTGGAAACACGCAGCTAGCCGCTAGTCATTATGATTGCAATGCATGCATGCATGCATGCTCCCCACAGTGCATTGCGACCAGGTGATAACAAGTTAGTTATGACCACGTGTCCATTTCTTAAAACAAACTTTGTTATCACGTGCCCACAGTGTGTTGCGTTGCAATGATACTGTAGGTTGTCGGCTCAATGCACCCAACAGAACATTTGCCCCAACCTCTCCCATTCCTATCCTCTCACCTCCCACAACCTCCCCTTCCCCCACGCTCGTCCCCACAGCGATTTGAGCTACAACCAGCAGCTCGTTGAGTCCATTCCCTCCTTTCTCTCCTCTCATCTCCCACATCCCGCCCTCCCACTATCTCGTCCCTACAGTGATTTGAGTTACAATCCTCAGCTCGGTGGGTCCATTCTTCCCTTTCCTCTCCTCTCATCTCCCACATCCCGCCCTCCCCCTTCTTTTTCCCCCTCTCTCATCCCCCACAGCGATTTGAGTTACAATCCTCAGCTCAGTGGGTCCATACCCGCTACCCTGGGGCAGCTCAGCAACCTCACTTTTCTGTGAGTGAAACTTCACCGTAGATTCAAACTGTTGAGTGCCACACTTCGCTATGCTGTGAAAGACGCTGTTGATGCGCCCGTTATCCGAACATCAGCTCAACCATCACTCTCTAACAGCATCACCTGTCCCCTACCTTCAACATCGTGCGACGTGGCCACAGCACTCACACTCACCACAACCCGAAACCCCCATTTGAGTCGACTCAAAAGTCGCCTTGCTAACAGCATCACCTGTCCCCTGCCTTCAACATCGTGCGACGTGGCCACACACAGCACTCACACTCACCACAACCCTTAACCCTCTTCCACCCCACAATTCTCCCCGACTGCCCCTCCCTTCCTCTCATCACCCCTCTCCTGTCTCTCTGTCTGTCTCTCCCTCACCCCAGTGCAACCAACACTACCAGCACCACGTGCCCTCTCCCATCAGCACCACGTGCCCTCTCCCATCAGCACCACGTGCCCTCTCCCATCAGCACCACGTGCCCTCTCCCATCAGCACCACGTGCCCCCTCCCATCAGCACCACGTGCCCCCTCCCATCAGCACCACGTGCCCCCTCCCATCAGCACCACGTGCCCCCTCCCATCAGCACCACGTGCCCCCTCCCATCAGCACCACGTGCCCCCTCCCATCAGCACCACGTGCCCCCTCCCATCAGCACCACGTGCCCCCTCCCATCAGCACCACGTGCCCCCTCCCATCAGCACCACGTGCCCCCTCCCATCAGCACCACGTGCCCCCTCCCATCAGCACCACGTGCCCCCTCCCATCAGCACCACGTGCCCCCTCCCATCAGCACCACGTGCCCCCTCCCATCAGCACCACGTGCCCCCTCCCATCAGCACCACGTGCCCCCTCCCATCAGCACCACGTGCCCCCTCCCATCAGCACCACGTGCCCCCTCCCATCAGCACCATGTGGCGTGCACCTGTCACCCCCCAACTCTTTCGTGCCTCTTTTTCTGCCTTCCATCATTCCCTTACTCTCTTCCACCCGCTCTCCCACCCTCTCTCCCTTTGTCTCTCTCCACCTCAGTGCAACCAACGCCACCAGCACCACGTGTCCCCTCCCATCAACGCCGTGCGAGGTGCCCCGGTCAAACCCCAACTCTTCCGTGCCTCTTTGTTCTCCCACCCGCTCTCCCACCCTCTCTCCCCCTGTCTCCCCCACCTCAGTGCAACCAACGGCACCAGCACCACCTGTCCCCTCCCATCGGCACCATGCGAGGTGACCCAGTCATCCACCTCGGCCTTCTGCGTGGCCTGCCCTGACTTCTGCTCCTCCTGCTGCACCTCCTGCTCCTGTGAGTGTGAGATTCTGTGTGTGTGTATGTGTGTGCGTTTGAGTGTTTGTGTGCACGTGTGTGTTTTTGAGTGTGTGTGTGCACGTGTGTGCGTTTGAGTGTGTGTGTGCATGTGTGTGCGTTTGAGTGTGTGTGTGCACGTGTGTGCGTTTGAGTGTGTGTGTGCACGTGTGTGCGTTTGAGTGTGTGTGTGCACGTGTGTGCGTTTGAGTGTGTGTGTGCACGTGTGTGCGTTTGAGTGTGTGTGTGCACGTGTGTGCGTTTGAGTGTGTGTGTGCACGTGTGTGCGTTTGAGTGTGTGTGTGCACGTGTGTGCGTTTGAGTGTGTGTGTGCACGTGTGTGCGTTTGAGTGTTTGTGTGCACGTGTGTGCGTTTGAGTGTTTGTGTGCACGTGTGTGCGTTTGAGTGTTTGTGTGCACGTGTGTGCGTTTGAGTGTGTGTGTGCACGTGTGTGCGTTTGAGTGTTTGTGTGCACGTGTGTGCGTTTGAGTGTGTGTGTGCACGTGTGTGCGTTTGAGTGTTTGTGTGCGTACAAGGTGCCCCAGTCACCCACCTCAGCCTTCTGTCAGGCTTGCCCAGACTTCTGCTCCTCCTGCTGCTCCTCCTGCTGCTCCTCCTGCAGTGAGTGTGTACGGATGTGGGCATTCATTTTTCATGTGTACGTGCACCCCTGACCAGCCGACCCCTGCACCAGCTACCCTTCCCACCCACCCCTGACTTCACACACAAATTTACCACTCCAGCCATTGTGTTCCCTTTTTCCTTCCTCTCTTTCTCCCAGCCGACCCCTGCACCAGCTACCCCTCCAACCCATGTGGCCCAGGAGACTGCATCCCCTCCTCTCCTCCTCTCCTCCTCCTCTCCTCCTCCTCTCCTCCCAACCCCGTTTCCGCTTCCACCAACAAGGCCCCTCCACCAGCCTCCACCACAGCTCCTAACAGCTCTTACACCTGCCGCTGCTCTGCGGGTGCTGCTGCTGCCGTGGGGGCCAATGGGCTGCCGACATGTGTGACTTCCCCCCCCCCACCGCCTCAGGGGCCATCCAGTGCAGTTGGTGAGTCTGTCTGTGCTGGTGAGGGAGTGAGTGGCCATGAGTTAGGAGGATCTTGAAGCACTGTGGGCTGTTGTCAGCGTGCTGATGAGTAAGTGGCATTGAGTTTCTTGCCGTCTAAGGTTTTTGTGAGGGTTGGTGCACCCTCACTTGAGTCATCCCCTTATCCCTCACTTCTTACAGCTCATGCGGACACCCCCCTCCTGTTCCCTCCGCCAGCCTTGTCAATCAGCGCCATCATTCCTTGCCCTTCCCTCCTGCAGCCACGCTTATTCCCTCCTCCAGCGACTCGGAAAACCAGCCACATCAATAAGAGCCATCATGTCTTGAGACATCTCACAACCATTCCTGCCCTCCCCTCCTTCAGCCATGCCGACTGGGGCAATCATCGGCATCGCAGTCGCGTCCTTCGCTGTGATTGTGTGCTGCTTCACTCTCATCTTCCTCTGCTGGCGATGGCGCCACACCAGCCAGAGCAGAGAGCTGGCCAACCAAGGTAGGTGAATACAACGCAAGTCAACACAGGTCAACAGAGGTCTAAAACCAGTCAACAAATATACCCCTTTGTGCTGCTTCACTCTCATCTTCCTCTGCTGGCGATGGCGCCACACCAGCCAGAGCCGAGAGCTGGCCAACCAAGGTAGGCACAGGTCAACACAAGTCAACAACCAGTTGACACAAGTCAACGCACATTAGCACAAGTCAGCAACCGGTCATGCGAGCACATCAATGCTCAGCCCAGAAAATAACCATGGATCTGGGTTCTCAAACATCACTTCAGTTCATGGGAACATGCAAAACCATTCATAATGATCGTTTATGAGGTTACCTATCCCAATCCCCAATCCCTGCCTGCCGACAGGTTGGCAGGCAGAAGCAGATCGAAGTTACCGCAAGGATGAGTATTTCTGAATTTCTGACTCCACTACTGCTGCACGTACAGTACCAGTGTTGAGATAAGACTGAAGCAGCTAGTGTTTCAAAAAGTTAGTGTCTTTCGACTACGATATTATATAAATGTGTCACAACACAATGCTTTGCCCATCATGCTATATATGCTTGATAGTTGAAACAGTGAAAAGGTCATCCTGGTGTGCATTGGTGTAAAATAGAGATCCACCCTAATTAACCGTATTAAACCGTATCAAACTAACCCATGATGAAAAAGTATCCTCCTGATGCGGTTGAATAAGGCTTGGTACGATCCAAAGCCTTTAAATTAGGTTTTTAAATGGTTGGGTAGAGTACTGTTACGGGATCATTCTTTTAGGACCCACCCTAACACCACGATGCATGAAGCTCGCGGACGGCAGCATTCCAACACAAGCTACTAGTACTGCGCGGACGGCAGCGTGAAGGTGAAGCACTGCTTCAAAAGTCTCATAGTTCTGGTAGTACTACTGGAACAATGTAAGAATACGTGCCTTTGTGACGCGCTTACGCGCAATGCCCGTCCTGCACGTTTGCTCCCGGTAATCCCTTTTCTTCGCCAATCAAGGCCAGCTCATCATGCGCCACCTACACCAAACGCGCCGCCGCTGCCTCACCCGCTGCTCTCCGTCTACTCGCGTAACTCGTCGCTTCGGTCTCGTCCTCGTCGCCGCGACAGCATGCCTCGCTGTAGGCATACGCCGTCCTCGCAATCCCTCCCCCACCCTTCCCCCCCCCATCCCCTTCCCTACCCCCCCCCCTCTCCCCCCCCCGCCCCGCCTGCGCCTACTAGCTCTAGTACCCATTGCCCCTGTGCCGCGCCATCCCCCCTCAAAATCGCCGCAGCGCCCACGCTCGTCCCATGCCCTCTCACCACCCCCCTCCGCCACCCCCTTCAATCCTCTGCCTGTTTCCGCGCGCAGGCGTGCAGCGCGCAGCAGCAGAGCGGAGCGGCGCAGCAGCAGGGCGGAGCGGCGCAGCCGGGGTCGATGCTGGCGGGATTCGAGTACCCGGAGCACGTGTGCGGGGCGGCGTGGCGCGACGAGTACGCGCAGCTGCACGCGCGCATCAGAGCCGCCAGCAGAGACGCGTGGCGGGCGCGACAGCCGCCAGGTATACTACTAGTAGCGGCGGACGGCGGGGCGGAGCGCGTGGTGATGCGGTCTTAAGTGGGTGAGTGTTAGTTGCGCGGGAAATGGCCGTTCCGGAGGCACGCGCATCATGGTTGCACGGACGGGGAGAGGCAGGATGCAAGCGCGTACGGGTTGGAGTGTACAAACATGCTCCGCCCTCTGCTCCCCGTTCTCCCTCTGCAGCCACCCCGCCTCCGCCCGCCGCGCCGCCGCCTTCGGCCGCCGCGCCGCCGCCACAGCCCGCCCCGCCGCCGCCACAGCCAGCTGAGCCGCGGCGCAGGCGCCTGGCGGACGGCTCTCCCCCCGGCGCGGAGCCGGCGGGCGCAGCAGCGGTGCGGTTCCTGACGTACGACTGGTACGGGTCGTGCGGCGGGCTGGGGGACTACCTCATCGGGCTCGTGTCGCTCTTCCCCGCCGCGCTGCTCGACCGCCGCGCGCTGCTCGTCGCTCAGCCGTGCATGCACGCCGCGTTCCGCTCGCCGCACATCGACACCGCGCTCTCCCCCGACGTGCCCATGGGGGGGCGGCGGCCGCTGCTGCGCGCCACGCCGCCGCCCCTGGACGCCGCGAGCGACGGCGATGAGCCGCAGCGCGTGGAGTGGCTCGCTCCCCCGTGCGAGCGGCTGGAGGGCAACCTGGGCGCCGCCGCGGAGGTGCGCCGGGACAGCAACAGCAGCAGCAGCAGCAGCAGCAGCGGCGACAACAGCAGCGCGGTGCCGTGCTTGGACCTGCTGCGGCACACGTTTGAGATGGAGGCGCTGCAGCAGCTGAGCGCGCTGAGCAACTACCGCGTGCGCTACAACAAGGGGATGTTGATCACCACGCTCCTGCGCGACCAGGGTCTGTGGGCTAACGCGCTCAGGCAGCTGGGCTTTAAGGTCGCATACGGCTTCGGGTGCATCCTCCGGTTCCTCTTCAGGTCCGCCTCTCATGCGCTGCATTCACTTTTTGAAAAATCTTAAGCGAGGGATTTTTGAGTCAGCTATGGTGAAATGAAACCACTAATGAGAATTCTGAAAAAAGTGATTTCAACGCCGCTGCCCTGCCCCAGCTGGGCTTTAAGGTCCTTAGCTCAACCAGGGCCGGTACGGCTTCGGGTGCATCCTCAGGTTCCTCTTCAGGTCCGAAGTGAATTTTGAGTCTGCTGAAAGGTCGCGTATGGCTTCAGGTGCATCCATATTGGAGTTGCTTTTGAGGATTCTCAAAAGCTGTGCTTTAAGGTCGCGTATGGCTTCGGTGCATCCTCAGGTTCCTCTTCAGGTCCTCCTCGCGTGCCCTGCACCGCACACTCACTCACACCCGCTCGCTGCTGTGCCCTGCGCCGCACGTCACAATCGTCTGTGGATGCTGGGATTGCGAGGTACTGTCTGCCACCGTCCACTTGGCTCATAGCTAGAAGGGCAGCAGTGTATAAAGAAACGCTTAGGCAGCAGGAGCAACAGAAAAAACCGTGTAAAAAAATATGATCTCAAAAACCCGTCTCGAAAAAGGCCTCCTTGCGTGAAATAATTTCGGCGGACGGGGAAAACCCGATCATGCCTTCATCAGTACAGCACAATTCGGATCACAATCGTCTGTGGATGCTGGGATTGCGATGTACTGCCCGCCACCGTCCACTTGGGATTCCATTCCACTTGTATCCACTTCTGTTCATCGCTTCTCTTCCCCTCCTTCCCCACCCCCCCCACACTGCTCTCCCCCCTCCTCCTGTTCCCTCCTCCCCCTGTTCCCTCCCCCCACTGTTCCCTCCTCCCTTTGGCTCAGCCCGCGGCCAGAGGTGTGGCAGCTACTGGTGGGGATGGAGGAGCAGGCGTGGGGAGAGGGCGTGGTGCGGGTGGCTGTGCACGTGCGTGTGCCTGACCGTGAGGTGTGGCAGAATGACGGCATGACGCCTCAGAACATGACGCAGCAGCAGCTGGACGACCTGCTCGCCAAGGCCAGCAGCACGCTGCAATGCGCACAGGTGCTTCTGCCGGGGGGTATGTGAGTACTTTTGAGGCACCTGAAAAGTGACGGCATGACGCCTCAGAACATGACGCAGCAGCAGCTGGAGGGCCTGGTCGCCAAGGCCAACAGCACACTGCAGTGCGCACAGGTGCTTCTGGGGTACGCAGGTGATGAGTCTGATTATGAGGCACCTGAAAATGACGGCATGACGGCTCAGAACATGACGCAGCAGCAGCTGGACGACCTGCTCGGCAAGGCCAGCAGCATGCTGCAGTGCGCACAGGTGCACAGTGATTATGTGCGTGCTGCATGTGCTTTGGCACTACGTGCCACGTTTTTTTTTTATTCTCAAAAAACAGATTCAGCACGTCATGCATGTGTGTCACTCACCATCACCTCCCCCTCCCCGTTCTTCTCGTCCCCTTCCCCCTCCCAACTTCCCCTTTCCCCGTCCCCATGGCATGGCAGGCGGTGGAGGATTTCTGGTACCCGCCTCCCCTGAAGGTGAAGTGGGTTCTCATCACCAACTCACACCTGCTCAAGCAAGCACTCAAAGCCAAGTACCCACACAAGGTATGCACAAACACGCCTACACTCAGGCTCCGCCCGTCCGTCCCCACCCACTCCTGCCATCTGCCCCACCTTTTCTTCTTCGGTCAATCCACCTCTCTCTCGTCATGTATTTCCTCCACTCTCATTCCTCATTCGCCCTTGTCCTGCCTCACACCTCCTGCTCCCCTCATGCACTGCACCTGCACCTCCCCCCTGTGCGTGTGCTGCACTGCCCCTGGTCCACGCATCACCACGTGCACTGCCCCGGGGCACATGTGCGGTGCTGGGCCTTGGGACCTGCCAGGTGATGGCCACGGACTTCATTCCATGGCACTCCGCCCAAGCCACGGAGCACGAGCAGCACACGGACCTCGCATCGCCGGACGAGCGTGACGCGGCGCTACGAGGCCTGCAGCACTTCCGGGAGACGGTGGCGGAGTGGGCGCTCATAGCATCGCATCGTAATATGAGCGTGACGCGGTGCTGCGTCGTTCATTCCTGTTCCCCTCCTGCTCCCCTCGTTCATTCCCCGCCTTGCCAGGTGGTGGCCACGGACTTCATCCCCTGGCACTCCGCCCAAGCCACGCAGCACGAGCAGCACACAGACCTCGAATCATCATCCTCCTCGGCTGAGCGTGACGCAGCGCTGCAAGGCCTGCAGCACTTCAGGGAAACGGTGGCGGAGTGGGCGCTCATAGCATCATCCCACTCCTTCATCATCCCAGCCTCGGGGTTCTCTCGCACGGCTGCGCTCTACGCCCTGCGCCCACTCGACATCTACGTGCCGCCTCCTCTCAACCCTCCCAAGGCTGCTGAGAATGCTCAAAAGCCTCCTCCTCCTCCCAGCGCCTGCGACCCCGAGAAGCCCACAGCCATCGATCGCTTCGGAGTCACCTGGAGTGGCATCTAGGCGCGCCCCCACTGCTCCCCGCAAGCCCTCACTGCTCCCCGCCAATTGCTCGTGGGGCCTGGAACGCCGTGTTGTGCTGCTTCGGGTGTGGGGGGGCTTCCATATGTGCCAGCCCACCAGGTGTGAAGGGGGAGAGAGTGGGGCAGTCGAACCCTGGAGGGTGCGTCAGTATGGGGGGAGGTGGCGGGGGTGGTTGCAGGCGCGGGCACGAGGGAGGGCGATGCGCTGCCGGTGACTCTGTTCCACGTCGCCTTCCCACCCTCCCTCGTGGGCAGCTGGCGCGCTGGTATGGTCACACAAAGCCTTAACTACGACTGCTGCCGGTGACTCCGCAAGAGCCAAAGGCCGTGGCGGCGGTGCGGCCTGTACCTGCTGCCGTGGGTGCTCGCACAACCACGGTGAAATCCGTGCAGCTTCTATCTACCTGCTGCCACCCTGCCACGCGTGCTGTGCTGCCCTTCCAAGGGAGGCTACATTTAAAAAAAACGTGGCAGTTGAAACTGGCAATGTGCAGTGCACCCATAATCGTCATTCGCATGGCGAGTTTATGGCCAGGAGTTGGCGGGGTGCACGCAGGCTGCTTCGTAGGCGTTTGGGCCCTCTGGACTGCTCTCTACCTTTGTATCGAGCAAAATGTATGTTTACGCCAATTTGCATCTATACGGTATATTGTTTTCGCCTATGAAGGGGTATACTGGTAGGTACCGTATGACTCGCCCTTGGACACGCTGCCATCCATGGCCATGGGATGGGGGATGGGGGGGGGGGGGGGGGGGGGGGGGGAGGGTTGGGGAGGGCAGAGCAGGGGGCTCTCATAATAAGGAATTGTAATTCATTACTGTAGCCAGTTGTTAACGAGGACTTCCCAAGGGCTATGCGTGAGCTGGTTCGGCCTCCTATCTTGCCCCAAAGGGGGACTTTTCCAGATACTGAACCAAAGTGATGTTAGCATTAGACACTTCCATTTAACGGCCCAGGGGGTACATTATTCGGGTAAATATGGTAACAGTCCACTCATTCTGGTGAGTAATTTGTGCAGTAAGTTCACAACAGAATAACAATACTGGATAAAAGAATAAGAAGCTTGCTTAAGGCCATCGCACTCTGATGCTGTCGTAGAGAGAGATATACTCCTTAGCAGCCTTGTTCCAGCTGTTGTCTATGCTCATCACTGTAGACGTCAGCTGCTGCCACCACTCAGGGCCTGACATATGCAAAAACGTTAGTGGGAGAAAGGTTTGGGGCAAAAAAACACGTGGCAAGGGGAGAATATTACACAAGGAGCATAGGCCAAATAACAGATTGCGGGACAACGAGACACACGTTCCAGTCCAGATGTGTGCTTGTTCATGGGGTGAGGGGACGAGAAAAAAGAGCATTTTGATCTTGTAAAGAGAGCGGGAAGAAACTTATGGTCTTTGTAGTACTTGACAGCACGAGAGTGAGAGAGAGAGGAGGAGGGAATCAATACATTTATTGAGACACTTGAAGAAATCTACGGCCTTTTTAGGGAGAGGGGGAAGAAACTTACAGTCCTTGTAGTACTTGACAGCGCGAGAGAGGGCTGAATAGCTTTTGAGAATTCTCAAAAGTGACTCAAGTACAGAGACTACTGAGCAATTTCAGAAGTGACTTACGGTCCTTGTAGTACTTGACAGCCCGAGAGAGGGCTGAATCAAGTGCGTCCTCCCCTATTCCATCAAACACAAACCTGCAGCATAGGGAGACGAGGAGGAGAGGGAGGAGTGCGGGGCAAAGGATTAGGCAAGAAGGGCTGAATCAAGTGCGTCCTCCCCAATTCCATCAAACACAAACCTGCAGCGACAGGAGAGGAGGCAAGCGAGGATTGAGCAATAGAGAGATTGACATCCCATTCAACCACACTTCCTCCTCCCTCACCGTCTCAACATCCCATTCAACCACACTGAATGCCCCACAATCTCTTTGTAACATGCCCCACACTGTCCAGTCAACATCAAACGCACTAACTGTCTGGCCTCTGTCCTCCTTAGAAGGAATTTCAATCTAAAAAAACTTCCTGAAATTAACCACACAAAAAAAGCACTGTGCCACTCACCCATTGGCCTTCTCTTCGCCCCCCCCATCGTCCACAGCACAGACTAAGTGTAAGAGCCACAGGGCATTACTCCCCCCTTCCCCCCCCTTATCACTCACCCATGGCCTTTTCTCTGTTCCCTCCATGATCCAAATCCCAGACTGTCTCTACGAGCCACAGGGCATAATGAGCCCCCATCTTTCCCCCTTGCCACTCACCCATTGGCCTTCTCTTTGTTCCCCCCATCGTCCACATCAAAGACTGTGTCGGCTAGTCCCCCTGTCCGTCTCACCACCGGCACCTGATGACACGAAGCGACAAGCGGAACAAAAGAGAGGAGAAAAGGGTGAGAAACACGAGAGGAGACCACTTCAGTAGACTGACTATGACACAGATGGAACATGCCAATAATTGGAGTGAGTTCTCATCTCACATGGCCCAAGCACGGATGGCATGATAACCAACTGCTTACACCTCTCATCAGCATTTCTCACAATTTCCCTACCCCCTTCTCTCCCTTCCCTCTCTCATTCGTTAATCACAGTGCCATAGTGCATGCCGTGCCGCTTATCTGAATGAGTCCACACGGCTCAAACATGGATGGCACGAGAATCATTCACGCCAGAAACTACCATGTATTGCCACACCCTGCTTCCCCGTCTCCCATTCTTCACTCACAGTGCCGTAGCGCATGCCGATCATCTGGGTGAGTCCGCACGGCTCAAACATGGAGGGCACGAGGACCACCACCCACTTACTATCCCCTATGAATGATTTCCTATTCCCCTTCTCCCTTCCCTCTCCCATTCCCCACTCACCGTGCCGTAGCGCATGCCGATCATCTGAGTGAGGCCGCACGGTTCGAACATGGAGGGCACGAGGACCATATCCGCCGCCGCAAACAGTTGGTGAGCCAGGCTCTCACTGTCAACCACACTAAACGCACAAGGTTAGCTGCTTATAACGAGGATGTACTCCTGGGGGTGAAATCCTGGCACTACATACATGACACGAAAAATTGCTGAAAAAAAAAGAGCAAACAGTTGGGTACATGAGCAGGCAACGGTGGTGGCCCATAAGGAACATGGCGCGGCATATGGTGGCGATGTGGCGAGTTACCTGTATGTGAGAACGAGACGAACACTGCCGCCATCTTGGAACTGTAAAAAGACAATGAAGAATAGAACACAGCGAGAAGATCAGATGGTAATGGTGCATGCAACACAACAGGAGCCAAGCCCATCCCTCACCCCTCTCTCAACTCATCAGCAGCCACAACACACTCTCCCTGCAGTCAGCCTCTTCACAACACAACCCCACACGCACAACCAAGGTGCCTCATCTCATTACTCTCAGCAGGCCACCACGCTCACCTCCTCTGCAATCGTAACAATGTATCTTGAGACTTGAATCGCATCAAACATAGTCCCAAGTGGCAGGCCACTGCTCATCTAATCTGGATCTTGATACCTTGCACAACATAACCTAACCCACGGCCAAGGAGCCTTCGTAATCTAAGAAGGCCACCCACTCACCTCCTCTGCAATCTTCACGAAATCTCCCTGCACACGCCCATCGGGCGATGAGCCGAGCAGAATAAACTGCCCGCCCTGTGGATTGGTTGGACACATAGATAGACGAAAGTGAGGGAGGGTATGAAGAGCAAGTTCATAGGAAGGTGTGTGCGAGATTGAGAGTGGTGTTTGCGAGATAGCGGGAGGTGTGTGCGAGATAGAGTAGACTCACATATGCTTATGTCTGGTAGATGTTACAGTGCTAACAGAGCAATGCGAGTAATAAAGACTCAGATATTCCGTGGTCCTGTCAGATGTCACAGTTGCTAACAGCATTAACAGAATTTAAAGAAAAAGGGCTTACATATTTGTGTGTCTGGTAGATGGCGTGGCGAATAAGGTGAATGCCTTTCTGGGCCACCAGACGGGTCACGCACACCACCAATGGAGCCCGCTCCCCCGTGACCAGCTGAGTCAGCGCTGAGTCAGCCACGGGCCCTGCTGACGCATCAGCTGCAAGCTTCTCTGCTGCCTCAGGTGTTATCTCAGGTGTGAGGCCCAGGCCCCGCTGCACATAGTGCTTGCACAGCATCTTGCCTGCCAGGCTGGTGGCTGGAGGAAGGGAGACGGAGGAAAGATGCGGGGGGGCGGGGGGGGGGGGGGGGGGGGAGAGAGGGGGAGGGAGGTGGAGGAGGGGAAACGGTGTTTAATTTCCAGGGGGAACATGGAGGGTGGAAGGGGGAGGAGAGGGACAGAGGAGGAGGGAGTCAGCTTAGTGGCCAACGCCGTGCTGCATGTAGGGCCTGCACAGCATCTTGCTTGCCAGGCTGGTGGCTTTTGAGTCGACTCAAAAGTCAACTCGCTTTTGAGTCAACTCAGGAGTCGGCTTAGTGGCCAACGCCGTGCTGCATGTAGCGCCTGCACAGCATCTTGCTTGCCAGGCTGGTGGCTGGATGGAAGGGGAACGAGAAAGCGGAATGCCAGGCTGGTGAATGGATGCCACGTAACTTCTTATAGGAGGAAGTAAAGTCATGACTCGGAAGATGAGTAAGGCACAGGCATACATGAGGACTGAGCAGGAAAATGATTGATCTGGCTTGTCTCTCTAGTTTGACTCTCAGCCGTAGGGCGTACGTGAGAGGCAAGAGGGGTAGGTGAGAGGCAAGAGGGGTAGGTGAGAGGCAAGAGGCGTAGGTGAGAGGCAAGAGGCGTACGTGAGAGGCAAGAGGCGTACGTGAGAGGCAAGAGGCGTACGTGAGAGGCAAGAGGCGTACGTGAGAGGCAAGAGGCGTACGTGAGAGGCAAGAGGCGTACATGAGAGGCAAGAGGCGTACGTGAGAGGCAAGAGGCGTACGTGAGAGGTAAGAGGCGTACGTGAGAAATGAGCGGGCAGATGGGGGTCGGTTTGCGGGTCCCACATCTCAGTGTCGATCCCGTTCAGCACACCAAAGTACCTGCCAGGCACAGTAAAGTCATCCACCATAGAGTAGAAATAAGTATTTTTTATATGTAAACGTGTGTAAATATTCATATAGATGTAAATACACATATGTGCACATAAATGCATGTGCAGAATCCCTTATTTTTGTGTAACGAGCCTAGTATAACTGACATTTGAGATTAGTGATATAATGAGAATCTTACTTGGTGCGGTATTTGAGGAGGGTGTTGGCGAGCCATCCGTTGCAGAAAGTCTCGCTGGCATAGGTTGGGCTCACAGTGCTGCATGCATGCATGCATGTACGCATGTATGCATGTAGGCATCATGCATGACATGGATTATGGGGTGCATGCAGGTGTGTGGGGGTGAATATGGTGGCATGGACACGGATTAGGATGGGAGGCATCATTGCAGGCAGCCACGCACATATGTTTAGGGTACATATATTTTCTGCGATAAAGCATATACGAACACGCATGGTCATACAAGAGTACCAACTTACAAATGGTGTCAACACACAGGAATAGTGCATTGGGCCTATCCAAGCATTAAAGCCAGCAACCAACTCACAAAGTTGGTATCATCAACTCACATCACGATGTTAAGGTACACTATCTCTTCCTTCAGCATGAACATTCTGAGTCAGATTAGAAGCACTTCTTGCGTCAACCCACGAATCACTCACATTACAATGTTGGAATGCGCAATTCTCCCTTCAGCATGGACAGCCTCACGGGGTTGTGGCCCCCTTTTTCTTGGGCGCCTCAAACAACAGATCATGTGACCGTGTCAACTCACGTTACCATGTTGGTATACACAAAACCTCCCCTCAGCATAGACATGTTAAGTCAAGTCAAGAATCACTCACGTGACAATGTTGGAGTACACAATTCCTCCCCTCAACATAGATAGACATTTTGAGTCAAGTCAAGAATCACTCACGTGACAATGTTGGAGTACACAATTCCTCCCCTCAGCATAGATAGACATTTTGAGTCAAGTCAAGAATCACTCACGTGACAATGTTGGAGTACACAATTCCCCCCTTCAGCATGGACAGCCTCTCAGGGTTGTGGCCCACTGTGCGGTCGTCCATAGCCTGATGTGTGGGGGGCAGTGGGGGAGGAGGGACAGGCGATATGAGAGGAGAGGAGGACACGACAAGGCTGTGCCGAGCTCCAATGTATAGTCGTCCATAGACTGGCTCGTGGTTGGGGTTGGGGACCAGAAGGTTTCTTCATGGTTTCCTCTTTGGAAAATTTCATTTCTTCTTCATTGAGATAAGACGACCCTTTCAGAGCAAACTCAATCTAGCATATTCCAACATTCCATGCTTGCTATCCAGGTAGGACTGCTCCTCCAGGCCACATGCTTCCAGCGTCTTGAGGCGTCTCAGAATTAGGAGATTCTTCAGGTGCCTCAGAAATCAACTCTTGCTTACTTGCTCCAAGTTCCAACACTCTGTACCTTCTCAGAGTCGAGATACGACTGCCCGTCCAGCCCACACATGTCCAGCTGCTCCCATCTGAGACAAGGCCGGGCAAGGGCAACGCATGGAAACGAGCAATGTACAGTGGATCTGGCAAGCAACACATGGCATGGCAGCAGCAAAGCTATGATATATTTGACGCTCAGACAGGGGAGCATCAGACGCAAATACGCAGCATTTCGACGCTTGACGTTCGACGCTGCCTCTACTCTACCTATCTTCGGACGCTGCCCCGTCCACATATACATGCCCCTCACCTGCACTCCCCGTGGTGCTCCATGTTGTGGATAGTGAGAATCAAGCGTGGCTTCTGCAGTAGGGATGGAGAGGGGATGGGGGGGGGGAAGGGAAGAGGATAGGAAGAGAATGGATACAATCTCGTTTGACCAGGTGTCATTTGGGGTCAACCTGGGTTCATACCCAGGCATGAACTCATTCAAAAGCCTAACACTGCCTCAGCGGTTCAGATCCATAACTGACAGACTGCTACCGCAACAGCCATCTGCAGGTTGAGCTGGTGGTAGATGTCCCAGTAGAGAAGCACCACTGATGTAAGTTTGCACACCCAGTATGCAGCTGCACTTCTTGAGGCGCATCATTGAATGACGCACCTGCAGGTTGAGTTGGTGGTAGATGTCCCAGTAGAGCAGTGCCACCGCTGCTGTGTGCCACTCGTGGATGTGCAGAATGTCCGGCTGCGCTCCCGTCACCTGATGATGGGATACACACAGCCATGCACAGGCACACATAGGTACACATGTGGCGAGTCTGAGAGGACGAGTCTGAGAGGGGAGGCAGAGAAGAATCAGCAACAGCTGCTGTATGCCACTCGTGGATGTGCAGAGTGCTCCTGTCACCTGAAAATGGCATACACATGGACACACGTAGGTACAACAACACAGAATACCATGTTACAGTACAGGGCGAGTGAGAGCGAGGGCAGGCAGGCAGACAAGGAAGGGGAAATAGTGCTGTTGTGTTCCACTCATGGCCATGGAATCCATGGACGTAAAGCAGGTCGGACTGCACCCCTGTAACCGGATGAGCTACACATGTGCGCACACAGGTGCAGCAGAGGGTACCATGTCCCAGGGTGAGAAAGGGAGGGCAGACTAGGCACACATGGCCCGTGCTGCAACCCCGCATGCCCCCATCCATCCAGATGGCCCCACCTGCGATTTTCCGACCTGCATGCCGTGTCGCCACCACACAGGCACCTCTCACCTGCAGGAACTCGAGGCTGGCGCGGCTGAAGAAGAGATACCCCTGGAGCTCGTTGTAGGAGGCACATGCCATACGTGCCTTACCCAGAAGAGACCTGCTTCCCTCCCATAACATGCCAGAAATCACCAAAAGTCCACACCGCCGCCACCTCACCTGCAGGAACTCGAGGCTGGCGCGGCTGAAGAAGAGGTACGCCTCGAGCTCGTTGTAGGAGGAGCCTCACGGCATACCTTCACCAGGAGAGGCATATTTCCCATAACCTGCAGGACGAGACCGAACCCCCACGTGTCACACAGTGGCCACACAGCCACCTCACCTGCAGGAACTCGAGACTGGCGCGGCTGAAGAAGAGGTACGCCTCGAGCTCGTTGTAGGAGCCGCCGTAGATGCGCCCTCCCCTGAAGAAGTGGTTCTCCGGCTTCAGCAGCACCACTGGCACGCCTGAGATCTCCCCACTGAACGCCTGCTTGGATGGAGGTGAAGGGATTGAAAGAGCGCCTTCTATCGAGTGGATTGGGGTGGATGGAGATTGGCTAGAGAGACAATGTGGTACTGTTCCACTGGATCGGGGTGCGTCGTATGGCCCTCGTAACACTATTGGCAGTAACAACCAGATTTTCCGCCACTGCATGCACGGCTGGTGGGTGGGAGAGGGACGGAGCAATGGAGACGGAGCAATGGGGACGGAGCACAGCGTTCTTCCTTGGGAAACTCAACAGTCGGAACGGTTTTTTCTGGCCGAATGCATGCTATGTTGTCACGGCTGCATGCCTAATCCGGCATACGTCGATTCCGCTTCATATCTCTGCTCCAACCCACCACCACAATCCAGATCCAGCACACCTCCAAGCCAGCCCAGTCGGCCTTAAAGTATGAGCCAAAGGAGCACTTGAGCTGCAGGTTGGTGATCTGCTTCTCACCTGCACACTGAGCCACCACCTCTCTGCCTCACAGCCACTTTAACCAATCTATTGCCTCCATCACACCTCCAACCCACCCCCACTCCAACTCACGCCCACTTCAACGCACCTCCACGCCGACCCAGTCGCCCTTGAAGTAGGAGCCAAAGGAGCGCTTGAGCTGCAGGTTGTCGATCTGCTTGGTGTCCAAACACTCGTAGAACGGCAGCATCACCTCCACCGTGTGGCCCCGCGCCAGACAGGCTCGACCCAAACCTGCAAAGAAACACCAAGCCACAGACAATAGAGAAGTTTCTTGGGCACAATGGATGGAATGTCCAGACACTTGTAGAACGGCAGCATCACCTCAACCGTGTGGCCCCGCGCCAGACAGGCTCGGCCCAAACCTGCAGAGACGTTCAAATGGACGGGGCAATGAAGAATTGCAATTGCAACATTACCTCCACTGAATGGGCAGAGCAAGATAGATACGTTTGGCTCAAACCTGCAGACAAGCAACTGACTTATTACAATGACTTCAGCATCCAAAAACTCTCCTTTTAAAACATTCTAAAGGCTCCAGCTTTCGCCGGCGGAGCCATTTCAGCAGTCATATGCACAATGTGAAGGCGCTCTGAGCCCCTCACTCCCAAAACTCCGTCCACTGTTGCTCACTAATCTGTTACCACGCCATTCTCTCGGGTAGCGCGCTACTAGCATGCTACCATGGCTTTTACATCCTGTTGCCGTAACGTGCAGTAACTGACCTGTTACCACATCGCCCAGGCCTCCGACTTTCGCCAGGGGAGCCATTTCAGCAGTCACGTGCACAATGTGTAGGCGCTCCGCGTCCCTCTCTCCCACAACTCCGTCCCCTGTTGACCCGCTGCTTGCCACCTCTGCTGCTGCCACGTATCCTTCACTGGTTGGCCAGCGCATCCAGAACGGCGATTCCTCCTGGGGAGACGGCCAGATAATCTGCTGGGCGGTCGCAGTGGCCGGCACAGCTTGTCTTTTCGGAGGGGACCCTACGGCCTCTTCTATAACTTCAACGGATGCTGAGGCTGGTGATGCAGCTGTTGCCTGAAACGTGGGGAAGCGTGGGGAGCGGGGGGTAACGCAGTCCGTGATTCAATACGAATTGTGGTAAATCGTCTCTGCTCTGTGCTTCGCTTCCTATGCAACCACCACTCACTCTCCTATGCAATACACACCAAATTATCCGGGTTCATTCATTCATTGCAGCTTCTACATCACTCACCACATCAGAGGCAACAGCAGGCGAGCCAGGGGCGCCGCCTCCCTGCATGGCGAGCGAGAGAGCCCCCTCCAGCTCCGCCAGGCGCGATTTCAGCCGCGCGTTCTCCGCCACCATCGCCTGCAGCCGCTTCTGTGATTATGTGTTCGCGGGAGCACGATTTCGAGTAAAAAGAGGGACAATCGTGAGAAGAATAAGGGACGGAGAATGAGAGTACGGTAAGGCTGCGGGTGTGCAATCCTTCCTCCTCTCTTCTTCTCGCGAATAAAAGGACGGTAGGGCTTGCATGGTTGGCCTTGAGAAATATGAGAAGGCATAAGAGCATGAAACGCTTAGTAAAATGACACAATTGCTTGAAATCTACCATAGAACCTGGATTTCAGTTTCTTGGTAAGGCAAGAAGCCAAGCCAGCCATCACTGATATTTTTCACCACCTGACGTAAATCGTCATTCCCTGATTCCCATCGCATCGCAGGAACAACGAGCCGTTGGTACTTATATTGACGTCATACCTTCTCAGCGTCGCTTGACGCGCCTGCGGTCGCGGCAACCTGCACAGGTACAATTAAAGATTCGCCTCATTTCGAGAACATGACGACTTCCATCAGATTTGTACTCTATGTTAAAGAAGCTGAGTATGCAAAATAAACAAAAATGAGCGCGCAACCGAATCTGCGGCTCGACGGAATCAGTCAACTTATGTGAGAAGAAAATGATAATAACAAACGAGCTTGGTTTATATTCAGGAACGAAGGAACTGATTACGATGTACATGCCTGAAGGGCTCCATGTTTTGGGGAAGCGGCTTTGCGCGAAGTCCTTCGCGACTGCTGGCGAAGCGATTTCCCGGAAAACCCTGCCTGCATTCAGAATAGCATGTTACATTGGTAGGTTCATACACGACATTATACCTGGGGTCCAGGTTAGCTGGCACAACATGGACCATAAAAACTCGGCATTCGGAATTACAAAAAGGAGAATAAACGCAGGTCCGATGTATTCCTAATGAAAACATTGTACCTGAGCCGATTTCAGCTGCGTGCAAGAGGAGCCAACAGAGAGCTTCTCCTCCTTCAGGCACACAGCGGAGACAGCTGGCAACACGCCTGCAGAGGCGGATGTCACTGTCATGGCCGCCATTCTCGTAAGTGCTATGTTACCGCTCCTCACACCTTTACTAGGACGAATGCGCCCTGACAGCAGAGCTAGAGCTCAGCCTAGACCGCAATATAGGTGAAGCCAGAAATGGCTGGTCTCTGGAGGTAGAATGTTATGTTTGGTTGGTCCCACGCATTGACAATATTGCGAGAAAGACATTGGCTTTCTCGATATCTTCGAATTCTGCGAATTGACTCCCAGCTAAGCGACAGAATCGCTGCGTGCGAAGACCGAGTCTCGTGGGTAACCACTATCGAGATGCAGGTGCGGGGGAAAGGTGGGTGGTCGGTAGCGCGTGTCACTGTCAATCAACAGAACAATGGAGGAAGGATAGCCCTATGATTTTTGCCACGTGGCAAGTGGTCACAAAGAGAAGATGAAGGCGTGGAGGAGATTATCCAGCTCAACAGATCCCACTCCACGTCACTGGCAAGTGGAGCTGACTCCCAAGTGTGTGAGGCCACAGCAAAGCACCAGACTATACCGCGTATAAAACAAAGTAAATCATCACCCCAACAATGGTGTACTTAGTGCTTACATATACCGTACCTGCAACCTGCAATAGGGTTTTCTTATCAAGAGCTATGAACCAGGATGCGCTCAAGTGTAAGCATGTTTGTACGTCAACTAAACAGCTGAGAAGCGAGCGAAGCTCAAACTGTACAATTCCTACCAATTTTACACATATAAGACTTGGGAGACTGCCAGGAACCAGTGCCTGTGGCTTAGCGGCTGCCTGAGCCAGAAGCTCCTGCATCGGTCATGGTCCTCTTCTGAGCTCGCCTTGCCCTTCGGCCCAAACCTCCCTCCTTGGAAGCATTGTGACCCTTCTGAACTGCACCAGACGTGCGGGCAGGGGCAGGGCGCGCCTCTACGCGACCACGGCGGACATAGCCATTCTCACCCCATCGCCTGTTGCCAATACGCAACGTGTTCTGGTAATAGTCCTCCTCGTCTTCTTCATAATCCTCCAGCTCTGGTGGGTGCTCTATTTCATTGTGGTATTCGAATTCCACAGGCGAGTACCATGGAGCACGGAGAAGCAAGCACACTGTTTCTTCAAGCATGAAATCACTCACACTGCACAAACAAAAGGCAGCGGATGAGTGGGTGGAAACAAGAATAGAATGAAGCACTACGAGATGAATATGGGATTGTAACGAAAGACGATAAGAATGCGTACAAATGAAAGTGAAAATCAGGGCGAGCGTACCTCCCATCAATATTTTTGTACAGGTAGAGCGATGAAAATGGCAAGCGACACTGGGGACACCAAGGATAGGTCTTGTAGGAAGCCCACTGAAGAATGCAGTTAATGCTGAGAGCCAAGGAAAGAAACTGCAATCGTGAGGAATCTGCAATCAAAGAAATAGCAAACATCGCTGACAATAGCAAAAGGAAGAGTTAGCTGACCAGTATGAGTGATCGCATCCCTTGACGAAGCCAGTTTCTTGAAGAATAATGCCCTCGTGGCAGATTGCACATACGTTGCTTTCGTCCTGGACGGAAAACAGGTTCAATAAGAGTCACGTTTGACGCAAAAAAAGCATTTATGAAATCCGGCTCTTGAAATTCTCATAAGCGAGGAACATCCCATGGTTCCAACAACGGTCTATCAACCTGGAAAGTTTCCAGAATAATTCAGGACTAGCGAACCTTGACTTTGGAACAGTCGGCAGAAGCACAGGAGTCTTCAGCTTCAACAGTAAGAGTTTCCAATTTCTGCTCGAGCCCGTCAATCTCGCTCGCGAAATCCTCCACAGCTGCCGTAGGAAACTCCATGGAGCTTGGGTGGGGAAGTTGGGTACAATCCTTACCCCTGAACCACACTGGTTCGTCCCCCCGATTGTACCGAGTCGTTCCCCTGAACGTGGGGCTTCCTCCCCTACCGCGCTGCCTACGCGTCACACATGACCCGCTCTGCTCCCGGAGGGTAGCAGGCGGCTGTTGGAAAGCAGCAGCGAGGCTAGTCGGAACTACCTAGGTGAAAGTTGTCGCGCGTAGTACTAGGGTTAGGAGCAAGCATAGAGAAGGGGATTGTCCGTTGGAATAATTTCTGTGGGGAATATGCGAGGGAATCCAAAAAGTGCAGTAACGAGCTCATCGCTAAAACGGAAGTGCTAGAGTACCTGACGCTGCTGTAAGTACATATAGTTGTCCTAAGTGTAATGATGTATGACATGGAAAACCAGGATTTGTAGCCCTCCATATGCTAGCAACTTTGAAGGGGTTATAGCACAGCTTTAGCATTCATGTGCCACGACAACTATGTCAAACAGTGTGATTAGGAACAAAAATAATGGATCAACACAAATTCAGATCCTACTATCCGAACGTATTTAGTCAACGGCAGCCTTAGATCATAGTGGCCCTGCATTACTTGGCTAAGTCAATCATCCTCTTCACTGCTGAATCTTCCCAGTTCCATAAGCATCCATATTGCGGACACAGCTGCACAGACGGGGGTGGGGTGGGGATGGCGGCCAATACGATTCACCAACCCTATACTCAGAGAAGAGGGGCTCGGAAAGTGGTATACTGGACCCAACTTACTGGTGAAAAGGCATGAGGGTGGCAGAATACTTTTACGGTCATTGTAGAGGCATGGCGCGGCAAGGCTTTTGAGGGTCATGGACTTGTAGAGCAGCAGCTTGTTTCCTCGGCACCTCAAGAATCGTCTTTGAAATGAACATTCTAAGGCACTCAAAGAGGACAACTTACAAGCGAAGAAGCATGGCGCAGCAAATATTTTTACCGTCATGGTGTTGTAGACAAGCAGCTCGAACAGAAAGTGCAGGAGGGCGAAGAGGAAGAATGCGAGCGTGGTGGTGAGGTACAGTGAGTAGGCCAGGTGCAGAACACAGAGAATGGTCTACTGATTTTGGGGCACCTTGAAAACAGGTGCACGGGGACAAAAGGAGGTCTACTATTCCTTAGCCGCCCCAACAACAGGCGCGGAGCACAAAGGGTAGTCTACCTACCAAAGAACACTTACAAGCGAAGAAGCACGGAGCAGCAAAGTTCTTGACTGTCATGGTCTTGTACACGAGCAGCTCGAGCAGAAAGTGCAGGAGGGCGAAGAGGAAGGAGGCGAGTGTGGCGAGGTAGAGCGGGCGGCTGTCCAGATGCAGAGCACAGAGGATGCAGAGCGTGCAGGTGACAGCTGTCCAGACGGCAAAGGTGCGACCGTGCACGTCAGACACTGTGAGGGGACAGAAGGAAGGTGATGGAATGAAAGTCTTCAAGTCTCAGAAATCAAAGGATGCAGAGCGTGCAGGTGACAGCTGTCCAGACGGCAAAGGTGCGGCCGTGCACGTCAGACACTGACGGAAGGGGAAAGGTGGGTAGGAGGTGGGCAAGGTGGGGGATGGGGGAAAAGAGGGTGAGAAAAGGGGTGAGGTGTGTGTGAGGTGCAGAGCAGAGCATCCATGACACAGCTGTCCATGCAGCCAAGGTGTGACCGTGCACACCGGACAGTGTGAGGGGGAACGGGTTGAGACAGGACAGTGTGAGTGGCAGAGATGATGCAGGGCGTGCAGGTGACAGCCGTCCATGCGCGGAAGGTGCGACCGTGCACGTCTCAAAGTGGGACAGCAGCAGGTGTATAGAAGAGAGGATGCTGAGTTTCAGGAGGTGAGACAGTGTGACAGCCGTCCATGCAGCCAGTGTGTCCAAGAGGGAATGCAGAGGAGAGAGAAAGAGGACACAGAGGAGAGAGGGAGATGTTGTAGAGGGTGCATGCGTCAAAGGTGTGTGGAGTGGAGTGCACGACTGCGCGTATCACTCACTGATTGATAGTGGGAAGAGGAGAAATCGTAGTGTCAAGCTCTAGCAAAAGCTGTGGTTGTATTCTTAGAGCGGCACTCACTGGTGCGTTTGGAGTAAACGGCAACCTGCAGCCCAGAGGTTGAAGTAACCAAAGTAGACCGAGGAGCGACGGGCGAAGGCCACCAGCCAAGGACGGATGCAGCTTCTGGTGTGGTGTGCTGTTGTAACACGGTTACGACTAAAAAAATCACCTTCTTAACGGAGCACTCACTTGTGCGTTTGGAGTAAACGGCGACCTGCAGAGCCCAGAGGTTGAAGTAACCAAAGTAGACCGAGGAGAGGCGGGCAAAGGCCACCAGCAGCAGCCAGTAGCCTAGTGGCTCCATGCTGGTAGTGCTGATGCTGCAGGGATGGGGGAATAAAGAGGAGTGAGGAAGGGGAATGAGGCACTGCAGGACAGGGGCAGTGAGGAGAGGCAGGCGAAGGAAAGCAGCAGCAGCCAGTAACCCAGCGGCTCCATGCTGCTGCTGCTGATGATGCTGATGGGATGGGGGGATGAAGGGGAGTGAGGAAGGGGAAGGAGGCACGACAGGACAGGGGCAGTGAGGAGAGGCAGGCAAAGCACACCAGCAGCAGCCAGCAGCCCAGAGGTTCCTTGCTGTTGATGCTCGGACGATTTTTGAGGCGCCTAAAAAATAAGCCCACCAGCAGCAGCCAGTATCCCAGAGGTTCCTTGCTGTTGATGCTGGGATGGGAGAGGGAGGGGAGGGAGGGATTACGGAAGAGGCGCAGACGGAGAGGAGGGAGGGAGGGGGATGAGAAAGGGGAATGACGTAGGAGGGAGGAAAGGGACTGAGGGAGGAGGGGAGTGAGGGGCAAGGGGGGTGAGGGATGAGGTGAGTGAGGAGAGAAGGGAGTGAGGGGAGAGGGGATGAGGGGCGAGGGGAGTGAGGAGAGAGGGGAGCGAGGGGCGGGGGAGTGAAGGATGAGGGGAGTGAGGAGAGAAGGGAGTGAGGGGAGAGAGGATGAGGGGCGAGGGGATCGAGGAGAGAGGGGAGCGAGGGGCGGGGGAGTGAGGGATGAGGTGAGTGAGGAGCGAAGGGATTGAGGGGAGAGAGGATGAGGGGCGAGGGGAGTGAGGAGAGAGGGGAGTGAGGGAAGAGGAGAGTGAGGGATGAGGGAAGTGGGGCGAGGGGTGCGCGGCAAGGAGCAGTTCCTGCGTGCGCGGAAGAGGACGTGTGGCGGAGGGCGGAGGGCGGAGGGCGGAGGGCGGAGGGCGAAAGGCGGAGGGCGGACGGCGAAGGGAGGAAATTTGGTGCGGGAGGCTCTCTTCCCCAATACCCTGTCGGCAAAGAGCGGTTTCCGCGTGCGCGGACGGGGCGAAAGGCAAGGATTTCGGCGGGATACGGCGATGGGGAAAGGCGAGAAGTATGATCCAAGCTCTTGGTGAAATAGCCATTCCACTATGTGAAATAGGCGGGGGTTTTCTGCCATTCCACTATGAGCTTGCATCCTTAGTAGGACGTTGGCTGGTGTAAAGCCGCGATGGAAAAGGGTGCGGAGTGGAGCGTTGAAGGCCACCTGCGTCCGGGAGGAGCAATGGGCAATGCTCAAATGAAATAACTTTCGAGAATTCTCAAAAGTGATTTCAATATAGCCGAGGAGCAATTGGCAATGCTCAAATGAAATCACTTTCGAGAATTCTCAAAAGTGATTTCAATATAGCCGAGGAGCAATGGGCAATGCTCGAAGGGTTGGCAATGCTCGAAGGGTTTGCTGCGCTATTTCGCAGACTGTTTCGTCAGGGAGGCGTGTTGAGGACTACCGCGACGCGAAGATGCGGCGCTCACATAGAGTCTCACCTGCCGTTGCGCGGACGCGGCGGTGGTGGCGGAACGGAACAGAAGTTAATCTAGACCGCGGAAAGGGAGATCCGCGGGAGGATTACGTAACTTAGTGGATGGGTGACCGTTTGCGAGAGGCGGTCTTGATGATTGCTTTGGCTTGGAGCAGAAGCATAGAACATTCTTCTGAAGACTTGTGGTTGATCATGTGCGACGGTAACCATGTTTGTGAGGATCCTTGATCTACATCGCATGCCTCTTATCTTCGCTAGATGCTCTTCGCGAATGTTTCGAGCCATAAATGGTTAGTGATATTGGTCGGCGGTGTTCGTGATATTCGGCGGCAGTCGGATTTCGTGCTACTTTTCAAGTGTGACGTAATCAAGGGTTTAAAGAGTTGCAGAAAGGTTCATATAGAATTTGAAACCTTTGATCATCGTTCTGGCACATGTCAGATTCCATTTGGGCCCGCGATATTGTCCAACTTCGAATGCCGAGTAAGTTGTGCCTGAAGTGGTACAGAAAATTCTATCTTGCACTATGTTTACAAGAGGCCCTATTTTCTCATGCCAGAATGGTCTGATTGCTAGATACATAAAACCGTTTATTCTGTTTTTTATATATAATCGTAAAAACTGTCTGATATTAATCAGATGTACTGTAACAGCAAGCTTTTCATGCTAGACTAGAATACCGTATATAATTCATAATTCATCATGGTCTGCTACAAAATCTTTCTCTAGCACACGGTAACAATGCTTCGCAGCTGTCGTTTGCGCTTCCCAACCGCCAGCAGCAACCCAATTCCCTCCATCCCCACTTCCAGTGCCTGCCACGCACGCTGTTCCAACCCAACCACCTGTTGCAGACTGCATCGGGTCGGTCATTTTCTTCCCTCCAACCCAGCCTAGATTTCTCCTCATCCCACCTGAAGTCGTTCCTCAAATCTGGATTCCGTCAGCTCTTGAATTAGTTGGTCTGTTTTCCGCTCATTCTGCTATCTCTTTCGAAGGTCTCCATTGCGGGATTTGAAAAATTAGGTGCTAGGTGCTTGTGACTAGGAGCCATGGGTGGCGGTTTTAGAGTTTTGCATCTTGTCCGGCCGTTTCTGAACCTTCTGCCGGAGGTGCAGACCGCAGATCGGAAAGTGCCGTTCAGAGAGAAGTTTCTTTACACCGCCGTTTCGCTCTTTATCTTTTTGGTCTGCAGTCAGCTTCCCCTCTATGGCATCCACGCAGCCACAGGATCAGATCCGTTCTACTGGATGCGTGTTATTATGGCGTCCAACCGGGGTACTGTCATGGAGCTGGGAATTACTCCCATTGTCACATCCAGCATGGTGATTCAGCTTCTTGTAGGGTCGAAGCTGATCGAGGTGGATAACAGCATCAAGGAAGATAGAGAATTGATGTAAGCAGCGGAACGGTTTCTTGACATTGGAACAAAAATACTGCGAAACTGTTAGGGTTATATTAGAGGCTTGACGTCTCTTGGCGTCATACATCGAATATGATCTTCCATCGCGGATCTTTTCGCTGCGTGTATCCGGATCTGCTGTAACATAAAAACCTGAAGTTGTTTTTATTGCTGGTTCTTTTCCAGCAATGGAGCTCAGAAGCTGCTGGGAGTGCTCATCACTGTCGGAGAAGCTGTCGCATACGTCGTGTCGGGGATGTACGGCGATGTGCGCGATCTGGGTGCGACGAATGCGATTCTGATCATCGTGCAGCTTTTCTTCGCCGGCATCATCATCATCTGCCTCGACGAGCTCCTGCAGAAGGGATACGGCCTTGGATCTGGAATTTCTCTCTTCATCGCTACGAACATCTGGTACGTAGACTCTTGTTTTTGCTCAGCTGACAGTTACGTTATTCACATTGCCGACTTCTGATGAAAACATCGTCTGTTCATACATCCAAATCTGCCTCGCCTAAATTCCCAGTGTTCCGTAGTATAATTAAACCTAAAGAAAAACCCTTTTTGGTGTTAAATTTGTTTTTACTTCTAATTACCGCAGTGAAAGCATCATCTGGAAGGCATTCAGCCCAACGACCATCAACGCTGGCCGTGGCGCAGAGTTCGAGGGAGCCGTGATCGCTCTCTTCCACCTGCTCATCACCCGGACCGACAAAGTCCGCGCGCTCAAGGAGGCCTTTTACCGGCAGAACCTGCCGAATGTCACCAACCTCCTAGCCACCGTGCTCGTCTTCCTCATCGTGATCTATTTCCAGGGCTTCCGCGTTGTGCTCCCTGTTCGCTCTAAGAGCGCTAGGGGACAGCAGGGCTCGTACCCCATCAAGCTCTTTTACACCTCAAACATGCCCATTATTCTGCAGTCGGCTCTCGTATCCAACCTGTATTTCATCTCGCAGGTGCGTCCAGGGTTCATCTGTGGGAAATCGGATTGCAATCCTGCTAGATTTCGTTTTCTACGTTTCTTGCTGGTCGCAGGGTTGTGCTTCGGTGGTTGTTTCCGTAGCCTTACTTGTGTTATTAATGTCTGTGCCTCTATACAGCTGCTTTATCGGAGGTATGGCGGTTTCATCCTGGTGCGCCTTCTTGGTGTGTGGGCCGAATCGGAATATTCGAGTTCAGGCCAGCTCATTCCTGTCGGCGGACTTGTCTATTACATGACCCCTCCCGCGAGGTTAGTGTCCGTTTCCATTGCTGTTGACATGACTGACGCTACTTTCTCCACTTTCTCAAACAGTTTTTCGCATTACATTTGTTCAATTCGTGCTTTGTGCGTAAAACTCCTGCGGAAAATTCGAGTTGATATCACACTACCATGTCACACTACCTAACCAGTGTCTTAATTATTTCCGTTCCGAGCAGCTTGGCGGACATTGCGGTGCATCCGTTCCACGCCCTCTTCTACGTTACCTTCATGCTCTCCGCCTGCGCGCTCTTCTCCAAGACGTGGATCGAGGTCTCCGGGTCGTCTGCGCGCGACGTGGCGAAGCAACTCAAGGTGAGGATTGGGTTATTTAGGTTGATGATATATGTTTGGGCTGGCTTGTGAAGAGTGCGCCAGGCAGCTTGAGGTATAACAATAAAGGCATCACTTCTCGTGGGTGATATGTGAAGTCGTACGGTAGCAACGGGCTAGACAATCAGAATCTTCTGCCCTAGTTTTGAAACCCAAAAGTGCCTAGTACTTGGAAAATAACAGCCAGGAACTTACAGTTTACTTGTTCTGGGTTTCTCCAGCTGACTGAAGAAGGTTTAATCTATGAAGTTCGCAGTGAGCATGCCATCAGTTGCGTAGTGATCCTCTTGCTTCCACGAAGTTGTCCTCAACCTTGACATCCCAAGGTCTTGACTACTGCATTGGGAGATACAGCTGCTTCTATTTTTTAATGTCCAGCTGGCACACTCAGTTCCCACGTACATGTCCATGATCTCCACTCTTTCCCACTTTCCCCCTTTTCCTCCCACTCTCTTCTCTCCTCCATTTCCCCCCCAAACCCCCCCCCCCCCCCCCCCCCCCCCCGATTTCCTCTTCCACCCTTTCTCTCCCCAACCCCCCCCTCCTCGTCCCCCTCTTTACCCCGTTTCTATCCCCCTGCCTTCCCAATTTATGGCCGCTTTCACTCATCCCCTATTTTCTTTTTGTATTCTTTATACTTTAACGTTGTCCATGTATCCAGGAGCAACAAATGGTGATGCCTGGTCATCGCGAATCCAACCTGCAGAAGGAGCTCAACCGTTACATTCCCACGGCCGCTGCGTTTGGTGGGATGTGCATCGGTGCGCTGACCGTTGTTGCCGACTTCATGGGTGCCATTGGCTCTGGCACTGGAATTCTCCTTGCCGTGACCATCATCTATCAGTACTTCGAGATGTTTGACAAGGAGAGGGCCACTGAGCTTGGCCTGTTTGGTTTCTAGGTGTTGTGGTTCTGTCTTCTGGTAGGTGCTCATTCTTGTCAGTTGCATAGGATGGGCTTGATTTATGACACGGTTCTTTTTTGGATCAGCAACTGTGAGTCTTAGTCAGTCAGTTATACACCCTTTCTTAGGCTAACGTGTTGTTTAGTCTAGGGACGAACATAGTGAATCCCTGATCCAAGGACTGTTGTGGCGTTCAGCACACCAAATGTGCTGTATTATAACAACCAGGTATGTTTTGCAATTAAAGTGTACACTGCATTCACCAGTGTAGGTTTGGTGAACATCAAGACTGTTCTGGGCCCTTGTGTTGACATGCTCCTTGCTTCCTGGAATCTCTATTGATGACGTCATACTGCCCAGTGGTGCTTTTCCACGTGGATCAGCCTCCGCCATTATTGATTCGCGACATTCGCTTACAGCTTCACGTGTCGGGAAGGCTACTCTCGAATTTGCTCGTTACCAGCCATAGGTTCGCATGCAAGCTCCGCCAATCTTTCGCCCGAACCACTTCGAGGTCATCGCAACGGCTGCTTGCTCCTCGAGATTGCACTTTTTGGCTCCCACAACCATTTTCGACAAGCCCCAGGTGTTCTCCTTCCTGGCACTTCGAGCTGAGCTTCAACTGGTGGTTCCGTCGCCATTCCATGAAAACGAGACCCTTTCCTCAATAAAAACACACATCTTTCTGATCCCCGGGCGTAGAAGCGGCTGTGCACGATGAAAGTGGCTGTGGTGGGGTCAGGCGTCGCCGGGCTCGCAGCTGCATGGCGACTGAGCAAGCAGGGAGTACAGGTGACGGTGTTGGAGAAAGACTCGCACATTGGCGGCCATGCCTTCACGTATCGCACAGAAGATGGCGTTGACGTGGACCTCGGATTCATGGTCTTCAACTCGGTGCGTCCGTGACGTGGCGTGATCTTGTGACGAGGCGTGATCTTGTGACGAGGCGTGACCTTGCGACGACGCGTGAACTTGTGACGTGACGTGATCTTGAAAAGTGGGGTGCTTTAGTGACGTGGTGTGATCTTGTGAGGAGAGGTCATTCTGTGAGAGGCGTGATCCGATCCCTTGGAATTTGCCTGATGAACTTGGATACAACCATGGTGGAATGCCAGCCCCTGAAACCAATGTGGCTCTTCGCATTCACATGTCGTGCATCGATGCGCCGAAATGCGCCGGTTCAGAGCGGAATGGCGTCATCGGATACGAGTGGCGTGGTCAGAAACTAATGGATTTCATCAGATACGAGTGGCCGTGTCAAATGTTAACGGCCTTTATCATATCGTACGAATAGCCTTCCTTAGCCACATTCTCATCCCTGCGACGACACTCATTTTCACTGAACCCGCTCGATCGTCTGAAAGCAGTCGGAGGAAGCATGTCGATATGGCATTGCTTTTGAGAATGTCGTTCTGCCAAGCCGTTGGTGGTTGCACATTGGGACTGGGTTTCTCGCTTTCTACTCTGGACTATTACCGACTACAAGCATTTGACATGGAAAGTTGATTTGAGTCACCCATGAGAAGTTTGAGTCACCTGTGACTGTATCTCTTCATACATTTCACCTTCTTCCTCTGTATCTGTGTCCTCTCTCCATCCCCCCTCTCCCCCCACGCCTCCTCCCTTCCTTCCCCCCCCACCCCAACTCCAGGTGACATACCCCAACATGCTCTCCTTCTTTGAGGAATTTAAGGTCGTAATCGATCCACCCGACATGTCCTTCTTGGTGTCTGTCCCCTCCCCACCTCCCTCTCCTCCCCCCCCTCCCCACCTCCCTCTCCTCCCCCCCCCTCCCCCACCCGCTCTACCAGGTGACGTACCCCAACATGCTCTCCTTCTTCGAGGAACTAGAGGTCGCATAGAGCCCTCCAACATGTCCTTCTATGTGTCAGTGTCTTTCTCCATCCCCTCTCCCCATCCCCCTCGCCTGAACACTCTACCAGGTGATCTACTCCGACATGCTCTCCTTCGTCGAGGAACTAGAGGTGGAAATAGAGCCCTCCGCTATGTCCTTCTCGGTGTCTGTGTCTTTTTCCATCCCCTCTCTTCCCTCACGCCTCCTTTTCTCCCCCTTCCCTCGCCTCCCCCTCGACACCAGGTGACCTACCCCAACATGCTCTCTTTCTTCGAGGAGCTGGAGGTCGTAATCGATCCACCCGACATGTCCTTCTTGGTGTCTGTCCCCTCCCCACCTCCCTCTCCTCCCCCCCCCTCCCCCACCCGCTCTACCAGGTGACGTACCCCAACATGCTCTCCTTCTTCGAGGAACTAGAGGTCGCATAGAGCCCTCCGACATGTCCTTCTATGTGTCTGTGTCTTTCTCCATCCCCTCTCCCCATCCCCCTCGCCCAAACACTCTACCAGGTGACCTACTCCGACATGCTCTCCTTCGTCGAGGAACTAGAGGTGGAAATAGAGCCCTCCGCTATGTCCCTCTCGGTGTCTGTGTCTTTTTCCATCCCCTCTCTTCCCTCAAGCCTCCTTCCCTCCCCCTTCCCTCGCCTCCCCCTCAACACCAGGTGACCTACCCCAACATGCTCTCTTTCTTCGAGGACCTGGAGGTCGTAATCGATCCACCCGACATGTCCTTCTTGGTGTCAGTTCCCTCCCCACCTCCCTCTCCTCCCCCCCCTCCCCCACCCGCTCTACCAGGTCACCTACCCCAACATGCTCTCCTTCTTCGAGGAACTAGAGGTGGCAATAGAGCCCTCCGACATGTCCTTTTCTGTCTCAGTACCTCGATGCGAGTGGGGCAGCTATGGCCTCTCCGGCCTCTTTGCTTCGCGCCGCAATGCCTTCCGGCCCTCCTTCTGGCTCATGCTGCGCGAGATGACTGTTTTCCATCAAGACGTGCTCAAGTGAGTGGCACATTGCATAGTTTCCATGATCCATCCACAGGAATGTTGCATTCATAACACGTACATCGCAATGCCTTCCGGCCGTCCTTCTGGTTCATGCTGCGCGAGATGACGGTTTTCCACCAGGACTAGCTCAAGTAAGGCCCTTTTGCTGCTGATAGCGCACTGCATTGCACTGCACGGTGGATACAGGCTTCACAGGTGAGGTGCGTAGCAGTGTTATTGTGCGCCAAGAAAAGCCTTCCGGCCCTCCTTCTGGCTCATTCTGCGCGAGATGACGGTTTTCCACCAGGACTTGCTCAAGTAAGGCCCTTTTGCTGCTGATAGCGCACTTCACACAGTTACATGCTACACGGGTCTGTTGCACACCATGTTTCGGCTTCACTGCGTTAGTAAGAACCCCAAGGTGCAAGCGTCTGGAGTGCTGCAGAGGCAGTCAGTTACCATCCAGAGCACATGATGAGTCAGTTCATGATCCCAAAGCGTTTCCATTTTTCCTTTAATCCTGAACTGAACACCCCGCATCTTCCTTTCTTCCTTCCCGCAGCTACCTCGCCAAGGTCGAAGCCTCTGGGGTGTTGCAGGCAATCAGCTGCTCTCAACGACACATGATGAGACAATTGCACAGGCGCCTAGACGTTCCTTCCGATTCTAAATTGCGCTTCTATCTGTCACTCCCTCCCTTCCTTCCCGCAGCTACCTCGCCAAGGTGGAAGCCTCCGGAGTGCTGCAGAGGCAGTCAGTTGCGCTCAATGGCACATCCTGAATCGCGCTCCTATTTGTTGTCACTCCCTTTCTTTCTTCCTTCCCGCAGCTACCTCGCCAAGGTCGAAGCTTTTGGAGTGCTGCAGAGGCAGTCAGTTGCTCTCAACGACACGTAATGCGACAATTTCACAGTCTCCTAGAAGATTCTTGAACTGCGCTCCTATTGGGCACTCCCTTCTGTTCTTCCTTCCCTCAGCTATCTCGCCAAGGTCGAGGCCTCTGGAGTGCTGCAGAGGCAGTCAGTTGCGCTCAACGGCAGCAGTAGCAGCAACGGGGCCGTACCATCATCACCAGCGGCACCAGCAGGCAGCAGCGCCCTGCTCACAGAGACGCTGGGGGAGTTCCTGAAGGAACGAGGGTATTCCTCCATGTTCTGCGATTGCTACCTGGTCAGTCTGACAGTTGCTTTCAGTCAAATGAAGGTTCAAGTGAGTGTAATCAGCCGGTTCAGCAGCATCAGTTGGCAGCAGCGCCGCCCTACTCACAGAGACGTTGGGGCAGTTCATGAAGGACCGCGGGTACTCCTCCATGTTCTGCGACTGCTACCTAGTCAGTGCGACAGCTATCTACCTTTTGGATGAATGCCAAGTGATCTACATCGGCCAGTGTCACAGCATCGGCAGGCAGCGACGTCGTACTCACAAATACGTTGGGGCTGCAGGCCCGCGGGTGTGCTTCCATGTTATAAAAGTGATGTTTTGAGACGTCTCAAAACATCACTTTTATCAGGCGTGGGGGTATGCTTCCATGTTCTGCGATTGCTACCTGGTCAGTTTGACTTCTTAGTGAACAATACGAGGTCTGTATACTGATTTATCTCGATGGTCATTGTGTTCTTCTCTCTGCCCACACACCCGCGTCCCTTCTCTCTTCCCCTGTTGACTTCTAACTTCTCAGCTCCCTGTGTGCGCCTCTATATGGTCAACCAGGGTGGATGGCGCCAGCCAGGAGCTTCAACGCCCATTTCTGTTTCCTTTTGATTCTCCTGTTCAAGTGTTCACGTGTGGCACACCCCACGCCACCTACCCCTCCCCAAGTTTCTCTTCCTTTTCTCTATATTCAGCTCCCAGTATGCGCCTCCACATGTTCAACCGGGGTGATGTGATGGCGCCAGGAGGTTCAGCGCCCATTCTGTTTCCTCTCTATCCCCCATCTTTGTGCTTTCACGTGGCACACCTCACCCCACGCCGCTTCTCCCCCTCTCTCTGCTCATCCTTTTCTCTGTTCTCAGCTCCCAGTGTGTGCCCGGGGACTGGGATAGATGGCGCCCGGAGCTTCAATGCCTGTTCTGTTTCCTTTTCACACGTGGCACACCCCATCCCACTCCGCTTCTCCCTCCCTCCTTTCTCTTCCTTTTCCCTGTGTCTAGCTCCCAGTGTGCGCCTCTATATGGTCAACCGGGATAGATGGCGCCCGGAGCTTCAACGCCTTCTCCGTGCTCTCCTTCCTCAAGAACCATCACATGCTGCAGGTTCGTTATAAGCACCACCACATGCTGCAGATTCGTTATAAGCACCACCACATGCTGCAGATTCGTTATAAGCACCACCACATGCTGCAGGTTCGTTATAAGCACCACCACATGCTGCAGGTTCGTTATAAGCACCACCACATTCTGCAGGTTCGGTATATGAACAGCCACATGCTGCAGGTTTGGTATATGAACAGCCACATGCTGCAGGTTCGTTATAAGCACCACCACATGCTGCAGGTTCGTTATAAGCACCACCACATGCTGCAGGTTCGTTATAAGCACCACCACATGCTGCAGGTTCGTTATAAGCACCACCACATTCTGCAGGTTCGTTATAAGCACCACCACATGCTGCAGGTTCGTTATAAGCACCACCACATGCTGCAGGTTCGTTATAAGCACCACCACATGCTGCAGGTTCGTTATAAGCACCACCACATTCTGCAGGTTCGTTATAAGCACCACCACATGCTGCAGGTTCGTTATAAGCACCACCACATGCTGCAGGTTCGTTATAAGCACCACCACATTCTGCAGGTTCGTTTAAGCACCACCACATGCTGCAGGTTCGTTATTAGCACCACCACATGCTGCAGGTTCGTTATAAGCACCACCACATGCTGCAGGTTCGTTATAAGCTCCACCACATGCTGCAGGTTCGTTATAAGCACCACCACATGCTGCAGGTTCGTTATAAGCTCCACCACATGCTCCAGGTTCGTTATAAGTTTCACCACAAGCTGTTCCTTGTAAGCACTAACGAAGGCTGCAGGTTCGTTATCAGCAGCACCACTTTTTGCAGGTGCTGCAGCATGCATGTTCGTTAGATGACTTTTGAGTCGACTCAAAAGTCACCTCGTTGAGTCGACTCAAAAGTCACTTCGTTATCAGCAGCACCACTTGTTGCAGGTGCTGCTGCATGCATGTTCGTTAGATGCACAACCACGTCCTGCAGGTTTGTTGCTGCTTCCGTTGCTGAGTCTTTCCTCCTTTGAACGCTTCTTGCACTTACCTTTCCATCTCTCCCTTAAATCACCGTTTTCCACATTCCTGGGAACCGTATTTCAACCCGTGCTTACTGTCTGTTGTTGTGCTCCATGCTCGCCTTACCCTTATCTCTAACCTCATTTTCTGCTCTCTCCCAGCTGCTTGGCAGACCACAATGGCTGACTGTCTCAGGCAGGTCCCAGACCTACGTGAAGAAGGTAAGCACACACACGCATACCAACCAGAGCTTAGATTACTTTTGAGTTGACTCAAAAGTCATCCCAGCTGTGTGGCAGACTACAATGGCAGATCGTAGATGCACGCGAGAAGGTAATGCAACGCGACGCACACACACATACACCAGAACTAGGCATGAGCAAAACCTGGACGCAAACATGTTCGGGTCGAACACTTGTTAAGCACCTAACGGGGCGCCTCAAAACTTGTCGACAAGCAGCTTATGAATCAAACCGACCATTTCGGTTCGTCGTGAACACATTCCAGAAATAGGGTGTTCGATTGACGACTTTTGAGATGTCTCAAAAGCCAAACATGTTCGGTTCGCCCCGAACACATTCCAGAAACCAGGTGTTTGAGTGTTTGGCCCAAGCACTTGGCCCAACCATGGGGTCGAACCGACCATTTCTGTTCGTCCCGAACGCATTCGAGAAACGGGGTGTTAGAGTGTTCGGTCTAAGAATGTTCATCTCCCGTTGTTTTTCCCACAGGTGATGGCAGCTGTGGAAGCCAGAGGGGGTGCTTTCCGCACCAACACGGAAGTGACTGGGGTGCAGAGCCTGGGCGAGGAAGGTGAGCAGTGTAACGCTGGGAGGGATGTTTGCACGTCTGAGGGATGAGGGGTGTGATGCTGGGAGGGAGTTGCGAGAGGTAATGCTCAATGTAACGTGGAGAGGTGACGAATCGAACATGGCAAGGCAAGGCGCTAAAGAACACTTCTGAGAAGTCTGAAATTCTCTTGCACATTATAGGCTATAAAGACCATTCCACTCCCATATCTCATGTTTGTGGTTCCCAGGGGTAGACGTGTCACAAATTTTGAGGCGCCAAATATATATATATATATATATATATGTATATATATATATAGTGGTTTGCATGGCTAGACGTGCCACATTTATTTAGGTTCTGGCACACCAGAGCGGTATGACCAAGGGGTGCTGGCAATGCATGGCGTTGCTCTGTTTTGAAGCCCTATCTTCCCTCTTCCCCCCCCTCCTTGACTATCTCTGTCTGCAGGTGTGGAAGTGCGTCTTAGGGACGGCACATCAGAGCGCTATGACAGTACATGGGGATGCCGTGCTGCCGCTGCTGCTGAGGAGAGAAGCAATCTCCAGCCTAAATCACCCCTCCTCTCTCCCTTGCACTGCGCTCTTCCTCTTCCCAGGCGTGGAAGTGCGTCTAGGGGACGGCACATCAGAGCGCTACGACCGAGTGGTGCTTGCAGTGCATGGCGACGCTGTGCTGCCACTGCTGGGGGAACACACTCTTAATCCTACCCTGCCCGCTCCTTCTCCCCTTCCCAGGTGTGGACGTGCGTCTAGAGGACGGAACATCAGAGCGCTACGACCGGGTGGTGCTTGCAGTGCATGGCGACGCTGTGCTGCCACTGCTGGGGGAAGGAACCACGGCTGAGGAGCGGAGGGTATTCTCAGCTTTCAGATACGCCACCAGGTGCATTTAGGGCGCCTTTAATACTGAAACCATTCTTGTTTTTTTAGGCGTCTCAAAAGTCGGCTGAGGAGCGGAGGGTATTCTCAGCTTTCAGATACGCCACCAGGTGCATTTAGGGCGCCTTTAATACTGAAACCATTCTTGCAGCATCGTCTCTTGAGACGCCAATGTGATGATGCCTCCTTAGTATCGTCTCTTGAGACGTCTCAGAAGGCAGTGTGTGATGATGCCAATGCTGCCACTGTTGGGGTAAGGAGCCACACACAAGGAGCGAAGAGTGTTTTCTGCCTTCACATATGCCACCAGGTGCGCTTCTTTTGGAATCACCCGCGCAGAATTTATTTTTAAGGCGCCTCAAAAGCACCCTGCTGGGGGAAGGAGCCACAAATGAGAAGCGACAGGTATTCTCTGCAGCACATACGCCAACAGCTACACTTGATGCCGGATGGAAAATATTCCTGCATTACTGCACTGTGTGTGCTCTTCATACCAACCCCTCCCCACCCGTTTGAAACCCCACCCCTCGCCTCGAAAGCCTGCTCCAACCCTTCTCCTTACTCCTTTAGAAGAAACAACCTCCACCTCTACCCTCCATTTCACCAGCAGCACCTTCCTGCATCCAACTCTTTACCCATCCCTCTCATGTCATGTCCAGCCCCCTCCCGACTCCGTCACCCATCCCTTCCACGCAACACCATCTTCCTGCATTGCAACAAGTCCCTCATGCCTGCCCACTAGCGGGGCTGCCTGGAGCGCGTGGAACTTCATAGTAACGATGCCCATCCCTTTCAACCCTTACCCACCCCTTTCAATCCTCATCAACACCATCTTCCTGCATTGCAACAAGCCCCTCATGCCCACTAGAGGGGCTGCCTGGAGCGCGTGGAAATTCAGGTAGACTGAGCTTTACGCTTCCCTCGCATTCCCTTCTTGCCTCTCCACCCCTTTCCTCGATCCTCCCCACTCTCTCCCCTTTTTCCTTCCCCTGCAGCACCATCTTCCTGCGTTGCAACAAGCCTCATGCCCACTAGAAGGGCCGCCTGGAGCACGTGGAACTTCATAGCAACAATGCCCAAACCTTCTACCCTTTTCAATCCCCTCCCTCAATTCTCCTCCCATACGATTCCCCCCAGCACCATCTTCTTGCATCGCGACAAGTCCCTCATGCCCACTAGAAGGGCTGCCTGGAGCGCGTGGAACTTCATAGCAACAATGCCCAAACCTTCTACCCTTTTCAATCCCCTCCCTCAATTCTCCTCCCATACGATTCCCCCCAGCACCATCTTCTTGCATCGCGACAAGTCCCTCATGCCCACTAGAAGGGCTGCCTGGAGTGCATGGAACTTCAGAGGAGTGGATGCCAAGGGAGGGGTGTGCGTCACATACTGGCTCAACACGCTGCAGGTGGGTGGTTTGGTTTGGAAGTTTTAGCTGCAGTGACACAAGCGTACACACAATGCAGATAGAACTTCAGAGGAGTGGATGCTAAGGGAGGGGTGTGCGTCACATACTGGCTCAACACGCTGCAGGTGAGTGTGGTTCGAAATTTGAAGGGGCTGTGCAGTAACATAATCTCACGCTTCAGATGGAACTTCAGTGGAGTGGACGCAAAGGGAGGAGTGTGGGTCACGCACTGGCTCAACACACTGCAGGTGAGTGTGGTTTGAAATTTTGAGCTGCAATTAGCACATACACACTCTCCAGGCAGAGCGTCAGAGGAGTGGATGCGAGGGAACGGACGGGTGTGTGTCACGCACTGGCTCAACATGCTGCAGGTGGGTGTGTATGTATGCTAGCACAGAAGCGGCTCTGTGCAGAAATTGCATCATTGGCACCTAAATAACGCGTGCAGATGGGCCACACACAACAAGTGTGCACCATCACCAGCACCCTGAATAACGCGTGCACATGTGGTTTGAGATCTTCTGACATCTCAGCGAGCAGAGCAGCAGCACCTCGCCAATGCGGGTGTGTAGATGTGGTTTGAGATCTTCTGACTGACATCTCATCTCAGCGAGCAGCAGCACCTCACCAATGCCTTATTCCGCGACTCCATGCCTTCACACACCCCTCTGTGCAGAATCTAGGGAACACAGGCGAACCCATCCTGGTGATTCTGAACCCACCATCTAGAATCAAGGGCACGGTGCACCACCAGAGGGTCACCTCCCCCCTCTCCTCACAACTGCTGCCCTTACCTCCCTCTCACCCTCCCCTATCCCCTACCCGATCCCATTCCCCTTTCCTATTCCTCACACCCTGTGCGTCCTGCTTTTCAGAATCTAGGGGACACAGGACAACCCATCCTGGTGACCCTCAACCCACCGTCAGGAATCAAAGGCACGGTGCACCACCAGTGGGTCACTTCCCATCCGCTCCCCACCACTGCTGTCGACCTCCATTCACTATCCCCCCTTTCCTTGTACCCCTACCCTGTCTATCCCTTATCTTCTCTGCAGAATCTAGGGGACACAGGAGAACCGATTATGGTGACGCTCAACCCTCCGTCTGGGATAAAGGGCACGGTGCACCACCAGTGGGTCACCTCCCACCCGCTCCCCACCACTGCTGCCACGGCTGCTGCTCGACTGCTCCCCACCGTGCAAGGGAGGAGGGGGATCTACTTTTGTGGGGCATATCTCGGTATGTGGAGTGACCTGGTCAAAGCTCGTACCAACTCTCCCACCCGCTCCCCGCCATGGCTGCCACGGCTACTACCAGACTGCTTTTGTTCAAAGGAGGAGGAGAATTGATCTCTGCGTAGCGTATCTTGGTCCATTGAGCAATCTGAATCTTCGTCACACAAAGAGCCACACAAAGAGTCACAAAAAGAGTGTGACCTTTCAACATAGGACTCGAGTCACTCAGCGCCCCTGCCTCATTGTCCCACCCTCCCCTCCCCTCCCCTCCTCTCTACCTCGTTTCATCATGCAGGATATGGCTTCCATGAAGATGGGTTCAAGGTACGTACGTGAACCATGCATCACATCACAGTGCCTCATGCATCACAGTGCCGCATGTAGATCATGCCATGTTGTCTTGCATGCACATCAATATGGCTTCCATGAAGATGGGTTCAAGGTTCGTACGTGAACCATGCATGTTGCAGCACAGTGCCTCAAGCACGCAGCACAGTGCCTCATGTCGCGTTGTCTTGTGCATACATCATTCCATGCTACATACGCACCATACATCTTGCACACGCACCCTTTCGTTCCTTCATCTGCCTCTCCACACCTTCCCCGGCCATCACCGCTTCCCACTCCTCCCTGCCAGGCTGGTCTAACTGCAGCAAACTCTCTTCTTGGTGCCAGCAGCAGCCCAGCCCTGCAACTGCAGCGCAACACGCCCCAGATGCTCCTCCCGCTGCACCTTCAGGCTTTCATGTTTTAATCCCTCGCAACGTTTCCCCCTCCTTCCCCATTTCCCGCTTCTCCCTCCCAGGCTGGCTTAACTGCAGCAAACTCCCTCCTTGGCGCCAGCAGCAGCCCAGCCCTGCAGCTGCAGCGCAACACACCACAGATGCTCCTCCCGCTGCACTATCAGGCCGCCAAGACCGCAGTGCTCTCCTTCCTGCGCTCCTTCATTCACCTCGGCTCCGTGCAGTGAGTATACAGCCTTGGCCGCCCTTCACACTAGAATATGAACGCAGTGCCTTGTATTCTTCGCATGTGTATGAGTACACATGGGCACATGCCCAAGGCTGCAGTGCTTTCCTTCCTGCGCCCCTTCATTCACCTCGGCTCTGTGCAGTGAGTATACAGCCTCGAAAGTCTCCTTTCATACTAGACTATGTATTTGATGCCTTGTATTAATAGCATGCGTCGACATGGTCACATCCCCAAGGCTCCAATGCTCTCCTGCCTTGGCACTGTGCTGCTGTGTGTGAACCTAGAGCCCTTGAAACCCTTGTATATCTGTGTGCTCTCCAACCCCCTTCACCCTTGTTCACCCTCTCTGTCTGTTCCCTCAGGCTGTTGGAGCGAGGAGGCACGGTGTACCGGTTTGGGAGACAAGGACCCAAGCTGGACTGTCAGATGACCGTGCACTCGCCCGCCTTCTTCACCCTTCATCATCCCCCTTCACCCCTCTTCATGCTCCTTCATACCCCCTTCACCCTTCTACAACCTCTCCATCTGCCCCCAGGCTGTTGGAGCGAGGAGGCACGGTGTACCGGTTTGGGAGACAAGGACCCAAGCTGGACTGCCAGATGACCGTGCATTCGCCTGCCTTTTATTGGAAGGTGCGTGATTGTAGGGAGTCGTTGAGTTGTGAATTCAACAACATTCAAGCGAATGTGATCATAAGCAGGATGGCAAATGACCGTGCACTCACCAGCCTTTTATTGGAGGGTGCGTGATTCTAGTGAGTCTTTGTTCAACGACTGTCCCCTTGCACCCTCCCTCCCTTTTTGAGCTGGCTCAAAAGTCACAGCCTTCTCACCTGTACTGTACCGGCCTGTTTACCTGCAACCCGTTCCCTCACCCTGGTATCTGCAGGTGGCGACACGTGCAGACCTGGGATTGGCCGATGCCTTTGTGGATGGAGACATCTCCTTCCCCCAGGGCTCCAGGGGGCTGCTCAAGTTCCTCGAGGTGAGCCCCTCCTGTCTCACTGAGTGACTGGCTTGAGCCACCTTTGAGAACGGTGACATGACGTGGCACTTCTTTCCCCCAGGGCTCCAGAGGGCTGCTCAAGTTCTCGAGGTGAGTAAGGTTGAACTGAGGTGGCTGACTGACTGACTGCTAGCTGGCTGACTGAATAACGGACTGCAATGCAAAGCAATGGCTTGCAGCCGAAGTGACAGATCCCTTCTCCTCACAGCTATTAGTCACCATCAAGCTCAGCACAAGCACACAAATTGATTTTCGAGACGTCTTTGCACTAACACCAGAAGTGGAGTTATAGAACACTGTAGAATTTGCCGATAATCACCAATAGAATTCGTCTGTGTTTGTCTCCCTTACGATCGCCGGACGTTCTGCCCCCTGTGTTTCCCCGACCCCATTGCTCCTCTCTCCCTCCTTATCCAATCGTAGATCGTGATTGCCAACAGGGATCGCAACAACCAACCCGGCCAGCGACCGTGCTTTTGAGTCAACTCAAAGGCACCTCTTCTCTCTCCCTCCTTATCCAATCGCAGGTCGTGATTTCCAATCGGGATCGCAACAACCAACCCGGCCAGCGACCCTTCTTAAGGCGCCTCAAAAGGCGCCTAAAAAAGCAAACATTGCTTCTCCCCTCCCCCCTTGCCCAATCACAGATCGTGATTGCCAATCGGGATCGCAACAACCAACCCGGCCAGCGACCCGCAAAGAAGAAGTGAGTCAAACCGAATGAATGGGATGGTAGTACAGATGGACGAGTCGTGATGAGTAGTCTACCCTGCCTCATGGAAATCACTTCTGAGATTTCTCAAAAGTGATTTCAAAGAAGAAGTGAGTCAAATCAAACCAAATGGGATAGCACAGATGGACGAGTAGTGTACCCTCTCCCTCCCTTGCAGCCCGTAGTTTCCGTACTCGCCCCTCTTTCCTTTTCATTATCGTCTGAAGTTTCTATCCAGATCGAAACCCTATCCCCAGCCTTTTCTGCCCCAAACACCAGGGCTTGATAAGTCACTATTGTGTATGTACTGTTGCATTGCTGACAGCACTGGTGGCTTTGGCTTCACAATTACACACATTCTATTTTCCACTTCTCCTCCTGCTCCCCCTCTAGCACCACTAGCAGATGCTGGCACTACCAGCATCACCGGCTGGTCTGGCTCTGTTAGTACTCCCTATCTCACAAACTAGATTCCACTTCTTCTCCCACAAACACCAGGGGGTGGTGGCGGCCTGCGCTGCTGACAGCAGTGGTGGGGTCGGCAGCTCTGTACGCGAGACACGTGCTACGATTCAACAACCTCACCAACGCACGTCGTAACATCTCCAACCACTACGACCTGGTAACCGCTACGACCTGGTAGCCACTACGACCTGGTAACCACTACGACCTGGTATGTAACCATGTAACCAGAGCAGACTCGGCTCTGTACGTGAGGCACCTGCTGCAATTCAACCTCACTAATGCACGCCGCAACATCTCCAACCACTACGACCTGGTAACCCCACTATAACCTGGTAACCCCACTACGACCTGGTAACCACTACGACCTGGTAACCACTACGACCTGGTAACCACTACAACCTGGTAACCCATGATGCCTAACCCACGTATTTTCAGCATCTATCCCTCTCATACCACTCTTGTCATTCCTACACTCTGCTTCATCTCACTCACCCTCATCCTCCCGCACCTCCTCTCAACCTTTCACTCCCCACCAGAGCAACGGCATGTTCCAAACCTTCCTTGACGAGACCATGACCTACTCCTGCGCCATCTTCCAGGTGAGAGCTCTAGTTTCCTGCCAGAGATCTGGTTCGAAAAACATCACCTAGGTGAGTGAGCAGTGGGGGCGCCATTTCTCTCGCTCGCAGCGCCTTCTTCTTTATAACCCTCCTTGACAAAACCATGATTTTTTCTTGCGCCATATCCTCTGCCTTGAGACTCTTGCCTTCACCAAGTCCTGTACTTCTGTGCCTTCCTTCTTGACCCTCTTTTCTAAACTTCTCTCTTTTCTCCTGCCTTGTTTTCTCACCCGCCCTCCTTTACACTCCCTCATTTCTCACGCTCTCTCCTTTCGCACCCTCCCTTTTCTCTCTCCCGCCCCCTGCATGGCTCAGCGACCAGAGGAGCCTCTAGTGGACGCGCAGCTGCGCAAGCTCAGGCGCCTCATTGCCAAGGTGAGAGGGGCTAAAGTGTAGCATACCTGGTGTTGCGATGGTGTAGGGTTTAGGGTTTAGGGTGTTGAAGATTGGGTTCGGGTGGGGCAGCTTGGCTCTGATGTGAGCTCAACCTTTCTGTACCATCTCCAACCCATCCCTTTTCCCCAGGCGCGCATAGACTCATCTCACCACGTCCTCGAGATCAGGTTCGGATGGGGCAGCTTGGTTTACAACACCACCAACCCACTTCACCCTTCCCTACCCCCTTGAATTGTGCCCTGCATGCCCCCCAGGCGCGCATAGACTCGACCCTCCACGTGTTGGAGATTGGGTTTGGGTGGGGCAGCTTGGCTCACAACCCTTCCTCACCCCTTCCGTTGCATATCATGCATGTCCCATGCATTCATATATTCCATCCCCCCAGGCGCGCATAGACTCGACTCATCACGTGTTGGAGATCGGGTTCGGGTGGGGCAGCTTGGCTCTGGAGACGGTCAGCCTGACGGGGTGTCGCTACACGGGCATCACGCTCTCCTCTCAGCAGCTGCAGCTGGCAACTGAGAGAGTGAAGGCAGCAGGGCTGCAGGTATGTGCCTAGGCAAGTCGTGTGGTGTAGGCTCTCTCACTGTAAGGCTTACAGTAGGGGTGGGGCAGCCTGGCTCTGGAGACGGTCAGCCTGACGGGGTGTCGCTACACGGGCATCACGCTCTCCTCTCAGCAGCTGCAGCTCGCAACTGAGAGAGTCAAAGCTGCTGGGTCTGCAGGTATGCGCTCAAGAGGACCTGCAGGCAAGTATGGACACAGGGCAGTCAGGTGGTATGTGTTTTGAGAATTAAAAAAAAACATAAGTAGCTGCAGCTCGCCACTGAGCGAGTGAAGGCTCCTGGGCTGCAGGTATGTGCTCAAGAGGACCTGCAGGCAGGAGGTAAGTATGGACACAGGCCAGTCAGGTGGTGGTGGTGACCCTTAGGGAACGAATCAAGATGCCTTTAAGCTTGCGCCCACACTCCTCTCCTCCCCACATCATCCACACCTCCTCTCCACACTGCCCATTCACACCACCAGGATCGAATCAACTTCATGCTCTGTGACTATCGCAACCTGCCAGGGACTGGCAAGTTCGACCGTATCCTCTCATGGTGAGTGTCGCTGCAACCTAATAACCTTCCCTTCCATTTCCGGAGGCTGCTTTGGGTTTTTTTTCAGAAAAATACCCTGCCTGCCTTGAGCAGTAGTGTAACAATCCTTTCTAAAGCACTTTCGGGACTTTTGAGACGTCTCAAAAAACGCAAGTTCGACTGCATGCTGTCTCTTCAACACTTCAACTTTCTTGTGTGATCTTCTCCCCCCATTCCTCCCCAGTGAGATGCTAGAGGCAGTGGGCCACGAGTATCTGGGCGATTTCTTCCACCATTTCCCCCCTATCTGCCATCCCATCTGAAATACTCTTACTCTCTCCCCTCTTTCCCCGACAGTGAGATGCTAAAGGCAGTAGTTCACGAGTACCTGGCCGATTTCTTTCCTCCATTCTTCCCTAATTTCTCCCACCCCTACCCGCTGCAGTGAGATGCTAGAGGCGGTGGGCCACGAGTATCTGGGCGACTTCTTCCACCACTGTGACCGCTTGCTCGCAATGGACGGGCTGCTCGTTGTTCAGGTTTGTTTCACTCTTAGGTGATCGCTCAGGTGCCTTCTGCTGTACCTGCAATACCATTACTCTTTCATCAATACAATTGATTTCGGGCTCCTCGTTGTTCGGGTATGCAGGTGGTTGTTCAGGTACGCAGGTGGTTATTTAGGTGCGCAGGTGGCTGTTCAGGTGAGTTTCATGTGGCATTGTAACAAGGTGAATTCTGAGTCGACTCAAAAGTATCTTCCATCACTGCAACCGCTTGCTGGCAATGGACGGGCTCCTTGTTGTTCAGGTGCGTTTCGGTCTCTCACGTGGTTATCCCAACACGGATTGTGTTCAGGCGCCTTTTCAGTGCTGGATGGCTTGGTGATTGTTCGCTTCCTCACCCATCCGCATCTTTCCACCCATCCACACCCATCCGCACCTTTTCCTTCCATCACCCCATCCCCTCATCAGGTGATCACCACACCGCAGAGTTGCCTACGAGGAGTACCGTCTGCCCTCCAACTTCACCAAGGAGTTCATATTCCCCGCCTGCTGCTCGTGCTGGTGCTGTGCGTTATGGTCATGTCTTCTTCATCTTATCTCCTTCTCCATAACCTCACCAGCAGGTGATCACTACCCCAGAGACTCGCTACCAGGAGTACCGCCTATCCTCTGATTTTATCAAGGATTGTATCTTCCCGGGCTGCTGTGTGCCCTCCCTCTCTTACCACCCTCCCTTTCCCCCTCGCTCCATAAGGTGATCACCACACCAGAGAGTCGCTACGAGGAGTACCGCCTATCCTCTGACTTCATCAAGGAGTACATCTTCCCCGGCTGCTGCGTGCCCTCCCTCTCTGCTCTCACTAACGCCATGGCCAAGAGCTCCGCCTTCAGGTGAGAGCAACAGTGAGAAGAGGTGTGCTTTCAGGTGATAACAACACGGCCAAGAACTCTGCCTTCAGGTGAAATCAACATGGCCATTATCTCCTCGTTCAGGTCAAAACCACAGAGCCAAGAAGTAACCTTCAGATAAGAACAGAGCAAACAAAATAATTCTTCGAGTGAAAGCAACACCGCTCCAAAGTTCTCTCCTTCCGTGATTTCTTGCCACACCTTGCCCCCTGCCCTGTGCCAACAAGAGTGTGAAGGAGCGTGAGCACATAAAATCAAACTGTATTACGCCACCACAATGTGCGACTATGCTATGCATGCACTTGATCTTGAACACCCACCCACCTCCTCTTCGCCACCTACCCTCTATCCATGTGTGGAGGAGCTGGAGAACATCGGGCCACACTACGCCACCACCACACTGCACCAAAATGCATTCCTCCCATCACACCATTTCCCTCTCTTTTCATTCTCGTTTTCATTCTCCCGTGATTTCTTGCCACACCTTGCCCCCTGCCCTGTGCCAACAAGAGTGTGAAGGAGCGTGAGCACATAAAATCAAACTGTATTACGCCACCACAATGTGCGACTATGCTATGCATGCACTTGATCTTGAACACCCACCCACCTCCTCTTCGCCACCTACCCTCTATCCATGTGTGGAGGAGCTGGAGAACATCGGGCCACACTACGCCACCACCACACTGCACCAAAATGCATTCCTCCCATCACACCATTTCCCTCTCTTTTCATTCTCGTTTTCATTCTCGTTTTCATTCTCGTTACATTCTCTTTCCATTCTCTGTTCATACAACAGTGTGGAGGAGCTGGAGAACATTGGGCCGCACTATGCCACAACGCTCATGAGATGGCACGACAACTTCATGGCCCACCGACAGTGAGTTGACTTTGAGATCACGATGGCATGGATGATGGCACGACAACTTCGTGGCGCACAGGCAGTGAGCTTTGTCAGGGGCTTGTGACGGCACTGGGATGGCACTGGGATGGATTTGAAATGGCATTAGCATGGCATTAGCGTTTCATCTACATGAAGTTCTGACAACTTCGTGGCCAACAGGCAATAAGTTTTGATACAGTCATACATTCAGTGTATATGTGGCGGTTTAGTGTCAAACATTGGGATGGCTGTGCCATGCCATGTTATTGACATGGTATTGGCATGGCATGGGATGGCATCGGATGGCACTAGGATGACACGACAACTACATGATGCATGCACACGCAGTGAATTGTCATTTCCCCCTGTCTCTCTCCAATCCTCTCTCCAATCCTCTCAATCCTCTCTCCAATCCTCTCTCCAATCCTCTCAATCCTCTCTCCAATCCTCTCTCCAATCCTCTCTTCAATCCTCTCTCCAATCCTCTCTCCCTCTCTTCTCTCTCCTCCTCCCAGTGAGATCATGGAGATGGGTTTGGGTCCCAAGTTCATCCGCACGTGACAGCACTAGCTGAGTTACTGCTCTTTGGGGCTTCCTAATCATTTTCACCCATTCCATGTGTCTCTGTCTCCCTCTCCTCTCTTTGCTCTCCATGCAGTGAGATCATGGAGATGGGGTTCGGTCCCAAGTTCATCCGCACGTGGCAGTACTACTTCGTCTACTGTGCTGTGGGCTTCCAAACTCGCACACTCGGGGATATTCAGGTGAATTTAGGGATATTCAGGTGAATTCAGGGAGGTTCAAGAAATCACGGGGAGCTTCATGTGATTTCAGGGAGGTTCAGGTGCTTTCAGAAAAAAATAGGTGATTTCAGGAAGGCGTGATTGTGGTTAGTGAAGTCATCTGAAATCTCTGAGACTTCTTCAGGTGAAAACTCAGGTGATACGTGAACAACTGCAGCCGACCTGGCTAATGGAAGAGGACTCTGTGTGTGTTTCCGTGGAGTTTTTTTCCCCCTTTTTTTATCTTGCACTTGGTTTCCTTCCATGTCCACATCCCAACAACCATCTCAACCCTCTGTTGCGTCGAGTGCAGGTGGTGTTCTCCCGCCCAGGCAATGCAACACTGGATCTGGTACCCTACACCAAGACAGAGTGAAGTGAAGTGAAGCTCACTGAAGTGGCGATTCCTGTAAAGGTGAACCGTGAAAGCCACCCAGTGTTACAAGTGTCACTAGAAGTTACCTCCCCCTCCTACCGTATTCTTACCACCTCACACGCGCTTGATTCTGAGTTGTGGAAGGTGGACAGAGCGACTCACCAGACACAGCGAGGAGGACCCTGTTCTCTCATGCAGCATTAGCATTCTTATTGTGAAAATTAGCATCTATTTACAAGCAGCGACTCACACATTGTAGCACCGGAAAATATTCAATGCAATGGCTAAATTATAACAGGAGCATTACATCCATGTTTAGTGGGTACAATCACAACCAGACAGCCCCAGCAGCAGCCTACCACAATCACTTATTTGTTCACCAAGTGTAGTCACCCCTAGACGCCCTAATCCAATCTAGATTCAATCTTCGTAAGGTGTAGTGCATGCAGTCACCCCCAGGCAACCCTAGCCATCCCCAGTTTCAAATCTTCAATGGGTGTAATCACCCCCAGACAGCCCCAACAGCCTCCCACCTTCATCATAAGAAGCAAGCACTCGCTTCACCTCATGCCTGCTCACATGCCACGTAGCCGACATGCTGAATGGCTTCCCCACCACCAGCTCAAGGCTCTTGGGAACGCACAGAACTACACCCAGCGGAATCGCCACGAGCATATACTCCACAGAATCATCGTCTGCGATTTTCCCACAATAGCCATTCCATAGGGAAATTGATTCGGAGGCTACCAGGCTGGGATTTATTTTCTGTTCGATTCCTGCGATTTGATCTGTGGAGATGAAAGCGGGGAACTCTTTAGGGAGGACGTCTGGGACAGGCGAGGGCCAAGCCTTGCTCTTCCAGGTAGGTTCGGGCCGATCCTTGGAATCGGCAAGATCCTCCACGATCAGAGACGCCAGGAAGGTTCCCTTAGAATCGAATCCAAACGGGACGCTCAGTTGAGCCTCTGGGCCTGGAATGTGTGTGTGTGGGGGCAGTAAAGGTGAAGAGTGAGTTAGCTGTGCTTTATAGTACTCAAAATGCTAAATTATGTGAAAAAATAGTGGTCAGAGATAACCAAGGGGGAAAGGAAAGATGGCGTTGATATGCAGAGTGGTGAAAGATGTGAGAGAGCAATGCAAACAGGACGCTACGTGAAAGAAGAATGCTAGTGTCATACCATACAATGTCATACCACATGACATACCATGTCGTACCCTGCTGTAAAAGGCTTCAAGGTAAAGCCCTTCCTCTGGCCCTCTCAACTGCTGCTGCAGTGTTGGTGGTACCATACCATATTACACCATAGCATATAATACCATACCATACCGTACCGCACCGTACCCTTGCTAAAGAAGGCTTCAAGGTAAAGCCCTTCCTGTGGCCCTCGGAACTGCTGCTGCACCCACGCGCCCTCGCCCTTGGGATTGACGCACAGCACAATTTTTTTAGTCAGACCCAAGACCATGCCATACCATACTGTACCGCACCGTACCCTTGCTGAAGAAGGCTTCAAGGTAAAGCCCCTCCTGTGGCCCTCTGAACTGCTGCTGCACCCACACGCCCTCGCCCTTGGGATTGACGCACAGCACGATCTATGACTCTACACCACACTACACCAACACACCACACCATACCCTTGCTGAAGAAGGCTTCGAGGTAAAGCCCTTCCTGCGGCCCTCTGAACTGCTGCTGCACCCACGCGCCCTCGCCCTTGGGGTTGACGCACAGCACTCGGTGCGATGGGCGGGCAGGGTGCATGATGCCGTCGGGCAGGCTGTGTTCTTTGCGGGTAATCTCCCAAGTTACTCCTGATAACGGAGTCATGGTCAAATCTCCCTTCTCCTCGTACCAGTCATTCTGCCACGAAGGGGAGAACAGAGTGCATGCTGTCATGAGGGAGGCTGTGGTGCTTGGAGGGTAATTTACCAGGATACCCCTGAAAGGGGAATCATGGTGAGTGAATTCCCCTTCTCCTCATACCAGTCGTTCAGCCAGCCAGGATAGATGGAAATTGAATGGAGACAGAAAGAAAATAGCCTACTGCGCTAACCCTGCCTTAACCATGTAACTTCCCATTAACGAAGCAGGTTGTTCCAAGATATTAATAATTTATCTATACAAATAACTCATCAAGCAAGACTCACTGATGCTGGCTCAGTACCAGCTCACCACATGGTCAAAAGCCGACTTCTCCTCGTCCTTGAATTGGAACGAACGGACGGATTTGAACGATTTCTGCAGCGCGTCGCTATCCACAGGCTTCCAGATCTTCCACTCGCCGCGCCAGTTGCAGATGTGCGGCGCGTGCCACTCCCAGTGCTCCTCCGCCGTCAGCTGCCGCTCGCTCTTGACGGCCGTCGGCTGGCGCCTGACGTCCGACTGGCGCTTGACGTCAGTTTGGTCGGCGCTGGACCGCACCACCATGGTTCGTTTTGACGACGGATACGCGAGGCCCTTGCGAGTAACCGTTGGAGAGGTACAGTCAAGAGTTGACTTGAGATGGAGAAATGCCGGGTTCTTGGAGAGACAAGCAGCCATGTGTCAGGATTAGGGTGGAATGAACGAAATTCCCCTGAGTGGAAAAAGAACCAGAACGGTCTGAATAAACACACACCGTAGAGAGTGGGCACCGAAACCTCTAATTTGACTGGACAGCAGCACGAGGTTGCAAGCACTCTATTAGGTGATACCTCGGCCGTTTAGATTAATGAGCTGACGCCACGTGTGCTTTAACATCACAAGAACGTCGTTAACTCCCATGTCATTTTCCATCACCTACCGTCCGGATCTGAGTTATCCACCTCGGCTTCCAGCTAGGTACGAGGCTTCGAGAAGTCGACCGCGAGACTGGTGACCGTCAAGCTGAAAGCAGGCAAGTCGCTTGACGGACTCGTCACGCGACGGAGGATCTGACTCAGCAGCGCTATCGAGCGCGAACGTCACTACGTTCGTTGTGAAACCGTCGTTCATTGTAGTAACGACCTCTGAAAGCAATATTTCCAGGTGGCCGTAATAGAACACTCCAGATTGTTTAGGACTACGTATTGCGAGTAACTCAATTGTCACGCGACGCGACCTGTGCGTGACAGCTGTGACTATCACAGGTAGTGAAAACATATAGCCGTTGGGGAGTTCGCTATGCTGATGGAAATTCGGATCAGGCTTTCGCGATATTTTGCGAAACTGGGCGATACTGGTTGTGTTGCCAGGGCGAAACCAATCGAGACACGCAATTTGAACTGATGAATTGATGGGGAGTTTCGCGAACGGTTGGCTTGGGATTGTGTTGTGATTGACGATGAGTCGATGACTGACAGCATGGACACTGCGTGTCATTCATTACTCAGAACATCCTGTCGCATGGTGGAACCTAGGCCGTTAAACTTCAATTATCAAGCAGCACCTATATAGTCGTTATTTTGACATATGATGTAAGAATTCACCGTCATGAGTTCCATCCACCGTCGGAAATACCAAAGCCAGGATGGCTCGTACAGTTGCTCGTCCACGTGGCACGTCCGAAGTGTTCCATCGTCATCCGCCCGAAGTGCCTCGCGGAAAGACGCGAGACGCTTCCATCCAGCATGGCTTGGGCGGACCTCGGCAGCGGCTTTCCCTGTATCGGGAACGCCGAAAGAAGGCTTCAATTTCGGTTCGGAGTGCCACTCTTCTTCCAATGGAAGGAATCCCGAACTGGAAGGAAAGCGCTTCGAGGGCTCGTAGGAAAGCAGCGGCGCGTCGTAGTCTCGCGCTCCTCGGACGCCACCATCTTGCCGCGAGATGACGTCACCGCGTGTCAACTCGGAAGTAAACGAAACTCAGATCTCTCTCACCGCGACTAGCGAAGCATGTGTTACAACGGGTCGTGTCCTGTCCGCCTCGATCTTGGAACTTCTCAGAAATGACTCATACCTAGCTCGTCTACCAGTCACCTCCCTTCTAGCAAGTATCCCACATTGACCGTGACTCAGCTTCACTGCTGCTCTTCAATCGAGTTGTTCACTCTATGGCGTCTCTTCTCTCGTCAAACCCTCCATCTTCGCGAATCGCCATAGCTACGCGAAAGCAGCAGCAGAACCAGCACTGTTATTGCTTTCCATCCCGCCGTCAGTCCCAACCCCTCATCAACTCTCCTGTCCAGACCCATCATCCTCGTCGGCTCGCTCACTCTCCCAGGTTTCTTGCCAGCACCGCAGCACCCGGTAGCATAATTCCTCCTCGCTGCGTCTCACTAGCCTCAATGAGAAGCACCCCTTCCGTCAGCCCGACCCCAAACGCTCATTCCGGAAAAGACAATCGTCCCATGCTGACCTGTCATGCTGCCACGTCAGCATCCCTGTCCCCTCCTTCCGGTTCGCTACCAGACCCATTCTGCGGCAGACTTCTAGGCCCCCCTCCTGCGGACCAGCACTGGTGGGACTCCCTGCTCTTTGCCGGGCCTCTTGTGGTTCGGACCGGGCCTGAGCAGGCGGCTCGGGTGGGCGGCAAGGCATGGCGGATGTACTACCATGGGAGGGACACAGAGGAGTGGGGCGTGGGGGTGTGTGCGCAGTCAGGCACTCCGTTCGGGCGAGTGGGGATGGCTGTCAGTAACGATGGGATCACGTGGGAGAGGTGTGTGGGAGTATGGGTGTGGGTGTGTGGTGGTATGGGTGTTGGTGGGTGTGGAAGGCGGATGTACTACCATGGGAGGGACACAGAGGAGTGGGGCAAGGGGATGTGTGCGCAGCCGGGCACTCCGTTTGGGCGAGTGGGGATGGCTGTCAGCAGCGATGGGATCACGTGGGAGAGGTGAGAGAGGAATGGTGGATAAACAATCATGGGAGGGAGGCGCTCGGAGGAGTAAGGCAAGCGGGTGTGTGCGCAGCCGGGCACTCCGTTTGGGCGAGTGGGCTTGGCAGTCAGCAGCGATGGGATCACGTGGGAGAGGTGGGTGTTCGTTTGAGACGTCTCAGGACTTGTATGTGCTTTGCAACTCTACAAGAGGTTCCGTTTGGGCGAGTGGGGATGGCCGTCAGTAGCGATGGGGTCATGTGGGAGAGGTGCGAGCGTGACTATGAGAGTGGTGTGTGTGTGACTATTGCAGGGGTGTGTGTGTGACTATGAGAGTGGTGTGTGTGTGACTATTGCAGGGGTGTGTGTGTGACTATGAGAGTGGTGTGTGTGTGACTATTGCAGGGGTGTGTGTGTGACTATGAGAGTGGTGTGTGTGTGACTATTGCAGGGGTGCGGAGGAGTGGGGCAAGTGGGTGTGTGCGCAGCCGGGCACTCCGTTTGGGCGAGTGGGCTTGGCTGTCAGCAGCGATGGGATCACGTGGGAGAGGTGGGTGTGTGTGGCTGTGGCTGTGGCTGTTTGGGTTTGTCCACTTACGGGTATTGCCTGTAGAGATGTGTTTGACCCGTCAAGTGACCCCTCAGCGTGTGACAGTGTTCATGTGGCCTTGATATGCAACCCACTGCCTAATCATCCACTACAGGTGTCGCAGCCTTGTAATCGGAGGAGCTGTATTTAACCCTCAGACGACCTTTCAGCTTATGACAGTGTGCATGGGACCTTGGTATGCAACCCATTGCCCTTTTCTACCTACCTACTACAGGTACCGTGGGCCTTTACTTTACCCTGTGGACCCTCGTTTGACCCCTCAGACGATCCCTCCGCTTTTGAAAGTGTGCATGTCCCTCCCTCCCTCCCTCCCTCCCTCCCTTCTTACCTCCCTTCCTACCTAATACAGGTATCGTGGCCCTTTACCTGGTGGAGCCGTATGCGACTCCTCGTGTAAACAAAAGTGTTTTGAGACGTCTCAAAACACTTCTGTTTACACGTTACCTGGTGGAGCCGTATGCGACTCCTCGGACGACCGTTGAGCGTTTGACTGTGTGCATGAGCCCTTGATGTGTGACCCATTATTTCATCCTTCCTACCCACTACAGGTACCCTGGGCCTTTACCTGGAGGAGCCGTATTCGATCCGTCAGATGACCCGTCAGCCTTTGACAGTGTGCACGTGGGGTGCAGTGACGTGCTGCTGCTGCCTGATGGCAAATGGCTCATGCTCTACTATGCAGGTGCGTGGATGTGCGTGTGCATGTGTGTGTGCGTGCTTCTCTTTGCGGGTGAGCTCATAATGAAGCAGGTGTGACTACATGAAGCAGGCGTGCTTTATTATTCAGTTGTGACTTAAAACAGTGTATAAATCACGCTCCACTATCATTACACCATATCAGTCACTCCTCCCCTCCCCCCCCCTCCCGCACTCTGCTTCTTGGCACTTTCTCCCCGTTTCCTTTGTATTCCCTTCAGGTGGTTTGGACCCGGGTCGTTTCCCTGCCTGGCCAACTGGCAAGACGGCACTGGGTGCGCGCATGCGATGTGGCGTTGCCATGTCAGCAGACGGGGTGACGTGGCAGCGAGCAAAAGCTCCTTTCCTGGACGTGGGTGACGTGGGCAGCTGGGATGAGCTGGCAGTTTCATGGCCACGTCTGACTGTGCTGTCCACGTGGCACAGCAACACAGGAGCTTTCGCTGGGGCACCTCATAATTTGTCCAAGTGGGAAGGCAGGACAAGTGAGGGAGCAGATGGAGGAGAGGGAGGAGGAGAGCATACGGAAAGAGCAACAGCCAAAGATGCTGTTCATTCATCGTTTGCTGACATGGCGGTTGCGGACAGGCTGCTGACGTACCAATCCGTGGGCGACCCACACGCCCCTGGCCATGCCCATGTGGGGGAGGACGGGGAGGTGGACCGAGTACCGGAGTCCCTTCCGCAGTACTGCTACACCATCGGCTCGGCTGCCTTTGATCCGAGCACAAAGGCATGGTAAGGGCTGGGACATACTGCTCCACCTCAAATGCCTTTCATTCGTGGGGGAACTTTCCCCTGGCCATGCTCACATGGGAGAGGATGGGGAGGTGGACCGAGTACCAGAGTCGCTCCCTCAGTACTGCTACACCATTGGCTCAGCTGCCTTTGACCCGAGCACAAAGATGTGGTGAGAAACTGAATCTGTTCATGAGTGGAGTACATGCCCCTGCCCATGCCTGTGTGGGAGAGGTTGGGGAGGTGGACCGACCGAGTACCAGAGTCGCTCCCTCAGTACTGCTACACCATCAGCTCAGCTGCCTTTGACCCGAGCACAAAGACATGGTAAGGGTTGGGACATACTGCTCCACCTCAAAAGCCTTTCATTCGTGGGGGAACTTTCCCCTGGCCATGCCCACGTGGGGGAGGACGGGGAGGTGGACCGAGTACCAGACTCCCTCCCACAGTACTGCTACACCATAGGCTCAGCTGCCTTTGACCCGCGCACAAAGACATGGTAAGGATGGATACTTACCATGCTTCAATCACCGAGGTACTTGCTTCCAACCATTCTCCTGCCATGCCCTGCCAAGCCCTGACCATGCCTTGACCATGCCATACCGTGACCATGCCAGGACTAAAAAGGGCTTCTGTATCCGAGAGATGCTACCAATGGGCCTCAGGCTTCTGGAGCATCCATGGCAGCAGGCCCGGAGGGCCTCAAAGGTTTTGGCACAGGGGTTTGGCACCATTAGTGCCGACAAACAGTTCCCTTTGGTGAGTGTTCTGACGACGAAGAAGATGATGAAGAAGACAATGAAGAGCCAACGGCTGCAGACGTCACAGTACCAGCAGCGGCAGCGGCACTACCAGCGGCAGCCCTCTCAGATGCAGCACATTCCTGTGCACGCTCCCATGGCTCTTCGTCGTCTTCTTCATCTTCTTCTTCGTCGTCCGAGTACTCACCAAGGAGAGCTGTTTGATCGGCACAGATGGTGCCGAATCCCTGTGTCAAACCCTTTGAGGCCCTCTGGACCCGCTGTCATGGATGCTTCAGAAGCCGGAGGCCCATCGGTAGTATCTCTCGACATGATGTGACATGCTCTGCCATGCCCTGCCACGCCCTCACCATGTGCTGACCATGCCATGCCGTGACCATGCCAGGACTAAGAACGGCTCCTGTATCCGCAGAGGGCCCTTGGGAGCATGGGACGAGGCAGGGGGCATCCGACGCAATCTCATGCACTCTCCATTTTCTCCCTCCACTCTCGTCCTTCCTGCCAGAACTAAGAAGGGGTCCTGCATCCGCAGAGGGCCCTTGGGAGCATGGGATGAGGCAGGGGGCAACCGACGCAATCTCATGCACTCTCTGTATTCACCCTCCCTTCTTGTCCTACCTGCAAGGACTAAGAAGGGCTCCTGTATCCGCAGAAGGCTCTTGGGGGCACGGGACCAGGCAGGGACCAATCGACGCTATGTGCTGCCTTGTCATCTCTCTTCCACCCCTCTTCCACCTATCCCTCCCCATCTGCCAGGACCAAGAAGGGCTCCTGCATCCGCAGAGGGCCCTTGGGAGCATGGGATGAAGCAGGGGCCAACCGTCGCCATGTGCTGCCCTTGGCTGCTTTTGGCCCAAAGGCTGTTCAGAAATGGGAGCAGGAGCAGAGAGTGCAGCAGCAGGAACAGAGAGGGCAGCAGGGGGGGATGAACGAGGATAGTGGTGCGGCAGGAGAAGGCAGTATCCCACCGATGCTGCTTATGTTCTATGAAGGGGCGCGTTATAATGGGACGTACTCAATCGGGCTAGCGTACTCTGCGGATGGAGGGGAGACGTGGGAGAAGGCCCGGCATGTTGGACCCGAGCCTGGTGGCCCAATCCTCCAGCCAAGGTTTGGAGAAGAGGTTTGGGACAACCTGCTGGTTGGAACTCCACACCTGGTAGTGATGGGTGAGGGAGGAGAGGGGAAGATTGAAGGAGTAGGGGAGGGGAAGCGTGAGGGAGAGGTGGGGAATGGCAGGATTCTAATGTATTACACTGGGGTTGGGGAGGTGAGTGGACGTGGGAGAGTGAGGGGGATAGGAGCAGCAGTGTGGGAGGGTGGAGAGACTGGGGACCTGAGCAAGTGGAGGAGACTGTTTGTGGATTAAATGTTGGGTGTAATTCAATAAGAGGCGCATATCCAAGTTTATGTTTAGCAGCTTACAACACCACAGCATTAAGATAGTTACTGCATACATCAAAACATCCCGCAATCTTTATTAAAGTACATGCTTTGTTGAGTGCATCAGCCTGATAGTGGATGGACGGCCGGAGAATGGCACCAGCTTGTACTAACTAATTGCTCTATTCTCTATATGTTAACATGGTGGCTTTAAAAAGTCAGCAACGTTTCCGCAACTATCAGCAACGTTTCCGCAAGACCCCCTTGCATCCGTTGCATGAGAAGTCAACTACAGTGGCACCCCTGCAATTGTGGGAAGGAGAAATTAAATGGGCATAAAAATAAAAGATGAGAAAAGGTTGTATCCTCCTATATCCTCACAGCCATTGCACACATGGACAACCGTAGCACCTCTGCAATTACAGAAAGAGGGATGACACATAGAGGGATAACAAGGATGAGTCTAGTTCGGATGAACTTGGTGGTCGTGACTCCACCTGGTAGCGCCTCTGTATCTTCCTATCCTGATGGAGGATTGGTCTATCAGCTTGCAGCACTTGCATAAGAAATCAATCATACAACACTCCTGTTATGTAGGGGGTGAATGAACCAGAAAAGGGCGAGGTACACGGACAGCATTGACTAGGAACACGCTTCACATCTTTTGTTCCTTTTCTTGACCCATGGGGTCCTTTTCACATATGTCCACGCACAATACTTGCTGGGGGATGCGGGACTAGAGTTGTCGTTCCCGCTACCGTTCATATCTTATACTATCTTTGCCTAACACACAACCCCCACCCACACTCACTTGGCGTCGTGCCCTCCGTCCGACTCCCAAATCCCCGCGCCATACGCCCAAATCATGTTACTGTAACCCGATCGCTTCACAGGGACACTCCCGGGTTCGCTTATTCCACGCGAAAATCTGTCATGCGACGAATACACGCAGGGCGCGGGTCGGGCAGGGGGGTTTGGACAGAAAAATGAGCTTCCTCGAGAAAGATTGCGTGGCACTGTAACACGAAGCGCTCGGGAGGTCATAACTGCTATACGCGATACAAACTCCTTACATGCAGCTCCTGTACCTCCCAACTGATTTTAATCTTCCGTAAAACTCAACGAGCTCGCGGACCACAAAGCAACGACGGCCTTCGCCGTGTACAGGGCGTCGCTCGCGAGGACATTCTAAGTATACGCGATACAAGAACCTAGATAAGCGTGCAGTGCATGTATCTCCAACTAAACTTACTGTAGTACAACAGATTTGTCACTCTCCGTAACACTCGACGAGCTCGCCGACCACGAAGCAGCGACGGCCTTCGCGGTGTATAAGGGATCGCTCTCGAGATCGTATTCGCCCGGCGCCGAGCCAACATCCTCCATTACAATCACGTTGCTGCCGCCCATCTTGCCGCTCTGCGACCACCCCACGGCGAACCAGCTCTTCGCCGCCGGAGTGCCCTTTTTGGCCTCGAGAGCCAGCTGAAGTTGATCGTTGGATGAAGTCACTGCCTGCCAGTGCAGTGTGAGCCTGGGGGGAGGACGGAAAAGGGGGGAGTTGGGGGAGAGGATGAGGAGAAAGACGAAAGGAGGAGAGGAGAGGCTCGACCAGGCGTTCCACAGGCTGGTCGCTCGACGGGGTGACTGCCTGCCAGTGCAGAGTGAACCTGTGGGGAGGACTGAAAGGGAGAAGATGTGGGACCGGAAGATCGGGAAGACGAGAGGAGAGACGAGGGGAGAGGCGGGGGCTATAGCCGACGAAACGTAAGCGACGAGGTGAGTGCAGCTGCAAATGCAGCTGAGACGCTGGACGAGGTCTCTGCCTGCCACTGCAGCGCGAGAAATGTGCAGCTGCGGGGAGGACGGAATGAGCGCTGGAATGAACGACGATGGGGAGGGGGAATGCAAGGGGGAACGGTTTGATGCCGCACGGAACAGGCTCGAAGCAAGGGGAACGGGGAAGCGGGGAAAGGTGGTGAGTGGAAAGGGGATGAGGGGAAAGGGAATGAGGGGAAAGCGGGGCATTCTCCAGAAAATACCGCTTCTCGCATATCATACCCGTTAGAGAGCTGTTTCGACGAGGAGTAACCCGCAAGCGAGGACTTTTCGCATTTCGCGAAGAACACGAGCGGGTTCGACACCCTCTTAAAGTCGAACTTGAAGTTGAATTTGAAGCTGGGAACAGTAAAGCCAGCTTTGGAAGCTACGTCGGTGCTAGGGTTGAAGCTAGCTTCGGATCGCGAGCTCGCGCGCGACGGGAGCGCTGCGAGAAGGAAGAGCGCGATTCCCAGAGGAAGCAACCGCAGAGCCGATCGGGCCATGGCTTCGGACTTCACGGGAACACCTGCTGTGCTGGGTTGGGTTGGGATGGGCTGGGTTTGGCCGGGCTGGGCTGTGATTGCTGAGCGTGAGTGTGGTTCGACTGCAATGTCCTTCCGCTGATCAAAACAGGCGATAATGGCAAGGTATGCCAGCGATAGAGTCAACAAGAGGCTGTGCTGACGTGAGGGTGATGCTAGGGATGAGACAACGTTCTGCTAGTTCTCTGAAGGGTGACACCCTAAATCTCGTGAAAACTGATGCTGTGTTGAACTGAACTTGAGTTTTCTTTCACATTACCATCACTTCAAAAACTGTAGTTTTGATTGCAGAGCATATGACAAGACTTGTGAAACGCAGCTAAGCAGGTGCCCTCCAATCAAATGCTGCTGTATGGCGCTGGATCCTGTAATGCGAACCAATCGGACCAAAGCGTGGTGCCTGATCATCATCGTCAGCGCCACGGAGGGCTGAGATGCGCGCTGTGATGTGCGCTTGGTTGAAACTAACGGTAGGTATGAATTGAGCGGAGCGCTCACTGTGAGTAGTACCGTACAGCACAGCAGCAAAAAACCCGATGCGATGGGGGCTGAAGGTCCAATCATTTGGGTAAGCAGTAGCGCTCCCCCCACACCCTGCAGAGAAGGATCTTGAGGTCGAATGTTTTACGTGGGAGGTCGTTTGGCGGGAACTGCGCGCCTCGCTGGAGTTACTATATAGAGCGGGTGCCATTAGCGCGATCCGCAAGCAAAACATTCAAATTTCAAAGGGCGGACGCGACACGACGAAGGTGTCTACATCCAGATCCTCTTGTTGACATTGTCACGCCACTCAGATACGGGTAGCTGTAGGCCTCGCCTTAGGAACGAACTGGCTTCTTTCGAGTTAATGACGAGACACGGATTGAATACATACTGGTATGATAACGTAATATACGAACATAAATAATCAATGAAGGAGCCCTGCCAAGTGTGCAGGTGATCTCAGCTGCAGTCAGGTAACACATTTTTTGGCTTGCGTAGCAACCCTATACATTTGGTAGCACTTTTCGGTCGACTCAAATGAACAGTGCAGTTTTTGTCATTTTCCCAACGTTTAAAGCCCTCGTTTTAACGTTTTCAAAACGAGTGCTCCAAAGTTGTGGACATGACGAAAGCACTGACACCAGAGTCCCCCAAAAATGAAACCAAATGTCACCTCTCATTCCATAATCGTTGATAAATACGGCGAATGGAACAATCGGTCGTCACGAAACACAATTGACGAGAAACATCCACTGGACGTGAACGCAAATCATGTGCAGCGCATCCATTCAACACGTGCAAAAACAACACATAACAACTAAGAGTGAATGCTAAAATGCATGGATGCTACAACAGAGATGGTTCCGGTATGCTAAGGCGAGCAACGCTGCCCCAACAACGATCCCCACCTCAAATGCAGACCCGACACATTTTTACATCACACCTCAGTTGCATAACACGTGCAAAAACAACACAAACAACTGTGAGTGAATGTTAGAATGCATCGGTGCTACAGCAGAGGTGGTTCCGGTATGCTAAGGCGAGCAACGCTGCCCCAACAACGATCCCCACCTCAAATGCAGACCCGACACACTTTAACATCACACATCAATTCCATCACGAGGCACTTTAGCACACGGAGACAGACAGGTGCAAACATACAAACACACATATCTCACATAGGCGCACACGCGCACGTACACACACGCATAAGCACATGCACAACACACACAAACACGCACGCAAACAAGCACAGATAGATAGAGAGACCGTAATAAAGACGCAACCGTCATGAATAAAATTCAGAAATGCAGAAATGATTGCTGGCCTATCCCTTCCCCTCCCTACAACCCTCCCTCCCTCCTTCCCTCCACTCCCTCCCTCATCTCCCTTCGCAGCTCATGCGCCCTGCACAAAGAAAAATCAGGGAAATCAACACACACACGCCCTGCACAAAGCAAAATCAGGGAAGTCAACACACACACGCCCTGCACAAAGCAAAATCAGGGAAGTCAACACACACAAGCCCTGCACAAAGCAAAATCAGGGAAGTCAACACACACACGCCCTGCACAAAGCAAAATCAGAGAAGTTAGCACACACGCGCCCTGCACAAAGCAAAAACAGAGACGTCAACACGCGCCCTGCACAAGCAAAAACAGAGAAGTCAACACTCACACGCGCCCTCTCACGCTCTCTCACACGCCTCTCACGCGCTCTCTCACGCGAACTCTCACGCGCTCTCTGACACTCTCTGACGTGCTCTCTCATGCGCACACTCTAGCGCTCTCACTCGCTCACTCACGCGCTCTCTCATGCGCTCTCTCACGCGCGCTCTCACGCGCTCCCTCATGTGCACTCTCACGTGCACACTCACGCACACTCACGTGCACTCTCACGCGCTCTCTCCTGCACTCTCTGACGCACTCTCGCACACGCTCTCTCACGCTCTCTCACGTGCTCTCTCAAGCGCACTCTCACGCGCTCCCTCACGCGCACTCTCTTGCGCATTCTCTCTATCACGCACTCTCTCACGCGCTCTCTCACGCACTCTCTCGCTCGCACTCTCACTCGCCCTCTCACGCGCACTCTCACGCGCACTCTCACGCAATCTCTCATGCACTCTCTCACGGGCTCTCACGCATTCCGTCGCACTCCCTCTCGCGCACTCTCTTGCGCATTCTCTCCCTCACGCGCTCTCTCATGCACACTCTCTCGCACACTCTCACGCGCTCTTTGATGCAATCTCTCACGCGCTCCTTCACGCGCTCTCTCACGCACTCTCTCACGCACTCTCTCACGCGCTCTCTGACACGCGCTCTCTCACGTGCTCTCTCACGCACTCTCTCACGCACTCTCTCACGCGCTCTCTCACGCGCTCTCTCACGGGCTCTCACGCACTCCCTCACGTGCTCTCTCTCGCGCACTCTCTTGCGCATTCCCTCTGTCACGCGCTCTTTCTCGACACTCCCACGCGCACTCCCACGCGCTCTCTCACGCGCTCTCTGACGCGCTCTCTCTCGTGCACTCTCACGCGCACTCGCTCTCTCACGCGCTCCCTCACGCGCTCTCTCACCCACTCTCTCACGCGCTCCCTCACGCGCTCTCTCACGCGCACTCTCACGCGCTCTCTCACGCGCTCGCGCTCTCTCACTCGCACTCTCACGCGCACTCTCACGCGCACTCTCACGCGCACTCTCACACGCTCTCACACTCTCCCTCGCGCGCTCTCTCACGTGCTCTCTCACGCGCTCTCTCACGCGCTCTCGCACGCGCTCTCGCATGCGCACTCTCACGCGCTCCCGTGCACACGCTCCCCCTCGCGCTCCTCTTCTTTAAATAGAAGTGCAATGCAAGAGGAGACGAATTGACTAACAAAAATCACGAGGCGAGCAGAAAAGAAAAATATAAGGGGGCGGGAGGATTAAAGGACCGAGAACGCACCTGATAATTACAATGCCTCAAAAAACAACCCTCGCTGGTGCACCAACCCGCGCACGCGCACCAAACAGCGCTCGCGCACCCACCCGAGCTCGCGCACCGACCCGCCCTCGCGCACCAACTCGCGCTTGCGCTCGTGCACCTGTCGCCAGAGGCGACGGCAGGGAGGAGGGAGAGGCGACGGCGGGGAGGAGGAGAGGCGACGGCGGGGAGGAGGGAGAGGCGACGGCGGGAGGGAGGGAGAGGCGACGGCGGGGAGGAGGAGAGGCGACGGCGGGGAGGAGGAGAGGCGACGGCGGGGAGGAGGGAGAGGCGACGGCAGGGAGGAGGAGAGGCGACGGCGGGGAGGAGGAGAGGCGACGGCGGGGAGGAGGAGAGGCGACGGCGGGGAGGAGGAGAGGCGACGGCGGGGAGGAGGGAGAGGCGACGGCGGGGAGGTAAGGGAGAGGCGACGGCGGGGAGGTAAGGGAGAGGAGATGGCGGGGTGGATGGAGACGGCGGGTAGTGAGGGAGAGGATACGGCTGGATGGGAGCGAGAGCGACGGCTGGGTGGGAGAAGAACTGGCGAGAAATTGGGGTGGGGGGGAGGAAAAGGAGTAGGAGCAGAGCAGGTGCTTGTCGAGAGGAACCAAGAACAAGAACCAAAGAAAAGACAGCGCCGAATTTGAGCTGTGAAAGAGACGGATGTCAGCGCAGAATGAGAAAAATTCTGCCAGCGCAGAACGAGAAACTTAGGACGCGGCACCTCTAGGGAGGAACCACGATCGATCCTGAGTGGGGATCGATCCTGGCTTGTACATTGAAATCGCGAAATCGCTACTAGGCTGGTATCCGTTTTCGTCATAACTCGCAAGAGTACAGTAAATTGGTGCCCAAAATGGTGGCAGCTCTGGCTCGCACGATCGATGTGCCTGCGCCCACACATCGATCGTGTAATTGTGGAGATCGGGGCCATTTTGCCCCAGAAAAATTCGATCGTGGCACCTGTGGCTCGGTGTGTCCAGACGATCGCAATTTTGCAGTGTGGGCACATCGGTGTGCCGATCGATGTGCCCACATCGGTGTGAGGCCCCGATCTTTCTCCGATCCTGGCCAATTCCTTAGAGGTGCCGCGTCCTTATGCCAGCGCAGAACGAGGGCATTATGCCACCCAACGCCATCCAACTAGCTGACACATAGTTGCAAACGCCCAACCCGCTATAATAACCTGATTGAACAGTGGAGTAAAGTTGTTGGTGTATTCAAATCATGTTTATTAAAATTACAAAAAGATCATAATTGTCCAGAGTGTTCCATAATCTCAAAGTTAGCGAACAACGGAATGCATCAACTAGGATAGGGAGTGATACAAATAGCAAACCTAGAAATTGTTGTACTCTCTACAGTGCTACTCACTACAGCCTATTATAACAATGTTCAACATTTGACACACCCCCATAGGCTAAGTGAGGGGCATCAAAGCAAGCAGGGTGAACAAACGGTCACAAGACCAGTCAAGACAAGAAGCAAGGCAAGCTCAGGGTGGATCTCAAGGACACCACACAAATTCCGAGCACAAGCAAGCGGCCACAAGGCCAGTTCAAGAGTTCACTATGACATATATAGGAAAACACAACAAGCAGAGCAAGTAACAAATCTACAGCAACCGAGGGCCTACCTCAACAAGCCCCAACTGCACACAGAACCTGTGGTGGTCACCAAGCGCCAAGGCCTTGGTGAAGACGTCTGCAGTGTTGGCCTCTGAGGCCACAAAGTCCAGGCGTGCCTGGCCGCGTCGCTGCAGCTCTCGCAGGAGGAAGTACCTCACGTCAATATGCTTCACTCTGCTCTCCAGTCGAGGCTCTCGACAGAGGAGGATCATGGCCTTGTTGTCAGCGTACAAGGTCGGTGCAGAGCGAGGCCGCTCACCAAGGTCGACGAGCAAGAAGGTCAACCACCGAAGCTCCTGTGCCGCCATGGCACCAGCGTAGATCTCTGCCTCTGCACTGGAAGTAGCCACAGACGACGACCGTGTAGACCTCCACGACACAGCACCAGCTCCCAGACTGAAGCAGTAACCCTGAGTCGAGCGCTGAGTCTCCACGTCGTCAGCGTAGGAAGAGTCGCAGTGACCAGTCAACGCCACTGGCTGAGTCCCTCCAAGTACAAGCCCCATGCCTGATGCAGTCGCCAGGTACTTCGCCACCCTCACAGCAGCTGTCCAGTGGACAGGACGGTGTCTCCCAGTCGCAACAAAGCGAGAAATTATGCTGAGGGGAAAGGCGAGGTCCGGTCGAGTACAAGTCATCAGGTACATGAGGCAGCCCACCAGCTCTGCGTAGGGACCACTGGACTCAAAGGGCTCGTCGGGAAAGGGGCCAGTGAGTCTGTGGTCAACAGCAAGAGGTGTGGGCTGTGTGGTGGAGAACTGGAAGTCGAACCGCCGAAGGACCTGCTGCACCATGTGTGACTGAGTCAGTGTGATGGTGCGAGCGGCTCTGTCCTTGGTGATCTGCAGGCCAAGGTAGCGCTGCAGTTCACCTAGGTCAGTGCACTTGTGTCTCTTCTGCAGTTCGGACTTCACCTGAGCCAGAGCTGCCCTGTTTGCTGTGGCAAAGACCAAGTTGTCGACGTACACTAGTATAAAGAAAGGAGTGGAACCAGTGCGAACAAACAGCGACGGGTCGGCAGAGGAAGGACAAAACCCAAGGTCACGAAGCGTGGAGCGAAGAGTGTCGTGCCACTCACGGGGCGACTGGCGGAGACCGTAGACTGGCCGTCTCAGGCTCCACTGGGTCCCAGGTGGGAAGGTGTCAGTGAAGCCAGGAGGGCGGCGCAGCCAGATCTCCTCGTGTAGCCGGCTCTGGAGAAACGCAGTAGAGAAGTCAAGGGAGTGCAGCTCGTAGTCTCGCTGTGCTGCTACGTGTAGTAACACCCGAAGAGTAGTCATCTTCGGGGTCGGGGCGAAGGTCTGGAAGAAGTCAACTCCCTCACGCTGACTGAAACCCCTAGCCACGTAGCGCGCCTTGAACACAGGGGTGAACCAGGCGGTCGCTTCACCTTGAAGAGCCACATGCCATCGACTACGTTCGCCCTGGGAGGGCGAACTGCGTCGACGTAGGTGCCTGTGGATCTCCAAGACGCTAACTCCGAGGCCATAGCCGCTTTCCACTGAGAGGCCCACGCCCCTGACACTGCCTCGCGGTAAGTACGAGAAGTCGGTATGTCAAGGGCGTCGGGGTCTCCCTCAGGGGATAGCAGCATGGCACAGACAGAGGGAGAAGCAGCTGCCCAGTACTCCAGCTCAGACTCTCTGTCCTCTAGGACGTCACAGCCAAGGGAAAACTCACCCCCGACGGACAGAGGACGGGAGGGAGGAGCTGGCACCACACGGGTGGTGTAGTCAAGGCGACTGGCGGCAGCAAACTCAGCGACAGCGGCAGTGAGAGCCGTGACAGACGACGGAGGGAAACGAGAGTCGGTGACAAGAGTGGCGAGGACACGAGAGACAACAGGACGAACAGCGCGGTAGTAGTCAGTGACAGGAGTAGGGGGGAAAGGGAGAGAGGACGGAGGAGGAGACGGGAGAACAGACTCAGGAGGAGGACGACGAAGAGACGAACAAAGGAGGGCAGTGCGGAGGTCGGTAACGGGAGACGAGGGACGAGCACGCGGAGGACAGGGACGGACACGAGAGTGTGGGACACCAGGTGGAGGAGACTGCAGTGGAGGAGAAGACCAGATTGCTGGACTGTCGTCAGGAGGAGGAAACGTGGGACCAAACGCTGGAGGGGACGGAGTGTGAACAGGAGGAGAGGAGGGAAGACCAAGGGCCCGAAGGCCACTCACGGGTGGGAACAACTGCCGCTCCAGAGGGAGCTGCGGTGGGCGCGGCTGCGGCGGCGGTGTCTGCTGCTGCGGCGGCTGCTGCTGCTGCTGCTGCCGCTGCTGCTGCTGCTGCTGCTGCTGCTGCTGCTGCCGCTGCTGCTCCAGCAGGTCCAACTGCCGCAACTCCTGCCGCTCCCTCTCCAACAGCACCTGCTCCTCACGCTCACGCCGACGGGCCGCCTGGAGACGCGTGTCGTGGCGGTGGGGAGGCGGAGTGGACTCCGCAGAACCAGTGTCTCCAGCTCCAGTCTCCTCAGAACCAGCACCTCCAGTGCTAGTGCCTCCAGCACCAGCACCCCCAGAACCAGCACCCCCAGAACCAGCACCTCCTGTGCCAGCACCTCCAGCTCCAGCACCCCCAGAACTAGCACCTCCAGTGCCAGCACCTCCAGCTCCAGCACCCCCAGAACTAGCACCTCCAGTGCCAGCACCTCCAGATCCAGCACCCCCAGAGCTAGCGCCACCTGCGCCAGCACCTCCAGCTCCAGCACCCCTCGAACGAGCACCCCCAGCGGCTGCACCTCCAGCTCCAACACCAACTGAGTCCACAGTAACCTGTCGCGGAAGTGCCGAAGGCTGCTGAGGAGACTGTGAGGAGGACTGCGGGGAGGGAGACGCTACCTGACGCGCGACCGAGGGAAGAGGGGTAGCGTGGGACACACCAGACGGGGCAGGACCAGGGGGGGGCGGGGGTACCGGAGGAGGGGGAGCAGGAGGAGGAGAGGGGGCGAGGAAAAGGGGGGGAGGGGGTACCGGGAGACCTCGACAGGGGTACCGGGTGTAGTAGGACACAGACTCGTCAAACTGGACGTCACGGGAGTCTAGGAACTGGTGGAGGGGAGGGTGGTAAAAGGACCAGTCGGCAGAGTCCACCGGGAAACCAAGGAAGACACAGGGGACGGCGCGAGCCGAGAGCTTGTCCGCGGAGGTGTCGCGAACAAGCGCAAGGCAGCCCCAGATACGAAAGGCCGACCCAACACCAGGGGACCCGGTCCAAAGACTGGTCGGTGAAGCCTCGGGCCGTGAGACGCGTGGCTGGAGGTTCAGCTGGTGTGCGGCGTAGCGAACCGCGTAGGGCCACAGAAAATGGGGCGCACGGGCATGGATCATGGACGTGCGAGCAATGTCCATGACCAAGCCAATGCGGCGCTCAGCAACCCCATTCTGCTGTGGGGACTCCGGAAGCGTCCAGGACTGTACGATGCCCTGTTCGCCGCAGAATCCGCCAAGAATGCCGGAGCAAAACTCGCCCCCACGGTCGGAGTGTAGACAACTAACACGACGACCACGAGTGCCCTCAGTGGCCAGAAGCCACCGGATCAGCGTAGTAGTCACCTCAGACTTCTTCACGAGAGGAAACACTGTGGTGTACCTGGAGAAGTCATCGATGACCACCAGAATGTAACGCTCCCTCCCAGATCCCTGCGTCGGGGCAGGGCCCCAGACGTCCAAGTGGAGGGTCTCGAAGGGAGCAGTGGCCGGACGAAGGGAGGAGGTGTGAGGAGTGGCGCGTAAGCGACCGGCGACGCAAGGAGTGCAAGGGGGAGCAAGTGAGGTAGGGAGCGACGGAAAGGTGCGTGGGAGACCTGTGACAAGCCCCTGGCTGGTCATGCCGCGGAGGCAGGGGATCGACGGGTGACCAAGACGGTGGTGCCACAAGACGGTCCGGTGGGTGAGGGAGCGACAGGAGCAAGACGCAGCAACCGGACAGGACACCGCGACCGGACTAGACACGACCACCTGGCTAGACACAGCAACTGGACTGGACACCTGGACTGGAGGGGACGCAACGACCTGAGCGGAGGACGCAACCTGGGAGCGCTCGGTGTGGAGAACGTAGAGACCGGAGCGGGGCTCCCTGGTGAACGTGGTCAGAACAGCACCAGTGGCAGCGTCTGTACAGACCGCAGTCCTCCCACCCCCCACAAAGGTAACCGTGATCCCCCTGTCCTGGAGGTAACCAACACCCACCAAGTTCCGAGTGAACGAGGGGATGTGGAGGCCGCGCAGGACACCAGAGGGGACCACAGGACACGGGAGGGTAGTGGAGCTGCGCGCAACGGCTGGTCCTGAGGTAGGATTAGCCAGAGCTACCGAAACAGGAGTGAGGAGTGGCGTGAGGGTCGTGTGGTCGCGGAAGAAGCACTGAGACGCACCAGAGTCCAGCGTGAAGGACAGGGACGCCTCAGCCGGAGGGTCACCTGTCCTAGTGGCTACACAAGCACCTAGAGCAGCAACACAAGCACCTAGACTAGAAAGGCACAAGTCTACACTAGCAGGAGGCAAGCAAGCTAATCTACGAACACGCGAGCACACAGATCCATCAGCACTATAGTCAAATCAACATACAAAGCATGCTGACGAGCATCGTCCATAGACAGATCAAACACATCAATCTTACGGGATAACAGGCGAGCCCAGCGAGGCGTGGTCGCCGTAGGGCCCCAACGAGCACGGTAGAGGTCGTTGAGGCGGCGGAAGCACCGCGCGACAGAGTGGTCGTCACGACCGCAGAGACAGGGGCTGCCCGGTCCGGTGAGGCACCAGTGGGTGCAGGGGCCAGTGTCACGGCGAGGGGGGCGAGGGGCCCAACTGGAAGTACTGCTGCTGCGGCCGGTGCTCCCAGGTCCTCCTGGACCCCACTGCGGCGGGGGACCCAAGTGCTGCTGCGGACCCCACTGCAGCGGGGGCCCCCACTGCTGGAACTGCTGCGGTGCCTGCTGCTGTTGCTGTCCCTGCTGTGGCTGGTGCTGCTGCGACTGCTGCTGCTGGGGTCCAACACCCCCACCGGTCAGGCCACCGCCAGTGGGTGGGCCTGTCTGTCCTGCACCTCCTCCAAGGCCCCCTCCTCCTGGTGCACCTCCGCCGTCGCCACCGCCGCCGCCGCCTCCACCACCGCCGCTCCCACCTCCACCGCCACCTCCACCGCCGCCTCCACCGCCTCCACCTCCCCCCTTCCCGCCCTTCTTGCCACTCTTGCCCCGTTTCGGCCAGTCTGCGGCAGAAACGGCAGCAGTGTTCCTAGAAACCGACACAGCAGCAGAAGCGCGGGTAGCAGTGAAAGTGGGAAGCTGAGGGGCGGCACACCCCGCAAAGAGACGGGGGGCCACCGCGTCAGTGGCGGAGGCAACGGTGAGGAGGCTACTCTCGATCGTCCCGAGAGCGGTCTCAAGGAGATCGATAGTGAGCTCAGTGGGGTGCTTCTGGAGAAGCGCGTCGCGAGCAGTGGCAAGGCGGTCAGGGAGGCGTGTGACTAAACAGTGCACAGTGAGCCACATGGGGGGGGGAGCAGCAAGAAGCTGGGCGTCGGTACAGGCCGCTCGGAAACCGGCGTCAAGTGAGCGGAGGTGAGTCACTAGGTCGGACACAGTCGCAAACGAGCCGAGGTCGGGAAACACGAACGGCATGAGGAGGCGACTGAGGGAGGCAGAGGAAGGGGTGGAATAGCGTGCAACAACAGCAGCCCAAACCCCCTGAGCTGTCTCCACCTGGTCAAAGTGGACGGCCTCAGTCGGTGGGAGGAGCACCGTCAGCGCAAGAGCAGTGGCAGCGTCGCGAGAGTCCCACACGTCCCTCGCCAAGACACGACGGTCGTAGTCCGCTTGCGCCGCAGGAGTCGGCTCCGGGTCGGTCGGGAGGGGGTCGAGAGACAGGGGCGCCTTGAGGGCACCAGACGCGTGGGCCCACAGGGTGGCGCCGTCCTGACGCTGACTGGTGAGGTAGCGCGTGGCCTGGCGCTGCCAGGTACTGAACTCGATCGGTCGCCCCTCCGCATCGAAACGAAGGCGGCGGGACTCCATATTGGAGGCTAGGCTAGAGGCGGCTGGAGCGCGGAGGAGGCGGATCTAGGAAAGAGGAGGGAAAGCTAGGAGCGCCAGGTGTGGCGAGGCAAAAGACCGGCGGAGCTAGTGGCTACACGGGTCTAACCTAGGCGACCGATGAGAGTAGCGGCTGCCAGCCGCTGACACAGAGACCAATGACAGTAGGAACGGCGGGGGGCCCAGCGAACAGGGCGATGGTGGGGAAAAGATCCACGTGCCTAGTGCGATGGGTGCGCATGGGTCGAGGGCGCGGGCTGGGCGCGGGCTTGGGGTAGGGCGCGGGTTAGGGGCAGGGCGCGGGCTATGGGCAGGGCGCGGACGGCGCAGGCAGAGCGGAGAGCAGAGCGCGGATGCGCGAGCAAGGCGCGGAGGCGCGAGGCGGAGGTGCGGATGCGCGAGCTAGGGCGCGGGCCTAGGCGACAGGCTAGAGCGACGGGCTAGGGCGACGGGCTAGGGCGCAGGCCTGGGCGACGGACTAGGGCGCGGGCCTTGGCGACGGGCTGGGGCGCGGGCTGGGGCGACGGGCTGAACGGGCGCCTGGGCGACGGGCTAGGGCGGGCGCCTGGGCGACGGGCTAGGGCGGGCGCCTGGGCGACGGGCTGGGGCGGGCGCCTGGGCGACGGGCTGGGGCGGGCGCCTGGGCGACGGGCTGGGGCGGGCGCCTGGGCGACGGGCTGGGGCGGGTGCCTGGGCGACGGGCTCGGGCGGGCGCCTGGGCGACGGGCTAGGGCGGGCGCCTGGGCGACGGGCTAGGGCGGGCGCCTGGGCGTCGGGCTAGGGCGTGGGCCTGGGCCTGGGCGACTGGCTAGGGGCGCAGGCTAGGGGCGCGGAGGAGGAGGGCGCTAAGGCGCGGAGGGCGCTATGGCGCGAGCAAGGCTAGGCTAGGCGGGAGGAACGACACCTACTCATGATACCATCTCAAAGTTAGCGAACAACGGAATGCATCAACTAGGATAGGGAGTGATACAAATAGCAAACCTAGAAAGTGTTGTACTCTCTACAGTGCTACTCACTACAGCCTATTATAACAATGTTCAACATTTGACACATAATCAATTAATACTGAAAACAGTTTTAAGGGAAGAAAAATATATACAACATTTTTCTTCATAATAGGGAACTATAGAGTCTGTCATGTTTTAAGAAAAAATGAAAAACTTAATGAATTGCTTCTATAAGCAAAATGTAATTATAATGTACTCTATAATAATGTACCCCTATAATAATGTTTCTAACACAAGGGATACAACTCCACGCAACCCTTCTGACGTAAACGTCGAATCTTGTTTTCTCTCACTCTTACAGCACAACACAGCTGAATATATTATGCGAAAATGATGCAGTGTATTGCACGAGTTTATTCGGGTAGTTTGTTGCTGTAGGGAAATCAAGCTCGTAACTACAGCTATGATGCACCCTCATTCCAACTCCCGGAAGAGTTGTTTAGCAGAAGATCCTTGACAGGCCTCTGCAGTCGCAGGAGAAATTCACCACTGTTGCGCCTCTGAAATTAAATGAGAAAGGAGTCGGGAGGGGGGAGGGGGAGAACGGGTAGGGGGAGAGGGAAAGGGGAGGATGGGGGGGTCGGGGGCCGGGAGGGGAGGGGGTTGGGGGCAACAAGTGCCATGTTTAGAGAGTCATCAACCTGTCCTGATCCGCTTATTTAAAACCGGGGTGCACATTCAGCTGAATGTGCATCAAAGGTTATCCCTTGACTGAGTGGGTTACGAGGTGTGCTTTCAACCCCTTCAAGTCGAAATTCGTTTCCCCCCTCCCCCGCAATTTCGTTTCCCCACGCCCCCGCAATTTCATTTCCCCCTCCCCGTCGAAATTCGTTTCCCCCCTCCCCCGCAATTTTGTTTCCCCCCTCCCCCGCAATTTCGTTTCCCCCCCCTCCCGCCAATCTGTTTCATCCCTCCCGCCATTCGGTTTCACCCACTCCCGCCATTTCACCCCCTCCCGCCACCTACGAAATGCCCGAAGCTCTAGCGGAATCATTTTTTTGTCGCCCCTCGTGAGCCAATCACTGTTTTTCTCCAAACCCCCTTCCCAACATCTCAAGCCGAACCGCGTTGAATGTGCACCCTGGTTTTAAGTGCTAATTCTATGTCTCAGAGTCCCATGTTGACCTTCTCTTATCCCTTGCCTGCGTTTACGACGTAAACCATTGATGTTTTCCGCCTTGCACTTTCACTAAGCACTAAAAATACACACTTCTTGCCTGAGGTTGACTGTGTTGACCAGCGTTGACTGCCCCTCACCTGGTCACATGCGGCCCACTTGGACTCCAAGCCCCCAGACCAAACGCCCACACCATGTGGGTCCTTCCTCGAAGTTTCACAGGCACCCCTGCGTCCCCCTTAGCTCTGCTGAACCTGCAGTTTCCATTATGCACAGCAATGAGTATACCGTAGTATGCTGGTGGTCTTCACAAAAAAAAAGAAAAAAAGAAAGAGTCTACATGACCCACACGTTTCCTGTGGTGGGTTGAATAACTTAATATTACAAAAACAGGTGATTGCCCAATTGATACCGAATCACTACTGCCTAGAGTGCTGGCACTTTTATTACCCCCTTTTCCCCAACTCAATGCCCTTACTTGTTTCTGTGATGCGCGTGTCAAGCAGGAACTTACGTCGCAAAGCTATCACAGGCAGCACGCCCATAAAAAATCAGCTCTCAGTGAATGTCTGAATAAACTCACTTCTCACCTCTTGATACTGCCCTAAATACGTTCTCGTGCTGCTCACACCAGCAACAGTTCACGTGGCAGGGCCGCCTTTGATAACACGCCCAACCAGGTCATCACTCATTGTAGCAATGGACTGCAAATAACCAATACCTGAACTGATGACTGAAACAATCAGTGCCTGCCTGAAACATAACTTCTCTCACCTCATGATAATGATAATGCCCTTATTCGTTTTCGTGATGCTCGTATCAGCAATGACAGGACTACTACTGACAGCATGCCTAATCAGATCAGCAGTCACAGGAGGACTGGACGGCAGATCCCCCATAGAAACGAACAACCCTGGAAAGCAAAATTCTCCCACCTCATGATAATACCCATATTATTCCTTGTGACGCTCGTATCAGCAGCAGTCCACGTGGCAGGGCTACCACTGACAGCATGCCCGATCAGATCAGCAGTCACAGGAGGGCTGGACGGCGAATCCATTACGATCACGTTGCTGCCGCCCATCTTGCCGTCCGGCGACCAGCCAGCAGAGAACCACCCGTGGGCGGCAAGAGACCCGGTTGTTGCCAGCAATGCGAGATTCACCTTCTTGCTGCCCTTGGTTGTGGCCCTCCAGTGAAGGAAGAGACTGGTCGGGGGAAGGGTGGGAGGGGAGGAAGGAGGAGGGGTGGCACGCTAGTGGAGAAACAGACTTGAGAACCATCCGTGGGCGGCAAGAGACCCGGTTGTTGCCAGCAATGCGAGATTCACCTTCTCGCTGCCCTTGGTTGTGGCCCTCCAGTGAAGGAAGAGACTGGTCGGGGGAAGGGTGGGAGGGGAGGAAGGAGGAGGGGTGGCACGCTAGTGGAGAAACAGACTTGAGAACCATCCGTGGGCGGCAAGAGACCCGGTTGTTGCCAGCAATGCGAGATTCACCTTCTCGCTGCCCTTGGTTGTGGCCCTCCAGTGAAGGAAGAGACTGGTCGGGGGAAGGGTGGGAGGGGAGGAAGGAGGAGGGGTGGCACGCTAGTGGAGAAACAGACTTGAGAACCATCCGTGGGCGGCAAGAGACCCGGTTGTTGCCAGCAGCGCAAGTTTCACCTTCTTGCTGCCCCCCGTTGTGGCCCTCCAATGAAGGAAGAGACTGGTGGGGGAAAGGGTGGGAGGGCAGGGGGAGCGGGGGGCAAGACGGGACGCTTGAGGGTCCTCGGTCTTTTCTGCTGCTGGCTGTGAAGGTGTGCCATTGAAGGCATAGACTGGGAGCGGGAAGGCGATGCAAGAACAACTATTGGTGGGCGACCAGAGAAGCATCCGGGGGAAAGCTTTGAGACGTCTCAAAAAAGAAGCATCTGGGGGAGGAAAGAGGAGATGAGGCCTCGGATGGCGGACGGACTGTGTTTTTTACGAGCAGCATAAGGAGCAACTCAAACAGCCGCATTCAGCCGCGAGGAAAGCGACCTAACAGTCAAACCGTACCCGCCTGTGAGGCGCTTGGAGGAGGTGAAGCCTCGAATGCCCGACTTGGAGCAGCGACTGAATAGCAGCGATCGCCGCCTCTCCAATTCGTGGCGACTCTCCGCCACGTCGGAACTCCGCGCCACGTCAGCATTTGCCAGAGACGGTTCAATAGGCAGGAGGAGAAGGAGAGAAAGCAGCAGCGGCAGGAACCTGAGACGTGTGGCGAAGGACGGTGCGTGGAGTGGAGCCATTGTTACTGTGTATATATTTCGACGAAGTCGCCAATCTTTTTTTTTTTGAAGTGTATTTATGATTAAAACTTCATAATTATTTACGGTGCCGGCAGAAAACGCATGGTTCTTGCTCTGAAAGAGAAGCCACGGTGAACCGCTTTAAAAAGAAAGTCGTTTCGCCTCTTTCAGTGTGTTTCTTGTTAAGGAAGAAATATCAATCTCTCTCCTTGATCGTCAGCGATATCAACTCCAAGCTACGCCAATTCGAGCTATTCCGACTCGTTCTTACGGAGTACGGCATACGATGCGAGGAACCGACATGGCCGCTCCACACGGCTCCTTCAGCCCGTCGCCTCCGCGTCGCTCTCCCTCCGTCACACCAGCCTTTCCCAAGGGACTTCTCAGTCGACTCAAAAGACGGCTTTCCCGAAGCCTAGGAATAGAAATTGTCGTGATTGCCACCGCCCCACACCATGATGGCTGCTCTGCTTGTTTAGCTAGGCTCCGAGCTCTGCTTGGTCGGCAAGCTCCAGGCACCGACAGGAGAATTTGGAGGTAAAGCGACTTTACTGGGAACGCCATCAAGGTTGCGCAGGAAGGGAGCAGAGAGAAGTGAGAGTAGCGAGAGTGTATCACTACACTTGAAAGAATATATATATTTATATACACTTCTGTGCTTAGATGGCTTTTCTGAACGAAATGCAGATTGAAGGAACATTGGTTGACACAATGTTTCTAGGCCCATCCATGAAGTTTTGCTCGCTGCCCGAACAAGGCATTTGAGACCGCGCTCGATGACGGAGCACGGGTAGCTCCGAACGCTGACGAACTAAAACGAATTTCGCGATTTCGGGCACCACATAAGGGAAGGATGGTTGTGCGAACAGCCTATCTCCAGCTTGTTTCCCGCCTCTTTCCACTTCCAGTCCCATACCTGTCCGCGATGAACTTGATTTCGGCTCGCAACAGCCACATCGCCTTGGCACAGCCACCCATTACCTTCCAGAAGCATCGCGAGAACCTTCCGTTCTAAGTCCGTGGTGACGTGTCAGGCGCCATGTGCACGATTTTAGGCCGCAGGAGCGCAGCGTACTCAGGCACACGCGGTAATCGCAAGCTTCAACAAGCTTGCGATTTAAATCATTTTGGGGTGCGACCTCCTGGAATGTAATAGCCAGTAAGGGATGATAGACCTAGAGACTCCTCGTATGCAGATGTCTGGCAGGATGGATGATCGTCCGTGGTTGCACATGATTATCAGTCATACTACGACGAGTATGGATGTGAAGAGAGTGGCGTAACGATGCTTTCCCTGGAGAAGCCCGATACGTTTTTTTTTTTGTATTTTCCCGAAAGTTCGTTTCATTAACGACCCTCACCAACTACCGCGTCATCGTAGCTAGCTCCTGATTCCATTGCCGCGATTCCCGCTCAACCTTCACGCTTTGGGTAGCCTCTCTTACGCGATCTTGAAGTTCGGAGGCACGGGGATCGTAGCTCCTAGTGCAATCCCGCAAAGAACCTGACAACGTCGCAGCGCGCCTTCCAGCGTCGCGGACCGCCTTCAACGTCGCAAGGACACTTAACGTCACAGGCGACCAGGCCATCATGGTCCGACGGTCGCACGGCGACGCGTACGCGCTGCTGGGAGTGTCGCACGACGCGTCGCTGGCGCAAGTGAAGGCCGCCTACCGTCGCCTGGCGCTCAAACTGTAAGACGACGCCGCTCAAGCTGCGAGAGAAGCTGCGGGGGGGCTGAAAAACAGGGAGGTTGGGTGAGCAACATAAATCGAAAGAGAAAAAAATGATGTCCTAACAGAAACTTGGTTCCTTCCAAGAGAAGAAGGGGGGGGGGGGGGGGGGGGGGGGGGGGGGGGGGGGGGGCGCTAGGGGGGGTGGTGGAAGGGGGGAGGAATATTGGGGGATGGGAGAGTGGGATGGGATGTATACCCTGTATTTTGTATCAGACTTCCCTGTCTCATTTGACATATACATGTTCCCTTCTGCATCCATGCCATGTATAAAAAAGGCATCGCATGGTTGCTGTGATCACTATAAGCCTATAACAACATTTCTCTGCGTCTTCGCCTAAATCTCCGTCTTCCATCACCTCAGCCACCCAGATGTGAACACTACGGGTGATGCAGACGCCTTTCGGCGAATCACAGAAGCCTACAACTACCTTCTCCACACTCCCCCACACCACCACACTCACTCCCACTACCCTCACGCACGCTCGCACCGCAACTTCCGCCACGGGCCGTTCTCCTCCTCCTTCACCTCGTCGAATCCGGTCGCGACACCTGGCAGCAGGCGTTTGCCTGCCCTGATATGCGGCATTGGGCTGGCCCTGGGCTGCCTCCTGTTCCCAGCTGTGCTTATAATGAGTAAAATGGATAACTTTAACCGATTTTATCACTATCCTAGTCGGGAGGAGGAAGCGAAAAGCAGGAAGGGGGATGAAGAGAAGGATGGAGAGGAAAGAAGTAGTGGCTCTTTGTCAAATCATAGACAGAGTAGCACGACTAGAGGAACCAGCAGTGGTACCAGCAGCAGTGTTGGTGGTGGGAGTGGGAGTGGGAGCGGGAGCGGGGTACCTTCCCTGGACGGGCTTGGATTCGGCAGGGGACCAATAGGAGCAGCGATCAGCCACGCCCTAACAAGCAACAGTAGCAGAACATCTGAGATTCAGGAAGAGGGAATCCAAAGACAGAGTGGTAGCGATGGCAGTGCTGGCAGTAGTGACAGGAGAAGCAGTACCAGCTGGTGGAGTAGCATGGGGGGTGGCAGCAGAGGAGGGCCGAGGGGGCCAAGCCGAGTGGTGGAGCCGACTGCTGATGAGGAGAAGCGGCAAAGGATTGCGAGAATTTTGCTGGAGCGAGCTCGAAAGGCGCAGGAGGATGGGGCAGAGGAAGAGGTGCGCTGAGATGGTTGGGGGTTATGTTGGCAAGCAGCTATGGAGGTTCTGGATTGGCTTGTCGATTGAAATACGGGGAGAGGAGATTGTGAGGTGCGTGTGGTAGGAATTGGAGGAAGGTGGCATGGTGATTCTTTACTGGGAAACTGGCATGGTGTGCAACAAATGGTTGCATCGTTTGCAGATAGTTGAGTCAATGATGTGCATCAACCTTCATTGTAATTCATCCCTGATTTGATTAATGCATGCAATGCGATGCAATGTTTTGCAACTTCCAAGTGGATTCTGCGTGATTTTATCCTCCATCTTGGCGCGTATCATCACACACTCCTAAACCAAACATTTGAGGGATTTGTTCAACCACACTTCACTGCTGAACACAAATGCTTTTACAAGGGAGCTGCTTGCATGAGCTCAGCTGCTAACCAGCTAACGAGGTCCCTAACGAGTTTGGCGGGAAGGCACCAATTTCGAGGGCTCCATCGTAGCCGTCCGTTTCCAACCATTCGTTCGAGGTTCTCCAATCCTTTTCGGGCTTTTCGCCAAGCAGCAACGTGTTGTGTGGCTGGGAGAACTCGTCAAAAAGGTACGAGACGTAATACGGTTCCGAGCGGTTGGTTCAGAAATCAACAGGTTGGGTCGGGTTTTATAGCAAAAATGAGTTCTGTCTGCTTCATGGTGTGGTCATGCAGGAATGGCGAAGTACATCATTTGCTTCAGGGAAGGCTTTCAGTCATCATTCAGTTTGCTCCAGGCAAAAGTAGAAGCTGTTTGCGCAGGCAGTGAGGCAATGGGACTTGCTGCTGAACTGGGTCGCGGCCATTGTACCAACTTTCGAGAATAAATTCCTCGCACCGGCTTCTACTTGCCGGAACCGCATTCGCTTTGGATCCAAACCAGGCTGTAGTGTGTAGTTTGATCTAATTCGCCGCTGTGCCTTTGTAGAATCTGAAAAGTTCGCTGCTTAGTTGAAACTTGACAAGGCAACAACATACAAGTGCACCAGTAGCGATTTCCGTTGCTCGCCAAACACGATGGTGTGAATTCGAGTGATCTGATTCGCCAGTTTAGGTGCGAGCGAGCGCGTCGTAGCGTTTTAGGTTCGAGTGTATACTGTTGCCCAGTTACTGATAGATTCTCGGGTAGCGTTTTTCAGTAAGTATTCTCCGAATCGCTTCACCCTGCGAGACTTTTGAGTCACTTATGTGCGCCGAACCGCAAGATCACAAAAGGCCTGAACATTCAAACCTTCTCCTGATTCCTTACTCGAAACTTCGGACTGCTTGTTCCACTTGAATCCGCGCGTTCCTCAAGTTCGCCTGAGACCCTACCCATAGCCTACATACTATCCGTTGCGATAGTCCCATTGTTAGGTTACCTTGATTCGAAGCCCACACTTACTGACTACACGGCATGTTCCCCTCTCGAGTTCTTCTTGCAAAATTCTAATTTAGCAATTCCATTACGTATTTGATATATCAATTCCAACATGTATCGAGGTCTCGGCGGGTTCGCGCCGTCAACGGCGGCCGTCGCGGAGTCGTTTTCCGCCGCGTTCCAGTGCGCGTCAGATTCACCGGATCTGGACACGGAGGGTGGGCCCGTGCGAATCGAAGGAGCGAGGGTTCTGGGTCCGCTGGACGACTATATCGAACCTGACAATAACGAGCACGCGGAGCTGGAACCTCGGGATGGCCACGAACCGCAGCAGCTGTCGCAGGACGAAGTTCCACGTCAGCAGACGCGTAAGGGTGCTGTCGGCAGCCGTTTTTTCGGGCAGCAGAAAAGTTCAGTGGCGGATAGTAGCCCAGTGGGAAAAGGGAGGACTCCAACTCAAGATTTCCGTGCGGGACCAAGCGTTGGGCAAGACGCCAGTATGCCGTCAGATCGTGTGCGATCTGTAAATGGGATGCTTACTAACGGGAGTGCTAGTAACGGGAAAGCAGGCAACGGCGCTCGCAGTAACAGCACAGAGCCTGTGGCCATTCCCAGACGAACCCTCAAGATCAAGCCGCTTCATCAGCTGACGAAACCGGTCCTACAGCCCGACCGTGCTGCTGCTGGTGGTGCTGGTGGTGGTGCTGCTGCTGGTGAGGAGGGGAATGAAGGCGACGAGAAAAGAAAGGGACCCGGAGGTTCGTCCGCGTTAGTGTCGCCTCCGCTTCCGTCCATTGACTCGTTCGCGCACACTCGCCGCCTGCAGAGCCTGTCGAGCTTCAAGCCACGGTCTCGCCTGCTTGGCCGGCAGTCTCAAGGGGGGGAGATAGGGGAGAAGGGAGGCGTTACTGCCACTGCTGGCGCTGCTGGCGCTGCTGGTGCTTCTGGTACTGCTGGTGTTGCTGCCACTGGTGGTGCTGGTAACCCGTCAGGTAACAGCAGCACTGTGTCGTTCTCTAGCCGAGCGTCCCAGCTGCAGCAGCGGCAGCAGCCGCTTGTAATGGGGCCCTTCCGTGTTCCCAGGCGGCTGAACGCGAACGCAGCGGAGTTAAGCGCTCGTGAGGATACGTCGTGCACGACTGCTGCTACTGGAGCGTCCAGTAACGGGGATGGCGTGCGGGGAGGGTCCCTGGGCGGCAGGGTAGCGGGTGAAGGGGAAGGTGTAGCTAGGGACGGGTTTCGCAGGCTGCAGAAAGGTGGGCGGAGAGGTTTGGCCGGTAGTGCGACCGCCGCCGCCCCTGGAGTGGATCAGATGAGGAGTGATCAGGTAGAGGATGAGATAGAGGGGTTTAGTGTTGGGGAAGGAGAGGGGAGAGGAGAGGGAGAGGGTTTTGGGCGTGCAGGGATGTTGACAGAGTCGTCCCGTGGAGGAGGTATGGACGTGGGAAGAGAGGGTGATGGGAGAATGCAGGGGAAGAGGAAGAGGCGAAAGATTGTTCTAGTGGGTAGCGACGGCAGTGATGGGGATTATGAAGAGGAGGAGGAGGTGGAGGAGGAGGAGGAGTGGGGGGAGGGGAAGAGGGTTTCACCATTCAAACGAGGGGATGATGCAGGAAGGGGTGCTGCTGCCACCAATGCAGCCACTTTCAATGCGAGGCGGTTCTTTGGAGTGAGGCAGCCCCGGGACGGCCCTACCCAGGGGGGTCCGCAGATGGGCCCCGGCAGCAGCGGGGCCGTGCAGAGGGCGGAGCGGGAGGAGCTGCGCGCGCGCCTGCTGGCGCTGCACGCCCCCAGCAAGGGCTGGCGCTCTGCTAGAGACCCGGGGGCGGTTGAGGAGCAGGGGACGGGGACGGGGACGGGGACGGGGAAGGGGGTGGGGAAGGGGAAGGGGAAGGAGAAGGGGAAGGGGAAGGGGAAGGGGAAGAAGGGAGGGAAGAAATCGGGGAAGGATCGGTGGGAGGACGAGGATGAGGAGGAGGATGAGGAGGATGATTGGATTGTTGAGGATGATATAGACGAGGAGATAGAGGAGGAGATTGAGGAGTTGGAGGGTTTAGAGCTGGAGGAGGAGGATGATGAGGATGACGAGGTGTTTGGGCGGAGGGGAAGGAGGGTCACGAAAGGGAAGCAGAAGAAGGATGAGTGGGTGAGGAGGTCGGGGCGGGCTAGAAGGCCGGCTAGGTATGCCCAAAGCGAGGAGTGGGAGGGGGAGGAGGAGTGGGGGGATGGCGGGGAGGGTGGTGGGGGTGGAGGAAGAGGAAGAGGAGGGGAGGGGGAAGAGGAGGAGGTAGTGGTGACGAGGAGGAGTGTTCGTGCAGCAGGCAGGGCGGCTGTGAGAGGCAGACGGTCATTGGAGGAATGGGAGGAGGAGGAGGAGGCAGAGGAGGATGAAGATGAGGAGGAGGAAGAGGAGGAGGGAGGGGAGGGGGGGAGGGAGTACAGAGAGAAGAAGGAAGAGGAGAGTGATCCTGTGCTTGAGGCTCTGAGAAAATCCGAGCAGATTGCTGCAGCACTGAAGCAGAAGCTGCTGCTGTCTGCTGGGCGGAAGCAGGGAGTGAAAGGGGAGATGGGGGGAACAGGGGAGAAAGGGGAGAAGGGGAAGCGGGGGCTGGAAGGGGGGTATGCGGAGACGGATGAGTCGGCTGCGAGGCTGATATCGCAGGATGACGTGTCGGCAGCGTGTGGGGAAAGTGTGCAGCTGAAGGGGTACCAGCTGGTGGGGGTCAACTTCCTGCTGCTGCTGTACCGGCAGAAGGTTGGAGGAGGTGAGTAGTGGTTATTGAGGGGTAAGCAGGGGTGGAACAGCAGTGTGAATGGTATTTGTGACGTGTGGGGAGAGTGTGCAGCTGAAGGGGTACCAGCTGGTGGGAGTCAACTTCCTGCTGCTGCTGTACCGGCAGAAGGTCGGAGGAGATGCGCTCTGAATAATGTATATTCATCTACAGTCTGTACTATGTGAATGTATATATGTAGAGTTTTCCATCATGACACGGTCCCCGTATACCCCCATATTGTCAGAGCTCAGCGGGCAGCATTGAAGTTGGGCCTAAGACATGAATGGTTCCGTTTCTCCATTTCATGCTTTGTGTTTTGTGTCTTGTGTTTGCTGCGTGCGTGCGCAGCAATTCTTGCGGATGAAATGGGCCTCGGCAAGACTGTGCAGGTGAACCCCTCACTCTTGAACCCCTCACTCTTGAACCCCTCACTCTTGAACCCCTCACTCTTGAACCCCTCACTCTTGAACCCCTCACTCTTGAACCCCTCACTCTTGAACCCCTCACTCTTGAACCCCTCACTCTTGAACCCCCCACTCTTGAACCCCCCACTCTTGAAGCCCTCACTCTTGAACCCCCCACTCTTGAACCCCTCACTCTTGAACCCCCCACTCTTGAACCCCCCACTCTTGAACCCCCCACTCTTGAACCCCTCACTCTTGAACCCCCCACTCTTGAACCCCCCACTCTTGAACCCCTCACTCTTGAACCCCTCACTCTTGAACCCCCCACTCTTGAAGCCCTCACTCTTGAACCCCCCACTCTTGAAGCCCTCACTCTTGAAGCCCGAGCTTAAAACTTGTAACGCTCTACTTTGCAGAGACATTTCAAGCCTCGAAAGCCCGAACCGCGAGCTTCACACAGGCAGAAGTTGCTGATTCATTCAAACGTTACCCTGACATGGGATGGATCAATAAGTCCTCCTCAACTGCTCGTGTATGCCACATCCCATCCCATACATCGGGCCCCGAACCTGAATTGTCCCGCACCTCGACAGCAGCCCCGGGCTGCACCTGGTGCTGCCCCCAGCAGCAACCAAATGCCCCACACTCCTTGCCTTGCACTGGTGGTTCTTGAGATTTTGTAAATACAGTGCTGGTGCCTGCAGCTCAAGGCAGTGCTGTTCTCGAACTCCCCAGGTCCCCCAATCCCCCAAATTCCCTGAATTTCCCAACTCTTCTCCTCTTTTCCTTCAAGCGGTGGTGCTGTTGGGGCTGCTCGCTCGTCTGGGACAACAACCCCGGACTTTTGAGTCGAATCAAAAGTCACATCTTTTGAGTCGACTCAAAAGTCTGCTCGCTCGTCTGGACAACAACCCCGGTCCCCACCTGGTGATGGCCCCCGCGTCACTTCTGGACAACTGGCAGCGCGAGCTGCAGCGCTGGTGCCCACCAGTCCTCCCAATACCTCCAATTCTTCAAAATCCCCTGCCGTGCCTCCTTCCCTCAGGCCGTGGTGCTGCTGGGGCTGCTGGCTCACCTGGACAGCAACCCGGCGCCCCATTTAGTGGTGGCCCCTGCGCCACTTCTCGACAACTGGCAGCGTGAGCTGCAGCTCTGGTGCCCGCAGCTGCGCGTGGTGCTGTACCATGGCGGGCAGAGGGGGGCGCTGTGGGAGCTGAGGATGCACCTCAAACACCTGCACCCGTCTGAACCCTCGTCCCCACTCCTCATTCTCCCCATCCCCCTTAACCCTTCTCCTCCGTTCCCCCAGGCGGTGGTGCTGCTGGGGCTGCTCGGTCACCTGGACAACAATCCCGGACCCCATTTAGTGGTGGCCCCTGCCTCTCTGCTGGACAACTGGCAGCGCGAGCTGCAGCTCTGGTGCCCCCACCCCCCAATTTCTCCATCACCTTTCATCCCCTGCTGCTGCCCCCTCAGGCGGTGGTGCTGCTGGGGCTGCTCGGTCACCTGGACAACAATCCCGGACCCCATTTAGTGGTGGCCCCTGCCTCTCTCCTGGACAACTGGGATCGTGAGCTGCAGCGCTGGTGCCCCCACCCCCCAATTTCTCCATCACCTTTCATCCCCTCCTGCTGGCCCCTCAGGCGGTGGTGCTGCTGGGGCTGCTCGGTCACCTGGACAACAATCCCGGACCCCATCTAGTGGTGGCCCCCGCCTCGCTCCTGGACAACTGGCAGCGTGAGCTGCAGCTCTGGTGCCCGCAGCTGCGGGTGGTGCTGTATCACGGGGGGCAGAGGGGGGCGCTGCGGGAGCTCTACGGCGGGAAGGGAAAGAAGGGGAAGAAAGGGAAGAAGGAGAAGCGGAGGGAGAGGCGGAGGAAGGGAGAAGGAGGGGGAGGTGAGGGTAGTGGAGGGGAGGGGGAGGAGGAAGAGGAGGAGGAGGAAGGGGAAGGGGGGAAGCTGGGATTTGATGTGTTGCTGACGTGCTACTCGCTGTTTGAGCGGGACAGCGCCGCCCAGAGAGACGACCGGAAGTTTCTGCGCAGGTTCCGGTTCTCGTGTGTTCTGATGGACGAGGCGCACCTATTGAAGGACAGGAGCAGCCAGCGTGCGATGAAGCTGCGGCAGCTGGCACAGGCGGCGGATTACCGGCTCATGCTTACTGGGACTCCCCTGCAGAACGATCTTCAGGTGGGTGAGCAGAGCAGCAGTGAGGATTGTCTTTGAGTTGACTCGAAACACGGTGTGTGTTGACGGACGAGGCCCACCCACCTGCTCAAGGACAGGAGCAGCCAGCGAGCCATGAAGAAGCTGCGACAGCTGGCACAGGCGGCGGATTACCGGCTCATGCTGACCGGAACGCCCCTGCAGAATGACTTGCAGGTGAGGAATCCTGCATGCTGTGCTTTGGAATGGAGTGGACTCAAATGTCTAGCTGCTGGTGCATGGACGAGGCCCATCTGTAATGAGGTTATTTTTGAGACGTCTCTGCATGGACGAGGCCCCTGCAGAATAACCTCATTACAATGTCTAGCTGCTGGTGCATGGACGAGGCCCATCTGATGGACGAGGCCCATCTGATGGACGAGGCCCATCTGATGGACGAGGCCCATCTGATGGACGAGGCCCATCTGATGGACGAGGCCCATCTGATGGACGAGGCCCATCTGATGGACGAGGCCCATCTGATGAAGGACAGGAGCAGCCAGCGGGCCATGAAAATTGTGAACGGTGTGCTTGTGAACGGTGTGCTTGTGAACGGTGTGCTTGTGAACGGTGTGCTTGTGAACGGTGTGCTTGTGAACGGTGTGCTGTGGAGTCGACTCAGAACATGATGTTTTAATGGCCCTCTCGCCTAACATTGTGTGCTGTGGACGATATGTTAATGTCAGGCGTTTTTTGCCCTCTCGCCACCCCGCCTCTTCCCCACTCGGCAAACTCCCAGGAGCTCTGGTCGCTGCTCGAGTTCCTGATGCCAGCCGTATTCACGGCCCACCAGTGCGACATTGCAGAATACCTGGGCAAGAGGGATCAGCCGTCCCAGAAGGGGGGAGGAGGAGGGGGCCCAGCGGATGAGGGGCTGATAGGGCGCATGAAGGCCATTCTGGGGCCATTTGTGCTGCGGCGAGTGAAGGCGGACGTGATGAAGCAGCTGGTGGCGAAAGTGCAAAAGGTGAGACAAGGGGGGGAAAGGGGGCAGACGAGACAGGGAAGAAGGAGCAGATGGGATGAGGGGCTGATAGGGTGCACGATTCTAAGCCCGTTTGTGCTGCGGCGAGTGAAGGCATATGCTATGAAGCAGCTAGTGAAAAAATCCAGAAGGTGAGAGCGAGAGGGGTGTGGTGTTGGGTGCGGATGGGTGTGGATGGGTGTGGATGGGTGTGGATGGGTGTGAGAACGAGTGGTGTGTGTGGGGAAGGGAAGAGTCAGCAAGGGGTTGAGAGGAAGGGGAGCAGTGGGCAGCAGGCACTTGATTTGGTGGCCGGGTAAAACAACAGACATCTCTGATTTGTCCTTGTTATTAACAGGTCGAGCTACTGCCTATGGAGGGCGAGCAGGCAACAGCATACAATGAAGATGTGGAACAATACAGAAGGGCAGTAGCATGCCAGCGTGTCTCGTCTCCTCTTCTTATTTGTCCTCGTTATTGGCAGGTCGAGCTACTGCCTATGGAGGGCGAGCAGGCAACAGCATACAATGAGGCTGTGGAGCAGTACAGAAGGGCAGTGGCGGCGAGAGGGGGAGGGGGAGATAAGGAGGGGAAGGGGAAAGAAGAGGGAGAGGGGGAAGGGGAGGGCGGCACGGCTGTTGTGGCAGCGGCAGTAGATGCGATGCCGAGGAGACAGCTGGCGAGCATCTTCACCCACCTGAGAAAGGTATAACTGGGGTAGGTAGAGAAGAGACACGGCCGCTGTGGCAGCGGCGTTGGATGCGATGCCGCGGTGCTCCACAAGAGGGGCTTGTTTGGGGGGGAGTGGAGTGCACGCAGAGTTGACTTTTGAGTCGACTCAAAAGTCGGCCGCTGTGGCAGCGGCTGAGGATGCGAGCCGCGGTGCTCCACAAGAGGGGCTTGTTTGGGGGGGAGTGGAGTGCACGCAGCAGCGAGTGGAGGAGGAGGTACGGGGCTACTGTAACTTCATGCTCAACCTCTCTACTTCTGTCATGCCTGGTGTTGGTGTGTGTGCGCTGCAAGAGGAGGGCCGTTTCTCATCGCCCTGACCCCTTCCCTGTCCCCCTTCACCCCACACAGCTCGCCAACCACCCCCTCCTCGTCCGTCGCCTCTTCTCAGACACGGCAGTCACAGAGATGGCGGGGGTGCTCCATAAGAGGGGTGTGTTTGGCGGGGAGTGCACGCGGCAGCGAGTGGAGGAGGAGCTACGAGGCTACAGCGACTTCACGCTGAACCACCTGTGTGCCGCTCACAGCGACGCGCTCTCCCGCTTCCTGCTCTCCCGGGAACAATTCTTCCACTCCTGCAAGTGCCAGGTAGGTTTGGGGAAGGGGATTGTTGCATGGAAGGGAAGGTGGGTTTGGGGAAGGGGATTGTTGCATGGAAGGGAAGGTGGGTTTGGGGAAGGGGATTGTTGCATGGAAGGGAAGGTGGGTTTGGGGAAGGGGATTGTTGCATGGAAGGGAAGGTGGGTTTGGGGAAGGGGATTGTTGCATGGAAGGGAAAGGTGGGTTTGGGGAAGGGGATTGTTGCATGGAAGGGAAAGGTGGGTTTGGGGAAGGGGATTGTTGCATGGAAGGGAAAGGTGGGTTTGGGGAAGGGGATTGTTTGGGAAAGGTGGGTTTGGGGAAGGTGGGTTTGGGGAAGGTGGGGAAGGGAAAGGTGGGTTTGAGGAGGAGCTACGGGGCTACAGCGACTTCATGCTCAACCAGCTGTGTGCCGCCCACAGCGACGCACTCTCGCGCTTCCTGCTCTTCCGTGAACGCTTTTTCCACTCCTGCAAGTGCCAGGTAGGTAGGACTGGTGGGGGTGTCAGGTGGGGCTGGTATGGGGGTGCAAGGGCACGGGGTGATTGGTGAGGCTTCTTTTCGGGGGTGTCCCTCACGCTTCCTGCTCTCCTGTGAGTGAATGCTTCTTCAACTCCTGCAAGTGCCGGGTGGGGCTGCTTTGTATTTTGAGGCGCCTCAAAATACACCTCAAGTGGCCCTCACGCTTCCTGCTCTCCTGTGAGTGAATGCTTCTTCAACGCCTGCAAGTGCCGGGTGGGGCTGCTTTGGGTGAGAGAGCAGCGGGTAAGTGGCGAGGTTCTGTTTGGGGGAGCGGGAGAGGGGGGGGAAGAGGAGATGATTCTTTTCCTCAGCCAATGGACGATCCTTCCTTCTTGTCCATTTCATCTTCCTCTTTATCGGATCCTTTTGAGACGTCTCAAAAACACTCTTCTTTCACGTGGCAGTTCCTCAGCCAATAAACGATCGTTCCTGTCCGTTTCGTTGGCTAACTGTTCAGGATCCTATTAAGAGGAGACTGTTCTCATTTCATCTTCCTCTTTATCGGATCCTCATCCCTTTATCTTTCCTTCTCCTCGGCACCATCTCATCTCACAGGCTCTCTCGACGCCGCTTCCCCATCTGCGATCCGACGGTCACTGAGTACTGCTGTTCAACCAATGGACGGTCCTCCCTGTCCGTGTCATCTTCCTCCTCATCCAATCCTCCTCGATGTTTCCCTCTCCCTCGCCCCATCCCCCATCACAAGCCCTCTCGTCAGCCAGTGGTCGGACTTTCCTGCTCGTATCATCCTCCCCCTAATCCAATCCTCCTCCTTCAACTTTCCCTCTCCCCTGCCCCATCCCCATCACAGGCTCTCTCGTCGCTCCTTCCCCAGCTGAAATCCGACGGTCACCGTGTGCTGCTGTTCAGCCAATGGACGGCTGTGCTTGACATTCTGCAGCACGTGATGGGGCTGCTGGGACTGACCTTCCTTAGACTGGATGGCAGGTGAGGGGATAGGGAGGGAGGACGTGAAGGAAGGTCATTTACTTACATAAGGTATCGGGGACGGACGCACAGAGTGGCAATGGACGGCTGTGCTTGACATTCTGCAACACGTGATGGGGCTGCTGGGTCTGACCTTCCTTAGACTAGATGGGAGGTGAGCAATGTGATTATGAGGGAGACGTAGTGGTGGTAGGAATGAGTTGGGTGGGTCGGGGCACGGTTGGGTGGGGTGGGGTGGTTACCACTTGACGGCTGTGCTCGACATTCTGCAACACGTGATGGGGCTGCTGGGACTGACCTTCCTGCGGCTGGATGGCAGGTGAGTCGTGAAATCCTGGGAATGAGTGGGGTGCGGTGGCATGCGGCGCAATGGGTTGGAGTGGGGTGGGGTGGGATGGGGTGCGGTGGGGTGGTTACCACTTGACGGCTGTGCTTGACATCCTTCAGCATATGCTGGGGCTGCTGAGACTGCCCTTCCTTAGACTGGACGGGAGGTGAATCGTGAAACTAAAGGAGGGAGGCGTAGTTGGGTGGGGTGCGGCTGTGCCACTTGACAGCTGCTTGAACTTAGTTGAGTTTCGAGTCGACTCAAAAGTCAACGCACTTACTCTAAATCAGCACGCAGCTTAGTTGAGAAAGACGCACGGCGGACGCTGCGTCCTGCGTCTGGACGCAGCGTCTGGACGCATGGACGCAGGACGCGCGTCCAGACGCAGGACGCACGACGATTTTTTTTCGGGCTGACCGGAAAAAAACAAATCGATTTCGCGATTCGCGATTTCGACGCCAATGTTAGATCCACGAAATCGTAACTCCATGGGAGCGATGTCGCCAAGCAAAATCGCAAACAAATGGGAGCGATTTTGCTAAGCTTGCACCGCAAAATCGCTAACAAACCATTTTTCCCCCAACCACCACACATTACCGCACTGCAACTCCCCCCCCCAACCTTGTCGACCTGAACGCAATGTAAGAGGAGAATCAGGTCGACATTTAGAGCTTTCTCTCCTAGTCGACCTGATTCTCTTTCGAAAACCCTAAATCTCGATTTAACTATGTGTGTGGGAATTTGGTGTTTAGGGAAGGTTTTAAGGATAATCCATGTTCAATGTGGTTGCAATGTCCCGAAACCCCCTCTCCCCCCCTCGTAGACGGCTTTTTCCCCTGCCCGGGGGTTTTTTTTGCCCTGCCCGGGCATGCATCTTTCCATGCGTCTCCCTGGCCCTGGTGCTGCGTCCTGCGTCTAGACGCATGCGTCTGGACGCATGCGTCTAAGACGCAGGACGCATCTTTCCCAACTAAGGCACGCAGGTGGTGCAGAGGCAGGGCAGGCGATGGAGGGCGAGGGACAAAACTTGCTGGGCCCACCATCGATCTCTCCTCTCCTCCTGCCGCTTTTGAGACGTCTCAAAATGTGAGACGTGTTTTGAGACGTCTCAAAACTGGGCCGCCCACTATCGGTCTCTCCTCTCCTCCTGCCGCTTACTCTATATCAGCACACGGCAGGTGCGAAGGCAGGGCAGGGACTAACACGCTGGTGGACGAGGTCCAATGGGGAGCGATGCGTGTTAGTCAGTCTTTGTTCATCCCTTCATGCAGGCCACTAGCACATCATTCGTCGTTCGTCCTGCCTACCTGCTCCCCCCCCACCGTGCAAGAGCACGCAGGTGGTGCAGAGGCAAGCCCTGGTGGGCGAGTTCAGCCGGGACCCCTTGGTGTTTGTCAGTGTATACCAGTATCATGCCATCCCTCACTCCCCCTCCATTCATCCATCCTCCTACCCACCCCCACCCCCACACCCGTCCCCCCACACAAACAGCACGCAGGTGGCACAGAGGCAAGCCCTGGTGGACGAGTTCAACCGGGACCCTTCAGTGTTTGCGATGCTGCTTTCGACACGGGCAGGCGGGCAAGGTTTGAACCTGACCGGGGCAGACACGGTGATTCTGCATGACGTGGATTTTAACCCTCAGATGGACAGGCAGGCAGAGGACAGGTGCCACCGGATTGGACAGACTCGACCTGTAACTGTTGTGCGGTGAGTCGTTACTGTGGTGCGGTGAGTTGTAACTGTTGTGCAGGGTAAGTTTCGAGTCGACTCAGAGGTCCCCTCAGATGGACAGGCAGGCGGAGGACAGGTGCCATCGGATCGGGCAGACTCGACCTGTAACTGTCGTGCGGTGAGTTGTAACCGTCGTGCGGTGAGTTGTAACCGTGTCGTGCGGTGAGTCGTAACTGTTGTAAGGTAAGTTGTAACTATCGTGCTGTGAGTTTTAACAGTCGTGGGGTGAGTTGTATGTGACCATTGTGCTAAATGTTGTGACATTATGTTGTCACTTTTAACATGTGAGTGGTACAGTAATTTGCTTTGTTGTTGATGTTTCGCCGGCCTTTTTTGCCTGGTATGACCACGCTGTGCATGATTGAAATTCTTTGAGTTACCTCTGTGCGATCCCCTTCCCCCACAATACCAGGCTTGTGACACATGCCACCGTTGATGAGGGCATCTTAAACATTGCCCAGCGGAAGCTGAGCTTGGATGCTGCTTTGCTAAGCGGTGGTGGTGAAGGGGAAAGTGCAAATGGGAAAGGATCTGAAAAAGGAAAAGGAGGTTCGGAGGAAGCCCAGAGTATGGCTGCGATTTTGTCATCGATTCTTGCTTCAAAGTCTTGATGATTTGTGTTGTGTCCGTGCATCCTTTCGTTTATATTCTATACATTGTTTGTCCAATGAGAAGTGTATCTGAAAGCATGTACCACCACAAAATGGCCCACATTTTAATGTTTTATGTTACGTATAACATGCTCCTAGATTGGCATACGGCACATAAATTTGTTTCACAAGAATTGATGATGTGATCACTGTTACCTAGGTTGTACTCGCTATTGCATCGTTGCATATTACTGGTGACTGACAAATGATAGAACCGTTGCATACGTCAGCGTCCGTATGAGCTTTTCGCACTGCCTGCGCATGGCATTCGCTAGGCAGTACAGATGATGCTCGTTTGGCGCACCCAACTTTGCCTTATGCTCTGAGCTTATAAGTGGTTTTTGCATTTCGCAAAGGTTTCGTCAATTCGCACCTAACAAAATGGGCTTATAAGAAGCAAGTGTAACTCATCGTGGACTTTTTGACTTCAGTCTTCTCAGTCAAACCTCGGTTTCTGTTGTTAGTATTGGCTGGTTTAGGTGGCAACTTGTTCGAGGTGCTTGTAAATGGGGTGCAGCTTCACGGCACAAAACCAACCGGGTGCAAGGTTTCCATCCGGTGAAAGGCCAATTCGCGTGCAGGAGGTGTAGCTAGCGATTCACACACGCACCATCACACTTCACGAAGGTCCCGCTGATCAACCAATCGCATCAAAAGCTCGTGCTAAGCATCGCGACTCGACAGATTTTCCCGAGGCGCGCATTTCACGACATTTCATCCTCGGCGTTTCTCATCCTGACACTTCAGCCTTTCCTATCTTCAGCTTTCACTCTTGACAACAACACATCCTGTACTGCACGCAAACACCACGCAAGCACGTAAGTCCCAGCTGGCACTTGCACGTGACAATCGGCGTCCAGTCGCACGAGTAACCTGATAGCTGAACGAGATGCCGCCGTTAGACGGCTTATTATTTTGGCGGGCGCGCCCGCCGTCTAATTCGGCGTGGCATGTCAATGCATCATCACCCGATTCCGCTGCTGTGGGCGGAAATCAAGCCTACCGCGCCTCTCGTGTCACGGTTATCTATTTAAAGCCCGAGTCCCAAATTGCGAGGCGCGTGGGTCATGCTTCTAAAACTTGACGAAGTTCAGTGTGCAAGCTTTGAAAAGTAGCGCACCTGCAATTTGGGACTTTCGGGTGCTGACACAACCCCCAGGGCGAAATACGTGGGCAGGCTGGGTTTGGCGAAAAAAACGAAATGCCCGAAATAGGAATCACTTGCCAAAACCCAAACCAGAAAAAACCCCTCGCGTCATCCATTTAAAACCACTCTTCCCTACGCCGTCACACTACTCTGCTTACCTTCTCCACTCCGCACACATCCTTTCTACGCCATCGAAATCACCAACCGACATTACTAGTCTCGGCGTGTTTTGATTATCATCACTAGTTCTTTTCTCCCGTCCGCGAATAATCAAACAAACACTCACTGCCCCTGCGGCTCGCTCGCCCACGCCCGCTCTCCATCTTCCGACCCCGCTTCCGCTTCCGGTCCGGTATGGCTCCTCGAGGCGCATCACGCGCTCTGCCTCTCTTCCTCTTCGCGACGGCTATCGTCGTCCTCGCCGCCTCTCACGGCGCGAGTGCCGGGAAGGTGGTGAAAAAACCCTTCGTGCCGGGCCAGATACTGCGCAAATGCGGATGGTCCAGCTTGGGCGACTACACGTCATCGTTCCTCGTCTATCCCAAGTTAGTGCCTTTCCCCTTCAAATTTTTGCAAAGACGTGTCTCTTCCATTCAATCCACAAACAAGCGTCCACAAGCAACTCTTTCGACGTTTCAGTAATCTCTTGCAGAGTGATTCCCGTGCATCCCGCCTCTCGTCCTTCACCTGAATCACTCACTTCTCTCTCCTCCCCTTTCCCACCATCCTCCATCCCGTGCCATCACCATCAACTCCCCCCCAACCCTACCAGCGTGCATCTGCATTGGAGGAGGGTCGACAGCGACACGGTCAAATTCGCGTTTCACATGACCAAGGGTCCCGGGACGGGCAACGGGTGGTTCGGCGTCGGCTTTTCCAAGGACGGCAAGATGAACGGCGATGCGATCATCGCGGAGAGCATGCGCGCCGGCGCGCCCAAGCTGCTGACACTCGACGGCCACAGCAGCGCGACTGACGCGACTGGGTGGGCGCCGACGGGACTGAAGATCACCAAGACACCCTCGGGAACCACCATCGAGTAAGTCCGAGAAATTACCAGAACCATTTAGGCAACATTCCAATTAAACGCACAAATCCAAGCTGCTGACGCTCGACGGCCACAGCAGCGCGACTGACGCGACTGACGGGACTGGGTGGACGCCGATGGGTACCACCATCGAGTGAGTACCCATTGTAACAATTGCACCCGCTTGCCCGCCACAGGAGCGCGAACTATTTTAGAGGCGCCTCATCTTTAGACTCGCCTGCCCGCCACAGCAAGCTGGCCACAGCAGCGCGAACGATGCGTGGTTGGCCTCCGAGCAGGCTGAAGGGTGACACACCATTACCATATCCACTGATTCCTTCGTAATCCCGGTTACCCTATTTCGTTTGCCCGCAGGTTCACTCGCACCACGTCGGACGGCGGCGAGGTGGCGCTGAAGCCCAAGGGCAACAACTACATCACGTGGGCCTTCGCTAAGACCACGTGGTCGGAATCCACCCGCCACGCCTTCTCGTACGTGCACCCCCCTTGCAAACCCTTGTTACATTTCGAAAATTCTCTGAAGTTCCAGGCCAATCACCTGGGCCTTCGCCAAGACCACGTGGTCCCGCCACGCCTTCCCGTACGTGCATCCCTTGCAAGCCGCTGGAAAATATCAGAAGCTAAAATCCTTGGGTTGATGGATTTCTGCATTTTTAGAAGTTCCAGGCTAAACAAGACTGCGGTTCCTTACCGCCTTGTCTACAATTCCACAATCTTCTCCTCCCTTTCGCCTCTCTGCTCCCCTTGCCCCTTCTCCCCACCCCGCTCGTCTCCTCTTCAAGTTGCCTCCCTCCCCCCTCTTCCCTCCCCCCACTCGCAGCGGCCATGCGGTGGTCGACCTCTCCTCCAATGGCTGCTTGGACAACTTCCTTCTAGGCGCCTCAATCTTTAATCGTCGCTCCCCCCATCCCCTTCTTCCCTTCTCCCCCGCTCCCCCGCCCCCCCACATCCCCCCACTCGCAGCGGTCATGCGGTGGTGGACCTCTCCTGCAATGGCTGCTCGGGCGTTGTCCGCAAGGTGCTCTGCCAGACGTTTAATTGAACCGTTCAGGCGTTGATAGCCGCTCTGCAGCAACGTCACAAAAAAATTAGCGAGAAAACAATGTTTAAAGTATGTTCAAACATTGCTTCAGGTACATCGAGGGAACATACTTTTAACATTATTATGCGGAATGCTTTGTGAAGGGGTGGGAATGTTTTAGGACAGCTAGGGTATTCCTCGCAAGCAATCTCTAGGGTTTGTTTTGGGACTCTTCAGACAATCCATAGTCTCTTTATTGTGTGCTCCGTCTCTGTTGGAAAGTCTTCGGAGTACACTTCTGGTGTAGCTATTTACTTTTGAAAATCGTAAACCAGGACACTTTTGTTACAACCGATTGTGATAACAACGTAACATGGCTGGAAAACACGGGGCAACAAAAATGACAGGGTTGTAACCGTTACGTGTAAACCGGGTAACCACCGCATTCAATTAGATAAAATTTAGGGTGTTGGGACAGTGTACATTAGACCAACTGTTCTCACTGTGAGCACTGTTTACAACAAGTTGGTATAACGACGAGAGAGATTGCTGATAGTGATTTCTTAGGTTAGAAAATGCACGATTTGGAAACATTAGCGATTTGAGCGCTAGACTAAACATAAGCATCTATGAGCGGTAATCGAAACACATGGACCTTCAACCTGTCGAACAGCAAGGGCACATCAGGGCCTGTACGCCAGGTCACATGCAGGGATGCGGCAGTTATCCTTCAAGGCAGCCAGGCGCGTAGTCCTCTCGCGAGGTGTAACCGGCGGAATGGGAACCGCAGCGGCCGCAGGCAGAGTGGGCGACATGCCCTTCACCCCGTCATGGGAGATGCGATCTCGCTGACGCGGCGGAAACTGCATACGCCTAGCTTAGAAGAAGATCGGAAATTAGACCTGCGCAAACTGCATAACAAACATTGGTGAAAGAGTGCTGACACGCATCACTTAGGCGCAAACAAGCAACCCGACGAGCAACTTCACTGTGCAGCAATACTTACAAGATCAGCTGAAGGAACATACCTGGCCTTGACGAAACGCGAAACGCTGATTGTGTGCCCCCTCGAGCGCCAAAAGCGGACGGACAGAGTAATCTGCAAGTGGGGGCGACGTGGAGTGGAAATAGAGGAATGGGCGGGGCGGTGAATTAGTAACGTGGCTCGAAGAACGAAGAAGTAGGACACGAAGGTACGAGTTTGGGAAGGGCACAATTGAAAGTGATGGATGAAATGGGCACCTTTGAAGCTCGAGGTCACCGCCTCCCTTCCCTTCCCAGGCTCTCAGGTATCAATGATGTTACCAGCTGTGCCAGCATAGCACGGATGGGGCTATCACAGAGGCTCGCGAAGTACCGAGTAGTGATCGAAGTGGTTACTGCTGCTCAGGGTTGCTAGTCGCAAAGTTGCAACACACGTGCTTCGTATGCGCTGGAAAAAGGCATCGCGTCTGAGGGTGGGTTCGCAATGACGTGTCAAAATTCTTATGATAAGGTTACCCGCTACTGAGTGGCTGCATACAGTTTCTAGTTCGGTACACTGCGCTTTTGCGGTGAAAACGTTAGTCGAGGTTACAATTTTTGCTGAACATTCACAGCTGCGACGAAAACAGTAACATGCGGTCACTTTCGCACTGTAACTGGTGCACTCGGTAGTCGTTTTCTCGCGGTTTGGGAAAGGGGTTGCAAACCTGTACAATCCTTACAGTGTGCCAGATGTACTCGTTGTGTTCTAGGGTTTCATCGAGCATTCCTTGCGGCAACTTCGTACATACTCTTTTTTAGCATACCTAGGCATAGTAGCCCTTCGGGCGTTTTTGGGTGCTCCAATTCTTTGTGACGAAGGCGTTTCAATACACCGTTTATGCGCGTTGATAGGCAGCACTGGTACAAGCCCTTGAAGAAGAACAACAGCTGCGCACTTTCGTTCCGGGCGTTGTTCATATACTACAACTGGCCTTTGTGTCATTCTCAGCTGACAACCGCTTCACATGTGTGTTAATGACTGGTACTTACTAATAATGGAGTGATTTACAAAGCAGAAGACTGACTCGTTTTGCCCCTGGTGATGGCGAGTCTCTTTATCAAGACTCATGTCGCCACCTAGGACTCTTGTGTAGGAATAGTAAGAACACCACAAACCCGAAACCCGAAACTCTAAAACCGTGGCGTTAACCTACACCACAAGTATATTACATCTAGCCGGAACACCTGTCTCCATAGCGCTACCGGGTTCGCTAAACGAAGCTACCAGTCCGAATATATTGACGGAATCTTCGGCATAGAAGCATCCCACCCAGGGCAAATGTTATCAGTGTAAATTACCCTGATATACTGATAATCAGGGTGGATTTTGAATGTCACACTTTTGGCCCATGTTTTTTTCATTCTTTTTTCTTGGAAATGTTTTCCCTAATATCTCAGGGTTTTCATTGTAGGCACATATTTGTCTCAGTCTAACTATTTGTGTTAGCGAGATTTTTCTTGATGATGTTATGTTGGGCTGAGAAAAGCCCTTAGGATCGTTTTCAAGACTAAAGTCTCAGAGTAGTGATGTATTAGCGGAAGCGTAATAGTGAACCGATTGAACCACCTTGCATTGGTATGTGAGAACAAGATAAGTTGATAATAGCAAAGGCATACAAAGCTTTATATGATTACAAAGGAATATGAAAGGTTTCACTAACTGTAACTGCTTTTGCGGTTCGATACAGCGACGACTCGGGAAACTGCTCAATAGTGAGTCAGTTATGTGTCCTTGCTGTCGCGCTGCTTTTCGGCGAGTCAAAGGTCGCTGACATTTGACCTTCACTCAACCTCTTGCTGTTGTCTTTCTGTCAACCGCTTTGGTTGACTCGCTGTTGCTTCGCTTCAGTTCGCTTCGCTTTTGTTGTAGTGCTCGACACATCAGAAGCGCGAACTATATATTTGCAACAGATGATACGGTAATCTCAAGAGTAGAATGCAACGGAATGGTGAGTTTAGGAAACAAGGCAATACAAATAGGCAACCCTAACTGTGATATACTCTCTAAGGAGCAACTCACTACAGCCTATCACAAATATCAACATTTGACACACCCCCATAGGCTAAGTGAGGGGCACTAGAACAAGCAGGGTGAACAAACGGTCACAAGACCAGTCAGCAAGAAGCAAAACAAGCTCAAGGTGGATCTCAAGGACACCACACAAATTCCGAGCGCAAGCAAGCGGCCACAAGGCCAGTTCAAGAGTTCACTAGGATATATATAGGAAAGCACAACAAGCAGAGCAAGCAACAAGACTACAGCAACCGAGGGCCTACCTCAACAAGCCCCAACTGCACACAGAACCTGTGGTGGTCACCAAGCGCTAGGGCCTTGGTGAAGACGTCTGCAGTGTTGGCCTCTGAGGCCACAAAGTCCAGGCGTGCCTGGCCGCGTCGCTGCAGCTCTCGCAGGAGGAAGTACCTCACGTCAATATGCTTCACTCTGATCTCCAGTCGAGGCTCTCGACAGAGGAGGATCATGGCCTTGTTGTCAGCGTACAAGGTCGGTGCAGAGCGAGGCCGCTCACCAAGGTCGGCGAGTAAGAAGGTCAACCAGCGAAGCTCCTGTGCCGCCATGGCACCAGCGTAGATCTCTGCCTCTGCACTGGAAGTAGCCACAGACGACGACCGTGTAGACCCCCACGACACAGCACCAGCTCCCAGACTGAAGCAGTAACCCTGAGTCGAGCGCTGAGTCTCCACGTCGTCAGCGTAGGAAGAGTCTCAGTGACCAGTCAACGCCACTGGCTGAGTCCCTCCAAGTACAAGCCCCATGCCTGATGTAGTCGCCAGGTACTTCGCCACCCTCACAGCAGCTGTCCAGTGGACAGGACGGTGTCTCCTAGTCGCAACAAAGCGAGAAAGTATGCTGAGGGGAAAGGCGAGGTCCGGCCGAGTACAAGTCATCAGGTACATGAGGCAGCCCACCAGCTCTGCGTAGGGACCACTGGACTCAAATGGCTCGTCGGGAAAGGGGCCAGTGAGTCTGTGGTCAACAGCAAGAGGTCTGGGCTGTGTGGTGGAGAACTGGAAGTCGAACCGCCGAAGGACCTGCTGCACCATGTGTGACTGAGTCAGTGTGATGGTGCGAGCGGCTCTGTCCCTGGTGATATGCAGGCCAAGGTAGCGCTGCAGTTCACCTAGGTCAGTGCACTTGTGTCTCTTATGCAGTTCGGACTTCACCTGAGCCAGAGCTGCCCTGTCTGCTGTGGCAAAGACCAAGTCGTCGACGTACACTAGTATAAAGAAAGGAGTGGAACCAGTGCGAACAAACAGCGACGGGTCGGCAGAGGAAGGACAAAACCCAAGGTCACGAAGCGTGGAGCGAAGAGTGTCGTGCCACTCACGGGGCGACTGGCGGAGACCGTAAACTGGCCGTCTCAGGCTCCACTGGGTCCCAGGTGGGAAGGTGTCAGTGAAGCCAGGAGGGCGGCGTAGCCAGATCTCCTCGTGTAGTCTGCCCTGGAGAAACGCAGTAGAGAAGTCAAGGGAGTGCAGCTCGTAGTCTCGCTGTTCTGCTACGTGCAGTAACACCCGAAGAGTAGTCATCTTCGGGGTCGGGGCGAAGGTTTGGAAGAAGTCAACTCCCTCACGCTGACTGAAACCCCTAGCAACGTAGCGCGCCTTGAACACAGGCGGTGAACCAGGCGGCCGCTTCACCTTGAAGAGCCACATGCCATCGACTACGTTCGCCCTGGGAGGGGGAACTGCGTCGACGTAGGTGCCTGTGGATCTCCAAGACGCTAACTCCGAGGCCATAGCCGCTTTCCACTGAGAGGCCCACGCCCCTGACACTGCCTCGCGGTAAGTACGAGGATTCGGTATGTCAAGGGCGTCGGGGTCTCCCTCAGGGGATAGCAGCATGGCACAGACAGAGGGAGAAGCAGCTGCCCAGTACTCCAGCTCAGACTCTCTGTCCTCTAGGACGTCACAACCAAGGGCAAACTCACCCCCGACGGACAGAGGACGGGAGGGAGGAGCTGGCACCACACGGGTGGTGTAGTCAAGGCG